GCATCAATAATGCGTTTCTCAAACCGACAAATTTGGTTCCAGGAAATATGCATAGATTCTCCAACCAACTCAAGTAGCTTCCGTGACCGTGCATCATATGATGCATCTGCGATCAGAACGAGAAATAGGTCACATAATACAGTCCAGCGAAGATCTATGTCAAGGTTTTTAGATTGTTGAAGTTCGGACGGCGATTGAATTTCTGGGAGGTCGTTACTGCCATTACATTCATATGGCGGTGGGGGTGTGGGTGATCGTGACGCTTCATTGGGGAGTTTAGACGTCTTGTCTATATCTGTTGTGGATTTATCGACTGATATATTGGGGCTAGCCGTAGATTCTTCAGCAAGAGGATTTTTCACACGAGCATTCTGCATTAACGGGGAAACGAGATCCTCCGGCCGAACCCCATGTTCTGCTAATTGCTCAATCATAACCTGTTCGTCAGAGTTGATTTCCATATGCCCGTAGAGGCGGATCATTATTTGCTGGCCCCATTTTGTCGTCGAATCCAGTGCAGTACTTAAAAATTTGCGGGTAGTCTTTGATGATGATTCGTATGACTCCACTTGCTTCACCATTTGGAAAATAGTTAATCTTGTAGCTCCAACGTACGCGATTCGTTGACCTTCCGTGAGAAGGTCTTTTGTTGCTTCTAGTTGAGAGCTTGGGTCTCGTAAGTCATCATCTTCAACACCGAGAGCATTACTCTGTGGCTCCTTGAACAAGTAACTCGTATTTTCGTCCAAGCTGGTGGCTGACTGTGCATCTTCATCGATCTGAATCCTGGTATATCCCTTTCCGGCCCCTCCAAGGCCTTGGTAAACAGTATCGTCATCTTCTTTGGCACCGCGAGCAACTATTCTGCCATAATCGTCATAAACATCAAATTCCCCTAGAGCAGGCATGTCATGCCATGTGTCATCTTCTCTGTCTTCCTCCGAATCATCTTTTGTCGTTATCTTCTGATGTGACCACTCCGAAACATCCTTTGTATGCGCCTCATGAGGTAACTTGGAGACATTATTACTTTCTTGGGTGGGTATTGTGGGAAGGCCTATATCTTTCGTTTCCGATAAGCTGGGACCGACCGTACCATCATCTTTGCTAGACAATAGTTCTTTGCTTTCCAGGTGGGCTTTCTTCTTTTCCAGTGCCTCAAAGGGAACGGATACGGATCGAGATATGGGGTTCCGGGGATCCGAATCTCTAGGTACACTCGACACGTTTGGAGGTCCAGGAGGCACGCTGTGCATCGACACGGACCTTAGGGTAGTAGTTGATCTTCTAGGCCTAATTGGTAAGCCGAAGTCATCAAGCTCTTCTTTGGCGGCCACAAGTTTTGGTGCAGCGCTTTCACCATTTCCCGCGGCGTATTGCCCCGTCTCCTGGTGGACAGCCTCTCCAGATTCCAGTCTCTTATCTTCTATCACTCGCTTATCTCCATTCCCCTGAAGGCTTTCATTCACGGATGCCACGGAGGTCATTATAGGCCAATGCCCTTATCACAGCCACGATGGAATAATGGAAAAATCCCAACGCAGAATAATATCGGGACAGCCAGGAACGACATTCCCAGTTAACAAAGATCCTTGAAGTAACTCCAATAACTATAGCATCGGTAGCGGCGTCTATGCCGTGGCAAGGTCGGAGGGAGCGTCTCGAGAAGGGTAAATCAAGGGTCGACAGCGATGGGAGGGAACAAGCAATCTCCCGTCGTTATTCCTGGAATCTCGCCATAATCCCTGATACGGTATAGTGTGCCAAATCAGGGAAGGTGTTTCCCTCTAGCGTGTGACAATATAGATGGCTTCCTCGCCGCTTTAACCTCCCAATAATATTCGCACCCGTGTTTCGGCGTACGTTTGACGCCACTTAAACGGCTGTGGCCACCCCTCGGCAGGCTTTATATTTTATACGTACTATGTATGTATAGACCTTCCATAGACTATATATATCATGCTTCTCAGTGTTTATTCGGGCGCTGAGGCATCGTTCTGCTGTTACAGCTCGTCACGTGCTCCACATACTCTATTCAGTTGGCTTATATAACTAAGTTATTATAGAGTTAATGACCAATAGATTCATAGCTTGGATATGAATAATAAAGTTGTTGCGTTCCCACCCGCATGGGGCTGGCAGAGCCGCACTACGCTTTGTTCGCTTACTTCTCATACATATTATCTCATCACTGGAAAGCATCGATAACATAAATGCTAGAAGATATGGATATATGTATATAGTATTATGCAGCTAAGACTACGTAAAGTAACGACATGCGTTATTCTAAAGTATATATTAGGAATAATAGCCCCATTAACCGTACTCGAGTAAGTTAATCTAGGCCACCACCTATCTTTTATTTCTTTATAATGACCACTTATACCGACCATATATTCCTTAACTTATTAAATATTAACGTTGTTGACATCTGTCGAGTATCAGATAAGTGCCAAAGTGGGTCTCTTAAATGGTACCCGTACTTTTATAGAGTTACAATTTTTTCCATGGTAAGTTCTTCTAGATTCGTCCTCAAGGTACTAAAGCGTTCCCTTAACTTCGTCATGCCGGAGCCAGATAAGACTGTCAAGACAGATTTTGCGAGGGTTAGCTACGTAGGTCTCTCTATCATAGTGGGAAGCAACAGGTAGCTGAGAGCGCGTATTTTGCTATCACCAATTGTTTTATGGACCTAATATAATCCTACGATAACGGACAAGGAGATCGGTTCCACAGTCCCAGAACCAATTGAAGTATACAATCTCAAGAACGCAGTTGTCTTGCCAAACAAAACACAAAGCAAATAAATTCTGCGTGAAAAACCCGAACCCGTCTCCATGTGAACATTCACTGTCTAAGCAGCCCATAATTATATAAACCGAAAGTACTTAATAGGTTCGCCTCTCGCGTACATGCAAGTGGCCATGCTACAAAATTTCGAATGTTGATAGAATGAGGTGCAGAGCGTGTAGCAAATTTATTTTTCCCATTTGCTATAGAAATAAACATGCATCCTGCCCTCATATACGAATATATATACATTTCCACAAACTTCAAAGCACCCCCCAGACAAGGCATATATACTGGAATGACAAGGGTGGGCGTATTTTTCCATGTATATATGGTGCCGGTTTTTCACCCCCTCCACTCCAACAGTGGCGTGCGGAGTAACACAGGGTACTATATATATAAACACCTGCTGCTTCAAGCCCGAAAACTAACTTTGTACGGATACTTCGTAACGACTCCCTATGCTCGGACCGATCTTCCGTAAAGTTTCTCTGCTTGACGAACAAAAAACAGCCAGAGCCGCGACTTCAGCTCAGTTGACAACGAAGACGACCATGCTAATTAATAACATCAGTTGATCTGAAGAGCTGCATGTACGGAATATATCGCTGACTTCCGGAGTTGGTGGAGCTGGCCGGGTGAAGCTCCGGCGGTGATGGCGACACTGGGTTGACAGAACGGACCCCGAAGCACGGGTACTCATTTTTAACATTCCTTTTGCCCTTGCTCCTTGCTTGCTCCCTTCGCTTGACATCTTGTCCCTGCCGAGGCATGCGATTGGCTTCATCCACCGACCTTAACTCTTCCCGCATGACACGTGACTAGTCCACATGGCCGTTTGAATGTACGATGTATTGAAAGAGAAAGAGGAAGAAGAAAGAAGAGAGATAAAATGTAATAGAATAATACTAGAATAACCAGAATATCAAAACCAAAAGAAAAAAAAGCAACACAAAATAATAATAAACAAGATAAAAAAGGGAGCCAAGCCCTGACGCGACCGAAAATCGGGTAAGCTTTCCAGTTCCTGAAGTCAGCGAGAAAAAAAAAAAGACAAGATAAAATTTTCTGGACCCCCGAAAAAGAACTTGTCATAGGTCGGCTGCTTCTCTTCACTCTCTTCTTCTTCTTCCTCTCTTCTCCTTTCTGCCTCTTCTTGATGCGGTGAAGTCAAAGACATCTATTCACGCATACTCTCCTCCCTCTATAATTTACTGCTGTTCTCCATTGGCTTCTCTGTATTAACTAGGGCTGGCTGAGCTTTCTCCAGCTTTCCCCAGTTCTTGCTGGTCACAAGGGCAGATCTCCCTCATCTGTTTCTTCTCCTGCTTCTACTGCAGACTCCCCAATTACTTATTTATTGAGAGTTGCAAGTCATGGCGCAGAATATAAAAGAGCAGCTGGTCGGCAAGTCTACTGAGACACCACTCAGTGCACACGTTAAAGCCCATTTTATGCAACATGCGAGGGTAGATGGAGAATCTGGTGAATTATATATGACAAAAGAAGACTTCATTAATGCCATTGCTCCTAAGAATGAAGACTATGTGAGTTATCTTCTCTGTTCCGGAAGTGCCATGTTGGCTAGTTTATCGCTGTCCGCGTTCACTTAAGCATAATTCAACGACATCTTAAAAAAAAGGGCGCAATGACTGACACAATCTTATCTGATTATTTATAGCATAAAATAAAACGCGAACAGTACGGCATCCTCTTCAATGTTGCCGACCGAAGACGCACCGGCAAGATCAGCCTCCAGGACTGGTCGACGTTTGAGGACCTCCTCGCCAAACCGGACGCAGAGTACGAAATAACATTCCGATTATTCGACACGGAGGGAACGGGAATAGTCAAGCATGAGACGCTACAGAAACTTTTCACTTCTGCAAAGGGTGACAGCAACATTCCGTTTGACTGGAATTCCGGATGGGCTGCACTCTACACAGGCTCGAAGAAGACAAGACACGATATGACATACCCGCAATTCGCTCAGATGCTTCGCGGATTACAAGGGGAGAGGATAAGACAGGCATTCCATCTGTTCGATAAAGACGGAGACGGCTACATCGAGCCTGAAGATTTCCAGCGCATCATCCTAGAGACCTCACAACACAAACTGTCAGACCACCTGTTGGAAAACCTGCCTACGCTATGTAACATTTCGTCTGGCAGCAAGATATCCTACGCCAACGTGCGTGCATTCCAGAACATCATCAGAGAAATGGATATCATAGACTATATCATCCGCAGCGCTGTTCGCAAAAGTGATGATGGAAAAATCACTCGATCAGATTTCCTGAACGAGGCAGCCCGCATCACCCGCTTCTCCCTCTTCACACCAATGGAGGCAGACATTCTGTTCCATTTTGCCGGGCTTGATGCACCTTCCGGCAGACTCGAACTTGGCGATTTTGCAAAAGTCATCGACGCCTCGTGGCACAGCGCCAGCGTTCTAGGCAGAGAAGCATTGGCCGGCGCATCAAAGGCAAGTGAAAAAGTCACAAGAAAAACAAGCCCATTGCTTCACAATATCCTGGAGTCGGTTCACCATTTCGCACTTGGAAGTATTGCTGGTGCGTTTGGAGCGTTTATGGTTTACCCAATCGATCTCGTCAAGACCAGGATGCAGAACCAGAGGAGTGCACGTGTCGGTGAGAAAATGTATATGAACTCACTCGACTGTGCTAAGAAAGTTGTCCGAAATGAGGGTGTCCTAGGGCTGTATTCTGGAGTTATTCCACAATTGATTGGAGTTGCGCCCGAGAAAGCTATCAAGCTTACCGTAAATGACTTGGTTAGAGGATTCTTCGCAGACAAAGATAAGGGCGGCAAGATATGGTGGCCGCATGAGGTTATTGCTGGTGGTTCTGCTGGTGCTTGTCAAGTCGTACGTACTACAATCATTTCGGAATGTTTACAAATGCCCTTACTGATATCTCCTTTAGGTCTTTACAAATCCATTAGAAATCGTCAAGATCCGCCTCCAGATACAAGGAGAGATTGCGAAGAATGTTAACGAAACAGCTCCCCGTAGATCTGCAATGTGGATCGTGAAGAACTTGGGTCTTATGGGACTATACAAGGGAGCTAGCGCTTGTCTACTTCGTGATGGTAAGCTCCACCATCCTCAATTCTTAGAATGCCTAGCTACTCGATGGCTCGTTTTCACTGACACACTATTTATAGTTCCCTTCTCTGCAATCTACTTCCCCACATACTCCCATCTAAAAACAGATTTCTTCGGCGAATCTTCTACCAAAAAGCTAGGCGTTATTCAGCTCCTGACTGCTGGAGCCATTGCCGGTATGCCTGCTGCCTACCTCACTACACCATGTGATGTGATCAAAACCCGTCTCCAAGTCGAAGCTCGAAAGGGAGAGACGAAGTACACCTCTCTTCGTCACTGTGCCACTACCATTTTGAAAGAAGAAGGATTCAAGGCTTTCTTCAAGGGTGGCCCAGCCCGTATTTTGCGTTCGTCACCTCAATTTGGTTTCACCCTTGCTGCCTATGAGGTGCTCCAAAAATGGATGCCGATGCCAGGCACTGAGCATGAAGAAGTGACCCCAACCGGCTACGTCGAACCCGGAGCTAGCCTACAGTCAGCCTCTGGTCCAATGCCATATCTTCGATCGCGCAATGCTTTGAAACTTATCCTAGACCTAGAGCCGAACTTTGGTCGCCTGCAGGCTCCGGCGGGAGTTAGCTTACCAGTGCTGGGCAAGTAAAGCTATACTGCCCCTCGAACTATCTAATGAGTCATGATATTAATCGTCCAAATCAACCTCGATTTTCACTTTTTCATCCTCAAGTGAGAAGCAAATTTTAGATACCGGCAATACCCCACCCATATCATAACATCTGGATTTATCCTCTGGACGTCTCAGTTGCCCTTATTCCTTCCCTCTAGTACTTTGATCTCTGGTTAAGCGCATATCGAACTCTTGTTTTTTACACTTTTCTTTTCTTTTATGTGTTCTTGATATTTTTTTTCTTTATTGGGAAGGCTATGCTATACTTTACACGCTTACACCAGGGGCTTGAATTCCGTATTTCTAGAGGGAAGACAGCACCAGTTAGTTTATCTCTTTATATTTCTCTTTCCTTCCCCTCTATTTTTTATTCATTTTGCATGCGGATTTTCCCCTTTTCAGTTAGTTTTGTGATTTATTTCTTCGCTAGGATAGAAGATAGAGGATAGATTGAAGAGAAATTATAGATTTAAATTGCCCTTTGCAGTTATTACATGTTCTCAATGAGCCAGATCGGTGGATAAAAGGTTTAACTACCCCTGGAAAGTTGCAATTAACATCCAATAGCTATTTGCCTATACAATATATTAATTTAACTGAAGGGATAATTGTAATTTGTACACATTATATGTTTATAATAATGCACAAGCAGTTAACTAACCTCTCTACCTATGATTATATCACCTAAGAAAGACACTATATCTAAAAGAAATGCATACTCTCCTCACATAGTCCGTGGGATATCAACGCCTACTTAGTATTTCATGAAAAGCGGCCAATTTCCGGGTGAGAATCCTTCTAGTGCTTTAAGGAATGCCGTGATTGCCCCAGTACCCAAAACGCCATGTAATGTTGATCGTCTATAACCTTTTGTCCGATCATTAGATTTTCTCTCCCGCCTGGTAACTCGTCTATTCCTACGTAACCGGTTTCTGCCTTCTTCCTCACTACTTGATAAATCGGAATATTGATCCTCAATAAAAGAAACACGTCTCCTACGACGGTAGGTGCGGCAATCATGGGTGGATGTAGTAGGATGAGGTGTTATTCCGGACTGAGGGTGTTGCGGGTAGTGTGAGCTAACATGCTGGCGGAGATATGGCCCAGGCGGATGGGAGTATGATCGATGAGGTGGGTGTATTGGATAGTTTGGGGAAGCGTTTGCATAAGTATATGATGTAGTGGGTGGAGGACAGTTTGGCCTACCAGCGTGTTGGTCCGGCAGTTGAGTTGCAGTACATGGTATCTTCCATGTATCTGTACTAGAGAGTGCGTTGGGCGAAGCGCCTTCTAAGTCATGGACTGGTATCTTATACGTATCGCGGTTATCGAAAGGGCTAGTCCTTGTCCCCTGACGGGTATAGGTTTGTGATCTAGCATTGCCCAAGTCTCCTGTCGTAAAATCTGGAGAAGCATAGGCTGCGGTGTGATTGTTACTTCTCTGTATATTGTAATAATTATGGAGGCCATTTGTGGTAGAAGCTGTCCCATGTTGGGAGTTATATGAGGACGAAGAAGACGGATCAGAAACGTTGTTTGGCGTCGCCTCATCACATTCCGTCTCGCTCTCTTCCGAGTCGGTTTGAACCGTAGCCCAGTACTTGGCATATCGTTGTCGAAGATCGTCAGCAAATATTCTAGCTCGTTGGGGCTGCTCCGAGCCTTCCGTTACTCCACTATGTTATACATGCTCTCGGGGTAGCAGGGTTGCAGGCAGTTCAGAGCGATCTGGTCGTATACACAAGGATTTAGGTTCCACGAGACTTGCTTTCGCCGAACCCATAGTTGTAACAATGGGTCAATTGCCTCAGCGGACACCTTGACCATGTCCCTAGGTGTTTTTTTAATTTGCTTTAAAGTGGTATCGACGTCACCGAACGAGATAGCACGAAGCTTCCTGAAAGCATTACGCTGGCTTTTGGGCATGGACGGATCAAGCGCTGGGTTATATGTACTAGATACACTCCCCTCTTCTGCCTCTTGCCGAGCAAGATCATAGAGCCTGTCTAGTCTGTTCAGAGACCAGCACCGAATGATCAGTACGTTCTGGATTTCAGCACGTTCCTGCTCAATCAAAGCCGTGGCAAGGCTCTGCTCCATATACCTAACCATAGAGTACGATAAGCGAGGAAATACGAACCAAAGAGAGTGACTACCTCCATACCTCTTTGACGCTAGTAATTTCCCAAGGGTAATAATTTGCTCTATAGCCATAAGGCTAAGGTTGAGTGATTCCATATAGGCAATGAGGTAAGTGACACGGTGCTTTTTAAAGCAACGCAGGAAATGATCCCGTAAAGTCTCGGTGTTGGATGCCGTATTATCACAAGTCTGAGCTTTGCTCAGCATTGATTTGAGTTCATCGAATACAGCAGCACTCTGATGCGAAATTTCTCTAATGACGTTTGCAGCTTGCGCCGAGTAAATGGGGTCAGGCTCCTGGAGGATTCGCCCAGCATGTTTTAAAGAAACTGCCAGAACTGAGATACCCTTAGCAATGCTATGGGTTTCCACTCCGCCATTAAAAACCTCGCAGCTCACTGCACTCAGGAGCAGGGAAAGTTTAAACCCGACTCCAGCTCTTTCGAGGACTTCAATGCTATCCACTAACAGCTTATATTAGCTAATATGCTTGAGCTATAGTAGTCATGGAACAGCACCTTTTCGAGCCATGGGGCCTGTCTGTCTCAATGATAGATACTCACGAGACGGTTTGAGCTTCGAGTTCGATAGAGAGATGGCCGTGAATGAAGTAGAAGGGGAAAGAAGCTATGCACCACTAATCGAATGAATTGAACATAGGAATTGCAGTTTTATCTTGGCTTATTTGCTCCAGGGGAGACTCTGGAGCTGTATTTTCCCAGTTTGTGGCATGAGACTGAGCAGCTCAGCGACCTATAAACCATGGTAAACGGCTGTGCCGCAAAGCATCAGCCTCACTCCAGTTGTATCCATGTAGACAAGTGGTTGGGACTGGTATCGTGGTCTGTATAGGCCGGCCCACTGACGGAGCTTGCCGCAGCGATATTACTATATTATTGGGGCCTTCAAGGGGTAAAAAGCCTCGGACGGCCTATGTGGAGCCTAGTTTAATATGTGATATAGGCCGCAGTGATTGCATGTATAGGAGAAGCACACCGCTTGTGATAAACCCCCATCTCTCACCAGGACATCATCAGGTGAGCCATATATATCCTTGTATCTTCTTGCCTTGCCGCTGCCAGAGTCCAGAGCAGCAGGTTGCATGCGTCTGCTGATGCCTCACTATTGCTGTGCTTCATGATTGGGCATTAACTGAGTAATCGGGCCGCCGCCCCCTGCGCACAAGTCATGGAAACGACCGTCTATGCCATGGATATGCATATTGCATGGATGTATGTACTCCGTACTCCTGGACCTCACCAAATTCCCCAATCCGGTATAGCGTTCCAGCTTGGGCAAGGCGCCGTCTTGCTAGCGCGCGACGATATAGACAGCCCTCTCTATTTCCCTATCTACGAATTATAGGGCATTAACCTAACCGGGAACCTCATATCGCAGCAGGCGGAACACATGAGGCTAGCGAGAATGGGACCTATATTGCAGACCAGTTTGGTGTATTATTAAGGACCAAGCTTTTTGTCATATGAAGTAAATGAACTCATTCTCGAGTGATTATCCATCCTTGACGTAGTATATCTTTCGCTGTAGGACGTGCCTTAGGCTCAGGAACCATAACCCTCTCCAAGAGATGGATGTCTTCTTCCGGAAATTGTAAATACTCCAGTATCGAGCGAATAGTCACCTCCTCTCTCTCCGGGTCTAACTCCGGCCAGCTATCCTTGCATTGTTCAAAGAACGGTATATTGTACAGCTTGAAATCATGGAACACGTCAACGCGAACTCTCTCCTCGTATATCTGTGTGGTATCTGCTGTAGACTCATCAGGTAGCCGATCATAGAGCCCCCAGATATCGGGACGAAGGTATGCTTGAATCATGTGGAGATACTTTGCAAAATTAATTTCCCACCAATAATTTATACAAGGGACGAATACGTACCACCATGGCCCAACCCCATATATCGACTTCTTTTGACCACCGGAGTCCAAATAAGATCTCTGGGCTTCGGTAAGGCATAGGCTGCGCGACCCCAGTGGAAGGGGGGGAAGCTGTAAAAATTTAACACAAAATTAGCCCGGCCTATCAGCGATGTAAATTGGAGTGCATACCAGCCCATGTAGAGCCCAGATCAAACAATTTAGCAGATGTCCCATTCAGCAGGATATTTTGAGCTTTAATATCTAAGATCAACGTGTTAGAATTTTACCATTCGCCTAATAACGAATAACCGAGTGTATTGCAAACCTAGGTGGATAACGCCTTCTGCATGTAGCTCCTCAATACCTTCAAGGGCATCTCTCATTATCTTCCGAATGCCAGCCAGACCAAACTTGGTGAGGCGTCCATTTTCACGCACGTCCCAAAGTGTTTCCGGTAACCATTCCAGCACCATCCCGCGATCGAAGTCTTTGCTAGGAGTTTCGTCCTTGATAACGTCTAAGAGTTGCCTGATATGTGCTGCCCCTTTAAATCTCTGGCATTGCGATACTTCCTTCTGAAATTCTGCTGCTGACTGGGCCGCGTCCCTGCGAAGCTTCACGACAACATTATTGCCGGTCAAACTTGTTGCCTTCCACACATGAGGGTTTAAACCGTTACTGAAACGAGGGTAGAGTGGTTCAGTAAGGGCATAAGCCATGCCAGACCGACCAACAAGTCTTGTGCTCCACTTGCCGCTCATTTCGGCGGATTCAGGGAGTCAGTTGACTTTGGGATGAAGTAGTGAATTGAAAGAATCCTCAACTTGTCCAATTCACCCCTGGAGATTTAAAGATATCTAGCCGTAACCTGTCTTCCTCTCAAGGCAGTGAGACACGTCTTCCTTTCTTTATCTTTTCCGGTTGTGACGTGGACTCGGCGTGTTTTGCAACCTCTATAAACGGAGTCGCCCTTCTCCTTTTCTCTTGGTGTAAACAACCAACAGTTATCGAAAGAGCAAATATCCTATTTCTAAATTTCGTCCTACCGTTCATCTTCGGGAATCAGGCCGAAGCATTGAGTCTAGACTCCTTTATTTTATCGATGTGTATTTGGTAAGTTAATGATATTGGATTTCATAACCCCCAAGGCAAAAGGCTAAAATGTCAGATATAACCAGTCTCTCTGCTGCCAATTGGTGCGGGCTCGGCTTTTTGGCCGAATGGCAGATTCTGACACTAAATTATTCGTCACCTGCATCCAGAATACTGCAGTTTTCGATCCGCCGCGATGTCCTCGCCGATTGACAAGAGCGAAGCTATCCGTCACTGCGTTGATGAACTGAGGCGCTGCCTCAAAGACCAGTTGTCAAATATAACCAGCCTCTCTGCCTCCAATTGGTGCGGGCTCGCCTTTTTGGCCGGATAGCAGATTCTGACATCTTGCTATGAAGGTTCAGTGTTTCTACCTACGGGAAGACGACGAAAATGGCCACAAGAAAAGAGACAGCGACATCACCGATATTCAATTTCTCTGCAGGAAGATGCTTCAACAATCTGAGTATGTCAGTGACGACTGTGCGAACAATTTCAAATTTGGATATTACCACCTTCTCGAGCTACGCCAAGAGCTTGGGCTAGACGCCACCGCGGCGTTTATCAGGCAGAAAGTTTATCCAGAACTCCGCTGACCAGCAGGAATACTTCTGCTGAGCCGGGCGCTGATCCGTTGACTGCGGGGCTGGAGGAGAAATGAGTGATGGAAAGGGCAGGGAATGGGGGCAATGATTACATATCTGGGGTCACCGTTCGGAGGTAGTAACTAGATGGAAGGGTCCTAGGCATGATTCAGCGTGGAGGTAGCCGCTTTTCCTCTCAATGATTGGAAGTTAAATGTCAGAATAATCTGCCATTCGGCCAAAAAGCCGAGCCCGCACCAATTGGCAGCAGAGAGACTGGTTATATTTGACATTAAATTACTCAAGTCACCATTTGATAAGCTCTATACTTTATACGGGCCTTAACTATGATTGATAATATCTGAGTATATATATATATATACTGATATATTTATTGCACATGGAGGCGCTGTAACTATGAGATCTCATCGCAGAGTTGGGCGATGCGTTTTCCGATCTCGTCGTAGCTGTGGGAGCTATTCAGGTTGGAGCATCACAGCAGGATCCCACAGCATGATCCAGGCGGCGTAAGTAGGTAGTCTCTGTGATGGACAGCTTAGTGCAAAGGTTTTAAAAATTGTCACTCACAATCCACACGTCTGGAAAGACCAGTAAGCTACGGACCGGGGTCAACGCATCACTGCAAGCTACTTGCTTCATGCGAAAGGTACCTAGAGTAGAAGACACGAGGAGTCAAGTTTGCAAAAGGATGGGACAGTACCACCGATCACTCATTTGCTGCTTGACGTTGAGGGATGCGGGAAGTGAAATAGAAATCTGACAGCAGGTTTCCCACCGTTGGCGTTTTGGCCTAGCTTGCTGTACTTTGCTTTTATGGCTGCGACCTCCAGATCCTTTCTGGGTACGAGGGTCCTTGCCTTTTCAGGAGTTATAAGACCGGCTCGGATCTGCTGTCGGAAATAACAGACCTTCTTCTTTGCGCTGTTGAGAATGACCTTGCCGAATAAGTCGACGAAGAATTGATCCTCGACTGGAAGACATGCAAGAACATCGCCCAGGACACTCAGGTAAGAATATTGGATTTTAAAGTAGGAGGTAATTTGACTGTTCAGCTCCTCAACGCCATGGCGCTCAGCAATAACATCAATCATTGCTACCGAGACGACAAGAGGTGTTAGCGCGGGGGTCGGATTTGTCTATATAGTTATAGATATTGCCCGGATAAGAACTTGCACCCACCTCGAAGATAAGCTAGCCTGCATGGGAAACGGTACGCCGTGTCCGGAACAAGGAATGTGGTTGTCGTCCAGGATCCTGGACTCAGATCAAGATGCCAAAAAGATGCTGGCATGATAATGGTGCTTGTGGCCCAGTACCTATCGGGACCATCGTCAGGACCGACTTCGTGAGGTAAAAACCGATAGCCAGGCCACCCTGTCGGACTTTCCTTGGTTGCAGGGAAGAAAAACCGCTGGTGTGTCTGGGGCAGCTCGTCAAAACCATGTGAGGTCAAGGCAGACCTGGCCAACTCCAGTTCGTCGTCTGCAACCACAAGGTATATGTCACTCAGTAGCAAGGGACCGCCGAGGGCCATAATAACAAGATCTCCAACACGCAGTACCTCACGCCAGCCGCTTCAAGAGCTTGAACAGGTGGAGAGATAATAAAGTCCAGGTGAGGGAAATGCACTTCGTAGTCCGCCATCATGATATTTGGGTTAGTGAGTTGAAGCAGTTTATCCACTGATTCATAATATTATAACTTGGACTCTGTACGCAAAGATCCCGCTATATCCGCTGGATACCTGCCTCATTATATAAGCAGGCACTAACCTAGTTGGGAACCTCATACGCAACAGCCGTTCACGTGATATCATCGACGGTCATGTTTGAAATCGAGCTTCAGGGGGCAGCAAAAAAGAAAAGAAGAGACAGCGGGTCGAGTTGGTGAAGGTCTTGATGAGAAAGTAGTTCATATAGAGAGCAGTTGGTTGACTACACATGCGTGGAGCCACGATAGCCACTGATGAGAGGTAACGGTGAGAAAGACGCCGCAACGTCGGGGAAAAGGCCTTGCTATGTGATGGATGACCATCTCGCTAGCTTCACGAAAACCTCCCCCCTTGTAACATTCGCTGCAAAGTTAGCATGCAAACTGCATCTTTGAAGCGAAGGCGAGGGGGGACGAGAACAGTGTAACGCGGTGAAGGCGGAGTATTTATCTACAAGATGAAGCTGCCCCCGCAAGAAACGGACATAAGATACTCAGTCTAAACAACAGCCTGCCTGCACAGCCCCATATTCCCCAGCTTATCCCCCCTCGAGATATCCAGGAAGAACCCAAGGCAACGACTGGGCCGTATACAGTTACGAAATGTCTGCTGAACCACCCTCGTACGATGCCCTGATCGTGGGGGCGGGCTTCTCCGGTATCTTCCTCTTGCACCAGCTCAGGAAAATCGGCCTCAAGTGCAAAATATATGAGGCTGGCACTGGTTTAGGAGGAACGTGGCATTGGCACACGTACCCAGGTGCGGATTGATCTCGTTGTCTAAATCATCAGCCCGCTGTTAAATAATACCCCTGACCATATTCGCTGTGCCTTAGGAATCCGCGTTGACTCCGAGGTTCCCGTTTACGAGTACTCTGCGCCAGAGCTATGGTCTGGCTGGACGTGGACTGAGAAATACCCCAGTGGAGAGGAGATCCTTAGATATTTTGACCATGTCGATCAAGTGTGGGACATCAAAAAGGATGTCGAGTTCGGCGTTAAGGTCGTTGGAGCCCAGTTTAACGCCCAGAAGAACGGTTGGGATGTTGACACTGAAGATGGACGAATCACGCACTGCAGGTTCTTTCTTGTTGCAGCTGGGTTCTGTGCGAAACGGTACATCCCAGATTATAAAGGGCTGGGCACTTTCAAGGGAAAGATGTGTCACTCAGCTTCCTGGCCTCGGGAAGGTATAGATGTGAAGGGGAAGCGAACCGCAGTAATTGGAACTGGTGCTACGGGAGTACAGCTAACGCAAGCACTGGCGAAGGAATCCGCAAGCTTGACAGTATTCCAGAGAACTCCCAACCTAGCCTTGCCTATGCGCCAGGGAAAGTTATCCCCCGAAGAGCAAGAAGATCGGAAGTCGACCTACCAGAAATTCTTTCAAAACCGAGAGACAACCTTTTCTGGTATGAGATATGACTTTTTAAGTAGAGTCGCCGTGAGTGAGTCAGAGGACGAGCGTGAAGCACTCTTCGAAACCCTGTGGCAGAACGGAGGATTCGAGTTCTGGCTAGGAACATATCGAGATATCCTGTTTGATTCCAAGGCAAATCGTTACGCATATGACTTCTGGGCCAAGAAGACTCGAGCAAGAATATATGATGCCAGAAAGAAGGATGTCATCGCACCATTGGATCCGCCACACGCTTTTGGAACAAAGCGGCCGTCACTCGAGGAGGATTACTATGAGGTGTTCAACCAGCCTAACGTCGATGTCGTCGACATCAGAAAGAACCCCATCGTGGAAATTAAACCAGACGGAATTCTCCTCAGCGATGGCTCTTTCTACCCTGTAGATGTAGTAGCTCTTGCCACAGGGTTTGACGCAGTCACTGGAAGCATGACAAACATGGGTCTTCGTGACATTGATGGCAAGCCTCTCGACGAAGCCTGGAAGGATGGAGCGAATAGCTATCTCGGCATGTGTATTAAGGGCTATCCGAACATGTTCTACCTATATGCCACCCACGGCCCGACCGCGTTCAGCAACGGGCCGTCTGCGATTGAGGTACAGGGGCGATGGATTGTGGAAGTAATCAAGAAAATCCAAGAGAACGGGTGGAAGAACGTGCAGCCAACTAGCCAGGCGCAGGAGCAATGGAAGGAGAAGGTCAACGCGGCATCGAACATTACTCTTCTTCCGCTGACAGACTCCTGGTATATGGGTGCAAATATCCCGGGCAAGAAACGTGAACAACTCAACTATGCCGGAGGGCTTAAACAGTATGAGCTGGAAAGCCAGAATGCGTTGAAGGCATGGAATGGATTCGTTGTCGCCTAGGTCTCTCTGCTGGGGTCTATTATTTTCAGCTGGTGTAGTTGTTTATTCTAATGTTCATTCGGTTTAAACATGATTAATCTATAATAGGACCAGTTTCGTGGGGGGTATTATTCTCCTACTTATTCGTCTGCAGCGGAGGAGGCCCGCATATTACAAGCAGATATGGTTATTAAGAAAGCCTAGCTAGTTGTACTGCTCGAGCCATCGACTCTGAAATAACCACCCCTGAAGCCTTCTGAATATGGTAAACATACCAACAATCCAAATGCATTACTTTATTTCGGTAGAGACAGTATCTATATTCACAAGGTTTGTCGGTGTTCAATAAGCGCCAAGTTTGTTGTAGCGAAACCAAACGTACATGTATATTAGGTTCGTTCCCGCCCGAGAGCCTAAATAACTAGTTAAAAGCTTTCAAGAACTTCAAGTCCACAATATTTACAGTTGAAAATAACAATCGACAAAAGAAAAGGATGATATTCTAACACCCCATGATCAATAGCATAGTCTATATCACTCCTAGCTCTGTCTAACCTCTTCACCTTGTAGTTCAACAGGCTCGTGAAGGAGACTTGTTTGCCTCTTACTTGGAAGTTCTGATATTTCCCTTTCGTCTTGGGTTTGCGGTATCACTGGTCTCTTCCGCCGTCGGGTGGCCTTGTAAACCATAAAGCAGATAAAAACTAAGACGGGGACGCCAACTGACAGCCCTACTCCTAGCCCGATTTTGGCTTTTGTAGCTAGTCCAGCTTTCTTCTGGTCTATTTTATCTCGAGGCGGTTCTGCTGAAGAACTAGGTATTTCAACCTCTGTTGGCGAGGGTGTCGGGGTAGAGATGGCTGAGGTCGTCTGGGTTGGGGGCTTTTCTTTTGATATGTTGAAATAGTTTGACGTGAAAGTATTCTCATCTCCACGTCCAGCCCAGAAAAAGAAAACGTTAGAAAAGTCCAAATCGCGGCCGTAAGTTTGTACAGCCCAGGTAAAGTTTGTAGACGCTCCTGAGCTTGTTGCTATATCGTGACATTACTTAGTTCGTGGAATGAGAATCAGATTTGATAGTTAGATTATATGGTAGTTCTCATACTTACAGAAAACAACACCGCTATAGTTTGCGACACTCTCCGTGGGGAATTGCTGCCATATGGATATCTCATAATCTTTCAATTCAGTTATCCACGAAACTGTTTGCAGTTCACCAAGATACCATTGTGGGTTGTCGGCTGAATTGGCTGCTGGTGGATTAACAAAACGATTCTTGCTGTTACCCAGGGAAAACGTAACAGCTATCAACTCGAAAATAATAATAAAACCTATACTCCGGCTTGTAAAATGACTATACCTCATGATGGGAGATATACAACAGAAGGGATGATATGGCGCCTGTACATCACCTTGAATGCTGAGAAGAGAAAATGAAGAGTAACGAAAGTACAAGGCTAGCACATAAAAAAAAATAGAAAATCAACGAACGTAATTAGTATTACAAAGGATAAAAAGGGGGGCCAAGGCATCGGAGGATGAGTCTTCAGGCGGCTATATGTAACTTCCATAGGATTGTATCCCTGTTGTAACAAGGGCAATGTTTACAGCCACACAGGGGACTCTAACCAGGGAAAGAAAGTGAAGGTATGTATAATCATGCATTGAGAGAAGCTAGGGCCTAGATGGAATGCCTCTCATGCGTATCCGCTATCAATTGGCCCTTAAATCCCTGAGCCCTGCTTATAAATAAATACCCATGGCATGCAGCTAATTTCCGCTGACATTAAAAAGTAAATTTATTATGCAGATATACGCCGGGTTTGCCGCCCCTAGGTATAAGGACGATAGGCTGCACTGGCTAGTTAGTATACTGGAAATTCCCTCGCTCTCAGCTAGGAACACTCTGCCCGCCCTTACATTCTTTTGAACGTGCCCGATTTTTCAATAAATATTCCTTTTTCAAAATTAAGCACTACACAATCTAACCGTTTAATTATAAAATATATATAATACGATGCTTCTCTTCCAACAGACCAAATTATTTAACAGAAAGTTACCATTGCTCGCCGCAGCAGGAAGCTTAACATTATTCATCGGCATTTTGTATATCCTTTCTCGACCTAGTTATTGGAAACACCCCCGGATCCCAAGTCCTTATATTCGAGAGAGAGAGCAAATTCTGAATAACGTTTCAAATTCAACACTTGGAGTATGTTGGAACGTAACCAGAGTCCATTATAGTCCGTTCTGCTGACATACCCGAACTCCCAGTTCGAACGAATATATGTCATTAATCTCCCTGCTCGAACGGACCGCCGTGATGCTCTAGTGTTGATGGCTGCTGTGAGTGGCATCCGCCTTCACTGGATCGATGGCATAGCTGGAGATACAGTGCTCGACAAGGCCATACCGCCACCTGCATCGCATAAGACGAAGAAAGACGCAAACATCGGAAGCTGGAGAGCTCACCTAAACGCACTTCAAGAGTATTACCCCCCATAGCCCCCAGAAGTGCACCTCTGATAGTTAGGAACTAACCTAGTATCCTTGTTGAAATTAGCATAGTGGAAAACAACATCAGTTCGGCACTCATATTAGAAGATGACGCGGATTGGGATATTCGTATCAAGTCCCAGCTCAAGGACTTTGCACTAGCCTCTCGGGCTTTGACCCAGCCTCTTTCAGGAAAAGAGCATCTTGCTTACGCAGACCCGAGCTTTCATGATCCTAAAAAATATATAGGAATGCACAAGGATGTGGACATGAAGGCACTCCCTGATACGGTATCGCCCTTGCATTCTCCATATGGTGATAATTGGGATATACTATGGCTGGGCCATTGCGGAGTAGAATTCCCAGGTGCCGCAACTGGAGATATCGCAAGAAGCTTGCCCCAAGGCCGGGTTGTTTATAGAAACGACTCTACGGTCCCAGAGCATGAGTACTTAGTACTTGCCTCCAAAGACGGTGAGCTTCGAAATTCATACCCACCGCATACGAGAGTGGTCCACCACGCTAAGACACCCGTCTGCTCACTTGGATATGGTGTCTCGCAAAAGTCGGCTCGGAGGTTGCTTTATGAATTTGGTGTGAAGAAGTTCGATCGTCCTTATGACCTTATGCTCCGAGATGCTTGCGAGGGTATCAATGACCGCGCTGGGAATACCTGCTTAACCGTACAGCCACAGCTGTTCAACCATCATCGCCCGGCGGGGAATGGTAGTTTCCATAGCGACATCACCAAGCATGAAGGGGAGATTTTCGAAAAGGCATTTACCGAAATGATCAGATGGAGCACGAGGTTAAACCTCCCCAAACTTATTGCCGAGGATACGGACTTTGACGACCAGTTTCCAGACAAAAATTAGTGTAAAGTATTGGTAAGGATTGCATATCGATGAAGTTTTCAGGATAAACGGAGGGAGTCTTAATCTAGATGTGAATAATTTAACTTCATATGTGTTATTTATAGGGACTCCATGTCTGGTTAACATGGGAAAGAAATGTTCGATAATAGATGGGATATAGCATACAACAAGGCAACCCCATAGTCGCTGAAACTTGATGCTGAATCTGTAGCTTCACCGTATGCTGAGTACTATTGACAGGAAACACTCAGGCTTCATAATAGCACTCGAATATGAGTTTGTTGATGGGATTTCCACAGTTTTCATCAAGATGATAACGCGTAGGTAGCTCGTTACACTCTCTTAGCATCAAGCGTCTCTCCGCAAACTAGCAGTTTTGGCATGCCGTATTTACTGTATATGGTCTTGCGTATCCCACTCCTCTAGGAGTATATCGAATTAAACTGGCAGGCCGATTATAAATTGATCATGGCTAAGTCAGGGAGATATGCCAGAAATCGTTCTCGGTGCTTTTTCCTACCAATCCTTAACATAACGAGTGCATCGCCCCGATCTTCGGAATAAGCCAGAAACTATACTTACGCCGCACCCTACAGATGCTGAAATAGCCTACAAAGAGCCAAGGACGAGACTGTCGACCGAACGAAGCCAACTATATCAACGATCTCCCATTCCAGGAGCAATGTTACAGATGTTGCGGCTCTGTACTCTATATCTCCACACCGGACTAGAGGAAGGAGACAGTTCTAGAAGTAATATATCTGGCATTCAACAGCAGGCGTGTCACAGCTAGCAATGGCCATATATTTCCGAGGGGGCCGAAAGCACGACGTTGCAACTATCCGGCTACTCTCCGTCACGAAAAAATAACCTGTTGGTGTATGAAGGGGTGTGTTGGTATAATGGGTCCGGGAAAGATGGTTGCGGCTGGTAAAAGCAACATACACCTGCTGAAACCAAATGGAAGCAACTAGTCGTTGCTGGGGTATTAGACGCTTTTCATTTTTGTGTTGTGTATATACCTGGATTCCGTATACACAGAAAGATATCAACCTTCACAAACTCGATAATCGACTCATCAGAGAGGGGTAACTGATCAGCAACATATCCTATAAGCGAGGGAACGATGCTTTTATCACAATATCTACTGGGGATATCGTGGGCATTTGTTAAGTTTAAAGAGGCTGCAACTTTAGTGGATGGAAGATTATTCTTGTACCGCAGGAATCCATCACGTTGATTAATATGACGCTGTTACCAATATATAGTTGCATTTGGGCTTTTTGATCTTCGTTGTAATGTCCGCTTAGGGCTGTTAAATCTTGAACTGTGTATACATGCTGCCTGCAAGTTGTCACAGGCGGCCTGAAGTTTATTGCATCCGGTTGCTCGCAGAGGTGCCGCCAGGCCGTGTTTCAACATTCTATCAAGTAGAATATTGGTAAAAAGGCTTGATAAAGAGCCGTAGGGGCTTAACTGCGGAGTACTTTGCATCGAGATCGGGACGCACAAGGTCAAACATAGCTGTGATGGCTGGTATGAGAATGCCAGTTCTCGTATGCGAGAGTGACCAAGGATCAAAGGCAAGTCACCTTGGAGGCCGTCCCAGAAGGCCTGATCCTTTCTCCCAGCCACCAAGAGAGCCAATCGAAGAGGCAACACTGGCATTGTTGGGTTGGCAGACGGTGTGCCCATCACATCGTCCCGTTGCTTAGCTGCATATATGCAGGCGATGGCACCAGCGACCTGCCGCCGTCATTGGCTGCCATCCTGAAAAGAGACCCTCGTATCCTTGCTCGTGTGACTGCAGCAGGCATCGTCGGTTGGCTGGCGAGAGCGAATCAACCACCAGCAAGCAGACCAACTGCATACGGTTGCAGAGGAGCGAACCCAGCGAAGGCCACGTCCATAAATAGGACCAGGGGTTCCCGCTCTCGTCGCCCTCTTGTTTTCGAGATTTACTCGCCCTTTATTGTTGTGCCCCTTGCTTTGCGACTGTTTGTGTTTCAGTTCTTTACCCCTTATTAAAAAAAAAGCTGGTCTTTTTTTTTTTTATTCAATCCCTTTTTGATCTTTCGATTGTTTCAACAAACGCTCTGCCCATCGTTTTATCCTAAGAAAAAATTACTAAATATATACATCATTTCATCCCTCCCCCTTTTTTTGGCTGTGCCATCTTATATACTCGCCGTTTACGTGATTGTCTGTTGACTCGATATTTATATCCAACGAAATCGCTCATCTCGTATCTTTTCGACCTGAGCATCTTCTTCTTTGCCCTGACTTCACTTTGATCTTCATCTAAAAAAATCCACTTAAATATTCCCCGCCAAAGCACATCCCGTCCGCTTGTCCATCATGTTCTCAGCAGCTCGTGCCGCCAAACCAAAGCTTTCTTTGAGCATTTCTGCTGCCACTACCAACACGGCCTCTCTGTCCCTCAAGTCCCCAGCCGCTCTCTCCATACCCAGAACGCCACTGTCACCACGAAGTCCAGCTGCATACAGCACCACCCACAGCTCTAGACTCAGCCAAGCATGCTACTCGACGTACAGCAACTCGTGCAACTCCAAGAGCATCCTCAAGAAGACACAGTCGTCAAGTGGTGCTGCCGACAAGAGAACAAGATTTAACACTGAGCCAGAGGTCCGCTACCTTACGCCCATTGAAAACCATGAAGAGTACTACGGCAGCAGCACCGCCAGCATGTCAAAGGAGGATAGACGAGAGAGACGGTGGTCGCGTGCCACCGCCGGCTACTCCTGAAGTGAGCCCTTGCCCCTTCGCTCATTATCTATCTATCCCAACCCTATCCCCGACCTTCCCTTATAAGTCTACCAGACTTTTTCCAGCCAAGGGCTCTTCAGCGTAAGGTCCAGACACGATTCAACCACCAGACAACAGCGCTAGCCCCTTAGGAAGATCGGTCGGGCCGCTACCTACAGGCCCTCGGTATATGGGTTCCTCCATGACTCTTTGTTTTTTTCTTTTTGGTCTTCGTATAGCAAGCATACATGGCATTTGGGGTGCTTTTGCCGGTTCGAAAGCGTAATAACGCGGGATGGCTACTTTTTGACGGGTTCACGTTTTTTATGAGGTTATGATTATTTCTTCTTGCCCACGATACCTGCGGGTTTATTATTATTTTTTCTTCTCGGAACGGAAAATAACGTACTAATATATTATGAGAGAAGTCCTTATTATTCTGTCGTTAATCAAAAAATCCAATAAGGCTTACCATCTTCGCCCCTTGTATAACCAAGTAACCCGTTTTAATCCTACCAGTATCGAGTCTACTACCATATAACCACTAGTTATCTAACATATGGGAATGAAAGAGCATAGTTTATAGTTACGCCTGTGTTGGTTATCGATAACTAGCCAATGTTAAATTTAACGTCAAGATTCGAAAATGCGATTTAACTACAACTTGGAAAGAAACCAAACACAAGCGACTATAACGACGCAAGTATTGTCTATCAATGTCACTTTATCGTCGACCGGCAACAAGAACATTACGATACTTGGAGAGACGACCGGCATTTGTTTGCCCTTCATACCGGAGACAGCTTTTAACATTAGCTATTGAAACATCATGGTTAGCACACATTCCAAATAATTAAGCTCTCAGTCGGGGTTAAGAAAGGGATTATCAGAAGCAATATGGCGGATTCTCACTTCTTATTATAGTGACGATACCTCCGTGGCCATCGTTGAGAAACATGGCACCCGAATTAATGATGCTTCGTCACTTCAAACACCAAGACCTCACACAACACTTCACTTCCTCGCGAATATTACTGCTGATAGTCGGGAATATCGCGGAATCCACCCTATTGTATCACTAGAGTCGCATCAAGCGAACTTGTCAGATCTTGTGGACAAAGCACTTTGGTATCTGCCATCCGCTTCTGGTCTTAGCCACAAAGAACCTGATGCTTTGCGCCAGTATGCCTCCCGAACTATTCAGCTATCACCCGAGGGCGGTAAAGCCAGAGATACCGTTAACAAACTCAAGCCAGACTTCATTTCAGTTACCCGTGGACCTGGAATGCGCTCTAACCTGTCCGTAGGATTAGAACTGGCTAAAGGATTAGCTGTCGCCTGGCAGGTTCCCATGGTTGGTGTGCATCACATGCAGGCTCATCTGCTCACTCCGAGACTAGCGGATGCTCTTGATATACCGTCTGTGGAAGAAAATGATAGCATCCGTGCTCTAAAACCCGACTTTCCGTTTATATCGGTCCTAATTTCTGGTGGACATACTTTCCTTGCCCATTCAAAATCACTCACAGACCACAAGACGTTGGCCTCGACCGTTGATGTGGCAATTGGTGATGTGTTGGACAAATTCGCCCGCATGGCCTTACCACGCTCATACATTGACCAAAGTAAAACAACTATGTACGGGAAACAATTAGAAGCATATGCATTTCCAAATGGATACTCCGATTATGCCGACTACGAACCACCAGCTACGAGAGGACAGGAAACTAAACCCATCATCAACGCCAAATACGGCTGGTCACTAACCCTACCATACCCTGATTCGAAAAAAATGGCATTTACGTTTGCTGGCTTGTTTTCCGCTGCTCAAAGACAGGTTGATATCATGGTAAACGGGAAAGTTGAACAAAGAAAGAAGACTAAAGAGGAAATGGACAGTTTAAACCTTGACTTTCTTCCACATGACGGCAGAGTGGAGTTTTGCAGGGATTTTATGCGTGTGTGCTTTGAACACCTTGCTTCTCGCATTGTCCTGGCCCTAGAAAATGCGCTGTCTAGTGTTCCAAATACTGCCAGGAAGGAGCAAATTGAACCAGGGCCTTCTGTTAAAACAATTGTTGTTAGCGGTGGCGTTGCCGCGAATCAATATCTCCGACATATCCTTCGCGCATTTCTGGATATACGCGGGTTCTCTGATGTCGATATTGTTGCTCCCCCGTTATATCTCTGCACCGATAATGCAGCTATGATTGGCTGGGCAGGTATCGAGATGTTTGAGGCTGGTTGGAGAACTAGCAGGAAGTCGCAGGCCATACGGAAGTGGAATCTCGACTCTACTGCTGAGGATGGCGGTATACTAGGCCCTGATGGCTGGGTGCGCATCATACGTTCAGGCAAAACATCATTCCCCCGGTGATACCTTCCCGACGCACACAATGTCTGCAGGCTCTCGAACTTATTGCCATTTTCTTTCACCTACGGATGATATTGCTACTTTCCGGACGGATCGTGTAACACTTTTGATAAACAACTTCTATAGAAATTACAAAAGATGGGGAGAAAAGCTATGCAAGTAACAAGAAGAAAGACCATGAAAACAGCATAGCCACGGGTGTCAACTAAAAGAAAAAAAGGAGAAAAGAGAAATATGCAATGAAGCACCGTTGGTTTCGCATGCTTCGGTTGAACCCAGATATTCGTCTCAGAAAGAAACTATTAGAGAAATGAGATGGCGACAGTTATCGCTGAAAGAGAAGAGATTATTGGCCGTCGATATATTATAAGGAAATCGTGATACCAAAATGTCAGAATGCAAAAATGAAACCTCCCTTGAAATTAAGGTAAAACAAACACACTGAGCAATGCAATAGAACGAGGAAAGAAACGCCATGCGGAAATTCAGATACCCTCCCTAAGAATGGGTACAATAAGCGGTCGAAGCTTGGTAAAGAAGGATGTTGTTGCGTGAGATGATGGGTTATTGTAAAAGGTTGTGTATGCTCAGCTTTTCATCATCGTGGCTATCGTGGCTGCCACGACGACTTACTGGCTCGGAAGCACCCTGCGCTAGATCGCGCTGTCCCAGCGTTGGAAGGAGAGTTCTTGCACCCCGCTCAAGACACTATGCTCTGAATTAGCCTTCCCAGAACATGTTAGGGGTGGAATTTGTTGAGAAAGTGAATCGAGGCGGCTGGGCATCCTGGTGGAGAAGTGAGATTTGACTCAGGGGCTAAATTGGACTTACCAATTTTTCCACATCCCTCCAATCTTCACCCACGGCTTCAGCCAGGGGCTGCCATGTTTTTTCCCGTAATTGCATATAGTGGCTAGCTACCTTGTCCACTCGCTCATCATTCCAATCTGAGCCACGACGTTTGGCAACTAGTCGCTCATAGCGCTTGCGGCAAGCGTTTGAGGATTTAGTTGGAAAATTGTCACGTTGAATCTGGTTCCAACCATGGCCCTGGGCTCGGGCGGCTAGCAGAATCTCATCGTCCTGTGCCGACCACGGGGTTGATGTACTCGGAGGATGGCCAGGGTTTACAGGGCTAGCAGGCGGGTGGATGGGTAACCTTTCAGACATTGATAGCCGCTGTGTATACGAGGGGGGAGGGGGCATGGAGTATACAGGGGTCGCTGTTCGCTGCCAAGGATTTGCTGCCTGGGGTGCCATGGTAGCGGAGGCACCCGTCGCCATTCGGCTGGTATTCATAGCTGCTGCTGGGCTGACCGGCTCTGGCTCTGGTTCTAGGGCTGATGGGCTGGCGGCTGCTGCTCTGGTTTGAGAGGAGAGCGCTCGTCTTCTCCTGGGAGAGGGATATGGGCCAGATTTCTTCGAAGATCGCGCGGTGGTCTGTTTCGGCATCTCAGTTTTCCGTTTTCCTCAGATAAAAGGAGTTTCCCCAGGGGCTATAAGGAGAGAAGGGCTTCTCGCACTCTTGTGTGGGTAGAAATCAAAATCACCTCCGTGCGCCGTTTAAGGAAATGATATAAGGAGGGGGGAAGCAGGAAAGGGTGAGAAAGCCGTGGGCTAGATATATTCACTGATGTAATAAAAGGGCTCCGTGCTCCAGTATTTCCAGCAATAAGAATTCACAGATAGGATTTGATCGTGTGTATTAGAGGGGTAAGAAAGGTGGGAATAATCATAACAAGGGTAGGAATAGCCGTGAATCATAACATATATTATATTTGAACGTGGGTAGGGAAGGATGATTAAGTCGATATATTAGAAAGTAGTGGTTTGAGAATGATCGAAGGGCTTTCAGTAGGCGTCGCACTGGCCAGCCTTGCGAGAAAATGACCTACTGTTGCCTATGTTAGTCTAGGGCGTGTGTCGACCAGGAGGCTGCGCCGGCGCAGAAAATGTAAATGGGCGTATAAAAGAAAATGAATAATGGGGTAGAGCTTGCGAGATACTGTCAAACCGAAGAGTGTATTGGACTGCCAGATCCCAGGACCTCAAAAATGTCTGTATAAAGAGCAGATTCGAGCAAGAGAGCGGTTGAAAATGAAGAAAGTTTGGCTCTTATATGAAGGCAACGGATCATCTTTAATTTTTTTTCCTGTACTCCATCATGACGGCGCGCGCATGAGGCTTGTCCACGGCCAGAGAGGTTCTCCTGCGGTCTAAGCCCGGGCCAAACACACCAAGCGCTTCGACGACGGAAGAGGGGGGCAAACTAAAAACAAATAAAGCCAATAGTGCGTTTGACGATGGTGAATTGTGCACTAGGCTGGAGTATATATGTGTCATGGGTTTCCGGAATCGCGCAAATCCGCAATGCTTACTGGCCGGGGTATTTAATGTTTTGAGCACAGGGTAAGATTCATTATTGGCACATAAGCGGCTCTATGTGAGGACCCATTGTCATACCTGGCAAAAACGACAAAAACGAGCGGGTCTGTTAGGTCGGACCCTGGTCGATTCTGAGGCAGATCTTGAGTTATTAGGCCGTTCCCCAATATGCCAACAGGCTGCAGCAAGCAACTTGCCACGGTGTTTCCCGGCCCGGTTAGTGACTTCACTTCCGAATTGCCAATTCCGACGGAGAAGCATGAGATCGTACGCAACATGAGTGATGCATAACTGGCTGACTGGGTGATGCTAATTTTGGAATAAGCCTGGCGTTTAGGGTTGTGGTCTGACCGAGTACGAGATACGTTGCATCTCACAGAGGGAGCCTGCTGGACAGGTAGTTTGGTACTTCCCGGGGTTGTCAAGTGCAGGCATATAAAAAAGACCAGCATCTCGGCGGTTAGCGGTGGTTATGTCGTGCGGTCTCTCAAACCAATTCTCCATTGTTGGCATGGTATAATATTCTCCCTGTGACCGAGAGGCCATACTTCAACACTGCAAATGGAGGAGATATCAGCGCAGACCCGGCCGTGACCCTTTGGCCTTTGGTTGATATTAAAGTTGACGGACGGCCCGCTCCCTGGGATAGCGACCAATGGTACTGGTGGTTAGCCGCCAACCCACTCGGCCCGCATAAGCCAAGGATGCCACTCGTAACAATTTGTGTACTGTAATTGCCACCAGAGCGAGATCCCGCTAAGCAGCTCATCGTATATCCCAGCGCTGTTTTTCTTTTTCATGGGTGTGGCAAGGCAGCCACCATGGGGAGGGGGGTAGTTACTCCCCATACTATGTACCGCCGTCTCTTGTCGACGTGTAGATAGCGTACTGGGCCCGGACACCGAAATGGTCTGGCATAGGAGACGGAAATCCCAAGAGATAGCGCGCCTATATCTTGAGATGTGAGTCGATAGTTCCCAAACCAACGTCAATCACCACTATTAATAGATGTAGGCCGTTTTGCTATTGGGCCCCGTAGAGTATTGCCCCTGTACGCCGTTATTTTTGTCATGTATGCCGGGTCCGCGATGGATTCGAGAAACGCCAGGACGTGAAGACCAGGTTTGCCCGGGCCGGCCACAGGGGAGACATTGTGCAGCTGTCTTCCTCGATGAAACAATATGCTATGTACTCCGTATATGCTCTACCCCATCCCCCCCGGTCTTTTTGGTGTCGTGGCACTCTATACAGGTGTGTTGGTTCGTGCAAAGGGCTGCAGGATTTAGCTCGGGCGAGTGACCTCTAGCCGCCGACCTAGGTGCTTAAACATCGAATATATCGTGCATGATAGCTGGTCGGGGATCGTACAGCTCGTAAACAGCGTGATAAGAGGTTGTTATGCGGCCCAAATCTAGTTGCCCAGCATGGTCGTCCAATTGATAAAATGACCAATTCTGTCTTCTCGAGAGCAAGAGTCGAAACAATCAACCAGGAAACGGAATGTAGATAGTAAAATAAAGATCAATGCCTAGAAAAGCGAGTCGATGCAGAAAGAAGAGAAGAGAGGGAAAAAGGGGCAAATGGGGCGGGATCCAGTCAAAACGATTAATATTGCTTGCTATGCCATTTATCCATTTACGACCCGGTCTGCAGGTAAGACTGTTTCCATCGTACATGATAACTGAAACTGTGGAGTTCCCAATAATAGCATATTTCGAAACAGATTACTATCGTCAGCCCTAGCCTGTATATAACCTAACTGCCTCGGCATAACGTACGTATGGACATAAGTTCAAAGACAAAAAAGTATATAGAATTTTTCTGTCTCTGAGAGCCAGAGCTGGCAAATGATATTACTCTTAAGTCCAGCTAGCTATATTGCAGACTCCTACCTTCTGGGAGTTACTTATCCTCCCACGCAGCTCGTATGTGTGTATGCTTATAGGCCGAGATCTCCCCCGATCCTTCAAGCATCCCTAGCCGCCCTGGACGTTAGACTGCTGGAGCCCAGATATCTGCTTTCGCAGTTCAAGGAAGAAATCCTTGCCGTTGGCCATGGAATTTGCTAGGTTCCCCAGTTAGTTTCAGGTGTTTCTATAAACATAACGGTACCGGAGCAAGGGAAAAAAGGGAGCGTACGCTTTGAACCCCATGGTCCACTAGGTCGAACCGGGTTGCCATCTTTGCCGGTGGGTCTATAGATCACTGGCTGGGGTTCTTCAGGAACATCGGCCGCCAAAGGGTTAGCTAACGGGAAAGTCTTTCGGTATGTAACCTTTAGAGAATTAGCATACCACCCTGTCCTCCCTTCTTGTAATCTGCGATAGAAGCACCGTAGTTAGCAAGCTAGCTCCAGTCCAACCCCCAAGCACGGAGTCTCCACGATACCTTTCCTCAGAGCGTCCTTCAACTCGACGGAATTGAATCCTCGAACAGGAATATGGGGTTCACGCGAGGGGCCGCCCGGAGGCCCTGTCCATGCTGCAGTAGCGGTCATGTTGTTATTCATCTGGTTTCGGTGTCCATGACGGTCCTGCTGGTGTGAGCCGCTCTGACGGTCTCGATATCCCCCACTATGATGTCGCTGGCCCTGTGGACGGCCATGGTCATACCCACGGCCACCTCGCCATCTGTGACAGACGAACCAACCAGTCAACCAAAGTTCCTCTCCCCAGTAGAGAAGAAAAGAGAAAAATCAAAAGTCCCACGTACATACCTGTCATCACCCGCACCACTCATGCTGCACCAAAACGCTCTTGTATTTCACCCTTCCAAGGGGGGAACCGAAAGACAAGAAGAAAAAAGTTCCCCTTTTTGCGCTCTTCAGCGAAAGAGAAAAAAAAAGATGTTTTTATGTTTCCGCATCAGGAAAAGTCGCGCTTCTTTCGGCGGCCAAAAAGCTTGGCATAGGCTTTTCCTAAAGCGGCTAGCGCGCGTCAACTTCAACTCAAGAAAGATGAAGGGCGAGAAGGGATAAACGAGTTTGGATCAACTATTTACAACGCTACTGGTGGGGATTTATGGAGTTGGGCTCTTTTGAATATACGGGTGAGATGATGATACCGCGCGCCCGCATGCAGTGAAGCAACGAAGAAACGAACGAGAAAACGAGTACTATTGGGAGCTGGCACGAACAAGCACGACGCCACGCTTGGGCGGTTCATTTATTATACCTTCGATCGAATCGGTCATATCACAACAGAGGAAGGGGATAGAAGCTGGAAGATGGCCTCCTCTACCCCCAGTATGCAGCGGAAATCAACTGCTGCCCGGGCACCCAAACCACGACCCAGACCAGCGCAGAAGGGGGCTCGAAATACAGCTGTACACGTTCCAGGGGAACCGCCGCCAAAGAAGCTCAAGTATGTGCCCGGAGGCCCTGGAGGGGGCGGACGATACATCGAAGTGGACGATATAGACCCACCCGTCCGGGCCTCGTCACAAATGCGAAATAAGTCAGGCAAGCCTAGGACCCGACCTGCTCGCGATTCCCATGCCTCCTCGCGTCTTCCTCCCGCAACCCCTCCGGCTTCCTCGCGCTCTAGTCGCCCGAGGACTCAGGCCCGGAGATATAGTTCTGCTGCCGCAGCGGTGCTGGCCGTGACGCAAAGTGAAGGATACATGCCTCGTGAAGAACGCGGTTGGGAAGAGTTTCACCCCGACCTCGATATAGATGCTCAAATCGCGGTGTTCAGCTCAAAGGAAGTAGATGGGTTGGCGAACGGCGATAACTCATCTTCTAACGGAGCAAACTGGAATGGCTTTGGGAACAGCGGAGATGCCAGCAACACGCCGAATGGATGTCGAGGACCAAGTTTATCTCCCTCCAAACGTCAACTTGACAGGCCTCGGAGGGCGGATGATAATGCACCAGATAAATCCAAAGCGGCGTTACTACCAACGTCGAATCCGCGCGAAAAACTTACACTACCAAAGCCATCATGGGTTATAAAAGACCCATTTCTGCCGTTTGAGCAAAAGGGCGTTGGACAGCAGAACTATGTGGATCGTACTATGGCGAGTGTGGGTTATCAGGAAAGTGATGTATTTCTCCGACACGAAAGACGAATGATCCGGTTGTCAGAAGGCACGACAGACGGTGATCTCGATCTAGAACCACCTCCACCTGCAGAAGGGGATACCGGCCCGCCTATCCCGAATGCGGATGTGGGCAGAGTGGAGTATGATATGGATGAGCAGGATGCTAGGTGGCTGGAAGAATATAATATGCAACGAAAAGTCGAAGAATTCGAGCCTATCAAGCCGGCGATATTTGAAATTACAATGACCAAAATAGAGAAAGAATGGCATGCTCTAGAAAGACGAATACCGAAACCAAACCCTAAACCACCCCAAACCCAAAGACCACGTTCTAGTTCTGCAGTGGCGGTAAACGGTGAGAACCCTGGCTCAGGAGAAGAACAGGATAGCAAGTGCGCCGTATGTGACGACGGGGATTGTGAGAACGCCAACGCCATTGTCTTTTGTGACGGCTGTGACCTTGCTGTCCACCAGGAATGTTACGGTGTGCCTTATATTCCCGAGGGCCAGTGGCTCTGCCGCAAGTGTCAACTAATTGGTCGGGGGTCGCCATCATGTATCTTCTGTCCTAACACCGAAGGTGCCTTTAAGCAGACAAATACTGCTAAGTGGTCACATCTCCTTTGTGCAGTCTGGATCCCAGAAGTCTCCATAGGGAACCCATCTCTGATGGAGCCTGTGATTGAAATAGAAAAGGTCCCGAGAAGCCGTTGGAAACTTACATGTTACATCTGCCGCCAGAAGATGGGTGCCTGCATCCAATGCAGCAACAAGAATTGCTTTGTAGCTTTTCACCCGACCTGTGGAAGGCGAGCTCGTCTGTATTTGAGGATGAAACTGACTCCAGGAGCTCCCGCGATTAAAGATTCAAATGAACTTAAAGCCTTCTGCGATAAGCACGTTCCACCCGACTGGCAGGCAGATCATAACACTTCTACTGCCACCGCACAAGCCTTGGAATACTACCGCACCGCCATGCAAGGGAAGAAATGGGGAGACAGCCAGGCTGCAGCGCTTGCCATGGGACCTGAAGCCCAGGAAGGCACGGACACTAACGAGGCCGATGGAAGACCTATAACGCCTCGAATCACGTTAACTGTTGGCGGTAACAATAAGCGAAAACGCGCCAATACAAGGACTATTTGGAAGTTACCCTCTGGAGCGCCTGTCATACCACGAGTTGTGCTCGACAGCGTTGTTGCTTCCTTGGCCCGTTTCACGGTCCGTCAAAGGAAGCAGTATGCTGAAGATGCCTGCAAGTATTGGACGCTTAAACGAGAAGCTCGGCGAGGTGCTGCATTGTTAAAACGGTTGCAGCTTCAATTGGAAACCTTTTCGTCCATGGAGATGACTCGACGGAATTTCTCTGGAATGGGCCGTGCAGGATCCGTCCGTTTGGAACGACGAATTGACTTTGCGGAAAGGCTATACCACGACGTTGACAAGGTTCGAATGTTATGCGGTGAAGTGAAGAAGCGTGAAAGGGAGAAACTCAAAGACGCAGAAACTCTTCAGAGTATCATCGATATAGTATACTTCCCGATACCACCAATGCTCTGGCCCGTTTTTGAAAAAGTGCAAGCGTAAGTACACGTAAGTTTGCCTTCCATGTAAATCTACTGACTTCTTCACAGGTTGGATGGAAAGGGCGTGTTCTTTGTTGGCTTCCAGGCAATTCGATCAAAGTTAGAAGAGCGATATTATACGTCTGTTTCTGAATTTTCTCGAGATCTGGCACAAGTTTTTACTTCAGGAATTGGAGTTGCTTCAGTTGGTGATACGGCAGAACTGCAGATGCAGATTAGCGGTCGTGCTCCTGAACTCAGTCACGAGCAGCGAGAGAAGCGAAAGCTTGCCAAAAGAATCATCAAAGCCGTCCAGCCATTATTAGAGGATGCATTGAAAAGGGAAAGCGAGTTGAACGGTAAGCCTTATGAGAACGAGCTCAAGGGTCTCGATCTCATCCTTGAAAACAGCGTCGGCTCTCGTAGAGGTTCTATAAACACTTCCTCCGGAGAGATTACCAACACGTCCCTCCTTGCTGAGATGGCAACGCAACCGTTAACAAATGGGATTGAATTCAAAAATGAAAAGCGTCTCCTGGACTTGACGCCTAAAAGTGAGGCTACCGAAAAGCCAACTGAGTTGGCCAACAACGAGAAACCCGCCCCCGAAACTAACGGCGATCGGGCAGTACATGTTAGCGGTGAAGATCAGGATACGGAAATGACCCTAGATACTCCAACAGACCAGGAGAACAATGGCGAAGTGACCGCATCGTACTCAGAAAAGGTGGTGCCCGGTATAGGCTCCAACGAGATTGAGCAGAGCCAAACATCTACCCGGAAAGTGGGAGAGGAAGCCAACCATCAACTGCAGATTCCAGGCGATGAAACCACACCCCCTACACCACCTGCAAGCTTCTCGGGAGGCCAGCAGCTCCTACCGTTAGCCCAGGGCGGTATCCAGTGGTACATGCAACCATTCGACCCCATAGGCACCACCATACACGAAGAACGATGGACCGGTAGGGAACTGGTTCGAGGCATGAGTGAGGAACTTAGCGATATAGGCGAGGAGGAACTTCGTGACCTGGCCGGAGACAATGACGGCGTTGAGGGGGCGCTGGCAACGCACGCTGGACAGGACATCGCATCTACGGCTATGGGTGAAGAAGCCCCAAGGCCGAAAACACACAAGACACGAAAGCGTTGGCGAGGATTTAGATAGACCGTCCTATCACTACATTTTTCTTTTGTCACTCTTCAGTGTATTACACCTCATTTTTGCTATATCCTAACCATTACCGTCATGATAAATGAAACAAGTTGTAATATAATAATAATCAATTCGCACATAAGAGGGAGAAAAAGCGTGGGCCAAGTAAACATGCGCTAGTCCAGATCGGGTGAGAGCTTAAAAAGGATCGCCTTTTGTGAAGCTTCAGCTTTTTTTTCTCCAGACATCAAACCAACTTCTTTCGCCTTTCCCAGATTCCTCGTCTCGCACTCTTCACTCTCTCTCACTCTCTCTCCATTCACACGGTGCTGACCAGCCCGTACTGTTCCTTGTTGCTTGTTTTATCTCCCTCGTTAGCGCTTGCGGCAGGTGGACTTCACGGACCAGTGGCAATTCCCCAGAGCCGCTCTACCGCTCTAGAAAACCATTAACCATGGCTGACATGGAGTACGAGAATGAGAACGATCGGTTCGAAGGTAAATTTCTATGCAGTTACTCTTTACTTTATACGCGAAGTGAAGCACTAAGCCATGGCTTGAACAAATAGACCCCCAATACCGCCGACGTAGCGCGTCGCCCCAGGATGCCAATCGCTCTGCTCGAAACCGTAGTGCTTCCCCCAACGGCCGTACTGACCGGTAAGAATAAGAATGCCATACTACCGACCTACCCTTGATTATTTGACCAAGAGAACAAAAATAAAACAAAAAAGAAAGAAAGAAAGGAGAGCAGCGCCTAACATCATACAGAACTGAAGGAGCGGATACGCGAATGAAGAACACAGATGATGAAGAAGGAGCTCAGAACACAGGGACTAACCTGTTTGTAACTGGCATCCATCCTCGTTTGAGCGAAGCAGACGTAATCCGTCTCTTTGAGAAATACGGTGAGGTGGAAAACTGCTCCATCATGCTTGATCCGCATACCAAAGAGTCCCGTGGCTTCGGGTTTGTGAACATGGCTACTCCTGAGCAGGCAGAAGCAGCCAGGGAGGGTCTACAAGGTGAAGTAATTGACGGACGTACCCTGAGCATTGAAAAGGCTCGTCGTAGCCGTCCTAGGACTCCAACACCCGGAAAGTACTTCGGACCCCCCAAACGTGGTACGTTATTGTCCTATACTAGGAAAGTTGCCTTATGGCGGAAATGTGCTAAAAACGAATACCAGAACTTCGTGGACACAGTCGCGGCGGCCGATACGACCGCTATGATGACCGTCGTGGTGGATACGGCGGTGGTCACGGCCGCCGTTATGACGATGGCTACCGCAGCTCTCGCTACGATTCTTACAGTGACCGTAGCAGTCGTCGTGATTACCGTGATGACTACGGCCACAGAGGTGTTGACCGTTACGCTACATCAGGTCGAGATGATAGGTATGGAGACCGCGGCGATCGCGGTGACAGAAGTGATAGGGGTGACCGTGACCGTGACCGGGGAGATCGCCGAGGTGACCGCCGTGGTGGAGGATATTACGACCGAGATGATGCTCGAGCACAGTCTGCTTCTGGTTACGCAGATACCCCTTCTCATCGTGAGTCTTATGAGCCTTCTGGGAGTCGAGCTTACGATAACCGTTGGGACGATAGATCCGGCCCCCGCTAGGTAGGTATCCCGCGCGCGCTTGCAGGCCCTTTACAACGACACTCGAGTTTTGGTTCAAGTCACGCTTGACCCCTATTAGGCTTGCTTCCTGGATCGATTCCCGTTTTCATCTTTGCTTATCTTTTTCTTCTCTGGTTGTCATCCTCTGATTCTACTACTGTATTCCACGTGGTTTATTGTCGGCATCTTCAGCTGGGATCGGTACTTAATCGGTAACGGCGGCGCTTCTATGTTTGTTACACATTACCTTTCGCCCCCACACTTCTTGCATGGCTTCGACAAATTTCGAATGGCTCACGGCTTACGTTTGAGGTCGAATGTCTGTTTGACATGTCACTCGTTCGCTATAAAACAGCTTTTCCTTTTCATGTCGCTAAAATCTCGAAGCAAGGCGGCGGAAAACAGGATGTCTAAACGTTGTAATACCTTCGGCTTTTCTCTTGTGGGCAGCAATATCTTCCGCACCATTCTCTCCTGTGGTCCTCATCGGTAGTCAGCTTGTTTCGCCGTATTGCATCTCTTCACACAAATTGAGGTAACGACTCCTGCAAAATATCGGCCCGGGAGTGGCCTTGACGTTTCCAAGAACATTATCAAAACATTTCTCAATTTCTTCAACGCTACAAAATCCTACAACTGGGAACCCGGCGCTTTTCGTCTCTCACGCTTCTGTCACTACTCGTAGTTATGAGAGCCGATATACTCCCTTCGTGTCTCTCTGGAACTCCCATCCCCTTGTTATAATGGTTACATAGTTGCAGGGAAAGGATACTCTATATCCTTGTTCCTCCTCTATTGTGATACATTACTTGCCCGAGCAATGGTCTTCAAGCTACCCTCTGACAGCTGTCTTATATATCTCTGGAATGACAACTCCAACTGTAACAGACATCTGGTAAGTGTCCTCCTCTTATGGTACCCTTACTAATGTGGAATTTATTGGTGTACTGGCTATGGGCTAGACTACCCATAGCACATAGGAGATCATCGTATATCAAGTAACCGCGCAAGAGTTTTTACCTTGATGGAGGAGAGTTACTGATTTATTCGGTTTTTGGGGCAGAACAAACCCCTTACACGTCTCCCCTCTACTAACTATAGTGCTACTAAAATGGTACTATTGCGTTTCCTATGGGAATGGCTTACTACTGACAAGCAAATACTACCTGTTATAGTATTTCAGCCTTGAGGGAATGTAACAAATATATATTATTGCTTCAGCACAAATTGTTGCGCTTAGCCCCTATTTCCTTACCGCATAAATTTATAGCTGCTTCTATAAATTGAAAACAAAACCAAAACTGTACGGCATGGGTATGTATGCGGTTTGTTACATTGATAGAATCTCAACGCAAAACTCTGGCCTTCCCTAGGCAATTGGAACTAGTTAGCTGGTATCAATCCAGCATTGCGGTGGATAAACCGCGGCCTTATGAATATACTTTTGAGCACATCAGGTTGTCGACTGTTCCCTAGCAGTCTCCCCAATTTCACCGCTCCTTTGTATGAGGTATTCCCCTAACACTTGTAGCGGGTTCATAGGTCTAGAAATAATGGGACATTGTGTTAGCATTATCTAAAAAAAAATATTCCAACATGGCTCTATACAGCTAAACATAAATGTACAACTTACTGGTCTTTGGCTACCATCTTCATACCCTCAAGAAGATATGGGACAATCTTTTCATTCATGTATATACGTGCTGGAGCACCAGTAGCATGGGCTTGCGGGGTTGCATTCGCGCCGCCTATTCCCCCAGCACCGTTTCCCCGATAAGCACCTCTTGTTTCATATCCACCGCCCATGATGATATCCCGGTTATCGTGGTGTTTATTTGTAGAAGACTCGTTGTCTACGGATGGGGTGACGCCGCGAGAGGTTGTTGAAGCTGTTGTTGGCGGGGGAGGAACACCAGCAGTAGGTTTAGGGGTGGAGTTTGATTCTAGAGACTGAGATATAATGCGAGACCCAGACGATTTGGGGGTGAAATAGGTCAGTTTCTTTCCTGTAAGAGAAGTAGTGGTGGGTGGGGTTGATAGGGGTATATTATTGTAGTTTGACAGGAGTTTAAAAAGGTCGTGGTCCTTCAGTGGTATTACTTATGAGGTTTTATCACATACAGTGTTATCCTGCATGGTAATTGGTTTGTCTTGCAGTGTTTCTCCATTGTTCTGTTTCTCCGGGTTTTGGAATCCGGCGCCAGAAGGAAGCGGGTTGCCTCCAGGCAGTTGTGATGGAGCATCGGCCATGGAGAATAGTAATACTATTTAAGATACCATCACCCTCAAAAACGTATCTCTGAGGCCACCTCACTGCTACAATTGGGCAGTTTCCTTTCTCCCTTCTGCTCGTTGTTTTGATATTATTATTTATTTATTAATATTGCGATTTGATTAAAGATCGAAGGTTGAGAGATGGAATTAAAGACAAACATGACAAACAAGTTTAAGAGGTATCCTGCATCATGTGACTTCGTGTTGCCAACGCGTCGTTTTCTGGACGTCGAAAACGAAAGTTACGAAAACTGAACGTCTACACCGGGGCCGATGGGCGGAATGCGGTGATATCAGTTCGATCTGTGGGATACTCGAGTGTGGATGGTTTACTCGTCCTTCGTTCATTTTGATAATGTTAGAACTACGCACCTCACAGCCTAAACGAAGACGAACTTCCGCAAGTCCAGACGATTCTGTGTCAAGCAAGCGATCAGATTTAGGCATCGAGAGAGATGGTTTGGTTCCATCTGGATCTAAAGTGGCAGATGAAGACCAGGAATTGTTTGATGACTCCGGGCACAATGATCAGGAAGCGGGCTTGGAAGAGTCTCTCCCTCCCCTAAAAACGGACGAAGATGCCATCGAAGAGTATGAACAGTGGAAAACCTCATTGGATACTGAAGATCAGCCTGTGACGACGCAGCAGAGATTTGACCAAAGAAAATGGATTAAAGGAGAGAGCTCTATCTATGTCGATGCCTTCAACTACGCTCTCGATAGCGTCCTAGAGGATGAAAGCCATCTCTTCATCGAAGCAGAGAAATCCGTGTTTGATTATTGGAAACGGCTATGCTATGAATCTCAATACCTGTCCGTTTCTTAATCCCTTGCATATATCCTTATTCTTCAGTTTCGGGACTGTCGAATATACCGAACATACTATTGACAAGTAGAGTTTAGGTATGTTCGACTGTTTCTACGTAAAACAGCCGCCTGGCATCGTGTCAATAGATTGGGTTACTATCGAGACATTGCAGATATACCAAAGGCTGTCGCTGATCTTCGGAAGATAAGAAAATTACCAAAATCAAACGGTGATCTAGTTTCTACTAGAAAAGGACTAGAAGTGCCTGTAACTGCACTTGGCAATGAGTTTAAATTTGCGGACGGTATGGAGGAAATAGAGACCATAGAAGAGGCATCCTCGTTACTCCTGCTTGACGAACTGAAAGCCTTAGCAAAAGCTGCGAAAATACCAGGCAAAAACAAGAAAGATCTGATAAAGGGCCTGTGCAATGCAAGCAGCAGCCAGACGGGACTAGCTTGGATTTCACCCTCTGATGCAGAAAGGGAGGGAGATACCGATGCTACATCTATTGGGCATACTGCTGGTAATAATAAAACCGGGATAAGAACTGCATTCTTCCAGAAAAAGATCTTTGACTGTACTGGTGATTGCATACGACTCTCAAGTGGCCCCCTGAAACTCTTCGAACGTGTCCACTTGGTCTTTTACCGTTCTACCCAGTGGTCAGAAAAGTCCCTCATATCAATAATACTGGCAAAAATATCTAGAAAGAACTATCCAAGCTATATTGTCAGTCGGTCAAATTCTATATTTCCCTCCAGGCCTGATTTGCTCGAATTTGAAGCGGCGCTTCGTACGCAGTTTGATATGGACAAGGAAATGGAGTCTAATGGCTCATCGATTGACGAGAAGATAAAAATCGTCAGGCAAATTGCGGAGGCAGTATATCCTAGGTGGAAGGCATTACTCCGAGAAGAGCAATCGAAAGAAGAACGGTTGTACGATTACGGAGAAGGCGCATATCTACGCAGATTTTCTCCTGCTTGGGTGTACACCCGGATCATACATAAAGGCCTGTGGTCTCTTGGGCGCCTTAAGGAACATAAACTAGAGCATGAAACTTTGAAGGAACTGCTAGATCAGCGTCTCTTTCATTCAGCTAGGCGAGGGACTTGGTATCAGCGCAAGGCGCTGCTCGAAGAACATTATATGTGGTCACTGGACACCAGCGATAATCTCTCTGATGATGGTCGAAAGAGAAAATGGAGGCATCAGGCCCTTCGTACTTGTGAAGACGGGCTTCGAGACCCAGATTGCCATATAATCTTCCATTATAATCTACAGAAACGAATAACGAAACTGGAGAGATCCCTAAAGATAGCGAAGCGGGAACAGCACGATTTTTCCCATGTCATGCTCGCGAAACCTGAAGAACGGACCGTACAAGGAATCCGCATTGAAAAGGAACTTCCAGTAAAACAACTTAATGGAAAATCAGCTGGCAACAATGATGTGAAAGTCAAAGGCCGCCCGACCGTTTGGGTTGATGAAAGGGAAGGAGGGGGTGAATGCAGAGTTGAAAACATGTGCCTTAGTTGGTATAGAGATCATGGATGGAAAGGCTTCCATTGTGAAAGCGGTATCCTGCGGACTCTCGTGAGTTGGGCCAATATCTATCATGATTATCCGTAATTTCCATGTTACTAACTCTTTCCCGTCAACTAGTTTGGATACCTATTCTACGATATTATGTTTACCTACATCCCAAATGTCTTTCAAACTCCATTCCAAACCTGCCCCTTGGATTTACATACAGATTCATTCTATTCCTCTCGAGTATCTGAGATTAATTCTAGATTGGCTCAAATATCAAATGGCGAAGCACAAAATATTATCTGCGGAGTCCATGAACGTGAATCGTCAAAACAAACCTGTGCCATTGGCATTGACTGGTCCTTCGCACTCAGTGATCTTATTGAGATTGCCCAATGTTTTCGAGGTGAGGCACTAGCAACTATATGCCAGGTGATGGCGCAAGAATACCAACAACGCGGTGGAGGTATTCCAGACCTTTTCCTCTGGCGTATGGATACCAAAGAGGTGATGTTTTCGGAGGTCAAGTCCGAAAGTGATCGTTTAAGTGATACTCAACGACTTTGGATTCATGTGCTTACGGGGGCTGGCGTGAAGGTCGAACTGTGCAATGCTGTTGCACGCGAAACCAGGTATATCTAGCACTATTCTGGATAAAATTTAGGTACATTACCCTGCATATACACTTATTGGACTAATATCGACTTGACCTTTGCGTATTATGGTATTCGATTTTGTTTCATCATTCGTAATTGCTAGTAGCACATATGGTAAGAGAAAGGTAGCCAGGAAGAACTTAATTCATTATGAAGATAATAATCTAACGCTCAATTCCTGCGATTGTAGAAGGATCCGCTCAAGTCCATACAAACTCCAGGCACTTCCGCCGGGTAGGGTTGATTGGAATGGCCATATCCTTAGTTTAGACCCACGCCATGTTGATTTTGCTTTTTTTTACACCCATATTTGTAACTGGTCCATTGAATTCGTAAATGTTATGGAGATCGCTTATGCGACCATGGTGCTGGCAGTGGCACTCTCATATTTCCAGGTTGGTGGGAGGACACCGACGGACTTGTAGTAGCGGGAGAGACGGTGGATACGGGACTCGATCAGAATAAGGCGGAACTTGCTGTCCTTGTCCTTGCGGTTGCGCTCAAGGTGCTTGCGGACAGCCACAGCCTAAGAACAGCGGGGTTAGATTCGGATAAATTAATGATTTACAACGAGAGATAGGGGTAAAATACCTTTCTGATCAACATGTAAAGGTCCTCTGGGATTTCAGGGGCGAGGCCTATACAAGTTTACAAAAAAAATCACTCTGTCAGCCGACCATGACCAAGCAGAGGCAGTGTTGAAAGACCATGTTCCTGGAGGAGCTCTGGAAAGGTTCAATCATTATTTACTTGTGAGGCGATCAAGCTTAGAGAATGTTCAACGATATCTCACGTTGAAGCGCTTCCCTAAGGATGGATCGCCTCACACAGGGGATCTTATATGTGAATTCGTACCGTTGGACTTGAGGATGCGGAGGATCTTGTTTCCTATATTGGCAAAAATCCGTTAGATATAGAAGCGCAAAGCGAGTTTTGTAAAATCGTAGGTAGAGATCCAATTTCAACCATAAACATACCAGTAACAACCTTGACCTGGGCGATGCCGTGGCTATCACGGAGGACAACACCGATCTGAGATGGAGTGGCACCCTTCTTGGCCATCTTACAGATTTGGTCGACAACCTGCTCAGGAGTGGTCTTCACCCAGGCGGGGGCGGTGCGAGAGTAAGGGATGGCAGAGGCAGAAATGCCCTTGCCTTTGCTGTGAAGACGACCCATTTTTGATGGTGTTGGTGGTGCTGGCGAAGAGCAAAAGTTGGCGATATGTGAAGCGCTGTCAATGTCGAAAAGTTTTCGAAATCTCAAAATGAAAAAAATATTCCTTCGTTCGTCAACTTTGGCGATGTGCGATCACGTGATAAGAAGTCGCTTAGGTCGCATTTACTTTATTAGATAATAAAACTTATTAATCAATAAAACTTCACGTGATTCTAATTTCCAACTTTGATCAACATATAAAAAAAATGTAAAACCACAGACAAGAAGACGAAGAGGAAGTGTGAGAGAGTATATGAGCTGTATCAAAAGGATATATCATCTATTTCTGTACCACCGCATACCAGCAGAGACCCAATATACCGCCAATGGCAATGGCAATAGCGGGGGGCACTTTAAACCAAGCATTCTCAGCATAGGTTATAGCCGCCACGACCACCCAAAAGGGTTCCATTCCAAGGCTTTGGCCTTGGGATGCATTAGCACTCAGATAGCCAATCTCCCACAACCGATATACTGCAGTGAATACCAGCCCAACTGCAGCCGAGTTCATTCCCCTAAGACAGCTACTTGTAAGTGGGTATCTCCGCAGGACACTCCAACAACTCTGGAACCCCACAGCCAGGGCTAAACCAGGCACATATATCGCAACGAATGACATGAAAGAGCCTAAAACTATTGGAGAGTTCACAGAGGCTACTGCGAGTCCACCTAGATATATAGCAAAATTGAAATTCGGCCCGGGAAAGGCTTGGATGAGAGCTAAACCGATAAGGAAGTCTCGTGGGGAAACCCAGCCAGGCCCAACGACATACTCACGAAGCAAAGGGATGACGACAGGCCCGCCGCCGAATATCACTGTCCCAGCGAGGTACATATTGGAGAAAAGGGCAAGGTCGAGAGCTGGCTTCTCCATCCTCTGGCGCACTACGAGTATGCCGATAAAACTTGCTATATATATATCCATTTCAGTTATGATATTCAGGGGCTGAGAGGGGGAGGGTCCATTTTAAAGCACGAACCGAAGAATAAAACGATAATCAGAATACCCCATTTCATATGCAAGGAATGAGAATGGGTATCCATAGGTTGACTTTCAATGCTGCCAATGAGGGTACTAGGACTATCGGGCACAATGGTTGAGCTAGCTGAACTTCGAAGTCGAGGATGATCACCTTCGGCTTCTTGTTCCCTTCTGCCTGGGATATTTCGCCGCTGTAGTGGTAAAGTCTGGTGGGGATGGTTTAATCGGACCCCCACTATATCATTGCCTGCCTCAGCATCACCCGTGCGATTTAGGCGTCTTCGGCGAAGTTTGAGTTTCAACTTTGTGATGTTCGGTTGAGCGATCAGATCCCATACTGCGGTCGTGCAACCGCCAATCAATATAAGGATCGGGAAATACCATATGGCTTGGTAGCACAGGCCAGCAGATCCACCAAAAATAACCAGAATTCTGGTTATTCTATCTTGAATAGACTTCTCCGCTAGCTAAAGATCAGTTAGCTTCTGGCTTTTTTATATTTCGCCTTTTTGCTGCTGTTTAATTCAAAGGAAGTGGTGCGGTTGTTATACCTGGACTGCTGCAAGGGCGATGATACCAACGGTTGATGCGTTTAAACCAGAAAGAAAGGCATATACCATAGTTGGAAGATTCTGGTCTAACTTTGCAACTCCAAGGGCAAGGCCAAACATTCCAATGGCGCCAGGAAGGCTATAATATATCGATACATGTCAATATTATGAACATGTAGGATCACCATATAAGGGGATATTATGGTTCAAATTAAAAAAAAGGGGGGGAGGAGGAACGAACGTCCATATGAAAAAGGTAAGCACTGCTGGGAGAAAGCCTGCATGTATCATCGTTATGCAGAAGAGCATCTTTGTGCTCCCAGGCCCAGGGAGAGCTTGACTTATCGCAAAAAGCTCCTGGTACTATACAGCGCCAGTTCCACGTTAGCTTCAGCGTCTACAGAAGGAAGTGAGATGTGACAGGTCCACACCGTTTGCTCATCAACCCATGGCACCCTTCCACCTGCATCCGACACAAATCGCCGATAAAGGGTTCTAAAGTGCACTGGTGGTCCGCCAAAAGAAGTGAATCCGAGATCAAAGGTTCTCTGGACAACGTCGAGCATTCGACTCTGAAGTTTGCCCTTGTTTGGTTCATAAGCAGCCTGGCTGGGCTCGCTGGGCGCTAGGCCACGTCTAAATACATTAAGAAAGGCGTCCAAAGCCATGGCAACAATCTAATCAAATGTATGGGCAGTGGATGATCAGATAACGACTACTACTCTGAAGCTGGAGAGAGAGGGGAAACCAAGGGAAGAAATATGCCAGCACCGCATCTTTATGTAGGCTCTCCCGGGAAAGCCCATAGCGCTAGACAGTTGAATCGTGATATCGACCGAGTAGTTCTCTAGCCCTGTAGCGGCTGGAACGGGTCGAGTTTCCTGGGGTATCACAGATCACCAGACTCGAACGAATTACTCTCCTGGTCGCAAATATTAGGGATGCTTCCAAGTATCGACGTTCTCGCTGCAGGGTGACGATCCAGGACTCCGTGTCACGTGATGGTTCGTTGGCCGGTTTTTAGTTTTTGCCTTTTTCTTCCCTGACGAAGTTTTTTTTTCTCTCTCGCTTCTTCAACCTTCACCTTTACCGTTTTCGATCCCAGCAAGCCGCGATGAAGGGAAAGATGATGAATATGGCTATGTAAGTAGTGAAGGGCGGTGATCGCCCTATGCCCGAACTAATTATACTGTAAAAGGTATGTCTTCCACCCAAACAAGCCCGCAATCCCGCACTGCATACATATTTCTCCTAGCATGATGATACCACTCTTTACTTTTTTTCTGGTACCTCTTATGTCAGAGGCTGGGTCTTTTCTGGCCCAGCTTCAATGATCTTAATGGACTTCTGATTCTCTGTAACCGATTCTGATATTTACCACTTGTCTGCCTGCACACGGTTGCTAATGAAGTTCTGTGCTTAGGCCAATTACGCATGCTGTGGTTGATGGTTGGACCGCGGAGAGCCGTCCTAAAGATCCGTGCCATAAAGATTTAATGGATGGGTGAACAGATATAATGGATATACCCTCTATTGGTGTGATTTGTGAAACTGACATAAATGACATATTTGCTGAAAGATAGATATATCATTTCTTGGTATGTTCTTGTGCCCTATTGAGAAATCGGTCAATGTACGCCCGAGGCTTCGAGGGTCCGGCATTTGGCTGTCACGCCTTACGTTTGATATCATTGCTCTGAAGGCTTGGGGGTACTTGATTTGCGTACCCATATAGAATAGAGTATGTGAAATAAACCCATGTTTATAAAACGTTGTTTAGCCCTTGGACTATCCTTTCGATATGAAAGTCTGTAAGATCTCCGCCTTTATCAATAACCAAGCTTGCTCTCATCTTCGGATCAGCCATAGGCCGAAGTGCCTAGGCTCTCCCATTTGATGGCCTTGGGATTAAGTAAAATAACGCCGGCACTGAAGATGAAACGACGATGAATCGGACTTCCACTCGGGAACCGGGCCTTAATCTCCCTTGCCTTTGTGCATAGGGCTCGAACCAAGGAAACCGTTCGCCAAGGTCATCTGTTATGTCCTGCAATAATTAATAGGAGTGGCCTTGATCAGTGCTGTGGAAACCCAAGAAAGTATTTACCGTGTTCGAGAATGAAAATCACGCCATGGAGGATATTTTGTCTTCTTATATCTCCTAGAGCCAAGATTATATAAACACAAGATGAGCGGGTAATGAATTGCTTGGTGCATATATCTCTGTTGTTTCATCTCGGAAATTTGTTCATCGTGTGCTCAGTGCCTTTCAGCCTTGAATAGGGAGGAGGCTCAGGGCCTTTGAGATTCGATGTTAGAATAACCCTGCGAAATTCGTAATATAGAGATAAGTTAAGCTTGCGCAAAGTGCCTGGTTCTTTGACCCTTTACTAAATGATAAAGAAAATGAAGATCATTTATTATGTGTATCCTTGTCGAGTCTGCATCCATCCAGTGTCTATCAACTTCGTTATTGTAAAATGGCCTTCGCTACAACAACTAAACCACTAATCCGGTAGGTATCGGTCTTGCTCTGGCAAACGGGCGAACCCTCTTCTCGGATCCTCTAGCTGCCTGCTCGCTTCTCATGGCCCTCCCTTGTCCATGCGAGCATATGTATAGGTTGTTCAGCTGCGTTATTTAAACGAGCTTACGCCCTAAGGATATAGGCAAGGGGGTACATATAACATATGTAAGTTGTTCGTAAGTGAATGAAGGCATGATTGACAAGCAACCAGGAGCTTCCACGAATCAAGGATATCCACTGATTCACCGCTAAAGTCTCTTGTGGCTAGACCGTCACCAACATATACATGCACACACATACATCTGTACATAGTATGTATACGTGCCATCACCCTTCCAGGGATCGGGAGGATGTGACGGCCAGTCAGCCTATCGAGCCCTGGTTCCCCAAGTGCTGCACAGCTTGGCAGGGCGACGCCTTGCATGCAGCGTGAGAATTACCTTGGAGCAAAGAACGGAACCGATTCGTGAGAAGTAAGAAAGGAGGATGCGAAGTCTGTGCCATCCGGCCTTGACTGCTTGATATATTATGTATATATATAGAAGATGCATAAAAGCCACAATAGGATAATATGCGAGGGCATTTTTCTTGTTATCTTCTATGGCAAGGGGTAGGGGGAACCAATGACTGTACGCATCAACAGGATTCATGAAGTCGCGTGTTCTATTGGCCTTTTGATATGCAAGTCATGAAGGAACAAGGGAAAGGCTGTGCACGAGATTGAGGACGCGCAGACCGATAGACAAGGTAGTTTAGGTAATTGATTCGTCTTGATAATTAAGACTTCTCGCTGCATATGCACAGGGGGACGGGAAGACGGGAGGGAAAGGCGACTGTGCATACGCCGTGGCATGTTGGGCGTAATGTAAGACATAAAACTAGTCAGTTAACGATAGTTAGCATCAGGGCAGAAGATGTTCTAGAAGAGCGCTTTGCTCCGTTACATGTTGTAGTGATAATACGAAGTAGCACTCTAGATGGATTAGTCCGAACTATGTGGAGAGATGACTTGCAACAGAGCTAGTTGACACCACCATCATAGTTATCATACTCCGTAGAAGACTGTCTATATATATACAAAGGTAAATAATTTATATATGCGACGCCTGCTTCCCCGCCAGGTCACTCTTGAGTGCTGGCTACTATGGAGATAGTAATATATCTGTGGCATCCCCCGCACCACCCGACCCGTTATAAGGAAACGAAATAAAATAAGAAATCACCAGAGACTTAAGCATTTCCGAAACAACCTCTGCACTCCCAGGAAACAGAAGAGAAAACGGGAAACAAGTTAACATTGGCACGGGCTGTTGAAGGGCCTCGATCTTTGTATAATACGTAAACGACATATTTTTCGTCATCCCTGCACCAGAAGGATTATATGTATAATCTTATATGTGAGACGTGAGGCCTCAAGACGGTTATCTCACTCATTTGAATGGTCGACAGGTATGTAACTCGTTAAGAGCAAGCATTGCTCCAACCGACCGCTGGCACGGTAAGTTCTGACTGTGATGCTTGCACCTTGCCTATGTCGTATCCAGAAGGCCCTTATCTATGGCCTTTAAAGCGTTGCGGATACTTCGTAGCATGCAATACTACTGTATAGACGCTGCTGTGCCCTTCCTTATGTAGCAGTACACCCGCAGGAGTAGAGTAGAGACGCGAAGTTTCTGCATGTGCTCCGTGTACACGCACATGAAGTCGAGTAGAAGTACTGGATTTATCGACTGCTCGTTCTCAGCCGTTCTTGTTGTCGTGGGAGAAAAATAACCAGATATCTGGAATTCTGTGGCAGGGCCCCTTGCTTGATATTGGTTGCACAGCATCCTGTTTGCTTTGTCCCCCCGAACCAACCCAACATTTCAAGGACAGAATATTGAAGTATATATGTTTAGCCCTTAGTTATACAACGTTGGGGAAAAGCCTATGGGTTTTCTTCGCTTGGTGGTTTGTTTTTCTCTTATCCAGCAACGTGGAACTCGCTATCATGTATCCAACAGTGTCCTGATAAAAAGGAAGTCCTCAGTTGTCAGCGTTACACGGTTTTGGCCATTACAACAGGCTTTCCTTGCAGGTGGCGTTGTGGTCAGATTTTTTTTTATCACATTGTTCTTTTTTTCCTTCAAGATCTGTGGTGTCGGATATGGCGAATCTTGGTGGAAAGACAAAGAACGCCCCGAACGCGTTGTCATGTTTCCATCCCGACCACCTTCTATACATATACATACCTTTAGTGGTATGTATGTGGGATAGAGAAACCGAATAGAGCAGTCTGATTGTAAACCCTGCTTGCAGAAGTTAGAAATACAATGGTTTCACCCGTTAACCGAACGGCACCACTACAGCGACAGTTCCGTGGGTAGGACAATCGCGCACCCACGGAATCAGCTAAGTTCATGCTCTCTTCTTTTATGCGGATGCAGACACATGGCAAAGATAGCCCACGGGTTGGTTCCATGGTTCCAGATCACTTTATGGCATGGGAAAGAGACGATAGTGCCCGCCACAGATCCGATCTACCTGGTCCGTATCAGGCGCGTGTTTTGTGAGCTGTTCAACGAGGTTCTAAAACGGCGAGACACACCGGCAGACGAGAGACCGGCGAGCTTCTAGAAACCGCAAGAGACAAGATCCCATCCCTCCGTCGGAAGAGGGCATAACGGTCAAGGCAAGAGAACGAGATAACCCCGGACACGGCTAGATATATCATAGGAGACGGCTCGTTTCCGGCTAGACAACCCTATAACATCATGGCAAACGGGTGTTTTCTTGCTAAAAATAAGTATGTAGTTATGTGTATATACATAGATGTAGCAATACAAGGAGGGTGGCCGTTGATAGCATATGTAAGTCCTATAATTAACCCGGTTAGAAACTCTTATATCTTCTCTGGGCGAGCCAGAAGGAAAACCGTGATTGAACAGATAAGAAAAAAGAGGCTTGAAGACGGCGTGAGTTGTGCTTCTGATCGCTGTATCCGAGCGGCCACGAGAGAAGCCATACGTAAAGAGGGAGCAAGCGCCGTGTTTCTTCTCCCTGTTCGAAGAGAAGGCGAATATCCATAATTAATATCGATAGTGGCATTTCTCCTCCCCTTCCACGCATGCTTCTGGACCCATTCATGGGCCCAAGATCAATAACCCGGAATGCCTGTCGGACATGCAGCGAGGCCGTGTTTGTAGTTATTAACGCCAGGAACAAGGGCGTATCGTGATCTTGCGCAAGTCTTCCTGTTAGGCGTGTACTAATGTAAGAGGGTTAATGAAAAGAAAAAAAAAGAAACGAAACAGCAGCAGAGCCTAGACATGGATGCCGCGCCGGAGCATCTTCCCAGTTGGCAGTTAACTCGCGATCTAAAGTAGTTGGTATTGCGAAAAAAAAAAGGGTCTCCATCTTCTTCTTGTCCCATTCTGGTCTTGTTTCCAGGCAGCTTTTTTTTTTTTTTAACATGTGGTTTCTAGTTGGTTTCAGAGCCGCATCCCTTTTCTCCATATCGAACATCTCAACCCCCTGAACGTACCTCAAGGGGAGTGCTCTTCCCCCTACCCACAACGCCGAACCTGACAGACGGTGACATGACACTCTCGAAAGGCTTGTGAACCTGATACGACGGCCACATGCGGAATTTTTGTCCCTTCCAGTCGTTGTTCTTCTCCCCACTCCACCGCGGGAAGAGAGGGATAGGGACATTTTTTATTTGAGCGAATGGCTCCATCGACGACCGTTAGGGCCAGCAGAGCCCGTAAGGTACCACTAAAAGAAGAAGAGTGGCGTGGGCAGGCCAGCCAATCTTCCGACGAAAAGGTCAGCTCGGTAGTTTCCGCCCACCCGCGAGAGAGAAAGGGAGAGAGAGGGGGGGCTCATCTTCTGGTCGTCCCAAGAACTGGCGTCTGTTATCACCAAGCTATCACTCACTTACCTCTTCTTTTCACCGAGCCTGTTCCTGGTGCCATCAACTGATCCGCATGGTCTCTGCATCCTGGGCCGTGAGTGAGGGAGGGAGGGTCTACTGGTCGTGATAGGTGGACAGCTGGAGTCGTGAACCCTCGTCTTCGGCCTACCACATATCACACAAGAGGGACGTCCTTCTCTTTGGCTAAGCCTTGAGCGTTTCTCTCGTCCTCGTCCTCTGTCTGGCCATCTCTACGGCTCTACCTTCGTACAGTGCGGGACCCTTCTCTGCTTTTTCTGTGGTCTTCGCCATCTGTCCACCCATGTCCCCGTCAGAGCCCCCCTTCTCCGTCCAATCTGCCTCCTGGCCTGGCTGCCAGGGAGTCTGTGGTCAGGGGGCCACCCATGTCAACTGTCTCCTCTCTCTCCCCTGCCCGCTGTCATCCACTTGAGTGAGCTTCTCGAGGTCTACGCTCCGCATCCACATCTGCTGCTGGAGATGCATAGGTATACAAATTATAAGGCCCATAATTTTACCACAATCCTTACCCGCAAAGCTGGATGGATCGGGTTCTTATTTTCCCTCTTCTTTTCTTTTTCCTCTTTCTCACCTTTTTTTTTCCTTCCATGGGGGGAGGCGATCGTTCACTTACATACAGCCTCCGTTGATTGTCCCACCTGAGCTAACTTACAAGGCAACGCATGTTATTTGGTTCTGGGACAAGTACCGATCCGCCATCTTGACTGGAAGTGAGCTATTCTTAGCGGATGTCTTTGATATTATATATCACACTATATCTGCGTCTGATCTTGGATCCAACGGATGAATGGTTAGTGATTTTACCTTTACCTAGTACTGAGTCTGTAATATTTTTCCACTCTGGCCTCGACTCTTGCTTCTTCCCCAGGTTTTTTGCTTTTCTGCTTCTACATATACTACGCCTTTTATTTTTCTTTCTTTCTATACAAAACAACTACCCCTTCCCACACACCATCTACCAGATCTTCTCCCTCTATTTTTTTCCCTCTTCGATATCAACCACCCCCTCCTTACCACGTTCAGACTTTAATTGTTTAGCGCGTCTGTCTGCTGGTGCGGATTTTTGGACTGCAACCACGGAAAATTAAACAACCCCTAGCCGCACTCGTTTCGACTTTTCTTTTATTATCTGAAGCTTAGCTATATACCACTCTGTCGCTCATTTCCTCTCCTTGAGTAAAGATACACGTTTCCTCGCTTGGCTTGAAGCTCATCGGACTTGCAGTTTCATGAGCGTAACCACCGTCTACCTATCGATGCATGGAAAGGGTATGATGCTTGAATAGAAGAGAGAGGGGATACGCAGGATACGCATCTACATCTGGCTACCGAGAGTCCTCCCTCCTCCCGCCCCAATATCAGATATGGCAAAGCTGCCTCCAAAGAGTCCCTACCAAGGGGCATGTCCAGCACCATTCCTGCAGGAGAGCTTGTTCCCTCCACGGGGAGGCTGTATGTATACATCATTCAATTACCTTATTCTTTTTTTTTTGTTCACAGACCTAACTATCATTTGACTACCAGTTGTGGAAGGCCGGCTCTGCAACAGCAAATATACAGGGATATCGTGCTGTCTACCATGCCCAGTAGCCACATGGAGATATTCACCAGGTATGAACGGTTGACGCTCTTCCTCGCTAGCAATTCCATCGTGGGACATGCGATTGCTCACTGGGTTTATTGTCTGCTAGAATTCTTGCGCAAGACAGAAGTGGCCAACTGGCTCGCTATTGCGGCCTTCATTACAAATGCTCTGCTGCTGGTATCCTATGCCGTATTACCGGTCAAAGTGACACATCGTCACTATCTAAACGTCTGCTTAATATTAGGGATAATGTCATTCCAAGTATGTGCACCAGATCACACATATGTTGTATTCGGACTTGGACATCCTGACAGCGCTTTTAGATGGGCTTCATTATACCTCTCGGATCAAAACCGAAGTTATGCTACAATGAAATTACACCTAACGACATGTTTTCAGAGCTCTCTTGCGCTTGGTCCGGTGCTTTCGTCTTATTCGGTGCCTGGACAAGTATAACATGGAGTATGTCAAGACGAAATTGGCTGTCCGTATCAAGGAATGAAGTTTGCTAATTCAACGGTTCAAGGTTTCTTCCGAACATTATCACTTCACCTACAGATATGCTGGAATCTTGTGCTCGGGCAGAGATTCTTCCTAGGCACTCTGGCGCTTGGCTGGGCTATACCCCCCATGGGACTCACCATTGGCTTAGTCTTGACGGGCGTCTCTTACAGATTCGGAAATGTCTGCCATATTAACCATGACAGGAGTATAGCAGATTTTTGGGGCCCGATATTGGCTATTTCCGGAGCTTCGCTGCTCGTGCATCTTATTACCTTGCTTTACTGCATGCAGGTATACATCAGATCAGTATTTGAAGATAAGCCGCCTACAGACACGAGTTCAGCCTTCCCTTCCTACTCTGGCAGCGTGACGACTCTTACCTACCGCCAGACCTTTAAGCGCGTGAAACATGTGATGAAAATGCAATGGAGAGGCATTGCCGTCGTGCTAGTCGTCATGGCGTATGCTATATTCTTCACTTGCGTCTTCCTTGACCTTGATCATTCGGTAGAGAATACGCCGGAGAACGTCGAGGTAGTCAAACCTTGGATACTATGCCTTGCATCTACAAAGGGAGATGTCAAGTATTGTCTACATGAACATCAAGGGCATTTGCGAGGCCCTTCCGAGGGCCTGGTCTTTGCCGTTTTACTCCTCCTGACCTTCTGTGGCTTCTGGTCTGTTTTACTTTTAGGTCGAATCTCTATGATTCCCGGTTGGGCGCATTTCATTAGGGACAAATTCAGACCAAAGAAGGATTTTCCGCCTCTAGGCATTCCTCCAGGCAAGGACTATGCAATGCTTAGTTCTTCCTCTCGACACAACAATACAAAATCGCCCGACCCTCTACTATCTATGTCTCGCCAGTCGGACCTATCCATGACCACCTTCAAGGTGACCGGGGCAAAGGAAAGCGTGGAATGTACCAATGATGAAATCAAATATCCAAACCCCGTGATGAGCTTCTCCAGGCCTCGCCCACCAAGCGCTCAACGATCCGAACCGAATGTACGAGACTGGGATCCGCAGTCGACTTTTGCACGCAGCACTTCCATGCGATCCCGAGGCTATTACTATCCTGAAAACCGGGATTCTCCCTCAAATATCATATGAGGCCCCTATCTAAAACCAAAAAAAGAAGACCGTCCAATACTACTACTAGTAGAGGCTGTTGCTCGACTGAGATACAAGACGAACAGCCTACAGCCGCCCATGTAGTGGTAACTTACCCTGGCCTCATGGAGAGGGGTCCCACTCATCCCTTCCGCTTGTCGGCATCTCTCACCTCCATATCACCACCCTGATGGATCTGCATGATATGCATATACGTAGCTGCAGAACAGGGTCACTCTCAAAAATACCTCTCCTGCATTGGGAACAAAGAAATTCACCGAGCATTGTACACTACGCACTGCACTAGACTTCTACTCCGGTTTACACTCTTTTCTACCTTCTCTTCCATCGTCGCGGTCATCGGGAAGCTCGTTACACGCATACGCACACATACACCTATCCAGGGCAACATCTACCTTTCGTTTTCTATAATCTAATGTTCCTTGCCGGCTTCATGTGCCCAGGGGATTACGCTGTCATGACAACTTGTCAACTTTGGAGGCATCGCTCTGTTTTCATATCCCTTACGCAATACGCAATCACCTGGTCTATCGTTATAGCCCACCATCCCTTTACCCTTTTCCCTTTGACCGTCTTGAAATCTGGTATTTCCTTTTAATAAGTTTTACCATAAAGACCCGTTATCGATTTTCTCATTGGTTCCCCTTCCTTTTTTTTCTCATGTTGGGTGTTCATCAGGTTCCGGAACGGAAAGGGGAGGGGGCGCGATCGGCTAACTAGAATTTTTGTTTTATGCCCTGTTCACACGGTGTACGTATATGGCGCATACTCACGCCGTTGATGTCCATATAAGGAGGCCTCACCCTTATTTTCACATATCTATTTCAATGTCTATATTGGGCTTATAACAACGAATGCCGAATGACCAAATTCATTTTTAACTCTCGCTTTTCCGAAAAACTACGTTTGCCACCCGCCTCTCGCCCTCCCTCCCTCTCCGCTCTGCAGCTGCAACTTTCCGCTGGGCTCCATAATACATCTCTATTGTAGCACCCGTCTGTACAATGGGTCTCCTGGGCGTTATACACTGAGCGTATACATATACTACTCTCGGAAGAGGGACCGTTTTGGTTACCCAGGGACGGCAGCGCCCCAGCTGGTATGCCGATGGGAAACTTTCGCCGGCCTGCTTTAACTGACTCTAATCATTCTATGTATGTCACTAGAGCAGACTCCATCTCTTCTCGCTTATCCCCTTCTCTTCCGTCAAATATATCTTTCTCTCCCCGCTCTCCTCCCGACAATCCTTCGGCGTGCGGTATCCGACTTCAACATCCGTTTCCGTAACTAGCTAGCTAGTTAAACGATGTGCTGCGGATCAACTGTGGCTCTCCGTCAAGCAAGCGGAAGTAGACTGCGTCCATAGTATACATAGTATATCCGTCGCACATGTATCGCTGTAGCGGACTCTTTGTAAGTATTGGCCACACTCAATCTCAGTGTCGGTGAAGTCGCTGCGTATGGAATTAGCTAGCATCATATAGCATCCACACACAGTCCTTGCCAAGGGTAATGATGGAGCTTTTCATGTGGATTGGAAGAGGTGAAAAAAAAAAAACAATAAACCCGAACTTGGCCAGAGTATCCTTTCCTCCGGTACCAGACATGAAACTAGGGGTTATAACTGTTAATTATGGTCACGGCTCGTGTTGGGCATCGAGCGAGCGTCTGCTCTCAAAGTCCACATGCAAGTATAATATCCCGATTATACCTGCTCCATGGCTTCCTCTGCATATAGGTGGTTTTTCCCTTGTAGCCGGTGGGATAGTTAGCGGCTGACCGTCCGTCTTGCCGGGGTATCTTATGACATGGTTAACTAATGCTGACAGACCGTTATTGCAGAGAAGTTGCATGAACATACGATATGGGTGTCTGAATCTAGGCTTTAAGGAATGTTTATCCCTGGACTAAGGGATGGGTCTCGTAGCCTGGTTGGGTGGGTAAAGGAGAATATTGTCGTTGCTTGTTACATCATGGCCCGTAAAGCACACACGTATACACACACCCACGGTGTCTGCCGTCGGTCGATAGGTGTTGAGGCCGTCGAATCGAAATGCACATCCAGTTGCACCGGCACGGATTGACATCCATCACAGACTGTGATTTGCCCTAGACTGTGCTTCTAAAATGAGATATGTGACTTGTGGATGCTTATGCACATAATTTCACCTGCTCCAGTCACACGGTTGGGGGATCTCATCGAATCGACTCTGCATGATGAAGTTGTCGGATCCCTGTTGTGAGGAGGCACCCTGCATTGGTTATCATCTTTATATACATACAGCCCATTCGTGTGGAATACCCTAAATGAGTGGACCAGCCCTCTACAACCATGCAGAATAACTCCATGATACCCCAAATTTTCACTGCATATATGTAACTGTTCCCCAAAGGATTGTGCCCTGAGAAACGTCGGGTTGTTCGTCCTATTTATCTATGACTGGCCAGGCCTCGATCTACGGAAACCCTTTTGCGGACACCGGACACGCTAGCACAGCTTTATCAGGACTTTTCTATACCTCCTAACAGGCAGCTCGCTTCTGGAGACGATGGCTGCGGATGATCATTGTCTCACTACTTGAATACTCTATGCAGTCGGGAAGCGGGAATACACAAACCTGCGTCTGGAGCTACACCACATACCCTCATCGTCACTGAGCCCAACCTATCGATACCCCCGGTGCTCTATCTTTGAAAACTTACCGCGATACTTTTTGATAAGCTCCTAACAAAGAGAGCCGAAGCAGGCTCTCCGGGTTCTGCATCCTGGATACGACATATGTTAGGGTCATTGGGCATCGACGTCACACAATTCATCGACATGAATATGCTCGTCCATCACCGAAAATATGTATTGAGAAAGAGCAGATTAGATTTTACAGCGCTTCAATATTGTACACTGGATTTATCTCGATGATGGCCTCCTTCAAAAGCAAGAAAAAGGAAGTGTTCAGAACAAGGAGGCAACGCAAGGTAGATAATAAAATAAAAAGGCAAAGGGATGCTTTATACCACCCAAGGGTGGTTATAAATTGCCCCGAGCGATAAAGATCAGATCTGCAAGGTGGATTAAACGTTACGAGCTACCAGGCATTAACTTCAAAATTTTCCTGCAAGAACAGTTGGTTAGCAGATGAAATGGGATTAAGGAGCGGATACGGGTGGTTTGTACGGTGAGGTGAGGGACATGGGATGAATGATTTACCTCCGAGAAATAGGTAGTTACAACAGTGCGGTCCTGGAATTTTCGGCCAGCAAGAGCTTGAAGAGCTTTGGTGGCAGACTCTGCTGTATCGAATTTGACATATATCTTTCCTACGCCGGCAGCCTGTCTGCTACCGCCCGAAGGGCGAGGGATCTTCAACTCTTCGACTACGCCGTACTTGGAGCATTCGTCCTGTACATCTTCACAGATTTCTAATGAAAAAAGGTGCGTTAGTGGAAGTAATACACGGGGAAATTTGTGGAAAACATACCCTCATAGTCATCGTTATCGATTAATTCGTCAGCAGTTACCATGTTTAGCAATTGAAGCACTCTTCCAGTCTCGAGGTCCTGCGACGTGGTCTTTGCGAACATAGACATCGCATTGACGCCCATATCAAGGCCAGCAGCCTGGACGGTGCCGATGCTTGCGCGATTAACTTTAAGTCTTCTATCTCCAAGTTCCATACCATTCAGTCCCTCAACCGCAATTCCGGTTGATGCTGGATCAAGATATTCACAGAAGGCGATTCCCTAATATAGTCGGTTAATTATAATCTAATGGAAAGTTAGGAAGGGGGATAAATCCGTACTCTAGACTCGTCGGTTCCAACATCTTTGACAAGCACGAAGGATTTCAATTCACCAAATGAAATTAGAAGCATGGTAACTTGGTCTTCCTGGATGAATGGAGGGATATTTGAGACGCAGATCTTGTTGGGTGAGTCGGGTACGTTGCTCGATAGAACGCCCTCTTGACGCGGCTCCTCTTCCGTGGGCAGAGGAACAATATAATCTTTCGGTCTCACTATCGACAAGCCCTTTACCTGACCGTTAGATTCTCCGTTGCTTTCCTGATTAGCTTCATGCTCTTCCATGGTAATTCCATCAAAGGCTAGGGCAACAGTCGCATCAGCCGCAGTGTTAAATTCTAGTAGCGCGAATTTCCCATCCTTAGAGATCTGCACTGACTGGCATGGATCAACACCACTGATGACGTTTAACCCATTTAGCTGCAAGTTGAAGAACTGTTGAAGGGTATCTTCGGTTACGGATGGTGGAATGTTGTGCGCAAAAAGTCGCTTTGACTGTCGCGAATTGGAAGGTTTGAGAAGGGTATTGTTGCTTGATCCCGAAGCAGTAGGTGGGTTGATAAAGGCCTGTAGGCGGCTTGGGTCAACAGCCTGTTGACGCGGCGCACCTGGTAGCGGGAACATTCCCGACAGCTTTGCTTGTTCAGCAGTGACATTTTCATAGCCTGGAGGTTTGATGTCCCACTGAGTCAAGCGGCGTTTCCGCTCTAAGATTGGAACCACATCAGTCAAATCAGGAGTAGGCTCCCTCTTCTTGGGGGGTGGTGTTGCGCTCCGCTTCCTATCTCTCCCGCGACCACCGCCGCGAGATTTGTCGTCAAAGAGATCCCGGTCACGTCGAGACCTATCTTCATCGTCACCACGCCTCTCACGCCTCCTATCACTTCCCCTATCTCTGTCCCAGTCACCTCTATCATCTCGTCGACTTTGATACCTGTCTTCTCGCTCTCTAGCTCGGTAATCGCGGCTAGATGAGTATGAATCCATTTCGGTGTCTCGACGTGATGATCTGGAGCCATGGTGAGGTGATCTCGATCGTCTCCGCTCTCTGTCGCCTCTGTCTCCTCTATCGCGTCTATCACCACGATCCCGACGGTCGTCTCTGCCCGATCGGCTTCCCTAACAATCGGTCACCATCAGAAATTGGATCTTGGTTTTGTAGGAGACAAGTTGTCACAAACTCACATAATAATCCCTTGAGCGGCCGCTCTCTAAGCAATGGAAAGTTAGCTACCAATGGATACTCAAGAAAAAAAAATTTAACAAAATGCCATAGAATGAGCTTACCTCGTCCGCTATAACCTTCACCGTTCATTTTTGATACCTGATTAAAGACAACTTATGGAGAGTTGAACCAATGGAATCTGTTTGGCTCTGGTTGCAATAAAGCTCCAAGACACGCGCGCTAGACAATTCCACCCAGACAGAGATACAAGAAGGAGACGATAACGCAGCCAAAGCTGATTCTCCGTCTGTTGCGAGATTGTAGAAGTTTTGTCTGAAAGCCCATTCAAGCCAGAAGTTCTCGATGGCTCAGTTTAAGCCATTTTGGGTCTAGCTTGGCATTTGATTACATAACAAGCTTATCGATATCTTCGGGAAAGTTCAACGTCGTGAAGAAATAATGTGAAAAGAAGTACAAGTTCAACGCGCAAAACATGTCAATTGGCAAATTCTCGGAGTGGCGGAAGCTGCCGCTGACTCTGACGGAGTTGTGTATCGATACCACTCTTCGATGTGGACAAAGCTTTCGGTAAGAAGAGTTCTTGGACGCGCTTATGGCTACGGAGTTAGCTAATGGGACGAAGCTGGCGAAAGCACGATGATGAATGGACTTGCTCACTCTACGGACGCGTTCTGTCATTACGACAGGACCCAGATTTCCTTTGGTACCGATCATACAAACCTCCAGCTATCGAATCCGCCGCCCTTCCTACGCCCCCGATCTCTACTGTAGCAACTGAACGTGGCACCCCTGATGATGACGACACCGAGGCATTGATCTATCATTATTTCAATCTCGAGTATAATCTATCGGACTTGTATGAACAATGGGCAGCTTCGGATGCAAATTTTAAGAAGAAAGCAGTACAGTTCGCTGGTATTCGAATCATGAGGCAGGATGCTTGGGAGACTCTTGTTTCTTTTATTTGCAGCAGCAACAACAACATTGCCCGTATATCTCAGATGGTGAGTATATCGTGATTGTCTTCATTTCCCTTGTAAATTCATGCTCTAAGTTTCTACGGCTGCACAGGTAGAAAAGTTATGCGTCAACTATGGACCATTCATTGGTCAATTGGGTGACCAGAAATATTATGATTTCCCAGCTCCGTCAGCCTTGACTGGTATTGGTGTTGAATCGCACCTTCGGGAACTTGGCTTTGGCTATAGGGCCAAATACATCTACCAGACCGCAATGATAGTTGTAAATGACCGAGATCCTGGGTGGCTGAACAGCTTACGGAACCCAGAAAAGCCTGCTTTCAACGAGGAACCTACTGCACCTGGAGCTGTGGCTAGAGTTGAAAAGTCGGGATATCGGGAGGCCCATGAGCAGCTGCTTGCTTTACAAGGTGTCGGCCCCAAAGTTGCGGATTGCGTTTGTCTGATGGGCCTGGGTTGGGGAGAATCGGTGCCTGTCGACACCCATGGTAAGTCATAACCTTTAAACTCATATCATGGATAATGCATACTCACTACGGTTACCGGATAATACAGTTTGGCAAATTGCTCAGCGTGACTACAAATTTGGAAAAGGAAAACAAAAGACTTTGAACAAAACAACATATAATGCTGTTGGTGACCACTTCAGGGATTTATGGGGGAAGGAAGCAGGCTGGGCGCAGAGTGTTCTCTTTACCGCGAATCTCAAGTCATTTTCTGACCGTTTAAAACTCAAGGTTGAGGATGACAGTCAGTCTACTGAGACGCTAAAATTTGAGTCTAAAATAGAGTCAGGACTTGTGAAGAGAGAGGGAAAGGAAGACAGCGAAGACGAGAAAGGCGGGATTCGAGTAATTACCCGAATTTCTGTGAAAAGGGAATTGTCGGAAGGTGCAGATACAGGCCTTGGAGATAACCCTGATACCCTTGAATCCGCGCCAAAGAAACGAAGAACGCGATCATCAAGATCTCGGAAATAACATTCTTCAGCTCGATAACATAATGAGCAAATATGTACATTATTCCCTGGACGAGATCAGCTGAGTCGTAAGGTCTCGCAGAAAAGACCCTAGATGGTGACTGCCTTTGAATCCCAGATCTCTGAAACTTGTGTCATACTTTATTCCGGCTGCGAATGTAACAACGAGTGCCAAACCCAAGCCAGATCCAACCAATACAGATGTTTGGTACGACTTACCCTTTCGTCCAATGTTCTTACCGACAACCTGTATCTCGCTGGGTTTAAACTCGAAATCAGACTTGAATGGTATAAAGATACTGCGCACCCAATATTTCAATTGCCAGTCTGGGTACAGCATTGTATTTTTTCCAGTCTCCACATCGACGTACCAATTGCTGCAGCCAGACGCCCACACGAACCCCTTAATGGCAGATTGGATCCAAGAATTATCCGCTTGCTCTGCTTCTGCGGTTACTGCAACAGTACTACACGATTTTCTTCCGAACGGATTGAAGACCTGGAGCGGAGATTGGTAGAGAGATTGCATAACAGGCCGAATGGCACGAATCGCGAAGTTTATCTGGCATTCTGAAGTATATATTACTGACAGATGACCTGTTGCAGTGTTTGGACCCATCATGATGAAGAAGTTTGGAAATCCTGATACACAGGTACCAAAATAGGCTTGCGGAGTGTTATTGGCAAAGTTCTCCCACTAAATTTCTTGGAGTAAGCATAGCTGCAAAGTTGGATAGGGGTCAAGCTAACTTACGTGTTCGGTTAAAGAGATACCTTTCTCACCCCTAATTTCTAAGGGGTAAAGAACCTGCTGCGTTTGGAATCCAGTTGCAAGGACAATGGCGTCTGCATGGATAGCTTTCCCTGACTTGGTTATTATGCCTGTTTCTGTTATTTCTTCAATGGGGTCTGTGGCAATCAACTCCATGTTTTCTCGATGCAAACAGGCAAAATACCCAGTGTCCATGACCTTACGCTTACAGCCAAACTCGATCTTTGGTGTTAATACATCATGGTATTTCATTGGCGCGGTTTGTTTCAAATACTTTAAATGCGTGATGGTTTGGTCTTCGCGGAGGGGCCGGCCATACTCAAGGTAGAACTCACGGAATGAGTACTCTAGCCAGCTGAAGTGCCATGTTCGATATATCCACATTGCAAACGGGACGTAGCGCATTATCCATTTGAAAAGAGGAGTATACTGGCCATTCGGGCGTTCAATCACCCAGTGTGGTTGACGGATAAACTGAGTGAGTTTCCGGACTTTGTTTTCACCCTCAGTCATAATAGGGACGAACTGGGTGGCACTACAACCGTTGCCTTACGCCGGAAGAGGTTGATTCTGTTAGTTGGTAGCTTCAAGTGGCATGCATATGACTGAGCTTACCAACGACGATGACATCTTTATTATCCCAATTAAATTGATGATCCCATTGTGCAGAGTGGAACAACTTTCCTCGGAATCTATCCGATCCTTTAATATCACATTCCTTCGGAATGGACAAGGCGCCGACTGCAGATATCAATATTTTACACCGTCGATGCCTTGTGACGTTCGTCTTTATGTCTTTAACCATCACTTGCCAAGTACCCGTCTTCTCATCAAACGTGGCACTTTGGACCATGGAGTTACACTTGATATGCTCTGCAACAGTGTGTCTTTCAACGACAGCCTTGAAGTAAGCTAAAATCTCCGGTTGGAGAGCATACTTCATGCTCCAATCTGGATTAAGGTCGAATGAGTAAGAATATACATGGGACGGGACCTATCGAGAATTTAGACAGTGAAAACATGGTAAATACCTCAGATAATAGGGTATTATCCGAGGTACTAGAAGGATCACTTAGCTATTTGGGAACTGACATCACATCCGCAGCCAGGATAGGTGTTGGCCCACCAGGTCCCGCCAAAACTGTCTGATTTCTCTATTATCTCATAGCTAGCTTGGGGAAAGTCATTTTGCAGCTGAATTGCGAATCCAAGGCCGGACATTCCGGCCCCGATTATAAGGACGTCAATGTCAAGGGACATTCTCACATTTATTGTGCGATAGCGGCTTGTCTATCGGAAAAGGACTCGTACGTCTCTACTCGGTCATTAACTATGGAGCCGTTTGGATACTCCATGTCAAAAGGGAGGCAGAAGGAGCGGGGGGAACAGGTAGATTAAATAACTATTACAATAATTATTATGCTGCCGCTCGAACCGCCGTCGTCAGCGGTATATTTTGGACAAGGGAGCTGGCATATGCACCTTGCAACTTTCTGCAAAGGCTGTATTATGTACCACGCGACCAACTTCGCATTTCGGCAAAGCAAGTTGTTGTCTAGGCTACCAAGAGCGGAAGGTGTGCCGGGCTGCTCGGCCTACCTTCTCTCTGGATGAAGGCCCAAGCTTTCCCCACATTCGGCAAACTTTCCTTTTTCTCTTCCAAGCCTCTTTCGGATTAGTTAAGAGTAACGCCTGGCTCGTGAAAACTGGTGATGCATATCGATAACCTTCATGGTGTCATGGTATACTCAGTCCGTTCCACGGCCATGGGCAAAGAGATAAATCTACTGACGCTCTAATGGGTCTAGGCTTCTGTATTGCTTTCTGTGAGGCATTATCTGTTATTATTCCACTTGTCTATTAGCGAGGCATTCTCCTTTTATTACTATCAATGTACGAACCTGGACCTTTATGCAGAGCGCAAGCCTCATTTAAAATCCTAGGAAGGCTATAGCCAGTTAAGTTAGGCGAGGCTACCTGCGTCGAGTTCTCTGCACGCCTCCTTCCATGGCTCCAACGCAAGATATACATAGGGATGTGTCGCCGCGACCATAGTGAATAGTTCGTTAAGTATATGCGTAGAAGCTGGTCATATAATATAACCATTAGCTATCCAAGGGTTTGCATGTGCCAAGAAAGCCAGCTCTTTTTTTTTTTTGTTGGTAAATAGCCAACCTGGCTATGACCTTTTCGTTCCATACGTTTATTGATTGGTTTGCGTAAGCGTCTTTAGGAGAAATGCCTCGTAATGGCGACAGGGGACGTAAAACATACCATGATATGAGCTGGCATGATTGTATGCAGATAATCCTGGAATACGCCGTGTGTATCCGTTATGTGTGCTCTCCCTCGGAGAAAGGCTACCCTTGCACAAGGTTATGATCCTGGGAGAGAGTCAACGGCTGCTTCATCCCATTCCCACTCCTTTAATAGTTGCTGGACACGGTATTTGGTTGCCCACCCGAGGTCTTCCTCGATTCCACAAAGAATTTCTAGAATAGTCCTCCGCTCCGGAGCACTGGTCAAGCACTGGCCGCTTATAAACAATGGCTGTACGGAATGAACGCGTACCGATGCCTCAGGCCGGGCCATAGATATCCCACAGATCTCACGGCTATGGTTCTGAATATCGTTCTCAATTGATCGATAGAAATTTAATCCGTCTGTAACAGTGCTTCTTCGTGCAGTCGACTTGTGTGGTTTATTGATAAGTAGCAAGATGCAGGCCATATGATAATGTTGCATCGTTGATGCGCACATTGGGATACTATACCAGATTTCGGGGAATGGGAAGGCATCCTGTGAATCTGTAGGATTTTGATTTGGCGCTGGCTGGGACGACTCAATTCTTGCGCAGGGCGTGAAGGTATCGGGTAGCCTTTTATACCATCCATCAAGTTCAGCTTGAAGTTGGTGCCATCTATCAAGGAGAGTGTGCTGGGATATCCCGGTCGGGGAACTTTCACCTGTATTTATGTCATCTCCCATGGCTATGAAATCCACAATTTTCGAAAGAATCCATATTAATGAATTCGATATCATATCTTCCCTCATGATATTATTGTTCTGGTATCTTGGCTCAGTGGTGTTGCTTTGTTGAACACACCCTGCATTATCGAGAAGGATGCCCGCTTCCGTCCATAATGCTAGATCACTTGAGTTAAGCCTGGTTTGACCTTCATTAATAACTAATAACACGTCAGCTTTCCCCAACCTAGTGGTTATATGATGAGGAGCATCTTACAAGCCGAAAGATAGTCCTGACGTGCAAAATTCCAGAAGATTGCTTTCCTTGCCTCCGAAAATCGAGGCCTTTTTGTGGCCGGAGCGGCTGCACTTTCTGGCAAATCTTGTATTTCAGGGAATATCATCCCAGCCTTGGTGATATCTAGCAGTGATTTTATGCCACACAAGTGTCGTTCCCACGCTGGACCGGTTGCATCTAGAAATTCGTATACTGAAAGAATGGCAGTAGCTGCAAGGACTTCATCAGAGTATGCACCAGATAGCTTTCGCCCCTTGTTAGTGTTGCCTAGTGAATCACCGAGTTCTCCTGCCTGCCAATGTCTATAATCCTCCGACACAGATAGCGCTGGCAATTGCTCATCATGCTGTAATTCTTCCATAAGCAATTGGATAGACTTTTCGTAGTATTTAGTCCCAAAGTAGTACCAGTCAACTCGATTAGCATCCGGCAACTGTTCCATCCTGGCTTGTTTTTTGCATACCCCTCCAACTATGGCTTTAGTCCCGTTAACGCTAGCAAGCTGTTTTGCAGCACAGGCACAAGCAGCACATTTTAATAGTGGATTAGTAAGGGCTTTCACTGGCACATAAGCACCAAAGTATTTTCCTATATCAAACAGATCCATCCTGCATGGGTTAAGTAGAGTTAGCTTTCGCATTATACATCTGTTGTAGAATAATCAAAAGATCTTACCACTGTCCAGGACCTTCCGAGAAATGTCGAAGTAAAAATGCAGTTTCATGCTCGGTCTCGATTCTAGCAACTCTTGTCTCTTGGGTTAAACCTTGAGATGCCAAAGAAGCGGATGTACCAGAACACACTCTTCGGTTTTCAGGGAATTGAATATCAGGGTCTATTGGCTGTGGTATAACATTTGATAATGGGTTCAAAATGAAATTAATGTTGTTATTAGGCGAAGATAGCGGTAAAGACGGAGACCCCGGAGGAACTGCTGTTGGAGTCTTCGCGTTATTTGGGGATGAATTCGATGGGTCTGGCTGTGGGGGATGCTCTGTGTTTCCTAGCCTGGCATGGCTGCTGCTATTCTCAACAATATGGTCAACGGTGGAGTGGTAGATGGGATGGTTCTCCGCTGTTGCTGCAGCAGAAAGCGCATCCAGACCATGTGTCTGCGCATCCATAGGAGATGTTTGGAACCCTCCTTCATGGCCCCATGTAGATGTTTCGTGAGTGCCTAACGGAGTGTCTGCAACATATTGCTCTCCTAGATCATCGGCGTAAGGGTCCGAATTATCGACGAATACCACTATGCAGGGTCTTCATATTAGCCAGTCGTCAAAAGAATTTCATGGATCATGCATTACTCTCAAAATTACCTACCTTCTTTCGGGATATCCAGCCAGACACTGTCCGCGCCAAACGTATTTTTATAGGAATAGAATCCTTTCAGGCTGTTGGGTGCGATTCCACCTTCATCCTGGTTCATCGAGGCATTTTGCTGGTGTCTGAACACGACAGCTTCGCTAAGTCGGCACTCTCTTCCTGCCTTTCGGCATTGAGAGCACTGAGGCTTCTGCTCATCGCATTTCAACTTGCGCGTTCGGCATGTAAGGCTAATGATGCGGCACCAAACGCGTCAGCAATTGGGTTGATAGCAGGATAGCAGCAAGGTATACATTTTCATCACCTTTCACTGGGGGTTGCGCTGCTCGTAATACTTACCAGCCTGTTCGTGAGCGCATCACTTCGTGGTAGACTCTCTCCGCGGATAGGGAGTTAGGGTTACTTTCCTTTTGCAGTCAGGATTAACAGTCGGGCACAAGTCTGAGGAAAGGCCCATGTTCATGCCAGGACGTAATAAAAAATAAAAAGATAAACATAAATGATTCCACCTGTTGCGGGCGTTCAAGTTTGAGGCCTCACACGATAAGATAAAGACGTAGTTGGTGTAGCTACTAACTATTAAACTAAGTCACATTTAGCGCCCGAAGGCCAAGAACTTATTTGGTATCATAGAATCTACAGTGTCAGCTACGTAAAACACAGGTGTAATTAATTTATTAGTATTTTTTCTCAAGCCGATGGTTATGTTATCTAAAAGGTATGGTATTATAATCCGAATGTGTGTAAAAGAAAAAAGAAGGAATGTGAGCGCATATTTGGAGTACACAATTACTAGAAAACAGCATCGCCAAAAGGTTAGTCCTCTTTAAAAGGGGTCAAGAATAAACCGAACTTGACTGATATACCGTCGTGGATGGGAGTTCAGATAACTTCGGGTCCGTCCTTATGCACTGAATTAGGCCGACAGACGTATATGATCAAGATCAAGTAGGGAAAGTGCAAGAAGTGAAAGGGCAGATTGAAAGCAAACGAGGATAAAGGACAGCCTTAAAAACGCCAACCATTAGTTTTGGAAGAGGGTATTTACTTTCCTGGATTCCCAACGCCGATTGATTATTACCGTAAAAAAGTGAGGAGATAAAGGATTGGAGAGGCAGGGGAAAGAAAGGTTCGGGGTGTGAAGGAAGTAAGTACGTAAACCGCAAAGGGTAAGTAAGATGCATGACGAAAGTGATGGCCGTTCAGTTTGTTGTTTATTTCTTTTTTCCGTATTTTTTTTCTCTTTTCCTTTTTATTGATTAAATTTGTGCACCAGGAGTTCGATGACGGAGAGACTCCAACAGGTATTCTGGAGGAACTCGGTTGAGATCTGGTTTCCGATCTGTGCCTTGTGGAGCAGTGATATAGCCTTGCTGATAGCGGCGGTAGCGGTTTAGTAGGATACCAAAGAGGACGAGTAGGAAAACACAGCCTAGCGCTATGCAAAAGGAGATGAGGACTACAATTCCTCTGGGTTTTTGTCCGTCTGATATCAAAGAGTTGTTAGCTTCGTACCTCTAAATTTAGGAGAATAAGTAAGGATACTTACGGTGGCCAGCAACGTTAATTGTATTCTCAGAGAATATTCCAGATATGCTACCTGGTCGGCCATCGAACATACTAGAGAGAATGAACGGCTCAAGAGTGCTTCCGTTGAAAAGGGCCCCAGACACATATCCAAAACTAGGCAGCTGGAGCTTACCCGTTACTAGGAGGGATTGGTTTTCGTCGAGCAAGTCGGTCTTATCGTGGGTTTTCGTTAAGGGAAGGACCTGGAGCCCTTCAATCGAGGTATTATCGCCGAATAAATGGCCAACAGAACGGAACTCAGTACCGTCGTAATGAACAAGGAAGGACATGCCACTGTTAGATTTTCCAGCAATCCAAAACTGTGAGCCATCACTCCTTGCAAGACCTAATGCCTTGACTTCTCCAGTTATGCTTTCAGAGTTTTTCCCGGTAATAGTGGACCACTCCTGTTCCTTAGCATCGTACCTCGCGAGCATGGTTACATTGTGTTCAACGGTGAGGTTTCCAGCAACAAGTAGTTTGTCGTTATCTGCCCATAAGAGAACCGAGACGTCACCACGGAGAGCTGTCCCGGGACGACTCCACTGATTACTCTCAATTTGAATATTGCAGACTGATGGGCAGGGCAGAGAGCCCGCGGATTGGAAGACACCTCCAACAAATATATCGGTAGTGCCTGGCCGAGGAGCGATGGTGCGTACCTCGACATTGTCGCCATCTAACGCAGAAGGTTGGCTTGACGCGTAACGTTGACCGTTGTTGAGATCGTAGACAACAAGGCCTTTTATGTTGGCATCTGCAACTCGCCCGGAAACCCTTCCGCCAGCTAGAAGTAGGTTGTTGTGAACTGCAAGGGACAAGAAAGTTGATTTTTCATCGATCCCAGGGCCTGGGCCAGTCACGACATCATTTTGTGCACCATCGAGGAAAACTAAGTTATTAACTATGGAGTTATCGGATGTCTTTGCAGTAAAGTGACCGGCTAGCATTGTGAGATTGCGGCCTCCTTCCATGTCAAATAGGCCGGTAAGGACGCCATTACTATCGTCAGTTGCGATTGCCCGCTTTGCGTTTCGTTGAGGTACTTGTGGCCGACCTAGATCGATGTTGACTGGTAAGGCACGAAGCCCAAGCTTATTGTTATCGACTAGGCTGACGGCGCCGTGAGAAGCAATTCCACCGGAAGCCAGGTTCCCAGCCAAGAGGATATCCTTATCCACTTCGACGGAGGTAGTAAGCTGGCCAACGTACGCCATACGGTCAATGTCAAGTTCCTGCAGCCACTTCTTCTTTGACGGTACCCACACGGCAAACCCATTTGCTGTGATAGCGGGACGACCATCGACCGCGTTGATCTCGGTAAATAACCCATTTACTGCGATGGTGGTTTCCGTTTTGTCAGATGTAACATTGATAGGAAATAGGACGAGTGACGTGACGGGGCCGTTTACTCCTGCACCGAGTGGGACCCAGCTCTTGTCAGATATAGAGTAAGCTCCAACACCCCGTAGCTTATCATTTTCGCCGCTGGCAGTGTTCGAAAAGTTTCCACCAACGTAGAGTAGACCGTCGAGTAGCTGCATCGACTTGACGGCGAAGTTCAAACCATCCTGTGATAATGAAGATGCCCTTCCGTCAGAAAGAGACAGTATGTTGCTAATGGACGAGTTTGTGAAATTTCCTGCGATATATAGGGTATCATTGTCCCAAATAAGTGAGTTCACGGCGGCTTCGGGCTCAAGCTCAGTACCGGCCTTGTTGATTGCGGAATTAGTGAAATTGGTATCGACAGTCTTTGCACCTGGGTCGAATTCGTACAGTCCGTTCAAGCCGCCTGTAGATGAAATCAACTGAAACCGGACTCGAGACGCCACGAAGTCTATTACACCTTGATCGCGGCGAGCAGCGACTGTGACAGAGGGTCTGAACTTGCTGCTGCTGGCGTCGACGTGGCCAACATATATTTGGTCAAACTTGTCGAAGTTGTTGGTCTGATATATGGACGCCTGGGTAGCCATGTCCTCGGAGGACTTGAAAGTTGCGGTTACGTTGGCAATCCCACGAGTGGCACAGGTTCCATCTTGAACACATCCTGGCGTGAATATGGTAACTGAGTAGTTTCCCGACTGCTTGATGTCTGGTAGAATTGTGACAGAGGTCGTAAATTCGGTAGATGTGTCTATTTTGGTGGATAGATAGTCAGAAGAACTTTCCAGAGATGGCTGAACATTCCAGTTTCCGGTCGTGGTAGCCTCGGAGGCAAAAGGGATGCCAGCACATGTAGGCTCGTTGAGATCATTGACAGCATACGCATAAATATCTATAAATAATTAGCTATGAAAGCCATAAAACGGAAGCGTCTGCGTGACTTACCGTCCTGGAACAGCTCAACACCAGTGAAACCACCGCCCTGTCCGTACCACTCCGAAATGTCCAACTGGAACGAGCTCATCCCGACATTATTGACGAAATGGAAGTCTCGAGTGGCTAGCTTTGGGTCATTAGAGAGGGGACATCTTGCATCGCAGGGAATCTTTTCGCCGCTCTCTGGGTCGATATAGGTCATGTTCAGAATCCCGCCATCCGGCAGGGCGGTGAATCTAAAGGTCTTTGTCCCTCTTCCATCCATTATAGCATTTCGAATTCGTAGTTTCGTGGGCCTGAATCCAAAGTTCAAACTGGCACGCCAGTAACCTGGTGCGTTGTCCGTGAGCAACCAGGTTTTTCCTTCTCCAGCCTGACCATCAGTTGGGCAGATAACGTTTCTGGGGTTGTCAAAACCTCCGGCGGTTGTGCTGGAACCAGCCGTGATATCAGCCGTGAACAGGTTGACGACCTGCTGGTCTTTCCGCTCTGGGCTTGTCGTGTTTCCTAGGCCATCAAACGAGCCACCAAACAGGATCCGTCCATTCTTTGAGGGAACAATCGAGCTTACTGGTCCGTTGAATCCACCGAACGGGAGGTTGGAGAGGCCAGACTTGGGTGACCACGTTACCGCGTTGGCAGAGTCCCCGTTCCTGAATTCCCCGCCGACGTACACGGTGCTTGACCCGCTATCGCAGTAGAGTGCGTTGACCGATCCAGAGAGTCCAGGGACGGCAGATACACTGATGTTGTTGTAGTCGAGAATCGCGATGCCGTTCGACTCGACACCTCCGAGGCTGGTGAAGTTACCACCGACGACGACGTTGGCGACGGATCCATCCTTGTCTTTCAACGAACACAGGGCCAGGATATCAGCATCGGCAGAAGATAGGGGGAAAAGAGAGCCGTCCGGCAGCGGAGCGATGAGAGACTGTTCGAGGGAGCCATTGAAGCCGGCGGGGCCTTCGTGATTTGTTAGTTTGTATGAGTAAAGGGAAGCGGCATCGAAGTTTCCCACGAGAGCTATGCGGCCTAGCGGACCGAGGTCGAGGTTTGGCGAAGGGGTGGGCGTGAAGAGCGCTGCCTGGGTGGTGAGAGGGAGAGCCAGGACGACGTTGAGGAGGCAGGCAAAACAGTTTCTGGGCATCGTCCGCCGTCCGGGCAGAGAGAGAGGCCCCATGGCCGTGTCGCCGTGTAGTGTGTATCGGAGAGGGCGACGATGGGTCTGTTCTCCCACTGGTTCCTGGAGATGAAGAGAAGAAGCCAAAAAAGTATCCTGGGAAGTGTTTCTGGGAGGAGGCTTGCGATCAGGGCATAAACAGATCGAACATGACGCGATCTACAGGTCACAAAAGGAAAGAAAACCGTTGAAGGGGGAACAAAAAAGATAGGAAAACAAGGAATGAAAAAGGGTCAGTGAAGCCAAAACTATCCTTCTGCAAAGCAACAGAGCTACTCCATCAGCTCTCTCTATAAAGCCGTCGAGCAAACAGACAAAACGAACGAACGACAACGAACAGCGAAACTCGACGTCGAAAGTTGGAAGTTCGAGCGATGAAAAGAAAAGGCCAAAAAGGGGAAAAGCCGGCCTCTCGGATAAAAGTTGATGCGGCTTATGTAATGCAGTATAGATGTAAATGATGAGATGAAGGTGTAGATGTAGATGATGAAGGTGTAGATGGTGTAGATGAAGGTGTAGATGTAGATGGCATAGAGTGTGCTAGAGTGTTAGAGTGTGCTAGAGTGCGGTTATGATATTCCATCGCTCGACGCTGCATTATGATACGCACCGTACTCTACCTTACTCATGCATATGGTCACTCATACTCGGTGACGTCCAGCATGTGTTAACGTTGATTCAGCATTTAGTAAAAAAGATTCTTCTCCAATATCAACATCAAGAAAAGTCGAGCTCAAGGTGCCCGATTAGGCTTAGCGTCAACTCTGATAAAGAGCTTTCGTGAAAGCGAAACGCGATAGAAAAAAGAGAAAAGGAAGAGAGAGAGAGAGCAAGCGACTGAAGACAGCGACAGGGTAAATGCGAGCCTGAGGATACTGTCGACAGCTCCGAGTTCGTCTAAGGCCTGATAATTGGCCTTGTTGGCTTCTCGGTGAAGCCTGTGCCTTTTAACAACGCCAACAGCGCGCCAGTCGTCAGGATGTAAGTATCTTCTGTGCCATTGAAAGTGCAGTCTGCAGGATGGATGGAGCTGACTGGATGTCAGGGAGAGCTTCGAAAACATATATCTCGACCTGTCGAAGCAGTCGGGGAAATGCAGGCTCGCGGAGAGCGGTATGGGCTGGAAACCATCTGGCGGCGGCGACACCTTCACCCTCGACAAGAGCAACATTGGTGCGGCTGAATGGAGTCGAGCTGCAAAGGGCTACGAGCTGAAGATATTCTCACGCACCTGTGGAGTTATCCAGCTCGACGGGTTCGAACAAGATGTACGGTCTCCCTTAGGTGTCCTATACGTGTGCGCATTCTAACGTTACAAAACCAGGACTTTGACAGAGCCGCCAAGGCGTTCAAGATCTGGTACGGCGTCAACCTCACGAACAGAGAGCATGCACTGCGAGGCTGGAACTGGGGGAAAGCCGAGTTTGGGAAATCAGAGCTCAGCTTCAATGTCCAGAACCGTCCTGCCTTCGAAGTCCCTTACTCGGAAATTTCAAACACAAATTTGGCCGGCAGGAACGAAGTCGCGGTTGAATTCTTCCTCCCTACAGATGATGCGGCCAGCGTCAAGGAACAGCCTGCGGGAAGCACAAAGAACAGGGGGCGCAAGGCCGGCTTGGGCAGAGACGAGCTTGTCGAGATGAGATTCTACATTCCAGGGACAGTGTCGAAGAAGGAAGAAGGAGAAGAGGGAGAAGATAATAAGAGCGCCGATGACGAAGAAGAGGTTGAAGAACAAAATGCTGCAAACTTGTTCTATGAAACACTCATGGACAAGGCAGAGATTGGCGATGTTGCCGGTGACACCTTTGCTACATTCCTCGATGTGCTGCATCTTACTCCTAGGTTTGTACCGTTGGCAACTTTGGTATCTTGTCTGGTTTTGCTAACGTTTCATGAAGAGGTCGATTCGATATGGACATGTATGAAAGCTCATTCCGACTCCGGGGCAAGACGTACGACTATAAGATCCAATACCAATCCATCAAGAAATTCTTCTTGCTCCCCAAGAATGACGACACTCACACTCTCATCACCCTTGGTTTAGACCCCCCTCTTCGGCAGGGTCAGACAAGATACCCCTTCCTGGTGATGCAGTTGAAGCTAGATGATGAAATCAGCATTGATCTAAATATGACCGAGTAAGCTTGACCTCTATTCCCGTTGCCAGCTACTCTTCCATGACTAATAATGGCCAGTGAGCTTCTACAAACTCGATACAAGGACAAACTCGAAGCTCACTATGAAGAGCCCATCCACCAGGTCGTCACAAAGGTTTTCCGTGGCCTTTCAGGGAAGAAGGTCATCATGCCATCCAGAGACTTTGCCAGGTGAGAATCAACCACTATTACTGATATCCGTATGCACTGATTACTGACATCCCGCAGTCACCACGGCCATAGCGGTGTCAAATGTTCTACCAAGGCCAACGAGGGTCTCCTATTCTGCCTGGATAAGAGCTTTATGTTCGTACCAAAGCCAGCCACCTATATTCAGATAGAAAACATATCGGTCATCACAATGTCTCGAGTTGGTGGCACCGTCTCTGCCAGCCGTACCTTTGATATCACCATGACCCTTAAGGGAGGACAAGGAGAACATCAATTTAGCAATATTAACCGGTATGGTTCTCCGTCTATCTGCATCTGCAGTTTATGCTGATATACTTTACAGTGAGGAACAACAACCGTTAGAGGACTTCTTTAAAGCTAAAAACATCCGATTCAAGAACGAGATGGTTGAAGAGGTATGATCATCTACCCCCTTTGATATGTTATCATCGGACACTAACACACTATCACTTCCCAGGCCTCCACCCTCATTGCAACTGCACTTGAGAACGACCAAATGATGGACTCCAGTGATGATGACGCTGATGTCCAAGAGGACCGTGGCTCTGCTGCTGAAGACTCGGAGTCGCCTGATGAAGACTTCGTCGGTGACTCTGACTCGGAGGTGGCTGAGGAATTCGACTCGGAACACGCAAGCAGCAGCGGAGATAGTGATGAAGAGATGGATGATGCCGATAATGATGAAGACGAGCGGCCAAAGAAAAAGTCCAAAGTTCAGAAATAAGGCTCATCTAGAATAGTAGTACCTTTTTTTGCCACATTTCTCAGCACCGCTCTGCTCTACGAAGCTTGCCTAACCTATGTACCACTATGTTGTTGCGTCTCTACTTGCCTATCTACCCAAGAATACACTCGGGGCTCAGTCGTGGAATCGTGGACTTACATTTTTCTCTTTAATGTGCGATTTTCAACCAATAGCCGATTTGAACGTGATGGCAACAAAAAAGAAGGTTGAGTGGGATAAGAGGCGTTTCCCAACGCATTGATAATGTTACAACGGTTTTTTTTTTCTTATTTCACATCTGCTCTTGACATCCCTCGGCCTATAGGTTGTTTGATGTCATTGTGCAGGCCAACAAAGCACGAAGACCCTATTTCGAACGCCACAGTTGGATATGTGGCGCAGCATGCGGCGAGTGCCGGCGAAGACCAGCGCATCCAGCATCGATCAGGCACTGGAAACACGTATACAGATATAATCAAGGGTCAACCACATCGAGATGTTAGCCCGAGGTCTATTCCGTATTCCCTTCTGTAAGGCTGATTGAACTAAAATCTTTTTGTCATGTCATCAGCTTCTTTCTCTATCGATATTTTGTTACTTTACATCGTTATGACATAAGCATCACATGACTATGCCAAGAATCTGATAAATGCTTAACGCGATGTCATGATTATGTAAGATGAAAGCTTCAACGCGACTTTTCAACTTCTTCAACAATAGCGAAGTTGGAGGGAATTTTGAATCAAAGCCATCGCCTTCTTTGTATTGATCAAAGGCCATGCTACTGTGTTGTTCCTCTTAGTTCTCCCTCAGCCGAAACGCTCGACGTTTGTCTCCTCCATCTCCCTTAACATCCACCACCTCCTCACCACTCGACAGAGCTATCCGTTTTACTGATCCAGCTTCAGCAATACCAACCTACGTTTCGTCTCATTACACAAGTTATCATCACCATGGCAGTCGAATACGGCAAGAAAACCAACGCTGAGTTGATTGAGATTCTCAAGTCTCGTGGCCTCAGTCATACGGGAAAGAAGGCGGACATGGTCGCGCGGCTGCAAGAGGCGGATAAGGCAGCAGCAGCAGCTCCAGCGCCTGCGCCTGCAGCCGAAGACGTTATTGATTGGGACGACGATGCGGCAGAGGCAACGCCAGCAGCTACGAAGGAGGCCCCGGCGGCCCCAGCTGCTGCGCCAGAGCAAAAGCTGGCCGCCGAGCCATCGGCCACGCAGAATGTGAATGCTGCGAAGCCGGATGACAAGGGCGAAGGTGCGACTGTGGCTGCTGAGGCTGGCGCTACAGAATCGAAGGCCACGAAGGAACAAGTGACGAATGGCACCGACAAGAAGGCAGCGACGGAAGAGAAAGCCGCGGAGAAGCCTGCTGTTGACTATAGCAGAGGACTTGCAACCACGGATCCCGACGCCGAACTTGCGAAACGTAAAGCCCGTGCCGCCAAGTTTGGAATTGCTGATGAACCTGCAACGACTGAGGCGCAAAAGGCGATTGCAAGGGCCAAGAGGTTTGGCACGGCGGATGATGAGGCTCCTAAGGTGAAAGGGCTGGACGAAGCTTTACCTACAAGGAAGAGAGGACGGGGCGATGACGGAGACAGCGGACGGGGAAAGCGTAGAAACTTCCCCGGTCGAGGTAGAGGGAGAGGACCACGCAGAGGCCGCAACGAAGGCAACAGAAACGGCGGCAGTAAAGACAAGGTCAGCGAGGCTGACCGTATCGCAATGGAGAAGAGAAAAGAGCGCTTTGCGGCCAAGTAGCAAAGCAATTCAAGCTCTTTGACCCTTCTTTCTCTCCTTTCACCTTCTTTATTCTTGTCGTTCTTTGGTCTTGTGCGATACGAGTTATCGACCATCAATGCGCCTTGAGATATTATTTTCCTATGTCTGAATTCATAAAAACGTCCCCTTTCTTTTTTGACATTGTATGACTGGTGTTTCCCTCCGTGTGTCTTTCCAATATTTACCTGGTTTAGGAGTTTGTCCGGAACGAAGTCTGACCTTTCACATTTTTCTCTCTTTCTTCGTTCTTCCTCTTGCGTCTGATCTTGCGTGGTGACATTAATATTGTATATCAAAAACCAAATATCAAATCAAAATTCAGCTCTCCAAGCCTGTCATTTTCAACTTTTTACACGTCTTACGAACACTGCTTTCAGTGTAAGGGGTGGATATCATGATGAGCTGATCAGAATATATTACTCTCAATGACATATACCTGGCTCAACCGACGGCGCTGGTTGATAGTCAAACTGTCGTGCAATCCGTCAGCGGCGCCATCAGTTGACCCTGCATTGTACCATGAAATGAAAGAGCCTTGAACAAGGTGAGTGAGCTAGAAGAACTGTCGAATTAGCTTATTATTCCTCGATGTTTTTTCTTTTCTTTTCATTTCCTGTATTAATATCACACGAGGTCGGCTATGAGCAAGATCAGCAGGAGTAAACAGACGAAGAGACGATTGGCGCAGACGATCCAGTACAGCAGAGCTGAGGTTTGCATGGGATCCAGGGACCTGGCAGACGGAAGAGCCAGTAAACATGGCCTGTCGATGAGAGATGCATGATAAGTTATACGAAGGGAGCTGTTGGGATACTTGCCTCCGTCTCAGCCACAAAAACAGCCCTACTATTGTGCATATCAAACAACTAATAGTCATACGAGAAGAAGACGCAAGTAATCAGTGACTAGACTAGCCAACTAAGCTGGTCTGTTACTCCTGCGTGATCGCCCTGCTATGGTCAACTTTTTACTTGGTTATACGAATCTCCAGCAGTGGCAAACTCGAGCCGTCTGGAGAGAAATCATGAGAAGAGACCAGCGACCAGAACAAGACAAGATGCACCATGTGGAAACCTCCAGCCGCTAGAAGAAGCATTATAACGAGAGATAACAGCTTCTTCGACAGGGATGAGAGCTGCCAGTGGGCGAATCATGCAGCAAACCTGTGCCTTTTTGATGTGACTGGATGTGCCTCCGGCCAGTGAGCCGCGCCATATCTCGGTGTCAACTGCAGCCATCTTACCCCCATTATCTACTTCTAGCTCTTTGCTCCGATCCTGCCTAGCTCTAGAATAATGCATGCTCGTTCCCCGTGCCCTGTTCTCAGTCACACAGGTATAGACGGGTACATGTTATGTACTGCTCGGAATTCGATTCGAGAGATTCTCCACCAAAGACGCTTTCTCTCCATCAGAATGCCCAGTTATATGCTCGGCATTGGACGTGACAAGAGTTAGCGCCCAGATGTTGACTCCTGCGCATTAAGCAAATCATCACTCATGGGCTGGCCAAGGGGTTGCAAAGAAGGGTCCAGCGGAAGCGCCGAGTACACCAGAGAAAGTCCTTCTCTACCCCTAGTTAGCTGATAACTAATACTTTTCTACGGCACGGAACGGCAAGCACGGAGAGTATCCATGAGATGGACCATGGAACGGATCCCTCAGATCAAAGGCTATTCTGTTGACTTAGCCCCTTCCGTATCACATATACAAGGACGCTGCGACGTTTTCTGCGTCGACATATCACCTTGTCAGAACATTAATTATGCATTGCTACATTTGATAGCTAATATAACACTGGAACAGTACGACCTAGCAGCGGTCAACCGGTTGGACGATTCATGACTCGGCTCGGTAACTCGAAGCAAAGTCTTCCTTTAGCCAGCCAGCCAGAATATACTTCTTGTGGACAAGAGTTAGCACAGTCTTCAATACTCCGATGCTCCAACCTGAGTGGCCTCCTGGAAGTGGAGATACATGCATGACCTGGGTCTCGATATCCATGCGAATCCTGTCTCCGTTCTCGCCTGCAAGCGCCCATTGACTCCATCTCTCCCCATCGCCAACCCCCGTTACCTGCCTCCGTCGCCGTCTAACTGGAGAGAAAGAGAACGTGCGATCGTCAGCGAGTCGCGGGGCCTGCTTCTAGTTCTGTTTCCCCCTTGTATCGGGACCTTTTCTTCTTTTCCTTCTTTCTCTTAAAATGCGCCGCCGTCCACCATGTTCCTTGCTTATCTTCCTCCCCCGGCAAAAGACTCGCATCAGTCCTCCACCTGGTTTCATCTCTCTCTTTCCTCTGTACGGAGTACGCTACACAGAATAGCCCTTGAGGTTAGAGACGGCCATCATACTGCCTTGCCTACGTGGTCAAGCGGCCGTTTAGCCACAGCTTTCATCGCTGTGTGCGCTAAGCGGCCCCGCCGACCTTGTGTGTGGCGGAGTGGATGCAAGCCGAAGAGCCAGAGCCCCTAATATACATTGACCTGGCCGTACTTTTTGACAGCGTACCTTGTCAAACTGTGCCATCCGTCTTTAGGCTTTTTTATTTTTTTCCTCTGCATAGTAGTTTGTGCCCGATAAAGCTGTTGATGATTAATATCTTTTTTATACTTCGCTTCACTTTTTTTTTGTGTCTTTTTTTGTCTTTATTTAATCCAGCTTACCCCGGCTTCAAAGCGTCTGGTCTATGCATATTTCAATCTCTGTTGATACCAGCTGGTTTACTCATCGGTCAGGCTACCGGTCTGTTCAACTATTTGAAATATAGTTGCTTTTTTGCCCGTCACCTAATACAACAAAGTGAGTATGCCCTCGTGGTGGCGACCTCTCATGCATGATATCCTTTCATCCCGCCCTTTGCTAACTCAAGAGACAGGCTTCAACTTTTAACCGTCACCAAATGTGGCATACGATATGATTATAAGTCATTCTGAATCGGCTATTGTTTTGGAAAGCCGGTCTCGAGGCCTGCTGCCCATGGTATCAGAGACCATCATATCATGGCATCACGAGGAGCAGCCGTACATACAGTCAACCAGTTACCGGCACACACAAGAGGACAGGCGGCTGAGATGATGACTTCAAGGATCCCCATACTACCCACCAGCGGCTCTTCTGGACAGGGAAGACCCAAGCAGAGCATCCCAAAGCCGTCGTCCATCCCCCAAAGTAGACGGGATTCATCTGCATCAGAGTCAGAGGAGTATAGCAGGCTGAGGATGGTGAGGTCGAACTCGTCTTCTAGGAAACCTTCCAAGGAAACTAGTACATCTACCGGGGCCTTGAGACAGCCATCCTATTCCTTCATGCCGACCTCTCGTTACTATGCAGCACCTCCAAACAACACGCCTTCACCCAATGTACCACAACACGCTATTTCGTTATCACAATCGTCATCATCAATTCCTTCTTGGAAATTTGGACGCCCGTCTCTGCCTGAATCACGGCCACGGAATGTTCTCCGGAGAAAGGCTCCTTCAATAGAGCAGTATGCAGAACGGAACAGAGCCAGGTTACAGGCCTCAATGTCCGAGAAGCCTGAGCTGGAAATGCCGCAAATTGAGGCACGAGAGAAGATTGAATCAGATACTAGCTGCACTGCAACAGCTAGACCCCCAGTTGACCATGTTCCAGCTCGACCACAGTACTCTACCCCAACTCCATCCTCCCAAACACCTGCAAGCGAGGCTAGACCTCCAACATCAGGATCACAATCCCGCGTCCCAAAGGAATTCGTCGGCCTATCAACATCGATAAATACCTTAAACCTCCCTCCCCCAACACCAATCTTCACAGGGGGGAGTAGCCCTTCAACTAGATACACTGACTCTCCTGGTATGTGGAGTAGAGGATCAACGCCGACATCGCTTTCATCATACTCTCCCGGCATCGTACATCCCATCCACAGCTCACGGCTAAAACAACCCAGCCCAACTATTTTCAGAACCCAAAGGTCTCGCCCAAGCCTGGCGGCCATGCCTTCATATGACGAAACTAAGAGCACAATTGCTCCCTCGACCCGACTTCCTCGACGATCCCAAACCGAGCCTATTCCGCGACCGCCAACTGCAGGTCCGGGTGTGAGAGAAACTGCCCATGATGCCCCAGAAGTTCAACCTGCGCCTATGCGTCCCTTGTACCCTTCAAGTCAAGCCGATTGGCAGCCTGTAGGTGATTTGGGTGAAATAGGGTCCAGTGGGGATAACAGAAAAGCGGATGTGGCCACTCCAAGGTTGGAAGAGCCATCTCTTCTTCCTAGCTCAGGGTCAACATCTAGGCTTTCTCCAAGCAGACCGAGTCGCAAGGGGGCAGAACCACTGAAGCTAGAGTCGTCGCCTATTATTTGGAGCAACCTTGCCTCTTCAAGGCTTCCTACCCACAAACAGAGAGGATCATCAGGCTCTAATGCTCGTGCTAAATCACCAGCTATCGCCTCCTCATTTGTAAATGCCTCGACGGAATCGCTACAATCTAGGGGTTCATCCAAACTGCCAGCATATTCACCGTCACCAAGTCAAGTCGATACCGGCTCCCAATCACAGCTACGATCCGTAACTCCCAAGGCGAATCTTATTAGGAAAACGTCAGTTTCAGGGAAAGAATCCAAGGTTTCCAACGATAATAAAGAGCTGAAGGAGCCAAATCAGCAGCAACAGCCGCTTACTACCACTGTCCCAAGGAGACTTGGCTTTTTCCCAAGAAAATCGAAGACTGTTCCTCAGGTCACTCAATCTGGGCTTAGTGAAAACCGGTCACGCAGATGCCCTTCTGCAGGGACGGGGCATGAGGGTTACGGCAAATATTCCCAACGAGGCAGACGAACTAGCGTCGGAAGCAGTATTTCGAGAGCGAGATCAACGAGCACTAGTAGGTCAGTTGGCAACAACAGTACTACTAGCAGTCACATGGGACATGAAATCGATGATTTTTTCCTGGACCGCTTGGAGCCCGTCTTCATCAGTGGTGGCGGGCTTAATGGATTGGTTTTAACTCGTACCCAGAGCGGGCAGAGCGAGAGTAATGTGAGTGTTATTTCCGCCGCTGGCTCCAAGGTTCCTCCATCTACGCTGGTTCAGAGCCCAGAACCGATGAATTCTCCGCCTCAGCCTTCCCTTTTGGACCCTGGAAACTCTCAGTCACCAGAAATAAAACGGCGTCGCTCGTTTCGCAACTCAAAGATATTTGGAGGCCACAAGACATCTAGTCCCTATTTATCAGTTGCTCAACCTCGACCCTCCGCCTCTAGACGCCCATCAGATGCCAGTACGGATAGTCGCTCAGATATATCTTACCATGAGACTCCCAATTTATCCTTGCTATCAGGTTCTAAGACAAAAACCGAACCGAAGAAGAAAAAATCGGAGAAAACAGGAAGATGGAATTTCTTCCAACGAAGCAACCCGAATCTTCGGGAGAAGCAATCAAAGGAGGACCCTGAACCAACCCCGGAAATGCCTGCCGCTATATCTCAGATCCCATCTTCCCGAGCTGTTGCACATTATGCAATTCTTGACAACGAACAGATTGACTCCGATCCATTAGAGGACATAATGGCGCGAGTGGAAGAATCACCACCAACGGAGGACGAAATTGAAGCTGCTAATGGCCTTGGACTGAGATCAAAACACGGTCAATCAATATTACTGCCAGAACCACCGGTTGGGTTAATCAACAATAACTCGGAGAGACGTCCGTCCTCTCCCAGGGTGTTCTTTAACACAGGCGTGCTCCCCGCCATCTCAGCATCAAAGAATAGCCGGACAGGCCGGCCCAGCCGCTTAGCTTCTATTGGCAGGATACCCCCAGTCATTCCAAGCGGAAGGAATCAACATAAGCCATCTCTCCAATCATTCTCACGACCATTCAGTATAGGAGAGGGGCCTTCTCTAACAGTGACCGCTGCAGCTGTAGCATATAATCATACAGGTATGACAGAAAGTATACCGAATCGATTTGCTCTGTGCCCACCAACGCAAGAAGAATTCCTTTCTTTTTCCCCACGAAAGGGATCCGAGATTTCTGTATCATCTGAGAGTGTGGATGGTGGTAGCATGGCAGCTGTTACAGCCGTCCTCCCATTTCCCGGATCAAAACTTACAGACGATGAAATATGGCAGGAATATGATGACTTTCTGGACAAGGTCACCTCGCCACAAACCCCCGATGATGGTCACTTTCACACATCCCGATCATTCAACATGGCTACCAGAGCTTCCAAGGTCTTGCAGGAGGGCTTGAGCGGGGTAAATGGCATTTCGCCTCCAATCTCCCCGTTGCAATGCCCAGATATCATTACTTCTACACTGCCTGACCACAATTCGATACATCTCAGCCGTTCTATGATTCTCTCAGCCCTACATTCATCTATTGCACCCTCTGAACCAATGTCCCTTGGTGAACTCATTTCAACTTACGCTGGGAGTAAACAACACTCTGCCGACTTCACCGACGTCAACAACCCCTATGCCTCTTTGGGAGAGGAACTTCAAGGTGGTGCCAACTCAGCCAAGTGTACGCCGAGAGAGAGCACAATGCAATCAATTGAAAAGGAGCCTAAGCAAATAGATCCAATGGCACAGGCAAATGTCCGTTCGGGCTCGCTTATGACTAGCCGCTGGCTATCTTTCGGTCGTGTCCTCTTTAGCCCAGCCAAAAACCATATGCAACCCCAGGATCAAGCTCGCATCTTGGTTATTGATGGGTTAGGCAATGACGACTGGTCATTTTACTGTGCTCTGACCTATCCTTCTGCAGTGGTTTACAACCTCACTTCTACTCCGCCGCCTCATTCTACATTAAGCAACCCGGCTGCGTGGGACCCTCCACCGAATCATCGTATGATTCATCGCTCTGGTATCAAAACCCCATTCCCTTTTCCGAAGGGATTTTTTACCGTGGCGGTCATGCGCTTCCCATCTGCTTGTTCTGAGGCTGCATATGATATTGCCGTTTCTGAGTGCTATCGTGTTCTTCGCCCTGGTGGATACTTGGAACTCAGCGTCATGGATTTAGACATGGTGAACATGGGTAGCCGCACTCGGAAAGCGGTTAGGATGCTAAAGGAACGGATATACACGACAGATCCTAATATTTGCCTAAAGCCTGCCAGCGATAACATCCAGAAGCTACTTGGTAAGCGTGGGTTTGCCAACTTAAATCGATGTATGGTCGTTGTTCCTGTTGCCGGCACCATTGTGCAGTCATCGGACACGTCGAGCTCAAACCAGTCCGCTGCTAACCTGCCACAGCAGCATAATGGCTCTAATCTCCGGCAATGGACAGATAATGCGGCTCATAAGAAACACAAACGTGCTCCGTCTGACGATGTGAACATGTCCCTTGGTGATCTTCTATCGGACCCCTCGCCATCTCCATCAAACGATGAGTCAATCGCTAAGATGGTTGCAAAAGTTGCTCGATGGTGGCACACACGGTGCTACGAATTAGCCATTTTCAACGATAGCCAGAATCAGGACATCTGGACCGACAAGATGCTTCTACGAGAATGTAGAAGACGGGGAACTGGGTTTAGGCTACTGATTGCCTATGTACAGAAGCCTAGCGAAGTCATGAGGAGAACTGCGAGCGTATAACCCATCATTCACCGGGCGAACCTCGATATTTATGCCATTCACACATTTCTATTACATCTTTCATCAGCGATACCCGGAGGCATTTAAATTCTCTAACTCATTTATGAGTGATTTTCCTACGAATCTAACGACATTTATGACCCATCTTTATAGCGGCATTTATAGCTCACATTTATTTTTTGCTTTGCTACAATTTCTTTGCATATTTCATGAATATTAGCGCATATCATGATAAACCGAATGGCAACCATACACGCTTTTGTATTATGAGGTTGGGCATCCTAACTACATCTACAGTCTCACGGCCTTTCTATGATATCTTTTTTTTCTGTTTTTTGCTCTGTCGCTGTATTACCAGCGCTTTGTTTTATACCGTTTGGTTTGTGGTACATACACTCTCCTATCCTTGATAGGCTATTTGCGGCTGGTCGTAACTAATACTTAATAACACTGAAGCCCTTAAGTGGTGACAGTTTCATTGTGCTCTTACTATGATTATTGTATCTGTGTATCTCAAGGTCTATGGCCCGCTACTGTGATCCAATATTCATTGATAATGTTTGCTCCGCGGCATTTATTTGCAACTCATGAACAGCTCGCCCAGATATATGTTATATTGTTTTGCTTTTATGTCCTGTCTCACCATTATGCTTTCCAAAATGTACATTTCCCTCTCAACCTTGCAGTAGATAGTCAGATAAACATATGGTTTATGTGCTGGAAAAGTATTGCTGCTTAACCATATATCCAATATTGTGCAGTATAACGAACTTGAAATTCAGAAGTCTTTCCTCGACACGTTGCAGGGCTCGTACCCTCGTGGGTGAGAACTCGGAAAACAGCCTGCATACATTACAAACAGTCAGCCACAAGCACTCAGCTTGTATCAGGAGGGATGAACGCCTGACTATACTGTGTAAGAGTTATAAAGAGCATACCTTTATACCAGACCCTTCAGTAGTATCCAGCTTCAGCCAGGGCACGTCGTGGCTATTGGGAGCAGGGACATTTGCGGCCACAGACACATAGGCTCTATCTGAGCCACCATGAGTTGAAAGGTCGAAAAAGGGCTTGCCTCCAGTGAAGTAGTGGTGGCCTAGAACAGTCGTCTTTAGGAGTTTTTCGAGCACCCAAGTTGCTAATGCTTTTGATGAATGTAATGAAATCGCGTTGATAATGTGCATAGCTCGAGTGTTTAGAGAAGCTAGGCAAGAAGCATCGTAAAGAGTTGCAACTGCGCCAACAGGGACAGGCTTGGTGACACCGTTGGCACAGGTGTAGTTCTGAGTCCCAACGCCCAAAGTAATATACTTTAATCGAAGGCCCAAGTCAGGGACTGGCAACTCTGGAGACTGGCCTCGTTTTGGAAGTTGTTTGGCCAGGATATCACAGCCTAACGTTCGGCCCATGGATGTCACTTCAGCGGCCACAACAGATAAGCCATTTGATTGTCGAATTGAGTGTATCACGGCGCTTTGGACCGTGGAAAATGCTGTAAGAAGGGGAAAAAGAAGTCTAGGGATATGCATTGTGTTTAATACAATTGCCAAAACTGCAATTGGTTTGAGGGAACTGGTTGGAATAATAGAAAAGACAAATGAGCCGCAAAGGAGGAGATATATAGGTAGAGAGTGAGGTTTAAATACAATATTGAAGGTAGTGAGGAAAGGATATTATCCACGGAGAAACCCAGGAGATATAATGCCCACGAGTGAAGCCAAGGAACAGCTTGTCTCGAACCCCCGACGGCACAGGCAACCTAGTTCCTTTTTTAGTCTTAGACAATAAACTTCCCATGTAGCAGGGGCCTTGAGGGATGCAATATCATACAAGTGGGTATATATCTGGCCCATTCATGCACATCGACCTGATAACTTTTGTCTAAAGCGGAGGTAAATAATCCTATTCCAGAAATGCGCTCAGGGATGCGGAGACCGAAAAGTACCAGGATAGCCATACATGGCATAGAAGAAAAACACTAACAGGCAGATGTTAAAACCTTTTCCAGCCTGTAAAATGCATGGTTGCATCGGGTATAATTTTCGGGGGCGAGAACTATAAGTATATTAGGCTCCAAGCCTAGAAGAATCTTAGGCTCGCTTCCCTTTTATAAAGGATATGAAAGTATTCCTGTAAGCAGCACCGGCGTAACAGGTGCAACACTTGGATTCATAAGAAGAACAAAGGAGCGCTTCTAGAAAAATGCATGTGTGTACTCCGTGTGAGTGGAGTAACAGACATATAATTATGCAAAGCCCTTGAGCGCCGATACTCAAGAACTCGCACAATAGAGAGTGAAATAGAAATAACCAACAGGCGGTTGTGAAAATAATATCCCGTATAAAAGAAAAGGTCAACTCTAGCGAAATCTCGCTTGATATCGGGTTGAACAGCCTTGTCCCATGGCCAAGTATATAGCTATGTATGTCCTAGCTGTGTCCAAAAGAGGAGAGTCCAACCACATTGGGGAATTAGCGGAAGTTGGGGGCCTTTAATCGGCATGGGATCCATCTCGAAAAGTGAGTTGCCATGCCGTAAAATCTGCAAGTCATTCATTAAACGTGGATACTCTGATATTTGGGGGCCAAAAGAAGGGGAAAGTTGTTGCTCTTCTTTTTTTGGGTCAGGTCGAAGGCCAGTCATGTGACATGATTAGTAATAATATTTAGTCATCAACGGCCAGAAAGATTTCTCAGGATGCAGTTTTGATGCGTTTGAAGGACGAAACAGCTTGAAGAACGTCGCGACACCAGCAATAACTTCGCCAAGCTGCTTGTTCCGGTGCCAGAGGTCTGGTTCTGCAGGCTCATATTATCTATGGTCACCACTAATCCCGTTTTCGCATTCTCCTTCCTTGGGATCTGACATATCTTACACATTGCCACGATGGCTGATGGTATGCACTCGAATGATTATACACCCCCGTTGTCGCGTATGTGGTCTAAAACGGTTTTACTTCTAGCAGAGATCGAGTCCATCAAGCGCCTCCAGGCGGAGCGCAATGGGAAGAAAGGTTCAAAAACCTTTGACCTGTCAAACCAGCGCACTGACGTATCGACCAAGGCATCTCTCACCGAAAGCTTCGACACCACCCTATACGATCGTTCGGACGCCGATAGATATGCAGGCTATAATACGTCTATCGCAGTAGATGGTGAAGATGAGGATATGGCCGATGATGATGGCCAAAATGGCCATCGCTTGGTTGGACAATATACCGCGACCTCTGAGCAGATAAAAGAATTTGCCACGGGCAAAGGTGTAGAAGAAGAAGATACTCTTCTAGCGCGCGAAAAGACATCCAGAATATCCGAGAGGGAAACCGATTATCAGAAGCGGCGCTTCGATCGGACTCTTTCTCCAACACGAGCGGATCCCTTTGCTGCGGACGGCCAAGCAAACGGAGATGGGGAAGGCGCAAGCTACCGAGATATAATGGCACTTCGAGAACTTGAGAAAGAAGAGGAACGTGTCAAGAAACTGATAAAGGATAAACAAGCCGGCGAAGAACTTAATGGATCAGTTGAACATGAGGCTACCCTGAAGCTAGAAGAGGCGGGAGAGAAGGAAAGCCATGCTGAGGAGTCAGCCTCTGCTCCATCGAGGAAAAGGAAGAAGAGATGGGATGTATCCTCAGAGGAAACTGTCAAACCCAGCGAGCCTGAATCAACTGAAGTCAAGCCAAAGAGGTCGAGGTGGGATCAGACACCAGTACCTGGCGGGCAGGCTGAGGCCCCAAAACGTAGGTCTAGATGGGATCAAGCACCAACACTTACTGCTGCAACCCCCGTTGGGAATCAGGGTCTTGCAACCCCAGTACCTCAGGCTTCTGGCCCAGTGGCTGTCCCAACTTTCGGCTCCGATATATCTGCCCGCAATGCTCCATTATCGGATGAGGAACTGGATATGATGCTTCCATCTGAAGGATATAAAATTTTAGAACCCCCACCAGGGTACGCCCCGATCCGAACTCCTGCTCGTAAACTTATGGCTACACCCGCTCCAATGCAAAGCGCCAGCGGCATTGGTGGATTTATGATGCAAGAACCCGAAAGCGCCCGCTCTATTGGAAAGCAACTTCCTACAGAGATTCCTGGAGTAGGCGACCTGCAGTTTTTTAAGGCTGAAGATATGACATACTTCGGAAAACTTGTTGATGGCGCGGACGAAAATTCAATGTCTGTTGAAGATCTGAAAGAGAGAAAAATAATGAGGCTATTGCTGAAAGTCAAGAATGGAACACCACCGATGCGAAAAACAGCACTGCGTCAGCTTACAGATAACGCAAGACAGTTCGGAGCTGGACCGCTTTTTAACCAAATTCTACCTCTACTGATGGAGAAGTCTCTCGAGGACCAAGAACGACATTTGCTCGTGAAGGTCATTGACCGCATCCTTTATAAACTTGATGACCTTGTTCGGCCGTATGTGCATAAAATTCTGGTCGTCATCGAGCCTCTACTCATTGACCAAGATTACTATGCTCGGGTAGAGGGTCGTGAGATTATTTCTAACCTAAGTAAGGCTGCTGGCCTTGCGCATATGATCAGTACCATGCGTCCAGACATTGACCACGTTGATGAATATGTGCGAAATACTACTGCCAGAGCTTTCGCTGTTGTCGCCTCAGCCCTTGGTATACCCGCCCTTCTTCCATTCTTGAGAGCTGTTTGTCGAAGCAAGAAATCTTGGCAGGCTAGACATACTGGTGTCAAAATTGTACAACAAATTCCTATCCTAATGGGCTGCGCTATCCTACCTCATCTCCAAGGCCTTGTCGACTGTATTGGAGACAATCTCAGCGATGAACAAGCTAAGGTCCGGACGGTGACCAGTTTGGCCATCGCTGCACTTGCTGAAGCTGCGAATCCATATGGTATTGAAAGTTTCCAGGATATCCTCGGCCCTCTCTGGATGGGAGCAAGGAAACAACGAGGCAAAGGTCTAGCAGGCTTCCTTAAAGCTGTTGGTTATATTATCCCACTGATGGATGAGGAGGGCGCAAACTACTTCACTAGTCAAATTATGGAAATCGTGCTCCGAGAATTTTCGTCGCCAGATGAAGAGATGAAAAAAGTCGTGTTGAAGGTTGTCTCGCAATGTGCAGGCACAGATGGCGTCACAGCAGTATATCTAAAGGAACATGTCTTGCAAGATTTCTTTAAAAGCTTCTGGGTCCGACGTATGGCATTGGATAAGAGAAACTACAGACAAGTTGTAGAGACAACAGTGGACTTAGGCCAAAAAGTCGGTGCCGGTGAAATTCTTGAAAGGATCGTGAACAATCTCAAAGACGAGAGTGAGGCATACCGTAAAATGACTATTGAAACGGTTGAGAAAGTTATTGCTTCACTTGGTGCAGCTGATATCGGAGAGAGACTTGAGGAAAGACTAATTGACGGCGTCCTGTTCGCATTCCAAGAACAAAGTGTGGAGGATATAGTGATTCTCAACGGGTTCGGGACAGTTGTCAATGCCCTTGGTTCTCGTTGCAAGCCATATCTTCCACAGATTGTCAGCACAATTCTCTGGCGACTCAACAACAAGTCCGCCACTGTACGGCAACAGGCAGCAGATCTTATTTCGCGAATTGCAATGGTTATGAAACAATGTGGTGAAGATGCCTTGATGGGAAAACTTGGCACCTTCCTTTACGAATATCTTGGTGAGGAATATCCAGAGGTCCTTGGCTCGATACTGGGCGCGTTGCGTTCTATTGTCACTGTTGTCGGTATCAATCAAATGCAACCACCCATCCGTGACCTACTTCCTCGTCTCACACCTATCCTACGAAATCGCCATGAGAAAGTGCAGGAAAACACGATAGATCTTGTTGGCCGTATTGCTGACCGTGGCCCCGAGTCCGTCAATGCTAGAGAATGGATGCGTATCTGCTTCGAACTACTTGATATGCTGAAGGCTCATAAGAAGGGCATCCGACGAGCTGCTAACAATACCTTTGGTTTCATTGCCAAAGCTATTGGTCCCCAAGATGTCCTCGCCACACTTCTTAATAACTTGCGTGTCCAAGAACGTCAGTCCCGTGTCTGTACTGCCGTTGCAATTGGTATTGTGGCAGAAACTTGTGCTCCATTTACGGTCCTTCCCGCCCTTATGAACGAATATCGCGTGCCCGAACTAAATGTGCAAAATGGTGTCCTAAAGGCCATGTCTTTCCTTTTTGAATATATTGGCGAAATGGCTAAAGATTACGTTTATGCCGTGACACCCCTTCTCGAAGATGCATTGATTGATCGAGACCAAGTCCACCGTCAAACCGCTGCTAGCGTAGTGAAGCATATTGCCCTAGGTGTTGTTGGACTGGGATGTGAAGACGCAATGGTCCATCTTCTTAATCTCCTCTACCCCAATCTCTTCGAAACCAGTCCCCATGTCATTGACCGAATCATTGAAGCTATCGAAGCTATTAGAATGGCTGTTGGCACAGGTATAGTCATGAACTATGTCTGGGCGGGCCTGTTTCATCCAGCTCGCAAAGTACGGACCCCTTACTGGCGGCTGTACAACGATGCCTATGTTCAAGGCGCAGACTCTATGATTCCATACTATCCTACAATTGAGGAAGATGGACTAGGGAGGTGTGAATTAGGCATCGTTTTGTAACCATGGTCAACAGGCTTGAAGTTTCTATATTTGATCAGCAACACAGGTGTTCGTTTATTGTTTTCTCACTGCATCTCGTGGTCCAACAATTTCCATTTGAGCGCTTCCTTCTCCTTGTCCATGTATTTATAAAGTAATTATTATTGCATCCAATATAGCAAATATCGCCATGTCTAGAGTGATGACATCAGATTCGGAATTAATACAAGCAATGCACATGTGTCATCAATGTCAACCCTTGTAATATGTTTGCATGTGTGTTTATTATTCTATACTCTTGTAGATCTATCCAGCAGACTTTGCAAAATTACCTCGCTCCATCCCCGAATTGATCATCCTATCCCCGTTCATAACCCCTGTGGTACATATGACAATATTCCGACGCCCAGATTCCTGTTGGGCAATAAATCTCAATGCAGTGATTTCGGTGAATGTGATACCACCTAGGAAGAAAACGAATACTGTTTTAATTCCTCCAGAGCCTGTTAGGGTCTGCCGAGCTCGCGCTGCCTTTTCATCTCCCTTTGGGACTATGTTGAAAGTCGAGCCGCGGGCATTCTTAACAACATCCTCGAATCCCAGCCATCCTGGAGTTGTAGATGCTGCATTGGAGGCTGCTGCAGCTGCTTGTGGCGAAGGGTTCCCTTTGACGAGCAACTGAACATACGGCTTCTGTAGCACACACTGAACAAGTCGAACACTCAAGGGGGCATACCCGCTGTAAACATAAGATATGTCATTTGGGTTCTGCTCATCCACTTCGTCCACTATCAAACGAAGGGACTTGCGAAGTGAATTGTAATTCGTCTTTGTGCCAGTAGCGCTGCTTGAGCCACCAGGAAGTAAGATCCCTGTTGCTGGAACTCGGGGTTGTAGGAGTTCCATCTTTTCTAGGTTGCTAAGAGTTAGAAGATGCTGGTAGCCATATGCTTGGAGTATTTGTTTTTTGAAGTTCTCCAAGTCCCGCGGTCGAAGGCCGCCATTGATACATGAATCGATACACAGCAGCCTTAGGATAGTGGTGATTGGAATATCACGGGCGATGAGCTCCTCGATAACCTCATACTGAGATGTAGATTCTGCCCCCGCGGCGATATTTTGTTGCACTCCCAGGGTTCGACGGAATACATCCGATCGAGTGTGACGCATAATCTCCTCGGCAAGGTTGGTATGAATCTTCAAGCTACTATGTTCTGCTTGGTATGCCGGTAACTTATTGACAAATTCACGTAGTTCCGAGGTTGACTTGGCCCCATGTCGACTATCATAGTCGCTTTCGAGCCTTCTTGCAACCTTGTTTAGGATGCCACCAACGATTGCGAAGTTGGCATCACGAAGTTGGGAAAATAGCTGGTCCGATGAATCGACTTGGACTTTTCTCTTCAGGCTCTGCTTTGATGCACTTGAAGAACTTGATGAGGTTTGGGGAGCGGCGGCGGAACCAATTATCGAGGAATCGACTTCGGTATGGTTGTGGTTAATACCAAATAGTTCGTCCACAAGGCCCTCATAAGTCAGTTGCGTCATTAAAACTGTAGCAAAGTCTACATCTCTATCAATTATGATCAGGTTCTCAATCGTATTGCTCGCCATGAGCTTGCCTCCAGAGCCGCCCAGGCCGCCATCGGCATCTAATTCTCTCCTCATTCGAAGCAACTGGTCAACGACTTTTCGAGCATTGTCTCCTTTCCCAACAATTCGTGGGAAATAGCCGTGTCGTAATTGAATTTGCATTAAGGCCTTGGCTGATAGGTAAATTGGCTGGGGGTTATGGTCCTTATAAATGGTAAGTGGCCAACGTCATTCGTATCAAACTACGAGTGGGACATACCAGGTATAAATCAGCGAATGAATCCGGCAGTTCCAAGGAAAGGACATCATTTTCAAGTGGCAGGAAGTACAAAGGGAACTCCGCAATGTTTATGTCACCTATGATGCCCTCTTCTTCCAAAATCTGATTAGACACTAAAGTACGTCGTGGTACCCAGAATACGGAAAATTCATGTTCGATATTTGATTCATTATTCTGCAGCCTTTTAATTTGGTCTAAAAAGCGAGTTATGTCAGTTGATAATTATAGCACTCAGTCGATTTTGGATGGAGACAGAATGTAATGAAAAGTATCATCCAAAACTTGCATAATATAGGGAACATAAATAACCATGTAGAGTATATATGTTTCTGCCTGGTCTCTGTTGGTCCCAGTTTCATGTATGAAATATAAATAATAAATAGATGTAAGTACGTACCAGCAGCAGATTGTACATGGTTTGGTTTCTCTGCGTGAATCAGAAATACAACATTCCGTTGAGAGGAATCAACGTTCTCATTCTCGAGTAAAAACACTCGATCTACTCCATATTCTTGAAGTACGGAGAACTTGACGAATAGGCCCACCGGCCCGGCCAGGTCCTTGCTAACTACAAGATTCTTCTTCCCACGGACCTAAAAACGCAATTGTAAGCACTTTGGAACATTCAGTCACATCAGAGAGCTTGTGGACTCACTCCTTCGAGAAGATTCAGGAGGTCTCTCCTTGCTTTCTCCTTAAGATATTCGGCCTCACTCCCGGGATGAGGAGCCATTTTCAGGATTTGATTATTTGAAACGGTGACTGGAGCCGGGTAAAAATGCCCCTAGAAGACAGCAAACTCATTGCCTCAATATACACGTCTTGTTGTCAGGGTGTAGTAGCGTAGGTTGAAGCATGGAGGTTTGCACATCGTTCTTCGCAGTTGGTTGGTTGCTATTTCGGGTTTAGCACTCTTGCGTAGTTTCGCTCCGCCACATATCAATCACGTGATATATACAGTCGCTGCCTTACGTGGATTTAGGGAGGCTTCACCATGAGACATTCAAATCTCGAACTTGAAGACAGCATTTCAGGGCTTCAGTTTGCCCGTCAGGATTAATATACACCTCCCGGATTTACTATAGGAGCTACACTGAGTGACAGAGTTACCCTACGTTGACGGCGACTCGTCATAAACATCACCACTTACCGCTTACAACCCCCCTCCTTCAACCCCTTTCCAGGCGCCATGAAGAAGTTTGGATTCGGCAAAAAGAACGATGACGGCGGGGATGATAGTAACAGATCAGCTCTCTTTGGCTCACGATCAAAAAATAAGAGCCCTGCACCTTCAAATAACCCTTATGCCCAACCACCGCCTTCGACGGACCCTTACTCCCAGTCTGGGCATCGCCCTCAGGCCTACGGTGGGATGAATCAGCCTGGAAATCACCAGTCTAACTCAACATATGGCGGATCAGAGAAAGGATACAATCCTTCAAATGGTGGCTTTGCCCCCGGGAAGCAAGGAAACCAAGGAAGCTATGGGCAAGATAGATACGGTGGGGGTCCTCCTGCTAACAGCGGTGGTTATGGCGGCCTAGGCAGGGCAGACCCCAACGATCCGAGTACGAAGGATGGAAACAGAGATGCCCTCTTTGGAAACGCACCTAGCCGATACCAAGAACGACAGGCAAGCAGTGCACCTCCTCCATACCAATCCGACTCGTCTTATGGCGGACAACAACCCGGAGGCTCCAGTGGTCCTAGCTATGGCAAATACCAGGACCGACAGCTCACAGCCGAGGAAGAGGAAGAGGAAGACATCCAGGCTATGAAGCAAGACATCCGGTTTATGAAACAGCAGGATGTGTCGTCAACCCGAAATGCGCTGAGACTAGCTGCAGAAGCAGAGGAGAGCGGAAGAGCGACCCTTGCTCGTCTTGGTGCTCAGGGTGAACGAATCCACAATACGGAAAAGAATCTTGACCTGGCCGCTAACCAGAATCGAATTGCTGAGGAGAAGGCTAGGGAGTTGAAGAAGGTCAACGGAAGCATGTTTGCCATGCACATCTCGAACCCTTTCACTAGCGAACAACGCCGCCGTGCTAGGGACCAGGCCATCATTGATCGTCACCAGGAGGAGCGTCTACAACGTGAAGAAACCCGACTTGCTGCTTTCCGCACAGAGCAGCGAATGGACCAGACTTTCAAGGAAATATCTAAAAAAGGTGAAACCGGCCCGAAGAGGACCAACCTTGCAGAACGTTCAAAGTACCAGTTTGAACAGGATAGCGAGGACGATGAGATGGAGAATGAGATCGAGTCAAACTTGGATGCTTTGCACGGTGCCGCTACTCGATTAAATGCACTTGCTAAAGCTACTGGGAGGGAGATCGACGAGCAGGACCCACATATCAAGCGCATTATTGGAAAGGTACTACTCTTCCCCCTTTTTCAACAATTATCCTTTTATCGATGCAGAGATATCTAACATCTTTCTTCTATCCAGAGCGACTTTGTGGACGATCAAATCCATATGAACAGATCACGGCTGGACCGTATTCGCTAGAAAGCAATTAGACGCACCTTGATATTCACATATTGCTGCCCACTCACTGCATACGCATCATCAACCTTACTTGCCATCTTCGCCATCACTATGCACATACGCAATATGTAAATAACTTTGTGCTTCCTCGAAAGATTAGCATTGTCCGTCTTTAATCATCTTCTTTTTCCCTCTTTGAAACGTATAGTTTATCAATTAATTAATATCTCTTCGGTCCCGCTATTGTTTATATGCCACATATTAATAAAAGAGCATTTGAGTCAAACATTGACCTCTGCTAAGGAAGATTATCCGAAAAATTTACATTTACGCATAATCCGCTGCGTGAGCTGTTCCCTGGCTACCGAGTAGACCCAAGGCCACTGATACCCACAAATGAAAGTTAACATACCTGCATCGGCAACTGCCTTTTGTTCCCATTTGAAAAAGAGTATCAGCTCAAGACCGAGGCAGATAACCGGTTTCCCTTTAGGGCGAACAGTTCATATGAAGAGATCCATGATTCCTGATCCCAATAGAGCTGCTCTGAGCACAAAACATTGCTTTGTGGTTACGGGGCTATGGTTTCCCTCGTTTCAAGCAATGCCCCGACCCCTGAAGGAGATAAGCAGCGGTCAAAGCAGCCAATAATTCAGCCTGTGATATCAATGGGCGGCATATAATCAACCTGAGAGGCTTTACGCCCGAGGTATCAATAGCCGGTCAAATGTCTTATATTTCAGGTGCTATTGAAACCAATGAGAAAGGAACAGTATGTAAAGCAACTGCTCGCCCACACCATGTTTCCGATATCGGTATCGTATATATTTATCTGTGATTCCTCCCCCGATAAAGAGATATCCATCTATCGGGCACGGTCGATGGGGAAGCCGTCGATGGGGCGGCATCCTTCCATGGCGGGAGTAAATGAGCAGATCGAACTTGTAACTCACTTGTCGAGCAAAGGAAACGCAAGTCAGAGATCGAAGAAGAAGAAGAAGAGGAAAAACTAATGTGCCACCGAAGCCCCTTAAATTAGTACCCGTGAGTCTCAGCCGGCTCAAAAGGGAAAAGTCGCCCTTGACTTCTCCTTCTCGGCTGTTCGGTTCGATGCGTTTTGCCGATTCCCGGGGCAGTAGCTGACTAAGCGGTTGATTATCAACCTTTCGTCTTGTGGCAGCCTGAATCGAAACGCTTTGAACATGTCCTGTCTTTGTTTCTCCCCCTTTTTTCTTGGTTCCGACCTCTTTATTTCGTTTATCCGAAGGTGTTGGAAACCGTTTAACGAGTCGAGGTATGTAATATAATCTCTCACAGGCGAACCCTGGTGTGGTAAAGCATAATTAGAGCGACATATGTCCCTTCCCCCCTTAGCATTATTTAGAATACTCCAACGGCTTGCGTTGCCTGACGGGGAGGAGAGACAAGTCTCGTCCAGGATCACGGTCGGTTATGGGAATGGGGGGGGGGCTTTTTTTTTTTTTGCATGGCACTTGGCCCTCTCGCCTTTTCGAACGTGTAATTGATCCCTAGTGTAGGTTCAGCGAGAACCAGGTCAATGAAACATTGTCTAGAGAGTAATAATAATATTAGCAACGCTATCAGCAAGGTCAATAGGCTGAAGTAGGAAGGCGTTACGTAGTCGGTGAGCGCTGACGAGGACGAAACTAGAACGCGAAAAGGGTTGAGCAGACGAGTGGCTGGTGGGATGTCATGGAGTTTCGCTTGGCGTGGTGGTCTGTATATACACGGGACGCCTAAGGAGTCAGTTAACGACAATGATAAAGCATGCGGGATGTTAGAGGAACAAAATTTCAGGATAAGACCTACCATTCATCACAAACTCCAAGACTAACAGGCGACGGGAGCGAAGATGGAAGAGTTATTAAGGGAGGGAAATTTGCATAACATAGTGTTCATTAAAAGCTAGATAGCCGAATCTGATAAGATACTCGAAAATGTATCTTAGCTGCGCGGAGCGATACTGATAAGACGTAAATGCATATGAAGCTCCCGTCTAGCGTGGGCCAAACAAGTGTAAAGGGTAGAAGAGAAGATAAACTCGACGAAGGGCAGGGTATATGAATTCATCGTAGAAATATCAAGGGAAAAACCGAATATCCCAGGTCAACAAAGGAAAAAAAAAAGCCTAGAAAAAAGCTGGAATCACGAGGAAATCGTAAAACAAAAGTGACAACTCCCTTCTATCACAAGTCACAACTGAAAATGAAAAAAAGAAAGAGGAAACAAAAGCGTTCGAAGTCGGAATACCGACGTATGATAAAGTAGCTTGAACCACCCTACCGGTGTGAGGACCACGCCCCCATATTGCCCCGTGTGTATAATTCAGTGCACCGCCGTGAGGTAAACGAGGGAAGAAAGAAAGACGTGAAAGGAAGAAGAAGAAAACAATGCTCCTGCCGAATGGGTATCAGATAAGAGTGTGTGTGTTCCCGGGGGCAAAGTGAGTTTTTTTGCAAAAAAACGGGACGGAAAGAAGGGTAATGAAGCTAGACCTAGTATACAAGGTATATGAAGGATTGGGAGAGGTTGAAATTCAGGTCAAGGAATTGCGTTCGTGTGTAAGGAAAAAAATATGCCGTGGGTATATGGATCAAGCGTCGTGAAACAGGGAGTAGTACTTCTTCGAGTAGAAGCCGGGCCCATTAAGAAGGGCCAGACTAAGGAGAAAATAGCCTTGCTGAGTAATCCGGAAGCAGGAGATGTGATATGTAGATGCCGCCTATTGTAGTTTCGACTACTCTTCCTCTTCAGGAGAGCCGGAATCCTTCTCGCCCTTGTGTACTTTTTTGTGGCGCCGCAGGTTGGAAACGACGGAGAAATGACGGCCACAGCCCTCAACGTCACACGCATACGCTGTTTAATAGGTTAGCTATATTCTCAAAGTTTCAGACTAGAAAGAGGGGGAAATCGTACGCTTTTCACCGGTATGGCTGTACATGTGCGTCTGGAGAGAAGAAGGCCGCGTAAATCGCTTATCACAAATCTTGCACTTGTGCTTCTTCTGTGTGTTTGCTGGCACTTTGGAGCTGAACTGGCCCATCATCGACTGTGGTCCTGGTGGCATCGCGCCCATGAGACCGGATGGTCTTGGTAGTGTTCGAGAAGCAAGCCCATCGTATGATTCAGATGTTGTCGAGCTATAGTCTGTAACAGAAGAGTCGACTGATACAACTGATGCGCTGTAGTATGGGTAATTATTCCCCGATGAGATCGAAGAGCGGAAGAATGAGCTGATGGAAAACCATACGAATCCGCCGACCCTCTGGAAGAGCGGGGTGGGTAGATTCCTCTTGGAGTCAGATCCTGGCTAAGGGCAACCATTCCGCGGCTTGCATCCAAAGCATCGCCGAAAGTGCTCGGTGGGGGAGGACCTTGAGAGTGTGGCTGAGATCTATGCATATCTGTCAACAAAAAACCTCCTGACAAGTTTCATTTCCCGTCTTTTTTACCGCTTTTCAAGGGATGAGACCAAACTTACCCTGGGTGTAAAGGTCTACTTTCGGGGTGATGTGGGTGATGAGGTTGTTGTGGGTGATTCTGCTGCTGCTGCTGCTGTTGCTGTTGCTGCTGCTGGAGTGAATGTGCATATTCCATAGATCCGTACGATGTGGGAGGGAATTGATGTATGGGCGAGGTGGTGGTCGAGGACTGCTGCTGTTCCAACGATGTTCTGGGCATATCTTGGGGCATCACCAGGATATCTGAACCGCCATAGGTAACTGCAGGATAACTTCCGTTTGGAACCATGGACGGGGCCGATACGGGGACACTCGAATATGGCATGGAGAGAGCCGGTGGGAGTGGTCTCTGGACATCCTCACGCTTTATCGGGTTCGTAGGAGGAATGGAGGAAGGGTATGCAGGGGCAGGAGGGTGAGAGGATGGTTGCGCCGACCACGCATCGTTGAACTGCGGAGGATTGGACTGGACATGGTTCTGGTATACGCCGTCATACGCCATACCGCCATACTGGCGATGCCCATGCTCCAGAACCATAGTCATTGAGAAAGGTGTTGAGGGCGCTAATCCGTTGATATAAGAGAAGATAAAAGAGTAGGCGGTTGTGTATATCGAATTTTGGAGGGCAAGAGCTTTGCTACTTGTCCCTTGGCCGGCGAGCTGGGTTCGTATAATCAGACTCTCTCGAAGATATCTAGATCGACGGCTTGTTTGATGTTGACCAAGGAAGATCCGAAGCAGATCCGAGGGATGATGGCCTTTGATATATATCTGTTTATGATCTTTGCCCAGGACGAGAGAGGAAAAAAAGGTACGGAAAGGGTTGGAGGGGAGGAAGACCACTTGATATTTGTTTGATGGGATTCGAGAGAGAGAGAAGAGAGTTGCGCAGTGGGTCTCCCTTGCAAAAAAAAAAAAAAAAGCCCCCCAAGGGGGGAACCACCAAGAGTTATTGGGTGAGAAGAAGAAGTTAAGTCGTGTGGCTGCTCACGGGGCGATAGACAGCAACCCACGATCCCCAGCAAGGGTATTTTGCAAGGGTATTTTGCAAGGGCAAGTTTAAATTTTAGTGGGCAAGGGAGGGGGGAAGAAGCATCCAGTATAGATAGATATATATAAGTATGGGTTGATGGGGAGACGAGGTTTGAAGCTGGTAGACAAGTTTATATATCAACACGAGCGCGGCAGCTTAAGGGGTTTTTTTCCCTCTTCTCATGCAAAAAAAGAACGAAAGATGGAGATAGAGAAGTGGAGGATGAGATGAAACGAACACTACCCCCATCAACTATATACTATATATCTTTTGAAGGGGGGGGGGGAGGAAGTTGAAAAGATTTCTCCAAGGTCAGGTCGAACCGGGAGGTGCTGCTCGTAGGGACTTTCAGGAGAGAAGAGAAGAAGCGCAAGACGGTGCAGACAAAACAGAACAACGAGAGAGAGGCCAACAGGCATGAAATCCACCAGGATGATAAGAATTAATGAGAAAAGCCAGCAAAGAACAGAAAAGAAAAAAAACAGTGGAGCACGGGAATTCCTGCGAAGAAATATTTTTGATACATGCAAAATACTTGTACTTACACATACAAGTTTTCAGACAAGAAAACACATTTCCATACATACTCAGTCTCTATGTTTTCCAGGTCTCTCTACCTCTCCAGTTAATGGTTAGATGGCTAACTTCGATCTCCTCATAGGATCCTGCGGACATGGTGTATATGCCCTCAGCTCTCAGAAAGAAGAGGAAAACGCTATCGAGGCTCATCGAGTAGACGGAGCAGTAGAATCCTGGTAACAGAGAAGCAGACATGTCATAGTTTCGCTCTCGGGTTTGTGGCACACGAATACCGGCCTTACTTGTACCGACCGGCGTGTTCTGCCAACGAGAGCACAGTCAAGGCGTGGAGCAAAGGGAGGGAGAAGGGAAAAAAAAGGGAGGTCTGTATTCCTTCTGGTATGAAGGGGGTAACGAAAAAGCAAAGGGGAAGAAGGCCCAGAAAAAATGATGCATTACAGGCCGAATACAGACATGGTAATGACAGGACTGGACTTTTTTTTTATTTTACCAAGAAATATATATATGTAAAAGTACAGATATATTTCGTCCCAGAAGGAAGAGAACGGGGAATGGGAGGGACGTGGTGGATCCCCCCCGGTGGGTTCATGATGGGCGACGGGACGCTGGCATGGTCAGGCTTTGGGGGATTGGCTCTCTTGATATCTGAGGGTTGGGCACGACCCAAAGGGGCAGCAGACAAGAGCAAAAAGCACCAGCCAGCCAGCCCAGCAACAAGCACCAGCAATCAACCAAGAGCACGAACTGAAAAGAAAAAATGTGAGAGAAAAAGAAAAAGAGCCTGTGAAGAGAGCAAGGTTTTTTTTTTCTTTTCGGTTTTGTTTTTTCTTGCAGTCAAGGGCTTGTAGATCGTTTTTGCCTTTTGGTGGCTGAAGGAAAAGGAAGCAGAAAACGGCTACGATGGGAAGAAGCATATGCATCCCAATGAGAAGAGGAGAAGAAGCAAAGAAAAGGGCGTGGTGAGAAGAGCAAGTCGGGACACGATTTCAGTCTCTCTGAGAGTATACGGAGTATATACGGACTGTTGCTGGATGGTGAGCGTCTCTCAATATCATTTGCTTTTGCCTTTTTGCAACAAGGGCTAACCATGTCCCTTGGGTTTCGATTAACTCTTTAGTTTCTCTCCCTGCAGGGATCCAAGGGCGCTTCAAACCTTCTCTTTCTTAAATATTTGAAAAAAGGGCAAGAAGAAGAAGAAGTGTAAAAAAAAAAAAGGAAAGTCTCAAAAAAGGAATATGTGGTGACTCTGGTGATAACTTATGGGAACATTTCTTTCGTCACTTGAACTCTGTTGCTGACGCTCCGCCATTGCAGGGCTGCAAAGAAGCAAAAAGGGGAAACAGACGGAGATGGGATGGAGATAATTTATCCGATACAGATAAAGATCAGGTTGACAAATACATTCTTCTTGGTTGCTCGAAGGTGGCCAGCCCCCAAACGGACAAAGGAGGAGAGGAGAGAAACAAGACACACATGTCCTTTTTTTTTACTTCGTGATAGGAAACGTTGCCAGAGTGGAATGGGGGATGAGTTTACCTTGAAAGACCAGTGATGGAGGTGTCTGCTGTGTGACATCGACATGGCTTGCCTCTCTACGACTCTCCTTCACCTGTCTTGCAGCTGGAGGCGTATATACCATGTAGTCAACGACGCAGGCACCCTTCTCCAGGAGGAAGGGCTCCGTATGGCGCAGTCGATGGGGCACCAGGTTACAAGTTACATACATACGAGATAAGGCGAATTTCAGGTCTTTTACCGTATATGGACGGAGTCAAAGTTAACAGACATCATCTATCAAATTGAACACTCCTAGACGAAACAAAACATAGATCTTCAAAACCCTAGCTAATCATCAAAGAAGGAGAACGCCTTTCGATCAGATTCTATCATGCAAGTATAACGTATACATAGTATCCAGGACAACTATGTACCTTTCGTCCCCGATAGAATGGCGCATCCCAAAGAAAACAAAAGCGCTAATTAACTTTCCCCCATCAAGCCTCAAAACTATAGCTTAAATATATCGTCGCCTCGCCTTGCCGCAGAGAAGAGGTGTGTTGTACAGGCGGTCCGCGGAAGAAGCTGAACCGGAATATTGAGAACAGAGATTTTGTTAACGTTCAGCTGCTTCCTCAAAAAACAAAACCAAAAAAAGTGGACAAATCATATATCAACAACCAGTTAGCCTGATTGCCTCTCAGCAACATATTTAATCAACTGACTGGCAGGTAACCAGGAAATGTCAGCGGAAGAGGCGGAGAGAACTGCCCTTTTTCCCTTTATTTCCTTTTTCCCAGCTTATCACCCCCGTCCACTCATCAAACAAGGTCGATGCAAGATGCAGAAAGGATACGATCTGTCCATTCACAGTAGCGCGCGCAAGGCTGGCAAGTTCTTCTCCCACAGCTACACTAATTGGACAACATGGGCTTATTCTTCAGCCAGAGGAAAAAGAAAAACGTCCGACCTTGATGGTCACTATTTCAGCCGTCTTGACTCATGAATACCCCGTAAATACGGGGCCTGGTGTATACTATGATACCACATCGATTGTTTATATATTTAGCTCTGCGGATTTTTCGTTAGTTGGGTACTTGCATGTATGAGAAAGCCTCACACGGGAGGCCGTCGCGAGTACTTGCCCATACCGAGTGCAGACAGCTGTTGTTTGTCTGTTTGCACCCGGATACTCTGTAAACAACCCAAAGAGTCCACCAGTAAGGCGGAGGAGGCGCCTCAAAAGGTTCAATACTAAGTGACAAAAGAAGCTAGGAATTAATATATATTATGCATGTATATGCATTGGGCACTGTTGATTGCAGAAGTTAGCTTCTATGCATACCAAGGCGGCCAAAACGCCCTGACCTCTTTGTCACCTTGTTTGGTTTTTCGAGTAACAGCATCTGCAGGGATGCGATAGGCGACTTAATATACATATATGCCGTGGAATTCGTTCCATCGTAAATATTTGATTGGCTCCTTTCAAGGCATTGCAAGATGCCAAGCCTGCTTTGATACGAAAAAAAGGACCACGGAACCTCCAACTGGTCCTCCTCGTTGATAGTTTGGTGTTGGTCACCACAGTCCAATTCTGTATATACTTCCAATGTCTGAACTCGGAGAAGTCGGAAGGTAGCTGCATGGTCCCCGACCTCTCTCACTGGACATCGACATCCTTTTAACGGGCTGCGTTACTCTGCCAAGGGGTCCCACCAACAACTTCTTGTCCTTTTGTCATCTTCACATCGGCATTTCAACCGGTTTACGATTGCTGGAATATTTCAAAGGCTCAGGAACGGAAATGGAACGGAGAAGACTTAGAGTTGATGCCAGTCTCACATGATGGCTTCTTCATGTGCAGCACAGCCGACTTACCGATAATTTTTTTTTTTTTACTTTGCTTCGCCGTCATTGGGCTAAAAAATCACCCCACCCCTTATACGGGAGCACAGAGTATATGTACCAGGCAGCTTGAAGACTCTTGATATACATGCAGTTGAAAAATGGGGCTATGGACGAGGTCTTCGAATGTTGCGGTCAGTGAATTGGAGTCGACGCGGTATGCTTGAGGTCGAAATAAGCTACTCCATGGATAAGCTTATGTCGGAGCAGTGATCGTCCATGGCAGAGAGATCTTCCTCAGCGAGGTCGAGTGGGAGCTGTCATGGTTGCTGGGAGACAAGCCACGGTCGCCGTTGGTCTTTCAAAGCAATGTAGCTGATCTTTGATGTCTTTCGTCTTTCTCCCATGCCTTGATCGTCTCGAAACAACGGTGAGTCAGGAAAATTTCTTCTCCCAGGACGCCATTCCGCGTCTTCTCCCTCCAGGGTTAACCATAACCAGTCAGCCTCTTGAAGAAACGTATCCAAAACCAGCAACACTATGCTTTTTGGAGGCCACTTTTCGACCGCTTCTGCGGCCTCAGGTAGGTACTGCATATATGTATACGGAGTACAGAGTACTATGTACGACCAAGTAAATAGTATGTGGCCCATCCCAAGGCTGATCGACACCACTATGTTAATTTTTTAGCCAGTCTTTAGAGCCGCCACAACAACAAAGAGGGCGGGATCGAGAGCCCAGCACAGAGGGAACGTCCCGATCCCAAGTGTCTGGAAGATCGACCGCAAACTTTCAACTCGGGAGATTCTCTCCCAGAACAAAAGTGATCGATCTTCCAAATGACACACATAAAGAATGCAGAGGTAGCCCAAGGAGGGAAGGAAATATGTGAATCCATACATACTATGTATTGTTCCACACTCCACCTCCTCGCAGGCTCACGTCAATATCCATATTGCTTAACCATGATGACGGGTTTTCTTTAACATCACACTTCGTCATCGAAATAGGCGTGGTTGCACGGTCAAGGAGAAAATGTTAACGAGGCAAGCGTGGTATATTTTACAGGAGAGGGGATAAAATTTCTGGCCCGTTTTATTTACTCTCATGGCGGTGGGCTCCCTTTCATACTCATATGTGCGCCAATACTCTGTGTTCAAAGCAACACCACTTACATCGTGTCTACAACCGCCGAGGGGCTCAAGCGCACAGTTAAGCTCCTAATCCCCGAAGATACACATCCCTTGCAGCTTACCTCACCGCACAACGATCAGAAAGGCGGACTCAATCATGCAGTGACACGTACTTATTTGGTCAAGCTGTAATAACCGCCACTGAGAATTCCCACCCTCGAGGGTGGCGAGTTGAAGAAGCAGAAATGAGTTGTATCTTGACGTTTTTGATGCATTGTCATCTCCTAGAATCGATCTCCTTTTTGACAGATTAAACTCAGCGATCAATAGCAAGGATTATGTAATCCATGCTAAAAGAGAGAGAATAAATACATAGTAAGTTACAATACGAGATAGGGGATGATACTTACATTACAACCAAGCCGATGACATAATAATTATCGACGATGGAATGCTAAGCGTCTCTGGTGGACGGGAGAGCAACGCGGGTAACTTGAAGCCGAGCCCTTGGAACCCAAAAACAGCCATGAAAAAGCGCAGCGTGAGGCCATTAAGCGGGAAGGACTTTACATAATAGGAATCCCGAAAAAGCGGGCACGCACGCTTAAAGGAGCTTAGATGAACGCGTCAGCTTCAGCAGAAGAACCCTGGTCAGTGGAGAGTTTCCCCAGGATCACTACTAGCGTTGAGACAGGGGTTGAAGCAGCACCAGCACAACATCAGCAACACCACCAGTATCACAGTTGAAGGCGTGGAGCTCAGGCGTTAACGTTACTTTGGGTGGTCTCATCGCGTTGCATCCCGCGCGGTAGTTTGAGATTTGCATTAGCCATTTGAGTGGGGAGTAGAAAAAGCAATAGGTGGGGGGGAGGAGGATGGTGGGCAAAAGAAGTTGTTGATGGCGAAGTGGAACCAAGGCCACACGAGCACGAATTGAAAAAAGAAGATGCCATCAAACAGAAGTATGAAAAGGCGCAGAACGAAGCAGCACACTTACGGAGTGTTTTCGAGCGAGGAAAGGGGACTTGGGCTCGATCTTGGGAAATCGCCTTGCTCAGCCTTCATAATACGGGGTCTTTTCTTTTCTTCAATATCTTGATCTTGGCTGTTTGATTTTAATTGTGCCTTTCTTTTTGTCCTTTTACAGAAGGGCTTAAACTTCATGCCTTTGTGACAGCAGCAATATGCGGCGACAACACCAAGGGATCAAGGAGGTTTCGGTAATAACAAACACCACCAGCACTTACCACAACCTGAATACCCCGTATACTATATAGAATGCCATTGCAACACTTTATAGGCCGGAGTGGTCAATATGGAGATACGGGTACACAAGAGGGTGCTGGGGACGGTGTTCCAAGGAAGCTCGGTGAATCGTGGACTTGGAACAGCCTTAGAAACTGGAGAACATCTGCTGTGCCAAATTATACGAAGAGCTTATACGTATGCACTCCAATGTGCTAAGATGGTCTGCAGTTACTGTAGTTACTCCATACGCTAGGTGCTGATGGAATAGACCTGATCTAACAGGCGTATATACCCCGATATACGGAGTATGCTGCTCTCCATCTGCTAAATACACTCGGCACAGTACATCAACGTTGTAAAGTCGTATGTCGAGATGTTCCTAAAGCTTGGAAATGGCGTTATTTTCAGCCAAGCCGCCATCGAAAGGATCCGATCCTTGACCCGCCACAAGAGGGTTGGATGATATGGGGTGTTCTTTGCTTTTTCTTTTCCATCTATGCTCTGTATGTCCAGATATACATCATAATATGTAGACACAGTCACTGGTGAACCGTCATAGCATGTGAATCTTCTACGTGTGAGATAGCGTGCCAAAAAAATTCTTCAATCAGAGACAGCAGCCTCATCATCAAAAAAAATAAAAATAAAAAAAAAAAACTGACGGCCGAGTTGGTGTCTAATAAGAGACGCCTATACTCCGTACACTGTCTGTGATATCCAACATCCAAGGAGGTGTTTGAGATGCATTACGTGTCGTGTCTAATTGAACCTCACAAGGTGTTTATTCGATCACTGAGGCTTGGCAATAAATGGCTGACTCAGCTCCACTGGAAGAGAACTATGCCAAGCCCGAGGCATTATATTGGCCCACATTGCTTACAAATGTCCTGGACACTTTTTGCCTATGTATACAGCAAACATAGCTAAAGCCATTCAGGAGATAATGGCATACACAATTTATGCAAGGACTAGCTAGTTACTATCGTGGCTGGGCTGACTCAACAGACGCGGGAGACTATGTATGGGTAGTTTGCATCTTCTAGAGTCCAATAGTGAAGTCGATAATGTGTGTTTAGTTAGTGTATCTATAACGCCCTGTGACGTCGACATCAAAAAGGATTACACGGAGAAAATAACATGGTTAGCTTCACCCCGAAGCAACCCAATATCTTCTTTAGTAAGTTGGGGCTCCAAATTTGCCTTTTGATGTCCCGGCTAACGCAAGGCACAACGGTTAGTCGAGGACCTTCCTTGTGATAGTGGTTTCTTCAAATCCGAATCATCAAGGTTGGATTCCTAGATGCAAGGTTCTTTTGTTCGGTGAAAGAAGATAGAGTAATATAGGAAACATTTGCAAGCAAACTTCTTAGCCTATTCAATCAGTACCCGAACCCAACCATTATGTTCACTGGCAGCCTGTCATTATAAACGTTATATGACCGATTATATACTCATGGGTCATTGAACTATACTAGAGAGCACGGTTGTTCATAGTATATATAGAGGCGTCCCCTGGTCTTTCACTCGAACCGAGGTGTGAAACCCACCTTAAACAGCATTAATGTCTGAGATGTTCGGCACAAAAACCACTTGAGCATAATTTATAACCCACTCATGAACCTCATATATTTGCTCATTCAAAAGGAAGAGTAAGAAAAAAGGCAAGTTAACCTATATATGTCCCGTTTATAGTCCCCATGGAAAGGGATTGATTCTTCACCGCCGGCAGATCACCATCGAGCCTTGCCAGAACTCCGACGGCTTCTGTACCATCCCCATCCTCACCTTCCTTTTTTTTCTCCCCTTCTCCCATCCCATACCCACGTTTTGACGACTATCACCTCCCAAAATCACTCATTTGGTGGCTCAGATCACCATCAACCTCCACGTTTAACCCTGAGGCGATCACAACTCTCGCCAAAAATAAATAAAAAAAAATTGAAGCATTATTATTAATTTAGCTATCCTCAGGAACAGATTGTAAATCACTCTTGGCCTATTCCTAATCCCAGAACATGATCTATCTGAATCGATCTCTAACGTTAAGGTGAACAGGTTTCTCGCTTGGGACAGGAAGTAAAAGGGGAAAGAGATAGGTTACCAAGTTATGTCATAGTATTACCGAAATACAATGAAACAGAAATACACAGCAGCGATACTGTTACTTACCGTACAAGAAGGTTATCTCAATTAAGGTTTACTGTGGAGAAAAGCATGTATAAAGTTGGGTCCGCCAAGAGACTCGAAGCTTCGCTGGCGGAGCTTTTCCATCTTGCGAACTATACTATGTCTTCCTTAGTCTCAAGCAGAGCAGAAGAAGAATGATTCAATCAATAGCCTCCCCGAAGTGATCTTCCAACGTTTATTTCTCTCTCGCGGAGGATCGCCCTTTCCAAAGACATGGGTATAATTTATTGTAGCATTAAGCTTCGTTAAATGTCTAAATAGTGACGAGCCAAGAGTCAATAGATTTCGACGGGGCGTTTTCTCACTGGACATCAGTTTCTATATTTCCTTTCCCCCCTTTCTTCTTGGAGATGACATGTTTTGATAGAATATGGGTCAGCCAATTTTTCACTTTTTTCATCTTTCATTCTTTTGTGTTGTCTTCGTCAGTGACAGGGAGCTTGCCCAGGAAAACGAGCAATGCCCAAGAGGATGGCTCGGATACTCCGTATATACTCCGTATAACACATCCACATTCAGGGAACTTGAGTTTCGAAAATACGAGATTTAGGCGCCATAATAGGGGAAGAGGCGGCCTTGAGCAGTCTGTCGCCGCCAAAAAAAATAAGCATGACCATCTATTGGGCCCAGCTGGTAGTGGACGGCACCTAACCAGAGATATGTAGAGTTATATATTTATGTAGACAGAAAAAGAAAGTAGCACATCCATATATATTATTTATTGGTCGAATCACATCACGTAAAAAAGAGGACAAAGAACTGGGGGTTGGTCTGTTTTCTTTTTCTTTACATAATTCTCTGCCTCTATTATAAGCATTTTCCAATATGTATGGTTAACCAAACTATCCACAGTTTCCGTCCAGTCAGGTTGGGCGCCATGAACAGGTTACCTCCGATACGCAAGGCCTCCACGAAGGTGTGGGTGGATATAGGCATTTACATACTTATGTAGAAGAGACAACTGCGCTGGACGTGATGTCACAGCACATCAAGGAACCCTGGGCTGCGGCGCTGCATGTACAGGAAGACTCATCCGGAGAGTCATCTGCCTATGAACCCGCATATACATACATAAAGTGACAACGCCTTCGGGAGCAAGGGGGCTCTTCTTGCCCTTTTTACATATACACAGTTTACAAGGAGTCGGATGAACACCGCTTCTAATGCAACTCCAACACGGCACAGCCGTTCGACAAATATTCCATAGCTAAAGCAAATAAAAAAGAGGGGACCAAGAAAAGATCAAAAAAAAAAATCACAAAAATACTCGGTAGCCGGGCAAATGGATAACTACCGTTTTTTTTTTTTTTGAATTCAACGTCCATCGACGGAGTTCAGAGGAGCCTCCAGCTATTTTCAAACGGAAGAAGGGTCTGTGTCCATGTATGTATACGTGGACATCAAGAGATCAAGTACGCCTTGCTCATCCTCACTTCCCCGGCACCGGAACATAGAAGTTGGAACAGACAGTGCATTGTTTCATCTTCTTGGCCTCCTCTCTCGATCAATGCTTGACTCGTAAAAAAACCATAAGCTGGGTGGGAGCTCGTCTCTACCTGCTTGCTGTCCTGTCTTCCCGCCACCGCGCTCCGATATCCCTGCGCATCCTGAAACGCACCGTACTCCCAGACACTTCTGCTCTCCCCCCACCCCACATCCCGCCCTTGTTCAGCCTCCACTCCTTCATGTTCCCTTGCTCCCCTGGCTGCTTGGTTCCGCGAGGCCCCGGTCAGCGATGATGTCAGCCCAGCCTTCCCTCTTGGGGAAGAAGAGAAGACGAAAAGACATGTGGTGAACCGCTTGGAGAACTTCATGATGGGGGGGAGTTTTACAGCTCACCGACTGTCTGGTTTCTCCCGAGAGTAACCCAACTGGCTCTCTTTCTCACCCCTTTTTCTTTCGAATGTTTCTTCCAGAAACCAGCGAAACTGCAAAAACTGCTTGTATACGCAATCTCCCATTTACCCCATACATAGTACGGAGTATACTCACCAGGTTATCGCCCCATACTGAAATGGCGGAGAGAACGATCGATGATCAGCAAACAGATCACCATGTCACCAACTTGACCAAAGGAAGGAAATGTTCCTGAAGCATTCCTCTATTCTTCGATAAACATTACTTTTTCTCTCTCTCTCTTTTTCTCGTCCTTCTAGAGCCACTGAATTGGAAGAGATCGATCGACTCTGTTTTTACTCTCCATTCGCAGCTAGGTGCCTGGGCCTGAAAATCAACCCGTCACAATGAAGATCAAGTAAAGACAAAAAGTGATATGTTAATCGTTTTGTGGAACAGCCACAAGCTCACTATATACATAGTAGCCAACTAGATACCAAAAGACATGAGAATGCATGCATATCAATGTCAACGAAAGCTGCTTCAGCCACTGTCTGGTATAGATGTATATGTATACAAAGTATTCGCCACATATACGCACAACCGTCTAGATGTGTTTGATATATCCTTCCCGTGACGGAGTAATCCCCTCTTCCTCCGCAAGAATGCTTTACGCAGCCCGCTCAGAGTCAGTCACATCTTGTGGAACTCCGATATCCCAGCCGCCCTCTCTAAGGTCTCTCTGTAGGTGACACTGCAGACTTGAGGGGAAAGGAAGGCCCCTGTTTAATAATTGTATCTTGTCTATTCCACGCCATCTATGGATCGATATATACGGCTATACGCCCCGGTATGGCCGTTACGGCCACTGCTGAGCGCTGCGGATATTAGTTGAGGAAGATACAGTGCAACTTGAAGCCAGCAATGGAAAATGTGGCTCTCTTCCTCTATGCTATTTGCTAGGAACATTTAATGCGCCTTTCTTTGGCCTGAGAAGTTTACTTTTTCCTGCGCAGCAGCTAATATGTCCCATGGGAAATGTGCTGCGCCTCATCCGAGTTCCTGTCTATCATCGCGAGGCTGTTCCAGGTGAGGATTCCGTTCCGTCTTCCAGCTTATTTTCCTATCACTTGAGTAAACAATATCTGATACGTTACAAAGTACTCCGGAGTATGGCCATTTCTCCCATGGAACCAAATAAGTCAAAGAGCTAGTTTCGAGAAGTACTAGGCTCCTTGCTGGATAGGCAGAAATGGGATTAACTCAGAAAGAAGAGAATACCCCCAATTCTAACGGTACCCAATTGCGAAAGACATGGCTTTCTTATCAGGCAGTATATGCTACAATGCTGCGTTATTTATGTTGATTGGCCCACTGAAAGTTGGCTTGGTATGCATTCTTTGCTTCCATCCTGTGGATCCTACATTTTCAGTGTTAGACATGCGGAGTACGGGGTAGAGCTGACACTCTATCAACTGAATTTGGCCCGTCATTCCCCCCCTTCCCAAAAAGAGAGCCCCCTTTTCTTTTTTGCCAGACATCCACGCTCTACTAATCCACTTGTCAAAAGGGCCCGTGTTAAATGGGGTATTTGGGTACATAAACTATACAGAACCTCCGCCATCGTGCCTATAACTACAGGTGGCTAGGTTTCAAACCTCTACAGTGGCGTGGATATGGCTATTGCCCCATAGCCTCGCTGAGAACCATATCTCCCTTAAATTCGACGCCACATCTACCAGACCAAGCCAGATTATACGTCGTATAATTTATACTTAGCATACTTTGTACACCCAATACCCTATGGATGAGTGACGCTGTGCAACATAGGAAAACCCAGCTAGCCCTCCTTTCTCCACAGAGCAGGCGCTGGGGGGTAAACACGTTTTGGCAGCACATATCCAAGATAATGGCTGCCGTTGACGCAGATTGGATCCGTGATGTCTAACATAAGAAAAAGAAAGGAAGAAAGAAAGCGTACGGGGTACTATGTAGTATATAGCCACCGGAGGATCGTGCCTCTTGGTGGCGGTAGTAGTGGAACTACCTCAAAATTGTGTAGAATGAATACAGAGTATTCGAGGAAGCATATGAGTCTACGATATTGATATGGTTACAGCGGCACATCATGACATGGATTAACTGTCATCAATGAGCCATTGAACGCTGATAAAGGGTAGGAAATTTCATACGAGTTATTTATTTGGGCATGGCTCAAGTATATGAATTATCAGCTCCAAGAAAGGCCAATTATTACCACCTACAATTAACATCATGCTACCACTTATTGACTATTGTTACTACGCCTAATGTGAGAGCTCCTTGGTTCATCTTTGCGCTAGTAGAAACGTTGCATTAACTTAAAGCCAGAGCTTCCTCCATGGCTGCTGATCCGGCTCTACGCCCAAAGACAGCACCAGAAGTTAACCCGCTTTCTCCCGGGTAATTGCTATGAAATAGGCCACCCATCATCTCTCCCACAACGAAGAGTCCGGGGATCTGTTGGTTGTTGGCTGATGAGATGGCTGCCGTACCCAGGGTAACAGCTAGTTCTCCAAAAGTAAACGTAATGCCGCAAGTAACCTTCACTGCAAGATATGGACCTTGGTCAAGAGGGAGAGCCTAGTTAGATTTGGGAAGAGATAAGCTACCAGCTTGGGATTGCGTAGATAGTCCATCGTTAATTGCCGGATTCCGTTTAGCGCCGGGTGTCTCCTGAAGGTGCTAGTGTACTACAGTGTTATAGTCAGTAATCGTTTGATAAATGCTTCTTTATCCGGTAATTCAACACGTGAACATTTTTCAGCAAGTTCGGAGATTGACGGGGCAGTAATATGCTCAAAAATCTCTGGGCGGTATTCCTCGTCTTGTAGCCATGGAATCACCTGCCGGCTCCAAACCTGAAAGACGATATGACCTGGCAGTGCAAGGATAGCTCTACCAAATTTAGCATATGTGAGATCTCTCATATCCATACCCTCATCTACAAACCGTTCTCTTTCTGAGTTGATCCTTAGTCCAAGGGGATAGCCAGACTTGGTGAATTGATTTGAAAATTCACGACCACTTGGAGAATAGGGGCGTCCTGTGCTACTGAATGGCATACGCTTCAGTCTCCATCATGCTTCGCTGACATGTCGCGAATGGCTATCTCGAGACAATCACCAACATTGTAGGGGATACTGTGTACCTAGCCCTTATTTTATCTATGGCCTAGATACTTTGAACGCATCTGTGGGTTTGCTTTAAATCCACCAGCAGCTAGTATCATGGATTTGGATTTTATAGCTGCTTTGCTGCCGTTATGTTCAACGACTGCCCCTGAAGGCCTACCGGTGGTAGGGTTGGGAATCAATCTCTTCAAAGAGGCTGGATAAAAAACGGCGACGTTGCTAGGTTGTGCAGCAGCATGGTAGTCTTGCCACAGTCTTCGGTTTTAGGAGAAATGCCACCCCAACATTTGCAACGCCTGTCGACCTTGTAAGATTGTCGGTTGAAGGATAGTTGAAATCTAACACCAAGGCTTGTAAGTCACTTGATAGTAGCATTGGGTCTTAGATAGGGACGTTAGACATGTCCTGGTCTGTCCGTCCATCGGTCATCCGTAAAGTCCTTGACTGTGTGTCTGGCTTCATATCTATGATACCCGTTTTCTCACTGTCAACATTATTCACAATCGGAAGGATATCATCCAGGCCACCGTGGACCGTTCGGGATGCACTACCACTCCTCAGGACCTTTTCGAACAAAACTACCTTTCTCACACCATGTTCCGCGGCTGAAATAGCGGCTGAAAAGCCTGTATTTTTTTCCACTGCCAACGATGAGAAGCCACATTCCCGTGGGATTGTCATCTTCTAGTTTTGGATATCAGCTTCTATATTTCTGTCAACTAGGATCCGTTGCTTCACCAGGCAGTAATAGTTTCAGGGAGACTGCAAGGTGAGATTCTAATATCTCTTCTTTAACTGCTGTAGTTGGTTATGGGGAATATGGGTGAGCCTTCCAATATAACCGAGTCTGAGGTTCAACAGCCGTTTTACTCTCTCAGGCGGTCGGAGTGCCACTCAGCTTTGACGGAGACTTCTCCTCCGCTTCACAGCTCCACACTAAAACCGCCAACCCACCAATCCGCCAATGGTGTTTTCAGTATAGTATTGTGTAGATCCGTGTTCGATGGGCTTGTATCTAACCACCATCTCTGATATTTGGTATAGTCGAAGGTCACGAGTGCAACCACGGTCATGGTATGAGGGGGTACCAGGTGACAGTGATTAGTTAAAAAGAGAATTAATCTCTGGTCAAGATATCTATAATATCTAGGAGAGCTCAGCCAAAATTAACTGGGGCTGCCGTGAATTCCAAAATATCAAAATGAAGCGCGAGCCGTTCAATTTATTCTTCCTCTTTCGGGCATCCATGCTCGGCTCTTAAAACAGCACGCTAGTCCCTTTTGCTAAGTCACGTGGTAGCCCTGGACACCCTTTTTTTTCTTGTGACATTAAACTCAAGCTCGAAATCATGAACTTGTGCTGCGAATAGAAAGAATTATACCAAATATCATATTTATATCAAGATGATGATAGAAATAAAGCCATGATATAGTGCTAGATATTATCTTAGTGTGAGAGAATTGCCACCATCAGCAAATAACCCGGTTTCCGCCATATCAGCCCAGTTTTGAACCGCAATGATACTTCGCTCCAGAGGGCTACAATCCACCTGGCTTGCTTAGGAGGACGATAGAACTAGGGATATTGAGCTCCATTCTTTCGCCTCAGTGCTGAAAACATGACCAAATCTCATGATCACGGCCCGCCAAAGATCTTGGCCCGAGCATGTCAGTTTTGCAGGGCCCGGAAGATTAAATGTGATACCCAGCGTCCAAGCTGCAGTTCGTGTATCAACCAGAAGAAAGAGTGCGTGTATATTTTAGAGGTCCCAAAGAGAAGGTAGGTAGGACTGTGTCGTCCTTTGGAGAATCCCAAGTTTCGGTAATTGATTAAGAATAACGGCCCCTGCTGACTGAGGTAGGCCATCTACAGCTATTGTCAATGCTCTCCAAAATGAGAAGAGACAATTTGAGGAGATGATATTACGCCTGAAAAGGGCTTCTCCAGAAGAACGAGATACCTTACTGGATTCCATCCCAATTGAAGACGGCTCTGTGAAACTAAAGCGCGGTACGCCGCCACCTTTGACCCCCTCACCCTTGGGGCCCAAGAAGGTTAGCCGGGAAACAAAATCTCATCACTCAGATGATGATGGAATATCCTCTGATGAAGATCTTGATGTTCTCCCTTTTCTTTCTGTCGATGAAGGCGGCAAGGTGGATACTTTTGGGCCCTCCTCTGCTCTACAGGGACCGACAAAGCCCGTGATCTCAAAAGGATCCCCGGTCACTGAACATGTCCGAAACCAGCTTATAGCAAACGCAATACTTCAGCGTCAAAGAGAGCATGACATAAGGTGCTGGCGGGAAATATATGGTGTTCCGGTGGAGCTTGCTGTTCATCTCCTAGACCTTCACTGGAATCGGCAACACCATAGCTTCCTACTTACGTATCGACCTGCAGTCATGAGGGACTTGATACAAAATGGACCGTATTGCTCAGAATTCTTAATTAACGCGATTTTTGCCTGCTCCTGCAAGTACTCGCAGCGAATTGAAGTCCGAGATAACCCGTCTGATCCTGAAACGGCAGGAGGACGGTTTTTTGCTCGCTGTGACCAAATTCTAGCCGATCGGTCGCTTTTGAATTCTTCTAGCATTGCGACTTTAGTTGGCCTCCTCCTCCTTGGGTCAACTTATAATTCACTGGGACAGACCTCTAAGGGTTGGCTGTACACAGGATATGCACTTCGAATGGTATATGACCTTGGCCTTCATCTTGATTATAAAGCTACAACTGCCAATGCAGAGGATATTGAGATACGACGCCGCGTGTTTTGGGGTGCTTTTATCTGTGATAAACTACAGAGTTTGTACCTAGGACGACCGATGGCAATTCATATAAGGGATACACATGTGTCACGCAATTTTATGGATACCATGGAAGAGAAGGAATTGTGGACGCCTTACGTGGACCCCAGGCTGCCGTCTGAGTCTTTGCCGGCTCTGCCGGGTACTCCTACTCCAATCTATTCAGTTACAACATTCCAGCAATTATGCCTTTTGTCGAAGATAATGACCAAGATTATCAATCGGTTCTACGTGGTTGGGGCTACTGCTGCCAATGCAAGAGCTAGTCTACAGTCTATTGATGATGCCTTGATTTCTTGGAAAGATAACCTCCCATCAGATCTTAATTTTGAGCCTTGGTCGGAAAATCCATTGATAGCCCAGGCTCGTCCGGCTCCGAATGTCATGATCCTCAATGCCTTATACTACTCGTTAGTGATACTTCTACATCGGCCATTCATATCCGATGGCCATCTTCGCTCTGCCGTTGCGCCAGCAAGCTCTTGGAAGCGTTGTACTTCCGCAGCTAAAAATATTACAAGCATAGTCTTAGCATATAAGTCAGCATACACCCTCCGAGGCGCTGCTTATTTACTGAGCTATGCAGTCTACGTTGCATGTACTATTCATGTCCGCAACGCTGCAGCAACGGACGGCAATCAGCCAAGTGAAAATTCTTCTATACTCTCTGCAAGTCTTCACAGTCTAGATGAGCTCTCATTACCAAACGCTGGTGTGTCTAAGACAGCTAGCATTATTCGGAAAATTATGGCAGACAATGGGCTAAAACTTGTATCAGGTATCCTTAACCTCTTCAGTCCTACTGCCAAATGACAATTCTGCTAACTTTTTCTAAATAGAACCGGTTATTGATATACATTCACCATCCTCCTTGGATCTAGATGCCATTTTACGGATGTTCCCGTCCAAATCTCCTACCCAGGGCCAGCAACCAAACCAGCCTGAGGATTTTGATCAAAACTATGGAATGAACCCGTATGGACCAGAAGATTTACTCTACGGGTTTATGGATGGAGAAACAGCGTCTTTCTCAGACTTCACTAATGGAGCCTTCAGAATGTAAAGGGCATTTTTATGTTTTTCTTCTCAAGGGCCAAACTCGGCCTGAAGCCTCCAACTAATCCTGCCATCCGCTGTGTGCCTCATCGGAGACTGAGTCTCCGTCACACCTCTACTTAACCCATAACCTCGAGGGCCTCTTTGCCACTTCAGATCAGAACCTCCTGCGTTCAGTCAACTTGTAACAGCATCTATCTCTCATGATATTATGGTCAATTGCGCATCAAGAACCAATATATATGGCGCACAACCCCGGTAACCAGGAAATAAAGTACTAATTTATTATTAGATTGCAGAGTATGTTAAAAGGCTCCTACTCTTGTGGTTATGCCTAAGGTTACTAACTATACTTTCGACATAGTAGATCCAACAAATAACTCATGACACTATAAAATGATACAAAATCTGGAGTTCTTGTCTTAGGTGGGGCAATGGGACGAGAGACATTAGACAGCGTATTGATATACCCACCGATAGTTTGGCAGCCAATTTTATTACATTTAATCTGTTATCATATAGAGTAATGCTATCGTTTTAAAGCATTAATGCCTTCTGGCTGTATTTCCCATTATATTGCGTCTCAAATCTAATAATGTATATTGTTAAAACGAAAATTCGGCATTTATCCCAAATAACCTATTTTGGTAGCGGTTCATGATTTCACTTAGTTTCACCATGATGCCAGCTGCTAACATCCTAATTTGGTCGTCCCCCTTTGGTGTCTTCTCGAATATACCGCTTACCCATTCTCGCAACTCCATTACTTGCTCTGCGAATTCGGTAACTAACTGTTCTTCTCCAGAGGTTCCTGATGCAATGTTGATATCCAACACAGTAAGGAAAAGTGAGAGAATGGCAGAGAGGACTGTTGGCTCTGTTGCAACTGGAGAATTGTGGAGGGAAATTAGTAATGTGAATGCATCGGATGTTATGGTCAGCTGGTTAGCCGAGCTGGGCCCGATTGTCGATACGACAAGGTTAATAGTTTGCATAAAGAGCGAAAGGAGGTGTGGAACGAAAAATGGGTTATTGCCGTTGTACGACCTGGAAATAATGCGTTAGCATTCAGCAGTTTAATAGTAGAACATATACTCAGAACCAACTTATACATACGACATAGAATAGAGCATTAACCCGAATCCGCCAGTTAAAGGGCGGAAGAATGCTTCGAAGAGCGTTTTATGTAGATCTTTTGGAATCGACCTAGCTCTTCGCAGTTGCTCCCGTTCGTGCTTCTTCTTCTCCACTTCCATTCTTGACGAAAATTTTCGAACTTTGAGAGCATTTGGCCCGCTAAGAGTGTCCGCAGCGTTAAGGGCTAGCGGTTCTAGGGAGGTTCGGGTAATAGTCTTTGAAATAGCTTCAATTGGGTTCGTTTCAGACGTTGAACCATATTTGCTTTCAAGCTGAGGTGGGAGCCTTTGGGATGGGAATGATGTATCCGCAGAAGCAGGGAGGCTCATGGCCATATTATCCTCTTCCCTATATCCTGCGAGCTCTCGTGCAGCTAGGCCTAGGGAGATGAGCAACGAGGATCTCTGAGACTGAGATAGATCAATGTTGAAGAAAGCATTTGCTGCCCATGGGCCTAAAACCAATGGGCGCGCAGTAATAAGCGTGACCAGACTTTGCAGGCGATATTCTTGAAATTTTGGGGTGTTATATTTATCATGTAATCCAATAAGGGTAAGGGCAAGGTCTCTGATGTGTTCGTCCAGTTCCGAACCAAAAGCGATTTTTCGCCGAATGAGGCTGGGTGCCGTTGATATACCTAAGCTATAGCGGTCGTAATTGTCAACGTCGCGAAGGTACATTAGAAGATCCCTGATATATCTGTTTGTGTCAATGAATTTGTTAGTAACGAAAAAAACAAATGTATAATTGAAATTAAGATTAGACGCTCTTACACAGGCGGATTGGGTTTGGATCGCTGAATAAGTGTTGGATCCTCGTCGGAATCGGAGGCATCGGCGTCAGGTTTTTGATATGGGGTAAGATTATCCTCTTCGGATTCGTCCGATTCTGGTAGGGGAGATAATTTAGGCGTGACAGGCTCCGTATTAGGCTCCTGTCTTTTCTTTTGTTTTATACTTGAATTCCTCTTTTTGGTCGTTCTGCTATGAGGCAATGTACGGGTATTCCTTAATTCTTGCATCGAGCCAACCCTGTCCTGTATGTCCGATAACCTCAAATACCATAGCGCTTCCTCGCTATTCATTTCCGCTAAGTCAAATTTCAGGTAGTTTTCTGGTTTGTCGGTCAGCTTGGACAGAGAGGTGCCGACAACCATACCTAGAAAACGACATCGAGTGGATGCTGCTCCGAGGCGATTGGAAATTGCAGAAAGATAAGAACTTGATTGAAGAAGGTTGAAAAGGTCACTTTCTTCATGTCTGTGCAAATATCCAGAAGTAAGGAGAATGACTTGCGCATTCGCTACAAATCCCAAAACAGTTAGAATGGAACATTTGTTAAATGGAAGAAAGATTAATTACCTTCCTGAGCCTGTATTGGTGAGTGTTTAATAGAGAGCTTGTCTCCAAAAAGGTCAATTGATTTTGTAAATATTTGATAAAGGGACTCTAGTTATAGTTAGTAATGGGAAGAAGACGATACAGGGCAAAAGCTTACCTGTATCACAGCTGAAAGCGGCCAACAAGGAACGGCGCATTTGAATGCTAGTTATGCTACCACCTGTTCCTGATATAAGCCAACTCTTCAGGAAGTCTTTCAAGGTGGAAGCGTTTCTCGTTATTACGGAGAGTATGGCCGAGATATTAGATATAGCAGTATCCACATTGCTGCCCTCATCCCTTTCTTCAATGTTTACCAAATAAGTCCTTTCTAGGCAACGTAAGACTGACTCTAAGAACCTTCTTTGGTCATGTTGCTGCAAAACACTCAGTAAGGCGGTGAATTTTTCTGTGTCTTGTCTGTCCTGTTGGAATAACAGGCCGTTCAGAGTTTCATTTACTACTTGATCTATGTTTCAATAGGAAGGTTAGCATCGTAATAAACTGTTTTAACAAGAGCAACACCTACCTGGATGACCAATGCTTAATGATCGACTAGTAAAGGCGGCCAATTCCTTCCACGCCTCACTATCATCGAGCTGAAGTTGAGACACCATGTAGCCTATATTTCGTCCAAGCCAAGAACCATAGAGTTTCCCATTTGAGATCCATGCTGTAGGGGGGAATTCTGTGGATGATTCTGTATATTTAAGTGATTCAGCAGCTATAGAAAGAACTTTTCCAGATGCAAGCAAAGAGATGATCTCCCGCCAAAGAAGCTGCCGTTGAACCGTATTATCAATGAGTTGATTCATATCGGTAAAAAGCTGAAATAGTAAATGACTGGGGGATAATAGGCATGATAGTATTGATATAGTATCTTGAATCAATGTTCCCTTGTCGGATGTGGTTTTCTTTCCTTGGAGAAGATTTTGACTAGGGAGAAGGCTCCGAATATGAGCTAGCAGAGTCCCAATCCCAGAAGCACTTTTCAAACACCTAAGTAGTATGGATTGCGGTCTCCGCTTGGTGTCCGCTTGGTATGATTTTTCCAAGCTATATTCCATCCCCAGGCTAGCCCAGTGATCATGAATAGTAGTGGTGATTAATGCATGAAGAATTTGAGCTCCTAACGAGCTCGGAATAATGATATTAAAGTCTCCATCCTCTAGTCCAGCAGGGTCAAGGAATCTCAATGCTTCTAATACTGCTGATGTAGGGGCCTTGGATTTTAATAGTTGCAACACATCTTCTGGTGATGATATCTTAGTCTCAGGCTGGGGTTCTTCAATTATCGAGATCCGCGGAAGAGACGAAGATTCTCGAAGAGCAGAATCTGCAGCTAAGGAGTCTTCAAGGTTATCTGACGTTTTAACGACCTTTAAGAGCCCTTCCATGGTATTGGGTGTCGCGATATCTCACCGGGTTTCTGGACTTTTGCTTTGATGGTAATTGGAAGTTTGATATTATTGGGAGAAACTCGGTGCTATATATCAGATTACCTAAGCGCCATTATCGATAACATCACATGACACTATTTGGTCAGTGGGGTCTCGTCTTTAAAGAAACGTCTGGATCTACAATCATTCACGGATTTGTATCAACTACTGGATGTGCAAGTTCAAGTTACATTCTAATCAGGTACAATATCTAATCTTTACATTACTGCCTTAGATTGATTTAAAAAAATACTATTATATAGCTGAACTGTTGGTAGAAGCTAACTATCAACACTCAACCACGGATAGACTGAACAGACATTGTGGATATTTACTCTAAAATGGGCGGTTCAGATCTCTCAGGACAAATTCCTGAGCGATGGTTTGTCATTGCATAGTCTCACTATGATTTATACATTTGGTAGCACAGCACTAATGAGGTAGCAGGAAATATTTGCATCGAGTCCTGACACGTTCGGGTCCATTTAGTGATCCAGATTGGGTCCCAGGACCAGAGACTATTACGAGCCTGGAATCGTCAAAAATTTTGTAAGCTCTGGAGTCTGCGTGTCATCTAAATAATATGGGTATTAACGGTTACTAGAGTAATGTGAGAAAAAAACAGTTTATAGCCCTGTTCGTTGTAGACGTTTGTTAACCCCTTTAAGAGGTGCTGGGGGGCTTGGGTGTGAAATATTGAAAAATCTTGCACTATCTGGCTTTAAAGATATCCACGTGATAGATATGGGTAAGCTGGCCTTATCTATATCTGTGATACTCTTTGTTTCTTTCTCTCACACGCTACAGATACCATTGATATCTCGAACCTTAACCGTCAATTCTTGTTTCGCCAGGCTGATGTCGGTAAACCCAAAGCCGAGGTCGCTGCAGCATTTGTTGAGAAGCGTGTGAAGGGTGTTAAAATTACACCCTTTGTAGGGAAGATTCAGGATAAAGATGAGGAATTCTACATGCAGTTCAAAATCATTGTTTGCGGTTTGGACAGCATTGAAGCTCGTCGGTGGATTAATTCTCTGGTTGTGGGGATGGTTGATCTAGAAAACCTGGAGAGTCTGAAACCGCTTATAGATGGTGGTACTGAGGGTACGAAGCGTCTACGCAACCTTTTTCAACTTAAACACTGACATTTTTATAGGGTTTAAGGGGCAAGCTAGGGTCATTTTGCCGACATTAAGTTCCTGCATTGAGTGTCAACTTGATATGCATGCTCCTCGTGCTGCTGTTCCATTATGTACAATTGCAACTATTCCGCGACAACCCCAACATTGCATAGAGTGGGCGCATCAGATTGCATGGGGTGAGCGGAGGAAAAGTGAAGAGTTTGATGGTGACAATATGGAACATGTTACATGGATCTATCAGACGGCACTCGAGCGAGCAAAACAATTCTCAATCCCCGGAGTTACCTTTTCAATGTCTCAAGGAGTGGTAAAAAACATCATTCCTGCGATAGCTTCCACAAATGCTGTTATTTCTGCAGCCTGCACTTCTGAGGCACTCAAGATAGCGACGTCTTGCAATCCCTACCTCGAAAACTATATGATGTATGCTGGAGAGGAAGGTGTTTATACATACACCTTCGCGGTGGAGCAAAAAGAGGACTGCCCCGTTTGCGGAAATCTCGCCAAAACCATAGAAGTGAATCCAGAATCGACATTGGAGCAGTTCATTGAGTCTCTTGGAGAAAGGGCCGAAGCACAACTGAAAAACCCAAGCCTGAGGACAAAACAAACGACTCTATATCAACGATTCCCACCACAACTAGAAGAACAAACCAGGCATAACCTCGAGAGAAAACTTAAGGATCTACTTGAAAGTGGTGAGGAGGTTGCAGTGAGCGATCCAGCTTTCACTATCGACTTCCGATTTAAATTAGTTTTTCGATAAATACAGTGCAACTTGCTCATATCGTGAGAACCGTTAGCATGATTAATCTAGAAGACTTTTTTCCCCTCTTCAGAATTATGGACATTATCTAGGAATATGTCAACAATACTTTGTTAGCTAGATCGTATACAGTCATAAGAAAAACACCGCCCAAAATCAACGCCCAGAACGAATATGTATGGTATGCCCTGATAACCATCTAATTTTTTGACGCCAGTAAGAATGCATGTACATTGGTGAGAAAACCCGTGAATAAGCTGAATTTAGGCATGCGTGTCTGTGTTATCTGCCAAGGTAGCAACATTCCGCTTCAGCCTTTGGCACTTGAGCTTCAGAACCTTAATGCTTTCCAGGAACATGAGATCGCTATTGAACTGTCCGGTACTCTCGATATTGAAGATAAAATGATCCCGTACTCGACCAAGTTTGACTTTGCCCTTAAACTCGTCATGACGCAAACATTCCCTGCTGACGGTGTCTTTGAAAGGATCAACGACAACCGCCTTTTTCTCGCCTTCTTTTCCTTCGTAGCCACTACCGGGCTGAGCAGATTCTGCGGCAGTAACGTGCTCGATTCCAATAACACCCCTCGGGAAACAGCCTGCAAACTTGATAGCATCTTTTCCGAGAATAGGCCGTAAAATTTGGATATCAGGTAGAAGACGATATGATGCTGTGGCAACGGGTGAATATTTTGCGTGATCTGCTCCTATTCCCTTAATACAGTGCATTTCGATATCAATTTTTTGACCAGGCCTTAATTTTGCCAGGAGGATATCTGGGTTCGCTGATTGGATAACGCCATCTCCGTGGAAGTATTTCTCCTGTCGGCCTTGGGGTTCGAAGATGAGATCTTTAGCATATATGTGCGCGTTATTATAAAGCACGGTTGGATCTTCCTCGCTTGGATGTGCGTTGGGGTTCAGTTTGCATTCTTTTACTAATCGCAAGACGATGGTGTTCGAATCTTCGTGAGTGCTTCCACTGTCTGGGTCACCTTCCTTTGGTACTTTGAACCATCGAAGCCAGTTTATGCCTTCAAGGGAACCTTTTAGAGGGATTAGTCCAAGGCGATGGGCGAGGACTTCGTCTTGTATGACTGATGTGTTATTCTGGATGTATACATATTCGATAGCGAGAGTGGGGATTTCAGCAATGAGAATGCGACGAAAAGCATTCGCAATGGCAGCGTCCACCCCGATTAATGAAAAGGAAGCCTCGAGAGGATCATTCTTGTGGAATTCTATTTTTAAACCCTTGAATGCTGTATATTAGTATGATGTTACGAGGGAAAAAAGTAATCGAGTCAGGACAACTCACCTCGCTAAATTTGTCAATGGACCACGCATGGTTCTCACCCGGCCAATGGCTTGGGAAATCGGTCGCCGAAGGGTTTGTAACCGTCTCTGGGTTGATACCAATTATCTACTAGATATCAGCAAACCGGTTCACGCATGGACGGATATTCATTGGTTTTTTGGACATACCTTTCGCTTTTGTATTTCCTCTGGAACAGCGATTCTGGGCGCCATCTCGATGCAGCGAACGGGGTATATACTGTCTGTCTGCGCCGAAGAATCAAAGTTGTTACTCGTCAACGGCAAGCAAAAACCGCTTGTAGAAATAAAAGAATATTTTTCTTCAAAGCTTTCCAAAAAAGAAATTTTGCACTGTTTGGTGAGCTGAGAGCTCCCAGCCAATCAAAAGCCCCATATTTCGATTTCATATATCACGTGACAAAATCAACCGCATCTTCGCAACTTTTGAGCCAGGAAGAACTTGAATCAATTGAACAAGCAAAAAACAACTTCTTTGCTAGCAGCAGGATCTGTCCAGGTCGTATTGGGGTTGCCATTCAAGCCTCCCCGTCCGTTGGCCATGGCTTCCTCCATCACATTTCTCGCACGCCATGTGCCAAAGCGGCTCTGTCTGAGTCCCTCGTCTCGGTCGATTTCCGCCAAAACATCCAGGACGACAACCTTCTCGAGATCGATATCTGCCTCTGCGCCATGCCGCTATGCTGAGGCGTATCAGGCAACCAGACTGATTCCAACCGACCCTTCATTTAGGCCGGATACTTCAAAAGCTGATGCAACCCCCTCTGGACTCGAGTCTGAAACCACCTATGGCCGAAAGATCCGTCATTATACGGTCAACTTTGGCCCTCAGCACCCCGCTGCCCACGGCGTGCTTCGATTGATTCTGGAGCTCAATGGAGAGGAAATTGTTCGCGCTGATCCGCACGTCGGCCTTTTGCATCGAGGCACGGAGAAGTTGATCGAATACAAGACATATATGCAAGCTCTGCCTTATTTTGACCGATTAGACTATGTCTCGATGATGACGAACGAACAATGCTTTTCGTTGGCTGTGGAGAAATTGCTGAACATTGAGGTCCCCGAGAGAGCCAAATGGATTAGAACGATGTTTGGTGAAATTACCAGGATTCTCAACCATCTCATGTCCGTCCTTTCCCACGCTATGGATGTCGGTGCTTTGACTCCATTCTTGTGGGGATTCGAGGAGCGAGAGAAGTTGATGGTACGTCTATAGCTAGCCATTGGGATAGACATTCATACTGATATGTGATAGGAATTCTACGAGCGAGTATCTGGTGCGCGTCTTCACGCAGCCTATGTTCGCCCAGGTGGTGTGCATCAGGACATTCCCGTTGGCCTTCTCGATGATATCTATCAGTGGGCCACTCAATTTTCCGACCGCATCGACGAGACCGAGGAACTTCTCACGGACAACCGAATCTGGAAGGCTAGAACTGTCGGCGTCGGCGTTGTTACCGCTGCCGAAGCTCTCAACTACGGATTTTCCGGTGTTATGTTACGTGGTTCAGGTGTCCCATGGGACATCCGCAAATCCCAACCATATGATGCCTACGGACAGGTCGAATTTGACGTGCCTGTCGGTGTAAATGGTGACTGCTATGACCGATATCTCTGCCGAATGGAGGAGTTCCGCCAATCACTTCGTATCATCCACCAATGCCTAAATAAGATGCCGGCTGGGCCAGTGCGTGTTGAAGACTATAAGATCAGCCCTCCCCCACGCATAGCCATGAAGGAGAACATGGAGGCTTTGATCCACCATTTCTTGCTCTTCACAAAGGGATATACTGTACCTCCAGGTGAAACCTACTCTGCCATTGAGGCTCCAAAGGGTGAAATGGCGGTTTTCCTTGTCAGTGACGGTAGCGAACGACCCTACAGATGCAAGATCCGTGCCCCAGGTTTCGCACATCTAGCGTGCTTTGACCAGCTTTCCCGAGGCCATCTACTAGCTGATGCAGTTGCAATCATCGGTAAGCATCTACTCTTATCATCTCATACTTGACGATGAAAACAGGACTAACATGCACTCTTTGCAGGTACTATGGATCTCGTGTTCGGTGAGGTCGATAGGTGAAACTGTACCATGAGCATATAATATACTTCTTCCCGTTCCTTCACCTTTTTTTTTTGTTTCGATATGTTTTTTTTTTTCTCGTTCGAAGTAAGCCTTTTTCGTTTTATCTTAGAAGGGTAACGTAAAAGAATGGGTGAGGTTGTCCCTTGTTTCTTTTATTCTCAACTCAACCTCTGATGGAAAGATCTAAACCGGAGCCCAGCCCTGGTTTATTTACCACTGTATATGCATCTCTGTCACAATATGACCTTATCCTTTCCTTTTTCACCTATTTCTTGTAGCCATAAGATATTGAGCTATTCATCCTGCTACTGTAAAGGTACCCCCAAGGCTCAAGGATAATGGCATTATTCGTATATATTCAACATTAGTAAACTAGAACTCGTTTCCTAGCAACGACTGGTGGCTTGCTGATTCATCACGATCAAGCCTTTGATAAAAAAAAGGAGGGAGGTGGTTTCCGTGTAGAGAGCGTAAGAGGGAGGGGGAAGAGAAAGAATATATCGACATCAACATTCCTTGGGAGTGTCCCCGTACAACGATCGTATGTATTCGGTCCGAAGCACCGAGCTTCAAGGAGGAATACTGATAAAAGCCGATACCCATCCGAACGATAAACAAAAAACGCCATCTATAGAAATGGCGACGCTTGGAAAGTAAAAACAAAAAAACGATTCACCATATGAAAAAAGAGAACCAAAAGATACTGCCTTTTTTTTTTTTTTTTTGTTGGCATTGTGTTGTTCTCAAACGGTATTATCGTCGTAAATGAATCTGATATCTCGGGGGCGCCTTGTGTCTCGTGTGACAAATTCCTCATCACCGGGAGGCCGTTCGTTTTTTGTATTTCCGGTGAGCATGCTCTGGATGCTCATGCAGACACTCTCGACCGACTGAATGGGCGACCAGCCCGCAGAGCCTAGAAGATCCAGACATATGATGCCATTGCTGTATATATGTGGGTGCATAGGTATCGGCCGTGGTGTGTCCGAGGTCGGCGGTAAGGAGATGAACTGAACTTCTGGAGCTTCTGTGGAAAGCAGCACACATCGTTAACATGAGTGGACTTGTATAGGTACGCGAGAGATGTCTCAAGTTAAAGCCTGGATAGTGTCGTACCTATAGGGTAGTTTTTGCTGAATGTGAACCTGAGGCGGTATGTTTCGTTTTGGTAGATCGGATTATTGTCTAGGACACGGATATCCATCTCCCACTGTTCTAGGTTGTCTGCCTTTGCAACTGTAACCCCCGGAGGGAGGGAGTTTTGCATCTGGGTGAAGAGAGGTGGTCAGCCTGAGTCCCCGTAGACGACCTGACCGGCCATGGTGGGACGGCGAGCAGAAATAAGAACAATACCTTGACAAGCTCCTGTATAACCCCAAGTTAGCCCCTGACATGCTGTAGAAATCACCATCGACTCTTGTGTGTGAAAAAAAAAACAAATAAATACCTTGCTCAGCCTTCTGCTTGCAAACATCATCGCCAGCCGTTGCTCTTTCACTGGCGGGGTAGAGTCAACAAGCCAAACGGCAAGACTGGCAGAGTTATAACTAGATGTCTGTGGAAGGCCAAGAAGAGGAAGAGGAAGAAGAAAGTGAAGTTTCTTATGTTGTATGGTATCTCATGCGACGGCTCTCTCTGTGTCTGTGTTAGTTGGTAGGAGGAAGATCCCAAGGCCTTGACGGGTTCAGAGCAGCTTAAAAGGAGGCGTTGAGGGCAGTTTCTGCGGCAGTGAAGGGAGCCAGCTAAGACGAGTCTCTGTGACAGAGAAGCTGCTGGCTACCGAGTGAAGAAGTGAACTACTCTTGTGTATATACATATACGCATGTATATATCTCTCTTCCCTTCTCTAGGAAGACAGGAAGTGTTTACATCAAGCAAATCCCGTCTCAACCGCCCCGTTTGGTGGCTCCGGAAAAAGCATTTCTTCCGGCGTTATTTGTATCATAGAAGAGCCAGGTTTGTATCCGAAGAGGTGTTTTTGTTTCTTCTCTGGTCTATGAAGGGAGACTCTCCGTATATTGATAGAATGTGACTCCATCCCCTTCGACGTAGGATAGCAACTCCATCGCTCTACTATGGCATCTCTCTTCTGTGTACAGTTCTAGACAGAAACCCCTGGATCAGAGCTGTGGCTGAGCCTGTAAAGCTGCCTGTGGCGTCCCGCATCATCATCATCAAACAACCTGAAGAGCTGAAGAAACAAGCCGTAACTGAATATCAACAACCCATCCAGGCAGATCGCAGCGCCAAAACCCTTGTCATCGCCAGGCTGAAGGGCGGGCTTTGTTTTCTTTTTCGATCGAGACCGCTGGGCTCTGGATAACTAGCTGGTCGACCCAAGGACGACTGAGTTACTAACTACTAATAACAAACGACTTGCGCCCCTCCAACTCGACCCTGACTTACCTACAGCCCCAGAAAGGTCCCCTTCCTCGACCACGTCCTACGTGCGCAGAATTCCTGGTAGAAGAAGAACCAAGCTGTGGCTTACGTTTGCCTGCAAGATGAGTTGTAAGTCAGATGCTCTCCTGCGATCTCCCTGCCCGCGTCTCTCGATGAGGGGCGCCTTGCTCAGTCGCCCTGCTGGGGGAGTGTACCTGTCCGGCTACAGAGGCCGATATAACTCTTCATGTCTCGTCCATCCATCCCGGATGAAGCTCGAGATGGCTTGTTCCCGTGTCAATTGAGGATGAGAGCTGACGGTTTCTTGCTTTCCCCGCTGCTTCTAGTCACGAACATGCTGAACAAGCTGCAGGGGCAGCCCGAGAGTTACGAGAAGAAGTACGGACAGCTTTCTCTCCTGTCGACCATGGCATCTCACGACTTACCCGTCTTAGAGCACAGTATCGTTTCGGAAAGACGCTCGGCGCAGGAACATATGGAATCGTTCGAGAGGCAGACAGCCCAAACGGGAAAGTTGCCGTGAAGATTATTCTCAAGAAGAACGTCAAGGGGAACGAGCAGATGGTGTACGATGAGCTGGACATGCTACAGAGACTTCATCATCCAAACATCGTCAGATTCCATGATTGGTTTGAATCAAAGGTATGGAAGAAAGCAGAGGGGGTCGACCAAATATACTAACCGTATACACTAGGATAAATACTACATCGTGACACAGCTGGCCACTGGTGGTGAACTCTTTGATAGAATCTGCGATTATGGACGATTCACCGAGAAGGATGCGTCACAGACGATCAGACAAGTTCTAGATGCCGTCAACTACCTTCATGAGCGTAATGTGGTCCATCGAGGTATGTGCCAATTATCACAGCCATGTCTTCAGCTGTAACTAACATCACCAATAGATTTGAAACCGGAAAACCTTCTATATCTCACCACCGAGCAGGAGTCTCCCCTGGTCCTTGCAGATTTTGGTATTGCAAAGATGCTTGAAAGTGACTCTGACGTGCTCACATCTATGGCTGGATCATTTGGATATGCCGCCCCTGAAGTAATGCTAAAACAAGGCCACGGCAAAGCGGTCGACATGTGGTCCATGGGCGTTATCACCTACACACTCCTCTGCGGATACTCGCCCTTCCGGTCAGAGTCTCTCAATGATCTGATCGAAGAGTGTCGAACCGGCCGCATCGTCTTCCACGAACGATACTGGAAAGATGTTTCCAAGGATGCAAAGGACTTTATCCTCACCCTCCTTCAGCCGGACCCCACCCTCCGATCAACCAGTGAACAAGCTCTGCAGCACAGGTGGCTCAAGGGTGAAACGGCCACAGACCACAACATTCTTCCTGAACTCAAGACCTATATTGCTCGTAACCGACTAAAGCGCGGAATCGAAATCATCAAACTTGCCAATCGTATCGAGGCTTTGAAGATGCAAGACGAAGGTGATGATATTCCAGGAGCTGTCGAGGAGCCTGATGATAAGACAGCGGGTAACTCTGCCGCTGACGCTAAGCCTTCTACCGCCTCCGAAGGTGCGCCATCCAACAAGGGCCGCCTCAGTAGACTTGCGCGAGGAGCTATCTTCAGAGAAGTAGTGCTCGCCAAAGTCCGGGAAATGAAGCAGCAAGAGCAACAGCACCAAGTCGAAAAGGAAGCTCTTGAGAAAGTGGAGAAAGATAAGGGGAAGTAACTGGTGATAGGAGACATGTTTATCACGCCGACTTATATCTATGGGCAAGAGATCGATATTTTATGATTCAAAGGCCTGTGCGATCTGGAGTCCATAGCATGCGTACATCCGTCTAATCATCTTGGTCCCTGTATATCCTGTGTTTCGTTACTTTATGGCAAAAAGAGAAATGAAAATGTTCTCTCAACCGTTAGGTCTCGGGAGAAGAGGCCAACTATAATATCTTTTTTCTTTTTCCCGCAATTTTCATCCGTTGGCCATTTAACTAAAGTATACTCTGATAAAAGAAAAATTTGAAAGAGAATGTATGCCAACAATCGGTCCATGCTTCTGCCGTGAAGAAATAATAAAGACAGAATGTCCATTACCTGAGAGATAAACAATGCTTAATGACACCAATAAGAATGAATAGCCAAACCGAGGTATTTGGGAGAGATGGAGAACTGGTGAATTTTCTAGCTCCTCCTTTCTAAGATTCGTATAGCTCTGAAAGAGCCTCACTACATATCCTATCATAGTGCAGTGTCCCCTTCCATCCGCGTTCAACGGACTTAATACCAACTGTGCTCCATCCTTCGGCTTTCAAACGTGCAATCCGCTGTTGTTTTCCCTCAGCAGACGGCGTTGTCTGCCCGGCTGCCCGACCATTGGTATATGTATCGTTGTGCGCATCATTTGTACCGTTTAGTGTGGAAGGCCCATTAGGATAGGTAGGCGTAAAACTCCAATACGAAGCCAGACGGTTCATCTTTCTAGCCTTATGAATTCGTTGAAGTTCTGTCGTCTTGTTAATGAGTGACGATAGATCCCTGATATTCTCATCTACTTGGGCAGAGAGTGAGGTGATAAGGCTCAACATCCGAGGAGTTGGGTTAATTTTATCCTTTTTTAGTGGTTTCCCCACCAGCGTCGGTGTTGGCGGCGGTGTAAACGCAGTCGTCCCATTTATAGCTTCGGGAGCCGGAATTACTGAAATGGACACCGGGGGCTCAGGAAGTGGTCTTGCGAAAGTAGTAGTAAATGGCTTCTTATAGGGTTGCCTGTTTTGTGGCGTGATATCCTTCCGGTTCTTGCGAATTTGAAGAGGCTGGGGGATTAGGTCTGCCTTGATGTTTATACATTGCCTCCCATCGCTCTTTGTATGGGATTTGGTTCTTGTCAAGCTCGGCTCATCACAAGATCGTACCTGGAATAAAGCAGGTGGACGTGAGTTTTCTCGTGCGCTCTGATAAAAGATATATTCTTGTTTGATAGCATAGGGCCCATTATCAGGGTGCCAGCAAACCGGGTCAAAATCGGGGAATGCTTCAATATCTGCGGGCCAATCCGGATCTGCAAAAGCGTTTTCAAAGGATGATTTACATGCTACGAAACTATCCATAGCAATCCGTAGTAGAGGAATCTTGTTCCCAGAGAAACTATGTGAAGCGCGCCCCAGGTTTTCGTAAGATGCTGCAATATAGTATTGGAAGTATCCTTCGTGGATTTTATGAAGCTGCATTAATTATATCTGATCAGCTATTTGCCATGTTGAACAGACCTGGGGCAGTAGGATAAGACACGAACCTGGTCGTCAAACTTGTTCAGGATCTCCATTGAGCGAGCAGCACATTGCTTGTATCGACATCTTAGATGAAGCAGTTTGACTTCTTGAAGTGAAAGCTTCCATCGTTCGCTCGGGTTTGAGAGCAGCCTTGTGGTGTTTCGAGTCCTTGGTGAAGGAGGATTCCAAAGTTCAGTAGACATGGTTCGTGTAAGATATCAGAAATGTATCAAATGCCAATGAATCAATATAGAAGTAGACATGAATTGCCAACAGCGTCACATGAGGGTATTTCTTCATTCATGATCCTCACTGGGAATCTGGGGATGGATTCGAAAGCCGCAGGCAAAAGTGATGTCGGAAGGTTAAAGGTCGCGTTAGCGAGTTGATGGGCCAACTGACGCGCTTCTTTCCGTCAACAAAAGAAGATAGCAAACAATAATGATAGACTAAAGGCAATTGCCGAGAGAAAAGATAGAAGTGTATGCCTTCTCTTGGCCCAAACATGTATTATTAATTATGAATTTTCCGTATGTATGAGCAACGCATTGCTATACGCTCTCTATTAAAATGATGGCTTGGAAAGTAGCTTCTCATCCAGGTCTTATCCAAACAGGTAAGGGGAAATAGCATGAATGTAGCTATATAGCTTGACCCATAGCATCAAACAATTGGTTTCAGGCCGAGAAAAACAACATATCTAAATGACTCGCGATGTAATGAGGCATCGGATATCCAGCTATATAGTGGCATTTACCGAGGAAGAAAGGGGGAAAGAAAAAAGAAAAGATATAAAAGAGACACCAAAAACAGAGAAGAAAGATATCTCAGTTGGATATCTGAGCGCTGGGTCAGGTCCAGTATTCAAATGCGTGAGAAGTTGGCGGGCCTCAACCATAATTTGATACGTCTGACGGAACCCAAGAATTAAACTACGATGACAATCATTTCGTAGCTTTACATCTTCGCCATCCGGTTCCATTGGTTTGTGGACTGGCGTATACGGCCAGTCCTCCGACAGCCAGAAGCCAGAGTTGTACAGCACTCTCACAGCCACAGGTACAAGAGCACGAACTATTAGGCAGACAAGAAACGGCCCAAGCACGGATCTCTATACCCCGAATGTGTACGAAGTACACGTTGCACCTATCCGTTTGCTGAAGGAGCCGTGCTCCGCAGTGTAACTGGTGGTTCTTCGTGGCATGATAGTAATGATGATAATGACGCTTGTCTGTTGTTGGCGTTTCTGTTGAAGCTGAGGTCAACATAAGGTTGATAACTAGCTTACATAATCATGATTATTAAAATATATTGATTGATGTAAAACCCAAAGATAGAGTGAAAAAAAAAGGCATGTCACAGGTTCACTAAGTACTTTTTTTTTTTGTTTGGTATCAAATTGTAGGCGCCCAATCGTAGACTCATCACATATCGCCTGTGCCCATTAATTGGTTAGTTTTAACAAATCCCCAAGAATATACCGCCACGACGCGATACAAGCAGTCTGGCGATAAACATAAAGAGTGTTAGTAATGTGTATGTTGAAAAAGGGGAAGGGAAGGAAACAAGAAGAAGAACGATAAACCAGATAAACCAGATAAACCACCTTATGCCCTTAAGTATACGAACAGGATATCCATAACGAAACCACTATTGTCGGTACGCCATCATACTATTTTGTTGGTATTTTCTTCTCACGGTGATCGCGGTGGCACATCACTCTCCGCGGCCTTTGCCGTATCCATGGACTGGATGGCCTCCCCAGTTGCCGCTAGCCCGTGCATAAGCTCCCCGAATAAACGATCCAACTCTGCAGCTACGACTTCATCACTGGCACCTTCGGTTAGACTCTCCATACTTGGAGGTCTCGGCTCTGGAAAATGGCCTACTGCGTTACTTTCGGCTGCTGGGGCGGTGTTTGGCGGCTGTCTTCCGTTTTGAGAATACATTGATGAACTTTCTGATCGAGAAAGGGAAGGCGCTTGCGCATTTCCATTCATGAGGGCCACACTCTCAACATGGTTCTCCTCATAGCCATTAGCCATGTTCGTACTAGAATGGTGGTTATTATATGTATAGTCCTGAGGAAAATAAGAGTAGTCTGGCTCTTTTATTGGGGGTGCTTTTGCTAGGCCCTGTCTTTGGGTATGATTCCCAGGGCCACTTGTTGAAGCCTCTCGGTCTAGTCGGAATGGATCATAGTCTGCATCAGAGACTGAGGACTGCATGGAATCTGCAGTAGACGGACGTGATTCAGACTCCATAACGCGGTGGCCCAGTTTGCTGGTGGCCCTATTAAGAACGGAGGGCGAGTGCTGAAGTGGAAACATCGCCTGAGCAGTGGTGCTTTCATTATCCGAGCTCCAGGCACCTAGGGTATCTGCATGGGCGGTCTCGTCAATTGGCTCATCTCCTGGCCCGTCTTCTTCAACTGTCATGACTGGAAACGTCCAAGCCCTGGTATCCCGCTTTTCTTCGCGCTGCTCGAGAGGCTCGATATCGTGTGGGGCAATGTCGTCATCCGTTGGGTTTGGGCTTTCATGTTCCTCAATGCTAGTGGCTGTTGTGGGGAATTTCCAGTCCATAGTTGGCGGACGCGGGCCACGGGGTTGCGGGAATTCGTCCTGTGGCTCACTTCCCGCGATAGAGGCGGCGCGGTATGATCGGCTACTTGATCGGTGGGCGCGAATCGTATCAGCATCGGCAAGCTGGAAAGGGGGATTAGCAGACCCTGATGCTGAGGCATAATGCGACGAATCATAGACTCCAAGATTAATGTCAATGAAGGTAGAGGCGACAGATGACCTATCCGTCTCAGTCCTCAATGGTAAATCGGTGAACTTGCGAGTTTGCTCCACAGGGACGAAGTCGTTTTTCGTTTCATACTTGTACTTTGGCTTTGCTTCGTCGAAAAGTCCCTCCATGGCGGCAGCTCCTCTCTTTACTCTTTCGTCGAAATTGACCTTTTCTTCGGCCGTGAGTTCCCTTTCTTCGGGCTCGATATTAAATTGGTCGAAGGAGGTATAATTCGGTTCTGGAGGCTGCTCGGTTTCTAGTGCGGCAAGAGAGGCAGAAAGCTGGTCCAAATCAATAATTGAAAATCTCTTCTCAAACCCTTCAGTCGTACTGAAATTCCAGGCTTCATCATCGTCAGGCCCCCTCGTCCCAGGCATTTCTGCAGCTGCAGCACCTCCGGGGTTGAAAAGTGATATTCGCTGGCCTCCACGCTGAGACCACTGATAGTATATCTTCACTAGCTCTCTTAAACTCTCAGTTGGGTGAGTTTGCTCGGAGTCAGCAATGTATGGGTGGTTAAGGATGTCGCCCATAGCAGGCCTGGTTCTAGGATCAGCATCCAACGCGTATGAAACAATTCCACATAATTCTTCTGAGTAGTTGTCTCCGTCAAGCCTTGGGGTAAACCGATTGAGCTGGCGACCAATTTGCATTCTTTCTCTCAGAGTCGCGTTGGGCGGATTACCGGTGGCGCATTCGAAAAGTGTGCAGCCATAGGCCCAAACGTCGATCTAAAGCCCACCCATTAATAGAACGGCCAAAAATTAATGAAATATAAAACTTAGCAACAGTGCAACAAACCTCATTACCGTACGGATGGACTTCATCGCCAGGCTTGTTGGGAAATAGCTCTGGTGGCATCCAATGCGGCGTACCAATCCAGGTTGAACGTTTGTCACGCTGACTTTGAAGCACGCCGGCAACGCCAAAATCACAGATTTGAATATTTCCCTCTTCATGAATTAGAATATTACCAGCTATTGACCAAATATGTTAGTTCCGGGCCAGGATTGAATATAGATAGTTTTCCTGTCATCACCTTTGATATCTCTATGTATAATACCTGCGTCGTGGATTGCCTTTAGACCAATAGCCACTTCTCGAGCGATTGGGATGATAAATTTCTCCTCCAGTTTATCACCAGTTGCTCGCATCTATTTGAAATTTGCTGTTAGTATACACACTAGATATCGCCCTCATACGAACTTACTAAAGTTTTGATGCTTCCCCCTGGGCAATATTCGCTAACCAGCCATAGTTGGGAATGTATCGAAACAGCTTCGATGAAAATATTAATATTCTTTGCCCCAGCTTCCTTTACTTGCGACATGACTTTCGTCTCATGAATAAAATCCTTGATAGACTCATCCTTAAAATCCCTGGTGGTCTCATAGTCAAGATTATCTATATCCATGACCTTAATGGCGACCACAGAATTTGATGGAAGATGGTGTCTATTCAGAATTGTTAGTAATTATATGAAATGTGTAACTAAGCAATGGGAATGCACAAACCCTTTGTACACACGACCATATGAACCCTTTCCGATCAATTCCTCAAATGTGTATGGAGGAATGTCTGTTTTGGCCCTCCGGCACATTTCTCGGACAGCAAATCCTTGTTCTCGAGCAAGTCGCATAGCCTCAGATTTCTGCTTTGTGACAGCCATCATGGCTGATGACGGGTCGAGATGCCCCGCAGAAAACATGACGGGCGTATCTCGCTGAGGTGGACTATCGTCTTCAGGTGGTGGGTCAACAGTTACTGTGATGAAAGGTTTCCTTAACTGTTCTTCGAAACGTTCAGCTTGCACCGAATCAACTTCCTTAAGTTGTTCCTCTAATTGTGCAATCTGGTTAGAATCAGCTTCCCTCAGCGGTTCTTCAAATCGTACACAACGCGCTGGAGCAGGGCAATTTAACCTTTCCCGGGCCTTTGGAGCTGGTGTAGGGTTTGCGTTGGTCTGACTGGAAGAAGCAGAAGTAGTATTCTCTGGTTCTGACTTTGTTTTGCGTGAGAAGAGCTTCTTGAGAGATGAAGTAAGCCTCCGAGCTCCGCTTTTCTTGCGATTCCGGTTTTGTGTAGGAGGGAGCTCTAGGTGGAAGACAGGCCGTGGAAGAACTGGGCACGATTCGGGAGAAAGCTCAGGAGAATAAGGCCTATTTAAAGGAAAGCCGAAGTCGCCTTGGGCATGGAAAACCCGTGGTTCGGCTTTAAGGGGTGGGGCTTGGTCCGGCTCGGGTCGAGCAACCGGGTGGCTTCCAGGGGTTGGTAGATAAAGATAGCCCGACGAGTTAACCCCACCTGGAATGAAGTTCAAGGGGTTATACTGAGATTTGGGGTTGAGGGTTGAGAAATGATGTGGTTGAGGAAATGAGTCTGTCCGGAGTTCGTACTTCTGAGGGGGCCGAGATCTCTTGGGAACCGTAGCTGAACGCTGCCGGCTATCGTGTTCGAAATCGTGCTTCGACTTCGGTAATGGATCTGTAAGAGAGCGTGGATCCTGGAATGACCGGGCTGGTTTGAGAGCAAGCGCCGGTGTGGTCTTACGGCTCGAAAAATCAGGGTCAAAATCGTTGAAACCTCCGGGTGTGGTGTCGTGTTTCAGGAGCTCTCTAGTTCTCGCTTGAAATTTGCCACGAGTATAGAGACGTTTGGGCCGTGGATATTGTTTATATTCAGAAGGTTTTACAGAACGATCCTCGTAGTAGTGATAATTGTAATCATCTGTGGTGTAGGCACGCCTGATCGGATGGGGACGGAGGTAAGGGTTTAACTTGTCGGCTGGAGGAGGTTGGGATTCCTTAGACCTCGGGGGTTCTTCGTAGGCTTCCCTGGTTGTTTGTGATTCAACTACTGGATTAAGCTGGTGATGCGCATGCGCTGCGTTCTCGATGGAAACAACTGGCTTTGAGAACCTTTACTTGCGTGTTAGGCGATGCTGGAGAGATATAAGAGTATGAAACACGCAAATATCAGCTAACATACCCAACAGAAGGTGAAGGTGGATGAAGGTCAGGGTCAAGCTCCTCGCTTGAGGCTAAGGTCGAGTGCGACTCGTTCGAATGATATGTTTCAAATGAGCTAATGTAACGAGTGTCACTTGATTTGTTCTGAGAAGAGAAAGACTCGTAGTTTTCCGATTGCAAGTATGATGCTAATTCGGGATTTCCTTCGTTAAGGCCACGCTCTCTCAGCGGCTCAGCAGGAGTATAATTCCGTGGAGCCGAGTTTGGGATTGGTAAACGATTGCCGTCAGTCTTGTCAAGATTTTGCTGTTGAAGTCTTGCTGCAGCATCACAGAAGAGGTGAGCACTGGCAGCTTGGATGTCTTCCTTACTTCCTATAAACCCACGGGCACGTAATGGGCTAGGAGGTTCACTATATAATATCACAGTTAGTCCCATAATCACAAAGAGGAGACAATAAAACAAGAAAAGTGCTTAAGAGTAATACCACCAGGCAGCTTCGCGTGGGTGTACATTCTCATCCTGGGGGAAATCCATCATAGAGCAAGACAATATATGCAGAAGTAATATCAATTAAAGCATCACACATAACATGAAGACATAAACAGAAGCGTATCCTGGAGAAGAAAACAAGAAGAAAAGATAAAGAGAATAAGAAAGAGAGGAGGGAGGAGAGAATAGTAGGTAAATGTGCATGTTGGGAGAGGGGAAAAAGGAGAGAGACTATATGTAACTAAAAAGTAAACATAGGATATACCTACAAAAACTGTAGAGGGCGTGAGGTTGCGACAAAAGTTGTCGAGTACCTATGGTTCCCCCTTCAAAATGAAGTTGATATCCCCTTAAAATGAATCACTTTTAATAGAATTCAAGCTTCAATAATTGTTAGACTAGCATCTAGAAGCGTTGCGTGTCCATTATGGTAGCGTTGACGTTGAATATCGGGATATTCCAGGGTTAGATATTCAATTTTTAAAGAGGTCTTTGTATAGATCCTCGACAGTAACTGTCGTAATCTTATATAGATGCAGTTTAGAGGCGCTAAGTACCTGTCTAGATTCATATTAGCGCCATTCCTTAGCGTGAAAATTCAGAACTTGTAAACAAAAACAATATAGATCGAACAGCCCAGACCTTTAGTAGGTGACCTACCTGGAACATCAAGAAATCTATAGGGTAGAAAATCTGCTGGTAGAAGGTGCTAGACACCGCTGGCAAGTGAAGCAGCAATAAAGCCCCTATAGGTACTTGTCTTTGTCCATAGGAGACTGAAAGGAGGGCTAAAGTAGAACCTGATATGTATAACAAGAGAGTTGCCACTGTAATACCTGTCAAGACGCCGATGTCAGCAGCCATTCAACAAGGCTCTATATGTTGGAATCAGATCTGGCTTTGGAGAAAAACAAAATTCCCCAAATAATCTCTCTTTATAGATTACCAACAGCATATAATAATAACTAAATATACCCGTCCTTTTGAGAAAATGCTCGAAAAGGAGGCTCTACAACAGCTAAAGAGAAACGGGTATATAACGGTAATAATCTATACTCATTCCAAAATCTACCAAAAAGAGGGTGCCTTTCAGCTAGATAATGTATATAGAAGTTCCTTACCTCTATGAGCTGGTTAATAGTAAAACGTCGAAGAACTTGGGGTATCAGGAGAAATAGACTTGAAACTCTTGCAAAAGATAGAAAAGAGAAAGGAAGAGGAAAAGAGGAGAATGATGACAAAAGAATCAGTATTAAACACCCCTTTTTGAGAACACCAGCAACGCCATTAAATGCTGGAGGGTATCAATGGCGTGAAGAAACGAGAATCCAAGACGTGGACTTGGAAGAAGCTCAACCTTCTTCTCGGGATGATGTTGGATCTTCCCGTTTCGGGATTCGGAAAGCGGAAGAACTATTTAGCTGTTGATTACTAAGCTCTAGTGGGGCTCAAAGTTCCCTTCAACGAACAGTAGCAAGTAACTACGAGAGAATATGAATTAACTACAAAGTGGAGGAGAAATGATGTATTGGTATTATATTCGAATGGCTCTTGCATCTAAAAAAATAATGTACCCTCGAGGGTTCTATAACTACTCACAGTCTATAGGCGCCTCCAGAAAAACCGCAGGAGCAACCACCCGAAGAATAAGTATTCACTTCTTACCTGCCCATATTGATTATTGCTGTTGGTCAACAACCGGCTTACTGAATGTTGAACTGGGCCTTGAGAACATCGCCGAACCGCTTGATGGCCTCCCTGATCATGTCTGCAGGAGCAGCCGCAAAAGTAGATCGGAAGAACATATCCTCTTCCTTGGCCGATTGGTCCGCCAAGAACCAGCTTCCGCGCGAAACAAGGACGCCCGCATCCACGGCAGCAAGGAAGATCATTTCTTCAATTGCTTTATGGTCTTTTCCTTGCTGGTAGGCAGGGTGTTTCTTCCAGTCAACCCGCATCCAGTTCTATTTGCAAGGATCATGAAAATTTAGCGTTCGTTCAAAAGCGAGGTGTTTTTTTTTTTTATTAACCAGGGTAAGGGTGCAGGAAAAACTTACAAACATGCCCGCAGTCGGAGGGTTGCAGGTCGCCACGCTCTTGGGTAGGAATTCCTCGCAAGCATCCATGATGCAGTTTCTTCGCTTGGTGTATTCGATACGAATGTGGATTAGCCATTTGAGATATCCCTCATGGCCCCATGACTCGTCGAGAAGTTTGTAAAGGAGGATCTGTGCCATTCCGCTTGGAGCTTGGGTGGATGTTTCTGCCTGTCGGATCATACGCTCTGTGAACTGGGCGGAAGAGACGAGGAAGGAGACACGAGAGCCGGGGGAGAGGACCTTGGAGAATGAGTCCAATCTGATAACGCGGCCATCGGTATCAAGGCTGAGGTATGATGGTATCAGGGTCTTGAGGAACTCATCCGTCGTGGCTGGTGGAGGGGGCGTAGGGGTGTTTAGACCGGCGTAGGGCTCCATCTGCAAGAAATAGTACGGTTCATCTTCAACGACAATCATATCGTGTTTCTGTGCAACTTTGTAGACTTCCCTTCGTCGTTCGGCGCTCTGAGTGGCGCCGGTTGGGTTCTGACCCGATGGGACGGTGTAGAGGACGAATGGCTTGCGTGCGCCACCGTGAGCAGCCGGGTCCCAGTTTGAGAGAATCTCATCGAGAGAAGTCGCCAGGAGACCTTCGGCATCTACCTTTACCGGGAACGGAATCACTCCTTGGGCAGCAGCGCCCTCCATTGCGGAACAGAAAGTGTATTCCTCCGTTAGAACGATATCACCGGGCTTGCACAGCATGCGCAAGACGAAGTCCCATCCCTGGGTGCTTCCGGGAGCTAAAGTGATGTCCCAATCACCGTATGGAGGATTATGAACGATCTAAAAGAGAAAAGGTCCCTCTTTTAGTCCACGCTTTCACGGACATAGGCAAACTAAACGACGGTGTCGTACCTCCACATGTTCCGTCACCCATCGAACAAGAGCGGCGTATCCGACCGATTGGCCGTAATTGAGCGCAACTTCGAGGTCGAAATCACTTGTACCGTCGGCAACGTCATGTTTTGTAGAGGCAAAAACGCACTCGGGGTTCGCAGGGGCAGGATCGGCAAACTGGCTTGGACCAGGAGCTTTACACGAGATCTCGTGGAATGGGAAGTATTCCTGGGATGGAAGGCCACCTCCGAGAGATATCAAGCCTTATCCAGAAGTCAGCTCGCGGAAGCAGGATGGATAGATCCATTTATCTATTTCAGGTACTGGTACGTACCAGGTCTCAGGTACTGGGCCACTTGCTTCAAGGTAGATGGCTGCGAAGGGAACTGGTCAGTGAACTGGTCCGGTATTGTATAGAGACGGTATATCCACGGACCTTCCGCAGCTTACTCTCTTCAGACAGATAGTCTGTTCGTCAGAGCTGAGCAGTCAGTCCTTGTCCAATCCCACCACCCTCGACAGAAAGACCGGTGATCTATCCACTCACGATCCCATCTCTTCGCCTTTGGCTGTGATGCAGATGCCTGCTCATAAAAAAACGAGTAAGCCGGCTATTCCCACTGGCCGAGAAAATAGATTGCGCGGGGTTAGGGTAAAAAAAAAATAAAATCAAAATAATAATAATAAAAGGAAAAACAAGGAAAGTTCCCTTACAGCGCTCTTAAACATGCTACTGTCGGAGAATGCGGCGACACCCTTTGGGAGAGGAAACCTAGTCCTGTTAGCGGCAACGTTGGCAACCGTCAACGTCCCCTCGACGACGGCAGACTTCTGAGCTGCATTGCTGGCGGCGTGGGGTGCCATGCTCTTTGTAGATAATCTTTCTATTAACAGAGGAGGGTCGGTTAATATATGTATCTCTATCTAGATCTGTGTCAAAGCCGTTTCAGGTCGAGATGTGAATTGTAACTTAATACCCTGTACATAAGCGGGGGGAGGGAAAGAATGGTATTTATATGTATACCTTGACGAGGAACTTCCGCCCTATGACATCCCTTCGTGTAGTTTAAATTAGTTGAGAAAAAAGCTTCGTCCGGATAATATAAGTTAACTACAAGATCTATGGAACATCGACCTCTTAGCGCCAAAAGAAAAACGTGGGGCGAAAGGAGCGTCTTTGCTTTTTCCACTTGTTGTCCCTTATACCGTTGCTGGCCATTCTGGAGGCGTTGGTGGCGCTGGTCGTTGATGTCTCGGTAAGCACTCTACAAGTATGTAGCTAAGACTTGCTATGCCAGGCTATGTATAAACTAATGTATGCAGTGAGTTATGTATAGAGATATAGCCGAAGATGTGCCGACAACGGCCGATACCGTTGTGGATGCAAGGCAGTTAGTTCGATACGGCCAGCAAGAACAGGTCTGGTCCTCATAGCATGCCCAGGAACGAGGGAAAGGGACCTTGTCTGCAGGCCGATGGAGTCGACAGCTGACGGAGTATTATACATACCTCTTCTGCACGGTGACGCTTACCGGCATTGCGTGTATATACACACTACTATAATATACACACCCAGTTAGTAGTGTGTATAAAGTGCCGAGCAGGGATGAGTCAAGAGGTCACGGCTCTAGAAGGCCGTATAAAGAGAGAAAAAGCGGGTTGGTCACTTGATACCTACATACGTACATACAATACATAGGATAGAAGAGCAAGCTGGCCGCTGTCAAAGGTTAAATACGGTAAGTGGACCAAGCTGGCAGTGGGTGATGGTGAGCGACAGCCACGAACAGCACAGCAGCGAGAGTTGTAGTTACAGAGGAGGCCGCGGGAAAAGCTAGAAGACGAAAGAGACGAGGGGGAATGCAAGAAGATTCCATCGCTGCCAGGCTCTGGACCTTGTGCCAGGGTATGAAGAGAGATGGGGCCTTTTATAAAAAGTAGTACTCCGTACAGGGGGGGGAGACTCGGAAGGGGAAGGGGGGGCCCCTGGTTCCTCGCGAGCGACCCCGTTGAAGCGAACCAACGCCGGCCACCTATCGGTCCTTTACCTGGAGCAGCCCCCAAGTACCCCCCAAGCATACCCTAAGCAACGCCCTCCCCTCCCCTCCAAGCAACCAAGAACCTCCCAAGAACCTCCCAAGCAACCCCAAGCACCGCCTAAGCCTTCACCTAAAACTTCCCACCCAAGGAGCCAACGCCCTTTTTCCCTCCCCTCTAGCCGGAGCGGGTTAGTCAGCTCCTCACCCATTAATCTTATCTGCAACTCACGTGGCTTTGCTTTGCTTTCGCTCTCCGCCCGCTCCACGCTCTTCTTTTCTCTCTTCCTTGCGCAGAAGTCAGGTCTCTCTCTTTTTTTTCTTCTTCTCCCTCTCTTGTCCTGTTTTTTGCCTTCTCTCCCCCGTCTCCAGACAAGCTTGTTTGTCGCTGTGGGATGGCTGATGGTCCCTTCGGCCCCGTGGCGTGCGTGTTCGATATAACTTGACCATTTAGCCCCCCAACTCCTTCTTGCAATCTCACCAGAAACATCCCATGGATGTCAAGCCACCTTCCCCGGCCGATGAGAATGGCCTCAAACGGAAACGTATATACCTCATATCCTCCTTTTACACCGCATTGGTATGGTATGGTATTGCTTGGCTGATCAGGTTGTATAGGTCCCGCTGCCTGTGTCCACTGTCACCAACGCAAAGTACGCTGTGACGCGCGCACCGTTGGGGTCCCGTGCTCCAACTGTAGGACGGCGGGGAAACTTGACTGCCGGATACACGAAAAGAAGAAGCGGACCGCATCTCGATCTCTGCGGCACCCTGTCCCGATCAGATGCGCTCCCTTTCCCGAGTCGGACGAGCCTCATGCGCAGGCATCGCTGGCAAACCCCATGCCCGACTCCCACCACACCACCATGTCGATTTTGGACATTCCCGCGCAAAAGGAGGACTCGTACCCGGCTGCCTCGGTCATGGACTGCTCGGAGACGGCACACCGTGACCTTTCGCCGGACGAAGACCAGACTTCGGAGCGGGACAAGCAATTGGCCAGCTGATAGATGAAGAGTCCACTCACCGCAAGATCCAGAAGAACGTCAGGGTCATCTACGTCGGACAGGATGTATCTAATCTAAATTTCCTTCTGCGGCAACAGCATCTAGATCGTGACGATGAGGTGTATCACTTTGCTACTAACGAGATCTCACGCAAGTACATCGAGTGTGGGTTCGAACAGGTCCCGAGAGATGCCTTCGTTCTTCCCGAGCCCGCCCTCGCTGACGAGCTTGTCGATGCGTATTTTAAACATGTCAATCCCGGCTTCCCCATCTTGGCCGAGGATATATTCATGGCACAGTATAAAGGAAGAGACTCGTCAGACGCGCCCTCTCTCCTGGTCCTGCAGGCAGTCCTCCTCGCGGGCGCCCACGTCTCCCGTCCGAGGCCGATGCGAGACACGCTCAAGGCTGCCTTCTTTCGTCGAGCCAAGCTGCTCTTCGAAGCGCGAGTTGAGCGCAATAGAGATATAATGGTCCAGGCGGCTCTCTTACTTACCTGGTATTCAGATCCAGTTGATGACGATGTAGCTGCGAATGCTCATTACTGGGTAGGCGTCGCTGCAAGGATAGCCACCGGCCTAGGTATGCATCGAAACTCAGGCTCTAGCATGATAGTACCGCACGACAAACGTATGTGGCGGAGAGCATGGTGGATACTAGTCCAGTTTGACGTAATGGTTTCCTTGCAATATGGTCGCCCACAGGCAATGTAAGTTCTACTTCTCTTCAATAAGACGAACACCACGGGACATATAGCTTCCATCGGCCTCCTCTAACAGAATATTAACCCCCCAGAAACCTGGATGACTGTGACGTCGAACCGCTGAGAGCTTCCGACTTTGAAGGATGCGGCAACAACATTCAACAGGACTATGTTATACAGTTCACCGAGCTATGCTGCATGATCTCTTTCATAGTGAGGGAGCGGTTCGGCCTACGTATCTCCCCGGAAAGACGTAAGGCGATCCTCTCTGAGGCAGACAGGGCGCTTGCAAACTGGTCCATCAAGCTCCCCGACACCGTCCGCATGTCTACCACAGACATGGATGCCTGGCCCGCCCTACTCCATCTTACCTACAACAACTTCCTCATTCTCCTCCATCGTCCGCATCCACGTGCATCCGCAGACACATACGCACACAATGATGCAGAGATTTGCAGTGCCGCCGCTGGCGTCATCGTATCTATATTTGAAGAGCTCCGGGAAAAGGACCGCATCAAATATCTCTGGTCATCCGCCGTCAACACACTGTTCACAGCCATGATCCAAATAAGAGTCGAGCTGCGATTCTCTAACCCTGTACTGGCCATCAATGCTCTGCGACGCTTCGACTCAACGCTTGTCACTCTCCGCGCCTTGTCCGAATACTGGCACAACGCAGAAAGCATCTTCCACCTCTTCGAGAGCTCCAACGCCTAAAATACGATATGCAGATGGTCAAATCCAAGCAGACCAACACCGCGAGAGCTCGAGAAGGTGATCCCATCTCCAAAGTCAGCGAAGGTCCACCCCCACAGGTTGAGGCGCTCTTGCCACAATCCCAGCTACAGAGCTGGTGGCCCAAGACACAATTCAGCGAAAGGCTTAATTATTTCACGCATTCAGAACCCATCGTACCTGTCAGCGGGCCTCAACCACAGCAGCCGCAGCAGCAACAACAACACCCACAACCTTCCGAACATCTCCCAGGACAAGGACCGGATTGGCGGCAGTTGTTTACCTTTGCAGAGTCTGAGCCATGCGGTGCGGTTGTTCCTGAAAACCTTAATGATATGGAAGATGAATGGCGCGAGCTTTACTTGCACGATCCAGGCTTGACGGACTATTTTCAAGAGAGCACCTGGCTGCAAAGCTAGGGGGATGTCCAGGCCATGGCCATAGCCATGTTCTAGCCTGTCACAGGGTATCTGTTGCACCATGTTCCTCATCTCCCGCCCGAGAAGTCGGACCAACCCTTCTGGACGCACAATATAACTTCCTATGCCGAAGCAGGAAAACAGGGTCTCTTTCCCTGGCGCACCAGCATATCAACCTAGCCTTTGGTGCTTACAGAAAAGGGAATCCCTGCGTCCTGCGCCCTGGCATCCTCAAGCTATCACAGACACCGAACCCCCTGGCCTGCCGATCTGCCGAGTGCCGAATGAAATGCATAGTAGCCACCTTAACTCTTATATGAATACCATATACCCACCACGAGTCTGCCCCCGGCAGTACACTAGATACGCCCATAAGACTTGCGTTTTAACGACGATATATTTCCTTTCATCAGTACATTTACCTGCTCTGGCGCTGGGAACTGGCGTTTTCTTCTCGGGATTTTTTATATCAAGTTTTCATTTAGGGAAATGGGAGAGCAGTCTTTCTTTTGTTCTGGGATAATAAGGGGTTGGGAAAAGTAGTTTTCTCGACTTTGGATGCGTCAATGTATATAGTATTATTGACCTGATAATGTGTATATATACCTTTGTGTCTTGGTTTTTATACTCCTTTTTTTATTTATTATATTAACATAGATTCTTACAGGGATAGACTCAATGAAGCAAGGCACGGTTATCGAGAAGTGTAGTCTTCCATCTAATCTCCGTTTCATCCTGTAAATTGTAAATATTTGTAAATGCTTGGGGTGGGATATTTATAACTACTCCATCGACTAAGAAAATTATATCCATGACACATCAAATTTTAGGTTCGGTCTGGCCCTTGATAATTAACAGCTTTCGTATATTAACAACCAAGGACGAAAAGCACACTCACTCACACGCCTAATCACGATGGCTACGCAACAGGTTGACCCGAAGAGGCAGCAGGGTATGTCGAAAAGCCCTTAATCAATCACCACACATCGTGTCTTGCTGCTCAACTAACGTCACACGACAAAACAGAGCTGCAGATGCAATACTCCAATTTCAAAACTACCCTCCACCAACTCGCACAGAAAATAGGCGATATAGAAACCGAAGCCGAAGAACATAAGTGCGCATTACCATTTATCTACCTTCCTACACTTCCACAACACACGACACCACAACATCACATCACAACATGAGAGCCCCTCCCCCGCCCGCCCGTTGGTACGTACCGATATACTGACCTGCTTCACCCCCCAGGCTCGTAATGGAATCGCTACAGCCCCTCCCACTAGATCGAAAATGCTTCCGAATGATTAATGGGGTGCTAGTCGAGAGGACGGTAAAGGACGTGATTCCCTCGCTGAAAACGAATGCAGATGGGCTTAAACAGGTTCTTGACGAGTTGATGAAGCAGTATAAGAGTAAACAGGATGAGATGGATAATTGGAAAGTACGTCTTGCCCCCCTCCCTTTTTTTTTTTTTTAATCGTCGGGTGTGTGGGTATATGTCTGATGGATATATGTGTTGTTGTAGAAGAAGAATCATATTCAGGTTGTGCAGCAATGATGTGAGGTCTTGATATTCAAATAAATGAGCGAGAAATATATAGTTATGGGTTACGGGTTGAAAATGGGATTGCTTTAGTTCTTGTCGTCCAGTTCTCTCGTTTTGCGTGCTGGTGTCTTCGATGGCTTGAGATTGGAAGATTCTCGGGGAAAATCTAGATCTTCTGCTCGGTCATGGCCATTGGATGAGAGGTGTAGGCTGGTTTAACGATCTAAGATTCAGTCTCCGTCGTATATAATAGCTTCTACGTATAGTACCGACACCATATGATGCCAATGTGCAGTCACGCTTCTGACTGCTAGTACAACTGAACAAGCTATAACCATATGGTGATTTGAGAGTAACGAGCTGGACTGGTGGGTAGGCGCAAGGGATAGGATGACAGCAGCCTGGTAAGCTACCACGCCATCCTATCCTGTTCATGCAAGGGGACCTGGCCCGTCAGCGCCGAGATAATTATTATATAACGTGATGCCATCGTCACTGTCCAGCGCATAGGCAGGCGTAACTTGACCCAAAGCTGCTACGGGACATGCACATCTACCTAACCCGTTAATAAGAAAGGAGGGGGATACACAAAGGGGAGAGCTAGATAACACAAGACAGCCTTCGCTTCGAGAATCCTTGTTTTTGAGGCTGCCCGCCTGCTTATTTATAGATTATTTCTTTGACGTTTTTTTATACATAACTAAGTAGGATGGCTAATATATTGCCGTTCTCGGTTGGGTAGCGACATGCGCATGCATGAATAACTGGCCTGCCTGGTGAGGTCATATGCTGTATATCCGCGTACAATGTATATGTGAGAGACGTCACTGCTATGTATGTAGCCCGGATGGATGAGACATAAGGATTCTGTGACTGCTTGTACAGGATGCAGGAGACAGATCATTTATCAGCTATCACGAAAGGGGGGCGGTTGATCGGTTGGCCGTCCCCTTTGACCGTCTCTGCGCTTGTTCGACTAGCTTCGAGCCCGTACAGGATACGTACATGCATCTTGCATATGAAGATATGTCCGGAGCAGGCAGATAGGTTGCTTCTGATGCTATCAAGAACTGCGTGACACCTGTCTTCGCTCCTGCAACAAGGGCTGCCGCATCCCGTAATCCGTTCGTCCATCAGCCTGGTTCTGAACTGACCGCCAGCCAAAGGCCATCGAGTCGTCTTCTCCCGTACCTAATAGTTAGACAGACACCAAACAGTAGCTACATCACGTATAAAGCGGAAGCAGCCAAAAAAAAAAAAAAAGGAGGGACGAAGATGGAAAAGAAGGAAAAACAAGTCACGTTGACCCGCGATAAGAAGAGGAAAAAAGCCAAAAAGGGGAAGAACTTAATCTTATCAACGACGACGACTTCGACCTCAACTTCTTCCCTTTTTTTTTTCCTCCTTCTCGTCAACAATAAACAAACACGAGAGAGCAACGGCCACCTACGTCAGTATCTGCAGCAATTGCTCTGTCACATTACCGTCGTATACCCCAACTTGCGGTCAAGCACAGCAGAATCATAATAACAAGAGCAAAAAAAAAAGAAAAGAAAGGAAAAGCAAGAGTGTTGGCTAGCGCGGCCCAGCATTCACCCTCCTCGCCCATCTCATCGTCCATCCCCTTCGAAAGAACCGAACCGTCACTCGATTTCCGCCCAACCTCCTCCAACCAGCGGCCCAGCACCTCCACAAGCCCAGTCGCATCTGTAGCACCCCGTCCTAGGCTCCCAGCGAGTCACAGCAGCCAACGCGTTTTGCTTTTTTAACGTATGCGACTCGGCGATTAGCCCTTGCCTGACAGCATCTCAGTCCATCTCGCTGCTTCGCTGTTCGCCAACCGTCCGTTCCTTGCTTGTTCCACGACTTCCCATTGCCCGCGGATACCGCGCAAGGTATCCACCCCTCCTCAAGGTCTCTCTCTCTATCTCTTTCTCTTCCTGTCTATCCCCGGGTAAAAAAAAGAAAAAGAAAAGAAAGCCCTTTTTTCAAGGCGATCGTGAAGCAAGAGAGCCGTGATCATTGGGTGCTGAGGCTAATGCGGTCCCTTCCATGCAGGATACCGACGCGCCCGCCCACGACATTGACATTGGGACCTACAGGACCAAGTCAGACTATAACAGCCTTTAGGTTTTAACGGAGGGTGAGTGACGTGTCAAGTCCACTCAAGCAGAGGGCGTCCCATACGCTCCGTTTGCCGCAAGCTGCTTTTTCCCTGCCCCGTCCGTACATACATAACCAACGAACGTATAAGCCATGTCTTCGGCCTCTCCTCCAAAGGAACCAGAGGTGGAACCAGTTACTCAGTCAGGAGACGAGGCGGAGCCCATGGAAAGAGAACACCACGATATACAGACGCAGGGTCAGGGCGAATTCGAGGTTAAAGAGCAGGACCGATGGCTCCCAATTGCGAATGGTTTGTTGTTACCTTTCTTTTCTCTCACCCTCTACTCTGTCACTGCCTACTTGCCCTTCCCGGACGAACCAAAATTGCCCATAAAAAAATTTGAAAAGGACTCGACCACAAACGTGCAGAAAAACACCCATCCCCCATTCTGCTTGATATATATATATACACACACACATATTTGCAAACCTCTTGCCAATCCGAGTTGCTCTACAAGGAGAGACCGTTATACGTCCTTGCTCGACCCCACTTCATCAAACAAGCTACACGCGCATACAGTCAATCAGCCTCAAGTGATGCGCTGCAACCTTGAATCTGGCTGCAGCACGGTCCAATCACCAGATATCACCCATGCTCGTCCCTCATGTCCATTAGTATATGAATTCTAACATGCGTCCTTTCTTTAACAGTGGCCCGAATTATGAAGACTGCCCTGCCCGAGAACGCCAAAATTGCAAAGGAAGCAAAAGAATGCATGCAGGAGTGCGTGAGCGAGTTTATATCGTTCATCACCAGCGAAGGTATGTCACACGATCACGGACAAGGATGGCCTCGGACATGAGGGACTGATATAATGGTGGTTGAAATTCAGCCTCGGAGAAATGCCAGGGGGAGAAGCGCAAGACCGTCAATGGGGAGGACATCCTATTCGCCATGACATCACTCGGGTTCGAGAACTACGCCGAGGCCTTGAAAATCTACCTTACGAAATACCGGGAAGTAAGTACACAGTTGTATGCGCATCTTATTCATAGCTTCCTCTCCTTTCCTTTTTCTTTTGCCTCGTTTCCTCATACCCGCACTCCCCCCTCACTATACACATATCGCCGCCGTTTTCTGCCCTGCCGTCACAAACAATGGGATTGATATTGTCTTTAGACCCAAACTGCAAGGGGGGAAAACCAGAACCGACCCTCCAGCAGTGGCTATGGCTCCGGTGGCCCAGTCGGCGGTCCCGCCCCCGTTCCCGCAGGTATGGGCGGAGCAGCAGCTCAACCACCAGCGGGCTTCGCAGTCCCACCGCCCCCAGAGGCTGCCAACAACCTTTTGAATGCGAGTCTCGATCCGAACGAGCAGGATGGCGCGACATACGGATACCCAGCCATGGTAGGCACGGCGCACAATGGCGCCGGTGGAGAGACTTATTAACCCTCTCGAAGACGATACCCGGGTCAAAGAGACGGTGGGAAGTGGTGAGGAATTACAACATGAGTACGCGGCATCTGCCCGTACCCCGCGCGAGACAGTGAGCGAGAGAGTGAATGAATGAATGGGACAACCATGCTCTAGGACGTTATTGTACTTTTTTATATCTTTGTTTTTCGTTATTATATTTTCAGGGCGTCAAAAGGGAGTGGAGTCTCCAGTTGGGAAGGTAAGCGCCAAATCCAAGTCAAATTACAGTGAAGGAAAGAAAGAAGGCAGGCAAAATGCAACGGGACTAACTAACCACAAGTTCAAGAAAGGGTTGTTTGGAGTTGATTATATTTTCCTTTTCCAAGCCTACTACGATATTATTATAGATCGAGACGTGCTCAGTGCCTCTATCGACCTAATTACCAGCATTTTTTACTCTTGTACTGGCTCCAGAGTTTGGTTCCCCATAACATAGGAAATGGACGTCTATGAGAAAAGAGTATATACAGCCATGTGAGGCCGTCGCTGTGACTGATCACATGACCATCTGGGTCGAGTGTTGTCAAACAGCATATTCTTTGTCTACAACATCTACCCCCATAAGTCTAATTTCCGAAGCCATATCGCGGCAAATCATCTGTCAAAACACCTAGAGAAGACGCCATGGAAGAGGTTGATCCGGATGCGCTGCGGGGACGCGCCCCATCAGTGGCGGGGGTCTAGGCCGAGATGCATTCCGGCGACTACTTGTATCTACTCAACGACCTTTACATATGACCTACCAGCATCCCTTTACATTGATATATATACAAAAGCCTACGCTCTCTCACCTTCAAAGGAATCTATAGACTACGTCAAACCATGCGTCTCCCATATACCTCCAACCCCCCCGCGACGTCCAGCAGCGAGGAAGCCGCCATCCTCCAGCGAGTTCAAACACGGCGAGGCGAAAACGGCCTGCTCCCTCTCGACCTCACTCTCCTGCACTCGTTCCCCGTGGCGGATGGCTGGAACTCGTTTCTGGGCGCCATCCGCACCCGCACCTCCATCCCCGCAGACATCCGTGAAATGGCCATCTGCAGAGTTGCCGCGATCAACAAGGCGTGGTTCGAATGGGAACAACACTACCCTCTGCTGAAAGCCGCTGGCGTACCGGACGAAGCACTGGAACTGATCAAGCAGGACCAGTGCGATGAATCGGCATTGTCAGCGGTGTTGAGCAAGGAGCAGCTGGCAGTGTATAAGTATTCGAGCGCCATGACGAGGACAGTGAAGGTTCCTGACGAGGTGTTTGATGAGCTGAAGGCGTTGTTTAGCGAGAAGGATGTCGTTGAGATCACGGCTACGACTGCGGCGTATAACTGTGTGAGCAGGTTCCTGGTTGCTCTGAACGTTGGGGAGATGAATGAGTGAACATAACCGTTTGGGGCACATGGCCAGTACTTGATTTGTGGCAAGGAGTATAATACTTACACTAATTATAATTAGCCTGTGTGTATAATCGGGGCTGCGCTGGTAGTTGTTACTTTATATTAAAAGGTGATGGATGCAGCGTCAAGGATCAAGCAGCCAATCGCCATCTGACATATTATTCGCCAACCTTATCCTGTTGTCCTCCTTCTCGTCTCGATGTTTTACATACAAGCGCGCTGGACCCTGGACGGTACCAAAAGAGTAAACCTGGATATACAGGTCATGGCAAAGGGGAGTCTGGATACCCCTAGAGTATATAAGTATCTTGTCCTATGACCTGCTGATAAGGTAGATAGATAAATATTCCCGTACATATACTACGTAGTAACGAGTTATCCTCTTACGGGGCCAGACTCAGCTCGGCCAGGGTTCGACCATCAGGATGTTATATTAACGGTGTAGGTGGTAAGCGAGACGTCCAAGCAACAGTCTTTTCCTTGCATACAGAGTGCGGGACACATCTGCGGAGTATGAATACATGATCTCTCGCCATTCATCAGGCTGGACATGACAATAAGGAGCGACGTTTGGCATCTATTGATATTACTATGTATTATTATCTGTATGAGCTGTAACAAGCCCTTGTCACTATGTAATTTATCCTCCCTTCTCATCTTCTGATTGGGTCTCAGGCTGCTTAATAACACGAATATCTGTATCGACAAGGACAAGAAAAAAAAAAAACAAGAGCGAAGACGAAGAAGAGAAGAAAAAAAAGGTCAAGGGTTCGTTTTTTTTTTCTTCTTGTTTGTTCTTCCTTTTGAACTAAATAGTAAATTTTTTTCCCTTCCTAAAAAAAAAAAAAATATCCACATCTAGATCGGGGGTGATCGTGAATGCTCAACCAGCAAGCAACAATACGCATAGTGAAAACATAACTTCCCCCCTGGCCGTTTGTCGTGTCCTCGAAGCCGACAATCCCCTTCTTCCTCTACTTCCTTCTTGATATTGTCCATCTTCGTCTTCATCTTTCGTCTTCTACGAGGACACCTCTGCCCCCGGATCTACAGGTCCATCTCCCTCTCCCTCTGACCGAGATAATATCATAAACCCAGCAATCTTCATCTTCCCCCCCAAACAACAACCACGTCGCCTCGCCACCTCAAACTAGATTTTACTTTTTTTCTTCTTCTCCTTCTCCTTCATCTTCTTCCCTTTCCTCATCGATCCTCTCTCTATAAGGAGAAAAGATACTAAATGGCCGAACAACCTGGGCTCCAAAGCTTTCGTCCGTCCGCTCTATAGATTATTGGTGTTTTAACTACTAACTAATCATCCTTCAACCATCGGACGACCTTCATCTATCCTCTTTTTTTTTTTCTCAGCCCTTGTTTTAACTACTTACATACTTACCCTTTTTTTTTTTTATTTTCCTCCTTCCGCTAATCCGCTGGGCGGGTTAATACTTCTACTTCTACTACTTCTACTTCTAACTTATTTTAACCTTGTCGTCGTTGACCGATTCCTCCCAACTACTACAACACAGCCTGGGCTTCCACAGCCTCTTGTCCTTGATATGGCCGTTTAATACTAAAACAAAAGAGGACAAGAAGTGGTTTTCCCCGGTCGCTGGCTTGCTTGCGTCAAACGATCAACGGCTAATGGTATTATTAATAAATACGCCTTTAATATACTGAGGTAAGTAAGAGTTTTTACTCTTCTTCCTTACCTCCTACATCTTTACAACTTTCAAAGGAATGAGACAAGAGTAAGAGATAAAAGGATGTTCATCTCGCTCGCCTTTCCTACACACTTCCTTTCGATACGTGCTTTTATGCATCTCTCTACATGCAGTTTTACCCATGTCGATGCACGAAATTTTTTTTTATTTTTTCCTGCTTTGCCTATTCTGGGTGCATGTGATGTGGTGATGTCCTTGATATAGCATCTAGTTTGCTGGCTCTGGTACTGACTCTATACTTAGGATTGAGAGAGAGAGCCTTTTTTTTCTCGCTTTTTCCTTTTCTTTTCTGTTTCTTCCCCTTTGTGCTCACAATGTCGTCGACATCTGCACCCAAAGATGACATCGATATTGGGATGCCGCAGATAAACGCTCCCGGCTCTCCGATACATAGAGTGCTGCGAGGGTTATCTGAACCACGCAGCCTTCCGTCAGCCTCTTCCCAAAATACCCCAGCTAATGATTTACCCCCTGTAAAATGTACGTGGTGTGGACTAGAGTTTCCCTCAGAGACCACCGCAGAGTCAGTCAATAATCCACTGGACAGTCTCAAGCAGCACATGCGAGAAGATCATCCGGATATTGCCAAAGACTTGCTCAACAACCTGATTGCCGAAGAGAATCTTACTCCGTCTCTTGAGTCCGATCAGGGAAGTCGCCTTCCTATTGTCTCTCAAAGTGACGGAACTCCCAATGTCGAGGAAGAGTTGGAGCGCCACTGGACCATGCACGATGTAAAAAACTTTACAGAAGACTATGACGGCCAGCGGGATGAGCTTCAGTCGAGATGGGAAGGGGCCTTTGATGGTTTTGAGCGGCCTCAGCCTTACGAGTCAGCTACTACCGCTCCAGGGAAATTCTTGTCTCTGACAGACCCCAACATATACATCGATATCATGAAGGATCCGTCTTCCCTCTCGACCAAGGAACTTTATGCGATCACCGTCAATGCTGCACATGCACTAAGGGTCTGGCAAGACGAACATATGGCGCTTGAGAAACTGATAAAACGAGCTACCCGATCATCGCTCAAGAAGTCGTCGAACCCCAGAGAGCTCGAAGACCCACAAGTGTTCGAAGACAAGAAAGAAGCGATGCTGTATGGTTACAAACATGACCCGAAGACAAGCCAGATCGGGTTTCAAGATCCGTTCGCCCAAGGTGGCTTCATCCCCACCGCTGACCAGATGAGGAAGATGAAATTAAGCGGCACGGAACCATGGAAGATGAATCGCTGGGCTGTTGTAAAAGAAAACGGAGTGGAATGTGTCCCCAAGCTTCGGCCACCCCCAGTCATCAAGCCGAAGAAGAAGGTCCCCAACGCTGGTATAAAGGCAGAGACCGACAACAAGGGCCTTCTCGTGCCGAAGCGTGTAACCCGATATGGAGGCTCAAAGCCTTCTTCTATAGGTGATACATCGCAGGCTCCCTCAGAACCCGGCAGCCCTGGCGGACACTCCCGTCCGCAGTCCAGACATGCCACGCCACAGAGCAACGTCCCTACCCCTGTACGAAAATCCACAAGACCTTTGGCTCAAGCACTGTACGCGCTATCCACCAGCGCCCCTCGCAGTGCACCCGTCAAATCTCCCAAGTCCCCCAAGTCCCCGGCTCCGACATCAGCCGGCACCTCAAAGGCGTCGACACCGTTCTACCCCGATCCACTCCAGGACCCTAAGAACCAGCTTAAAATCAAAAACTCCAAGCACCCCAAGCGCACAGAAGCCATGATCCTGCACTGGGCCAAGTTCAACCAGGAAGGCAGGACAAGGAATCCGAAACGGACAAAGGCACAGATCGAAGCTGCACGGGTAGCTGAGCGAGAGGCTAGCCTCGACCCATCGGTAGGCTCGGCATCGAGCAGGAAGCGGATGGCAGCTGATCCCAACGAGAGAGCGGACAGCCAGCCTCCATCCATCAAGAAAATGAAGCGAGATGCGAACGGGAAGATAGAACCCGTCACGCCTGTCTCTGAACATGGAGAAGGGAGTTCTTTCCATTACCACATGCATGCAGCGTCACACCGTGGATGACGCCCGAACAACTGGCGTAGCTTACAAATTTTTTTTGTTTTTGTGGAGTTGAGTTGGACACGATGTCTTCGCTGCTCGTGTCAATTTGGTATTTACTTATTAGCATGGCGATTGTAATATGTTTTCTTCTTGCTTCTCTTGTTCTTGCTTCTGTCGCTGTCTATGCTTTACTTGGTGTCTGTCGGTTTCTGCTTTTTCCTTTTTTTTTCCGTTTCATACACTGGCCTTTGGGGGGTTTGTTGTTTCATGTTTTTTTTTTTGCACTTGCTGATACCTCCAAGCTGCTACATTTGACTCGGTCCTTTAGTTGACTACTTGTTGCTTGGTTAGGTACAGCGTGAGGGTAATACTGGGCGGGATGATATTCCTCGGCTGCGCATGTACAATACTTGGACAAATGAATTTATTTTGAAAAGAACTACAATATCACCATCATCTTCATCTTCATCCCTATATTGGTGGCGGTGACCTCACGTGACACTCTCACTACTTCAATCGGCCAGCAAAGAAAAGAAACCAACTTCGACCAACTCAGCAACTCGAGAAGAAGAAGAAGCAAAACGACGCTTCATTGGTTCTTCGGAAGTAGCCATTAACTTACTTATATCAACGGCTTGCCGCGTGCCCCTTTTGGTTTCTTTTTTATCTTTTTTATTTTATTCTTTTTCTCGGAGCGTTGTTGCTTTTAACAATAATAAGGATGGGGAAGAAAAAACGCGGCCACCCCGACCTCGAGGAGCTACTCGCAAGACCATGGTGCTATTACTGTGAGCGTGACTTCGATGACCTGAAGATCCTTATCTCTCATCAAAAAGCAAAGCACTTCAAATGCGAGAGATGCGGAAGGAGATTAAACACAGCCGGAGGTACGTCGTTCAACATCAAACTTTTTTTAAGCCATGTTCGTTCTTCTCACGTTTTATCGATAATAGGTTTATCAGTACATATGAGTCAGGTCCATAAAGAGTCGTTATCTCAGGTCGACAATGCACTTCAGAACCGGTCAAGTCTTGATATTGAAATTTTTGGCATGGAAGGTGTACCAGAGGATATCCTGCAGGCCCATAACCAGCGTGTCCTGCAGCAGTATCAGCAGGCTGAAGCGGAGCGTCGTGCGGCGACGGGGAACCCTGCGCCAGGAACGTCGGGGGGTTCTGGGCAATCAAAGAAACCAAAGTTCGAGTCTCCGTCCGAGCTGAAGAAGCGGCTTGCAGAGCATAAGGCACGGTTGGCGGAGCAGGCTGCGGGTGGGAGCAGCGGGGATGCTACTCCCGTTGGAGCGGGACAGTCACAGTCAACGCCGAGCGGAACTCCATATGTAAGGACTTACTCTCATTCCCTCACTCTACCACGTTGGAATAGAGCAAACACTAATCATTTTGTTTATATAGCAGCAGCCTAGTACGCCTCAATACACTGCTCCTCCACAAGGAACAAATGGCTCTGGCCAGGAGTATCATTACTCTGCTCCTTATGGACAACCGCCGAACCCCTTCCCACAACAGCAGCAGCCTGGTTCTGCGGTGTATGTGTCTTCATCTGGGCCCCAGGGCTACCCCTTGCCTCAATATTCTCCTCCAAACATATCACCATCAGCATACCCCCAGGTTACAGCTCCTTCGATTGTTTCACCGGTAGGAGCCAGTCCTACACTGCCATACCACCACCACCAGCCGCAGGCTATGAGAACTCATACCCCTCCTCAAACCATACCCCCCACCTACCCTGCCCGTACACCAAGCCTACCACCGGCTCCAGGACTACCTCAACGACCCAGTTTTGGTGCACCACAAGTCAATGCCTTTCAAATGCAACAGCTACACCACGGGCAGGTCTCGGCACCTCCTTCTGCTGTCCCGGTTACGACAGAGGTGCAAGGCAACCGTGCCCACCCTGCTGCAGATGCCCATTCTGAGTCACTGTCAGCATCCGCCGATAAACTGATTTCAGAGGCTGCCAAGCAAGCCAAAGAGTTACCAGCTAAGCCAAGCCCCGCCCCAGGAACCCCTGAAGAAGGGGCTGCTGGTAAACCTTCGAAGAAAGAAAAAGCTAAGTCCACCAGACTAGTTTATTCCGACAATGAAATCAGCCCGGAGGAAAAACTGTCTCGTTTGCCTAGGTACGCCTTTGTCCCTGAAAGGAGAGACGAGGCTGCTGTGGAGGAGACAGCTGTTGAACCCGCTGCTGGTTCCGAAGAGGCTGTCAGCCTTCCAGTGTAAGCATTCATCTCAAAAAAAAAGCCTCGCACTCACTGGGCCATCAGACACCATCCTTCAACTACTCCAAGTAAAATAAAATTCGTCATGTGTTCTTAATTCTGGAGTTTTGGACCATTATCGTCGGAGTGACGATGGGAATTTTACGACGTGCAGATAAGTCTTTTGAACGTACCAGTCTTTTTTTCTTCAAGCAATATACTCTGCCCTGATTATTCCGAGTTGATGATCAGCAAGTTTGCCTTTTTCTGTTGTTTCAGGTGCGTACCTGGTTGCGCAAAGTCCATATCTGAATCTTTCCTACCCGCTATCCTCCGATGAATGGGCACCGAACAGCTGGAGCGGCCGATCATCAACCCTTCCCCCGTCCCCCTCTTCTTCTTCTCTTCGGATCAGAGATACGCCAACCTCGTGGGTTTATACTTCGACGCACTGGTGAGTCGGATCATCGATCGTTCCTAGAGGATCACTGATCAATGCGTGACTCTCCTCCCTCTTCTTTTCCTCTACTTTTTCTTCCTGCTATTGAGTCCCATAGTTCCATTCCCACTTTCTCGCCCAAGGTCTTCCCTCCGAATATCGAAGTTATAGCCAGGAACCAAAAATATGGCTTATCAGTAATCAACCGGGAGAGAACAACGCAGAAACAAGACTAAGGTACGATCCAATGCTTTTTTCTGATCATAGCTAGATATAACCCAAGGGCAAGAGGAGACTAAAACCAGTTTCCCCCCTTCCTTCTTTTCGTTTTATTCTGTTCTTCCCTGTAATGTATTCAAGGGCACTGTTGTGCTCTTCTCTGCAAACATATATCAATAGTCCTTCAGGCCTTTACTCTCTCTTGCTATAAGTCCATAGTAATAACTGGTTGTTTACATACGGAGTACACAAACTCCAAACCCCTGCTGCTGATCACGTGTAACAATTACGGGGAAACAGCCGATTGGTAAGCGCGCTGTGGAGAAAAGCATGACGGCATCAACTCCAATTCTAGGTTGCAACATTTTCTCCTCCTCTTCCTCCTCATCTGCCGCTCTTTTAGCTGTCATGTTTTGATGTAGCAACGTTGTTTGATTTAGTCGTCGACAATGGGAAGACAGGCCAGGATGCGATACGGCCATGAGACCACGCCGCTGCTCTATGTTGAAGTAGCACAGCGCCCACCTCGCTATCCACACAGGAACATCCGTAAACTGTGCACCACATGTCTGGGGACGATTTTGGTTTTGTCTGTGATTGTGCTACTGTTGCCGTTTGCCCTACTTCCACGTGGATATGGATCCATCTCCGATCATCTTCCATGGACGTCGAGGAACGGACTCGACTATGCGTCTCTCCAACAGCTATTGCAAACAGTACCAAGTGCACGCAAAGTAAAGGAATGGAGCCACCATTACACGTCCGGCCCCCATCTTGCTGGGCAGAACTTGAGCTTGGCCATCTGGACAAAGGAGAAATGGGAGGAATTCGGTGTCCCTGACGTCCAGCTGACAACCTATGATGTCTATCTGAACTATCCAGTCAGCCATCGATTGGCACTCCTCGAAACAGGGAAAGAAACCAATGGCCTCAATGTGATGTATGAGGCTTCGTTGGAAGAGGATGTTCTTGACAAAGATGTTACCAGCGGGTTGGAGGATAGGATTCCAACCTTCCATGGCTACTCAGCCAGCGGCAATGTTACTGCTCAATACGTCTATGTGAACCAAGGTACCTACGAGGATTACGAAACTCTTGTTAACGCTAATATAACCTTGGAAGGAAAAATTGCTTTGGTGAAATATAGCGGTAACATGCGTGGGTTGAAGGTGAAGCGTGCTCAAGAGCTAGGAATGGTCGGCGTTATCATCTACACCGATCCACAGGAGGATGGAGATATGACAGAGTTGAATGGATTCAAAGCATATCCAGAGGGGCCTGCTAGAAATCCAAGTGCTGTGCAGAGGGGTAGTGTTGGATTCCTGGGTAAGTGTCCAGCCTGGCACTGATCTACTACTATTTTTTTTAAAGGCCATGAACTCATATTTACTTCTCAAGGTGCCGGAGCTGGAGACCCCACAACACCTGGATACCCTTCCAACCCTGGTTGTCGAAGAGAAGACCCTACAAACTTCATTCCTTCGATCCCTTCGTTGCCAATCTCCTATAGAGACGCTATTCCATTACTGAAGGCTCTCAATGGACATGGCCCAAAGGCGCTGGATTTCGGTAAGGACTGGCAAGGTGGACTCGTTCATAAAGGAGTTGATTACAATATTGGACCTTCCCCCGCAAATGTCATGATAAATCTCCAAAACGAGCAAGATTATGTGACAACTCCCATCTGGAACGTAATCGGCGTTATTAAAGGCTCAATTCCAGATGAAGTTATTGTCTTAGGCAACCACCGAGATGCTTGGATCTCTGGGGGTGCTGCCGACCCCAATAGTGGCTCAGCTGTCCTAAATGAAGTCATTCGCAGCTTTGGCCAGGCTCTCGAAGGTGGCTGGAAACCAAAGAGAACATTAGTGTTCGCAAGCTGGGATGCTGAAGAATATGCTCTAATTGGGTCCACTGAATGGGTTGAAGAAAATATCTCATGGTTGTCAGGAGCCAACGTCGCATACCTCAATGTTGATGTTGCCGCCTCTGGGAAGAAGTTTGATGTCCACGCTAGCCCGCTACTGAATAAAGCGATCTATAACGCTGCCGGACAGGTGCTATCTCCCAATCAAACTGTCGAAGGACAGACCATTCTTGACGTATGGGGCGGTAACATCGCTGTAATGGGGAGTGGAAGTGATTTCACTGCCTTCCAAGATTTTGCTGGTATCCCAAGTTTGGATTACGGATTTGTCGCCGGAGACGGCGACCCAGTCTACCAATACCATTCCAATTACGACAGCTTTGACTGGATGGACCGATTTGGCGACGTTGGCTTCGAATATCACCTTGCCATGGCCAAATTATGGTCCTTAACGGCTGCATATCTATCGGAAACACCCGTCCTTGCTCTAAATGCCACGAGTTACGGCATAGCATTGAAGCAGTACCTTGATTCTGTGAAGGATACAGTACCTCCTGAAGCTAGAAGCAAATTTAACTTCTCCTCTTTAGATGATGCTATATCTGCATTCTGCGAGAAGGCTGTTAAATTTGATGCTTACGCCGAATCTCTTGCTACTGAGCTGGACAATGGCGGTCATTGGTGGAGCAGGCTCATTCTTTACTTCAAAATTCGTTTCGCTAACCAGAAGTACAAATTCATCGAAAGAAAATTCCTATATAACAAAGGCCTTGATATCAGAGGGTGGTTCAAACATGTCATATTTGCTCCAGGGCGGTGGACTGGATATTCTGGCGCCACTTTCCCTGGTTTGGTTGAAAGTTTCGAAGATAATGATTTGGATAACGCTGAGGTTAGTACATATGCCTATGAATATAGTTGTTTATCCTATTCGTTGCTAACGGTAGTTGGTTATATAGAAATGGCGAGATATCATCAAGTCCAAGATTGACGAAGCGGCGGAGTTGCTTGGATAATATGGTCATATATATTCCTCAGGCCCGTTACTCTTTCTGGGTTATATATAGAACCATATTCAATTGTTATTTATTTGTTTGTAGTGCCCAGTACATACCGGATTTCGAACATTTATTCCTGCAGAACCACCACAAGAATCTCCGTTAAGTTACAAAAGAGAAACTTTTTGATTTGCCTGGTATCTGCAATATGATATTATGATCATATTAATTATGCCTTCTTCGGCCATTGCTTCTATGGAATCTATATATACGCAGACAGGTAGGTAAAATGTATAATAAACATAGGTCGTTTAAATTAAACTTGAGTCACCAAAATTAACCGGAATGATGTTTGTAGAGGAACTTTGTCAAGTTAAAGGAATAATGGTTTTTAGAAAAAAGTGAAAAGCAATAGCTCCCCTCTCACACTTTGCTCCGTTGTAATGATCTTTTTTAGTAGGGGTGTGGTATAAATCCGTGTATCGTATGTTCAGTTTAAGATATCTTTTGTAAGTCAGGAAGTCAGGGACTGGAGGATGTTGGCGGAATGGCTTTACCATCCGCGGTCTTACCATCTAAATTGCTGGTCTGGATTGTGGCAGCTATGTTTTCCTGTCGTATATTTCCTACTTCAAGCAGGGGAGGACTGTTCTGTTCAGCATCATTGGCCACAGCATCTGTGCCCTCGTTATTTTCGTTCTCATCGTTATCGACAAATCCATCTGTTTCAATGATCCAAAAAGCGGGGAGAGCACTAATAGCTGCAATGAATGCTAATGTCCACCAAGGTATGATCATATATCCTGCTTTAACACCAATGGAGAATATTTCGCCCAAGGCGGCAGGACCAATAGCTCTACCTATAGCAGACACGCTGGTAGCAACTCCATTCAAAGTCCCAAGAACACGTACACTAGGAGCTGAATTTGTAAGTAAGATAATTGATGATGGAAATGCAAAGACCACGGCACTCAGTTTGATTGCCATTAGAACTACTGTGGCAAATTGGCGGGCGCCATCCGTCGGGAACAGGGCGAGGAACGGCGTAAGGAAATATAGGATAGGGAACATTAAAGCAGTCACTTTAAAGCATCGTAGTACTCCAAACCGTTTGGCGGTGGGGGGGAAAACAAAAAATTGAACAACCATCCCTACTATCCCGTTAAGCGTAAATAGAATACCAATAGCCTGTGAATCTGTAGACAAGACGATTGGTTAGCCCATAAGCAAGAACTTTTATGCATATTCGAAAACGGATATACCAAGTATATGGAATTGATGACTGTGACATACCTATCCCAAAACCAGAGGAGAACTTAAAGGGAAGCTTTACATCAGGGTCGTTCACTAGATCCTGCCTTGGATGGTTCAAAAATACAGGCAGCACAGAGTCAAATGCAACGCTGTGAAGCCCTAAAGAGGCGTATATGCTAAGGATCACGACGGACTGGAAAGTCAAGACCTCTGACCATTTGACAGTGGTATTTGGTTTTTTCTCTTCTTTATCAGCGGCCGGTACTGGTGTTCGGTTTTCACCAAGTAGAGGGGTCGACTCATTGTCCTCTTGTCCATGGTGCTTCTTTGGTTTTCTCTCACATCCGCAACAAGTACTCGTCAGCATTTCTCCGAGGACAAGGCCATAGTCCCGGCTATTCTTTTTACATGCTAGAGTTTCCTACCCCCCAAAAGAAGAGAAGTATAAGCATAATTTTCTCGGCTTGAGCATTTCACTGTGACGAAGTTCAAGGCTTACCTTCAAAAATAAGAATCCTGTAACAATTCCAACAATAAAGAATATGGCTGAAAGAAGATTTGGCAAAGCAAATGGATACGCCTTGAAGAAATGGCTGTCACGAAACATTTCTGGGTATTTCTTTACTGGGTTCACTAGAGCCCCGCCAAACGCAGGTCCGAAAATGCTCCCTATAGTCCATACTAGTGGCATTAAACTGAAAGCTCGAGGTTGGAGTTCACGCTCCGGCACAAGTTCCGCTACAACAGTTCTAATAATCCCCACATTCCCACTGCTGAAGCCGAGGCAGGCACGCGCTAACATAGCCATCGGAAGGGAATTAGAAACCCCGAAGATGATAGTAAAAAACATTGTAATGGAGAGGCATGTGAGTATGACGGGTTTGCGGCCAATTCTGTCGGATAGGTTCCCCCAGGGAACGGCGGTGATGCATTGGCAGAAGGCGAACACGGCAGAAAGAACGCCAACCCATTTTGCGACATCTTTCTCGACAACACCGAATGTCCGGACCATTTCAGGCTAATGTAGTTTATTAGCATTTGTGAAAGATAGCCAATATGCAGAAAAAACGTATATAAAGGCCGAGAGTAGGCGGGAGATAGGGATAGTATCATACTAAGTATGGAAAGACGGATGTGAAAACGACTATGACAAGGAAAATCAAATATCAGTGCCATTTCTAGGAACGCTCGAAAGATAACGGGATCAGAGGGTTTATAGATATACCAGGTTCGGCGAATCGACACACAGCTAAGATGTAAGGTCATATTGGTTAGCCATGGCTCAGATATTAAAAAAGTACGTGTGTGAAAGGACATGGAGAACTCTTACCTAGTATCATGAACTGCTGCACAGGCAGCTTAGGGGTTGTCTTCGCCATAGTGCCAATGTTGAGAGGCCCTCCCTGGGATCGAGAGACTACGTCCAAGAGCTGGGCAAAAAATGTAATCTCGGTTATTGATTAGCCGGTCTTTATTACGTCGCTCTGAAAGCCCCCACCGTTCGTTTCGAGGAATATAAGAAGCTGGGAGGCTATGAGCTAATAATAGCCCGTTTAATACAACGTTAAAAGAGACGAGGACCTCGCTTCATAAGGGAGATGTGACTGAGGAAAAGGTCCTCCCAGTCACGCTTCAGGCTGTTACAAAATTCAAAGCGGCTCGCGTCTCTCCGCCAGTTACTGGGATAACAGGCCTGACTCAGCTTTGACATGGGGGGGAATTGTCGGCCTCTCCACAGAGGAAAGCTATGGGCCATGGCTGTGCGCTTAAACCCCACTGTTCAGCTGTTATCCACGAAAGCCGAAGAATTCTATGTAAAGCTGGGCCGGATACAAATCGCAGAGGGTAGTCGTGCATGGCCAAAGCAAGAAGATAACTATCGAGGATGTAATGATGTCCTCACCGTTCTTTTTTGGTGCAACAGCGACGTGGCGGTGGACACCTGCAACAAAAACTAGCGGGCGTTGAGTACGGCCTAACTATACATAGCACAATCGACTTCGCAACCGAAATGCTCTTATTGGATGACTCCATGGTTGGCGAGTTGCTTATGCACAGATCTGATCAATAGGGACGCAGCAATTGATGCAGAAACTTTTCTGGAGCACATTGAATGCTGCGGGTTTGCGGCATTTCGGGAGCTCTCTCCCGGGTAATCCTAGCCCGATGGCCGAACATCCCCATACAGGGCGTTTTGCTAATATCAGCACAAGTAGATATTGACTAAAAAAGGGGCCCTCTTACGGTCATAAACAACAATACCACAACTCCCTCTATTTTGGAGTACTCAAGATCGAGTTTTCTTCACGTCGAGTTCGGGACGTCGTCAACTTCCCAATACGGTAAGGTGGACTAGACTCTCGGCGGATCTCTCGGTCCGACCGGCACGTTATGGTCACGTGCTTTGATGATATAATCAGCTCCCCGCAAACAAACAACAAACATTTGAAGTGAAGTAACCGAACAAGATACGAGGCCAATTAAACAGAGAAATGGGGTTGATTGATGTTGACCCTGAATACACGCATATGTAAATGAAAACCAAAACCAGAAATAGAAAATGTCGGGGAGATAATCGCAGCCCTTCACATCCACATAGCATCACCCTCTCTTGAGCTCTTCAAGCCTCTTCTGCACAGGCTTCGGTTTCGAACTCCGCTTAGACTGTTTGTTCGATTTACGTAGAACCCCGAATTTCTCGTAGCCTTCTGGAAGCGCCTTTAAATTTGGGTATGCGGTGGTTTCCCCAACTGGATTGCTCACTGACCAACGAACTAATAGCTCACACTGGGATCTGTCGAATACTTCCATGTCAAGGAATGGAGTACAATTAAAGTGCAAGTTCCCGTCTTCAAAGTACACTTCATTCATGCGTACCTGTCTGTTAAAGCACGAGATCATAAGAACCTATATTCCAAGTTAGTAGGTAAGGGGTTTTCTGTGCTTCCCCCCCAAGGCTTTTTTTTTAAACTTACAGGACATGTGTGGTTGACCAGTGACGGTGGCCATCTCATCCGGTGCATTATGATATCAACGGCTACCAGTATCTCACTGCGAGCAAGTTTTGATTCCGTACTCTTGTCAGGCCGTAGGCCATGCGAAGAAAATGAGATGACATGGCTCTCAGAAGGGCGTGATTCATAGGTATCAAGTGCCGTGTGGCTTAGCCAGTCAGTCAGCTCATCGGGATTGAGGTTGGCAAAATTTCCACCCATACGTGTGCGGGGGATTCTATCAAATGAATGGTTAGTTATCACCAAAGCCAGGAGATTCAATTATAGCGCAATGACATGACGAAGGTTACCTACATAACCTTACGCCAGGGGGTATATTGAAGAAATAAGCACAGATCATCTGATTGTGAATCTGGGATCTCAGAAATGATAAGTTCCCAGCATCTGCGGTAGATACGCTCAGCATCACGATATACTAGATTATCAGGGCTCCATTGAAGTTCACGGATCTTCCCTTCGTCGTAGGCCCATGTCTTAAATTCTGATGTTGAGACGGGTCTGAAATATTTTCCTCCATGTTCCAGGTCCATCGCCGATACACGTATGTTGTGTTCCTGTAGCTTCTTATGCGAAAAGTAGATGCTATCCTTATCCTTCGCGCTCCGGAAGTATGTGAAAATGTGCTGGAGTTTTTCATACGCTTCACGCTTGCGCTCAATGATCCGCTCCAACGTTGCAAGACCTATCTCAGTTGCATCAGCCATGGTGGGTGTATCGAGTGTGATCAGAGATATTGCTATTGAATGAGTCTGTGCAGGGTTAACCAAGAAGTTCAAAAGGAGCTGAATCAGTGGAATAAGATAAGTGAATCATGCCGCGCAGGGCAATATATAAAAGGTTGGCCAAGCTTCTTAATTTGGTTAGGGGAATTTAACTCGGAGGACGCCGCCTACTTTGTACTATGGACATAGATAAGGTTAACTAGTCGTGGGTTGCCATAACTACTATGTAAGGAACTAAAATTAAATTAAGCGCCCAAGAATCACAAATCTATGTTCTAATGGAACCAACACAGTGTGAAACATAGAGTTGCTATGATTAGAATAATTATGCATGGGAAACCAATAGATGAGATCTCGAGAGTGAAGTTGCTTAGTTGCAAGGATCACTAGGGATGGACTCACATTTTAGCGCTGTTTTACCTGTAGAGGGGCTCAAATTGGGGGCCAAGTGAATTAACCTAAGTAGACACTCCAACAATTGAATCTGGATGGATTCACTATGTGTAATACCTGGCCCCCTTGAAACGTATGTTTACGCCCGCGCCGTGTAAAAATAACGTAATTGTAAGCGCCCACATTTGGAGCAACTGCTTTCGGGGGTTCTCTTCCCGTTTGAAATGTCTACTTAAGCGGAACATAAACCCATTAAAACAGAAATAGGCCACATACTTTCCTATCAACATCAAAACCAGAACCAGCAAAAGCTTACCACTACCCCTTTTATCACGAATTTTCTTCAGGGTTATAATTATGTCAGGTTCTAGTGACGTTATCGAATTCCCTTCTGCCGTTAAAGAATGGAAGGCCCTAGCCAAAAAGAACAAACTAGAAAATGCTAGTATTCATCACAAGGCCTGTGATTCGGCATCGAAAATTAGTGAGGAACAATATCTCCTACTTCGGAGCTTTTGGGTGGAAGCGCCAGCGGATAATGAAAACCCCGGGACCTGGGGGATCAAAGCTACTCAAGAAGCAGCCCACTGGCTGAATAACGAGGATGACTGGAAGAAATACCTTGAAAGTCTTGCTATGTCGTCTAAAACCACCCCAGCCCCAAGGCTTGGCTCATTCTCGTACGTTTCATTGGCCAGAAGTCAAGTAACGAGGCTCCCAGAGGAGTATGGCGAGGAGGATGAGGATAAGAACGTGTCATTTAGTCCGATATCAAGCCGATTACGATCATCCGACCCCAAGCCGGCCCCAGATGGAGAAGACAGACCCGATAGCCCAGCGGAAGACGCTGCGAGAAGAATGGGAATATCCCAAACCCCTCCTAACATGAGTTCCGATGAGGATATTGAGAACGCATACTTTAAGAAAGGGGCTAGCAGTAAAGATGGATCTGGTGGTGATCTCACTAAAAGATTGGAGGGTATTGCGTTAGGGAAAGAATCGGTCGATCATACCACTGGCAAATCCCCGGCGATTTCAATTGTTAAGATGAGCCCCAACTCATCGCGCAAAGCTTTCCCTAAGGTAGAGGATGAGCAAATTGTGAATGGTTTCTTGATCGCGTTTCTTGCAACGATATGTATGTATCATCCAAAGGTCAACCTCGAGTGGTCGCCAGTCCGGAAAGCCTTTAAATTTGGAAAAGTTGATATCCCAGCCAGCGGACAGAAGACGTTTCTTTTCGAGGCAAGAACCGATGGTCATTTATCTCAGCCATTTTTAAAAGATACCAATGTGCGATCAGCTATGATCGTTGAGGTTAAGCCTACCTTCCGGGGGTACAGCAATCGAGTCATCTACCAGGCAACCGCCCAGATGGCAGCGTGGATATACAACGAACCGGATAAGCCAGGGTCAAAGCAGCCATTTCGGTAAGAAAAATCTAAAGGAAAAAGATGATTCATTTCTGAGGGCAACATATTGTCTAACATCCCATTGATTAGGCGCGCTATGATTTTGCAGGAGCGCCAAGAAATTAGGCTTGTCATTGCAAAGTACGACCAAAAATATGTCGATTACCTTCATGACCAGACGGTAACCGACTTGTCATTGCTAGAGATGCACGAACTCGGAGCGTGGGATATTAGAACTAAACGAGATATGGAGGGGTTTGGTGTCATCCTCTTAGCGCTTGCACTGCAGAACGGCGAACTCGTATATTAGAGTGCTTTAGGTTTAGTTACCCACTAGTTACACGGTTGTTTTCATAGCCTCCTACTCTATCTATTTGATTTCAGTTTCTATGCATTAATTATAGTGGAGATCGTTTATCAAAACAGTTCTCTTTGGTTATCAATTTCTTTTTTAAGTATCTGCACGTAACTACCCATTACTAGAGGAATTTAACAAATGATTCCGGTGCCAAAAAGTACATATCTCAATATCTACAACACATCACCAGCTCCTGGTACCAGTTATACTATACCACGTCAGAAACCCCTTAGCTTTATCTGGTTGTGTTGCTGATTAAACCGTGTGTGGCTGGCCAGACAAAATCAAGGAATCCTATGAGGCACACTCTAGGTAACTAACCTGAAATATATAACGAAGGCGAGTGTATCTACTTCGTACGTCCATCATTCGTGTCTCCAACCTCGAATAACCAAACAAACGAGTTATATGCGATGTTTCTGAATATGCAAAAAGGAAAAGGAATGGCATTATTTTCTGTGGCTCTCTTCTACCTAATGACTTGAGGAATCACTATCTGGCTGGTTGAACAGTAGAGAACACGGTTTGCTTCGCTGAGATGTGGGGTAAGTCTTCAATGATATTAGAGTATGAATGTATAGACGTTAAGGTAACTTCGGCAAAACGATCATATTTCTCCTCTAGTTATCGTTAATCGGAAAGCTTCCTCTCTCTAAATTGGACCATAGACCCATCCTTAAAGGGCAAGATGCAATCAATAAACTGATACTCATTGTGTCTTCGTCGTCCAGGGTGTTTATTGTTAGGATCTCCCTCTCCACTGGGCTCTTGAAGCCTTTTGTCCTCAGGGAGACAAATGTCGAATTTGAATAGCAACGTCGCTAGAGTTAACATGAGCTTTAGATAAGCCAAATTCTTCCCAATACAAATTCGGGGTCCATAACCAAATGCGAGGAAAGTAGATCGGGCTCTAACGGCACTCTCAGGTGTGCTCTTTTCATCATCAGTAACAACGAAGCAGTATTTGTCGGTTGAAATCCATTATTGCATATTATGATGTATAACGTATGGGGCAACATCAAGTGTGGTACCCTGCGGGAAGCAGTTTCTGTCCACCGTAAGACCTCCTTTTAACACTTCTACCATCAGATTGACGGTCTGTGGAGGAGCAAGCCTCAGTGCCTCGTCAACGCATGCACGCAAATATACAAGGTTAACCATGTTGCTGCCACGAATGTCTTCGATAGAGTTGAATGTGGACCGGACCTCGGTAATGGCTTCCCTTAAACATTCTAGGTAGCAGAGGAAGTAAAAGATGGCACCTGAAAAGGCTTCTGCAGTGGTATCAGAACCGGCGGCAATTAGAAGACTACTCTCAGCGGCGAGTTCTTCTCGTGAAAGGCCTTTATCAGTCTCCGGATCTTTCCTATTAATCAGATAGTGCATAAAGCTCTTTCTAGGATAATTGAGGCCATTCTTTTCGGTAGATTAATAGCGTAGGGCCATCTGGCGGGTCGCATATATTGAATAACCTTTATCTCGAACCAGCTTCCCTCCGAATACCTCCAGTATTTTACTGCGAATTGAGGGGCGAACAAGTTTTGTAAATGGCAATTAACCGAACCGTAGCCAAACTCCAGTTAGTGTGTGATATATAACTTTGAAATCCAAACGCTCAGTGCAAAGCCTCCGTGGGGTTCATTAGTTAAACACACATAGTAAAGGAACTGGCTAGATGACACCATCAGAGATGGAACATATCTATGTTCCTCGCTCCCTATGCAGTTGAACCTCGTGCCAAAAGTTAGGTCCCCCATGATATCGTAGTGAAAGCAGATGCTCCAGTGATTCATGTCCATAGGCTTACCCCATTCTCCGCGGTTAGTCGCAGTTTCACTTATCTTCTCGCAAAATGTCTGGATGTTTTCCAAAATGAAGACTTCGGAGGATCTCAGGGCTGCATCTGAAAACGCATGCTCTATAATTCGGCGTCGAAAACCATGTTTTACTTCATCAGTCTCGCTATGCACGGTATGTGCCTTTGCAGCAGCATATAAAGTTCGAAACCAGTCCCCTTTTTGCACGTTTGCCTTTCGGCTATATATTTGCCTGATAGCAGATGCGCTGTTGACGGACCGATGCGGACGACGGGGCCTATAAGATATAGAGTCAGGTCAGACCGCTGGTTGCGTTTATGCTCTCTAGCTTTCCTTTGGGCTCCGTCCTTGGCGTACCATATATTTTATGGAGCTCTAAACAGTTTAAGTGCCTATCACCGCTAAGGATGTCGACATAAAACGGTCAATCTGACAGTTTGTTCCAAAATGGCCCGGATATTTGGCAAGAGGGTGCAATATCAAACGATAAAAAGCAATCATGGGAATCTACTAGTAAAAATGAAACAATTTTCAGTATTAGCTGGACCATGATAGATAAATATACGGTGCTGTTTAGCCTCATAAAAATCGCTATGACGCTAATGATTAGGGGTAGAACCCCCATCTCCTGGAGCCAAAATGGAGAAATGTAGCCCATGGTCAACTTGATATTAATCTCAGCTGTCTCAGACGAGAGAAATGAGAAATCTAGTCCAGCACCAATAGAGGGGAAACGCCTGGAGGTAGTGGAAATACCAAAATAAAAGTTCATGTGGGGAGTTTGGCTCTTGAGATCTTGAGATTTGATAATAGGATGCTTCGGGCTACCGGATTTCGGAACAGACCAGCATGGCTTGTAACGATTTGACGCTGTCAGCCAGCCTGAGAAGCACAAGCTGGAGAGTTCAATGTACGTCTCTTTCTCGTGTTGTGAGTAAGAGTCATGGGACGACCTCGAATGTAATGTAGATATAACATTCGTGTTTGTTCGTCTGGCTTGTTCTCCCGGCAGTCTTTAAACAGGACAGGAAGGCATAAGAAACAAGGATCGGGAATTCCTGCAGCAGGAGATTTTGCACTGCCATGTAAGACATCCATTCGTTGTTGTTGGTATAACCCCTCATGACTAGCTGCAATGTCGATCTGAAACTGTTTGACCACGTCAAGAGAAACCCTTGCTTTTAATAACCCAAAATCGGGTCATTAAAACTTATGTGTGCGATATTTCCTAGTTAATACCGAGCTATCATAGTCATTGATAGTAAGTCTGATTCTTACAAGTCATCCTTAACGCGTAGTTAACTAACACGTTATTGGAGGCTACAATGTTAACTATTAAACATGTTCAGCTTCCAAGCTGCCTAGATGAGTCTACGTGACTGAAGCTATTTCCTGACGAGTTTGATTGTAAAGTGTTGTATCAAGTCTTGGGTTTCCTACATAACCATGAAATGGTTGCCCATACTGATATCTTTTATAATTTCTAGTCTTTTTACATGTTAATGCTTCTTGGGTTATATACATAACTACGATACCAACCCTTGAGATGGAACATGCATCTTCCGTATATAGATCGCCTTCAGATATACACATGGGAAAGGCATGATGATGGCATCCCGAGACAAAAGAAACCCTGATCCTGGTGATTGGGTAGAAACTCACTGATGATGGTGTTCAAACCATATCGTTTTGGTAGAATACGAAGTAACAAGTACCTACGGAGTACTCGTGGCCCAATTATTACAAAGCAACAGGAGACCTTCCATGCTCTTCCAGCTAACCGCATCTCCCGTATAGATGAAGTATTGCATACATAAACACCGTATATATAACGTATAAGTACGCATGGGACACCCCAAAGTCTCCAAAATACGACAGGAAATCTCAAGGCTTAACCGTTTATTGCTCTATCTATGCGTGGTTTGATGGTCAACATACACAGTGGGGGGTAACCAGCTAATGACTGGTTGCAAACAATACACGGGCCGATTTCAAGTTGACTTGGAGGACTTTTCACGTATCAACAGGGTTAATGTACGAGATGAGATGAAAGGCCGTCCCATTAATTAAATGCAGTATGCAGTATGTATGTGTATACCTATCCAAACAAGCAAGGGGGAAAAAGAAAGTATTAAATAAAAATAAGAAGCCAGCACCAACTTCAATGCGATCACAAAAAGAGGAATACTAGCAAAAGAAATGAAGGAAAAAATAAAAAATCCGTACAAAGAAACGCCAGAAGATACGAGAATATATGTAATGTTTGTGTCCCGCTTCTCGAGGGTTATAACTGAACGACTATCTTGTCTCCCTGAAAAGCGGATTTTGAAAGGTATCTGGGTGAGTATTGACTATTGTAAGGTTCGTCTGGTTAGCAATGTCCTTCAGGTCCTCAAGCTGGATTGGTATGATACATACTGGAAATATATGCTTCCGGCCGCTTGGTCTTTGCACTGCTCGATGTAGGTATCCAAGTCTGCCTTTGCTTTACCTCCGAGCTTCGGGAGGCGGGTCTCAGCCTCGCTAACGATCCGATATGATTCCTCTATCAGACCAACGGTGTAATCGACTGCAGCTTGGACGTTCATGCGCTTGTGGACCAAAAGAAGTGGGATTATATTGTCAAACTGGCAGTCCTTCTAAAAAAGGGGCGGAGGAAAAGGAAACGTTAGTCAGCCACCGCTTTTGGTAATCAACGTCATTACTTATTCGACATCTATCGAACAGAACCACAGCAAGGATGGCACTTACAATCTCTTTCTTGACTGAGAATATATCATTCATTCTTTACAAGCATCTATCAGCGTTTGGTTCTTTGCGGAAAGGGAAGGTTGATACCCACAAACTGATAATTCGGACGACGTGATATCGTATTGTCTGCACCGACTCATGCCTCAAGACCTCATCCGACACCTCAATGTCGCTGGCGTATCTAAGAGCATGTTAGTTGCACTTGCGGCAAGGACTATGGATAAACGGGCTTACGGTATCAAGTCGAGGGTTGGGTAGACACCGATATTGATTATTCTCCCCTCAATATATTCTTCCAACGATGGAAGATACTTCTCTCGCTGCTTGCTCACCTCCATCAGGCACTCAATGTATTCAACCGTGGTTTTGAGAAACTGAGACTTGGATTCTAAGGGGCATAATCAAGGTTAGCCTTTAAATTGTTTCTCCCCCCAAGCCCCGGGGGAAGCATGGGTATATTAACCTTCTGACCAGCCTACAGCAAGCTTGGGACCAACTGTGCGGTAGATGATACAGCTTGGAAGCACATATGGTTCCGGGCCGCTGCGGTTGGGGTCAAGCCAGTACTTTACGAAAGCAACTGGGTCCTGTTTCACAAACTCTTCGGATGTGAGGAAACTGTCTACGTCTAAGAGCAAGGCATGTTAGCTTAGGTGAGATGTTCTCATGCTTCTCAACGTCCATTATCCTTACCGTCGTCAAATGCAAAGAACTGATTGAAATTTATTATTAGCACGATATGGTAGAGATCATAAGATTGTCGAGAGGAATAATATTATACCCAGGCCATTTTCTCAAAGAGCACCTGCAACTTTCCTTCTGTTGTTCGAGGGAAAAAGCATGCAATGCATAGAGTCAGGTCAACCTTTATTGCCATCTCTCGCAAGTTGTCTCTCTCGATCCATCTTCATAATGGGCAGATTGTTAGACGGGTATAAGAGTGTACGGGCTAGAATCAACTTACCGTGCTAAAAACTCCCCTTCTGTTGCTTTTATCTTGTCATAAGCAGGATTGACGCCCATATACCATCCTCTAAGACATTCCTCTAAACGGGGAATTGTATAGGAGCTTCCTTTGAGGAGGTTTATGATATACTCCTGCTGATGACGGTATTCTAGATCTCTGGAATTGTTTGGATGTCCATGACGACGAAAGGCAGGTAGACTGCGAAGTTTGGAATGCGGCGATGTTATGGCAGATACAAGCCAACGGAATATAGCTGGGAACGACATGGTGAGAGCAGTGACTCAGAAAAGATATGTTAAGTTTTGATAATGATGTTCGCTTTCTCTTTTCCTGAACCAGGCTGGATGTGGAGTTTATATGAAGTATGAACAAAACCACCCCTTCCCCCACCGTACGATTTGGTTTCATTCATTTTGATTCATTTTTTTTAACTTTGAAATCATAAAGTATTTTAGGATACTCAGTCCTAGGGGGATCCCCAAAAGCGCCTTCAATCCACGCGGACAACAAACCGAGCGTCTGTTAGCAATAATGAACCCACTCTACGTGGCCCACCGCTCATGGTTCTCTTGATCCACGAAGGCAATTGCCGTCGCAATGGTACCACTCTGGCCCTCTGCGCATGTTCATTCTACTCGCAATTATTAGAACAGCGCGAGCAATCCATCAAGTCAACAGCACTAGCGCTCTTCTAATTCCGCACAGCTGACAAACACGAGAGTTTATCACTGAACTTTCAACGTCCATAATTACTTCTTATTGCGCTTGTTTACCCATACGCTTGTGTGTATACGGCCACACCTCCGTATTTTCTACAATCGCTTAACATACCTATCTTCTTTAAACTGCCTGGAAGGGATTAGTCTTGGGCTATGCACGTTATCCCCGTTCCCAGAAAATGAAGATCCTGACAGCACATCCCTCCTTCATCATAAATTCCAAGGCATTTTGGCTCACGAGGCCCGCAGCTGAAGTTTAGCATACAGTTAGCCGGCGGTATCAGACCCACGAGTCTGGACGGAGTACGGAGTACACTTCACTTCCTTCCGAGAAGGACGTTTAGGCCCCTTTGGGAAGCTTCAGAGGAAGGCTCGAGATCCGACCTTTATTGCGCCATGGCGAGAGACAATTTCAACAATTAGTATGTTGTGCCACGAAAGAAGGTTTGAGATATGTAAAACAGATATTCAATATCATGGTGAAAGCAATCTCTCATATGATTCTAATTCTTTGAAAGGGAATGAAGACATGTGTACGAAGTGGCTAAGCCAGTGGCTATTCCCGCTCGCTACCTTGATTGCAAGCTTGCCACTAATATGAAAATTTGTCTTCACTGAAGGCAGGGATCATTCACTTAACTTCCGGACAAGTTTGCTCATTCCGCCTTCACACGGTGGTGAGGTTGTGAACCAACCTGAAACTAGTTGTAAACCCGTGCTGGCGGATGCTGGAATGAAAACCCATCCGGACGGGAGAACTTTTATTGACAGGTTGAAACTCTGGGGACGTTGAGGAACCGGCTGCAGGGCATCCTTTCCAGAGTTTACGAGCATACGCCGGACACGGTTGCGGAGTTGATTCGAAGTGGGCCAAGTTTGGTCCTTCCAGAGTTTAATATCTTGTCCAAATTATATACATGATGATGATCTTGACTTGACAAGTTCTAAAGTCTTACATAAAACAATAAGTATAAAGGGAAAAAAACCACATCCCTGGGAATGTTGTGGTTGGAGGCCATGTTCTTGCCCCCATGCCCGAGTGCAAAGATTACTTGCTCCAAACGAGATCGCTTGACCCTTGGCAATATTACGCTAAATTAAGAATCTTTGCTAATGGCCTGGCCTCACTAACGCCAATATCTGGAAGCAACCTCCAGGGTTATGGAGTAAAATGCATCTACCTTGCCTCGGTTTCGGTAACCGGCCGTGCCTGAAGGATGCCGCACCAGGGAATCTATTCCATGCAAGGAGTAAACAGTACAAAAAGAAGGCTCCCGAGGGCAAATTGAATGAAGCTGAGCTCTCTGAATCAATGCCCGCCACAGCACTTTCAGAAGAGAGAAAAGTCATGACAGACAGGAAAGGCGATCTCGGGTTTTCCGAACCTTTATTTTTTCTTTTTATTTCTCGCTTTTTTCTTTTTCAGCACAACCCCTCCCTTTTCTTCAAAATTATTACACATGAAACCTCCACTTGGTGATCGCACGATTCTGCAACCAGATGACTGCCCTGTCGACTTTCTGCGTCAAAGTGGGTTATATTTATATACATATTATTTATTATTATCCCCTTGTGAAAGGCAAAGGAAAACCTCCCTGGGATCTCCCCCTTTTTTTCCCGCTAGCTTACTTACACGGAACTCTCAGGGGTGAAGGGTGCAAGCTAAACATTGAAAGCAGCGCCGATGCTTTGGCATCGTGAAAAGAAGATGGGCCCGGCAAGATGGTAGAATATCTACGGCCGCGGGGGGGCAAATCTTCCCAGCCTTCGGGTTTGGGAGCCAGAAGCATGGGAAAATTATACTTTTGAGAAGGGGTTGGACGTCGAAACCTTTCGATCGAGTACATGGCTTCGATGCAAGCATGTGTTGTCCAAGATGGAGCCGAAACCACGGAATACAAACGAACGGGCATGCAGAAATTATCGTTGTAGCCCACTTGATATTTTACTCTGTGCTCGTCCGTACTTATACTTCCACCAATGCAGTTCAGGCTTTTATCAACCAATGTCCTTTGCACGGTAAAGTGCCCATCTCCTCGGCCAAAGAAGGGTTACTTCCGACTGCCTTTCACTGGCCTGCATTTCTGCAATTTCGTACATAGTACGTTGGATATCAAACATCACAACCAGTCTTACCTCTACATCCCTTTCTGTAACTTTTTGTCGTCAAGGGTGGTTTTGTTTGCTCCTCGCATGCAGGGGATGGACGACAATGTACCATTGTATACCCGAAAAGCATATTCCCATCTAGCTTTTCGACAAGGCCGTTGTTACATGAATCCTGCCCGTTGGACAACCCTCGTCGTCACATCATTTCGTTTTTTATCTATTGAATGGATTGGCCACCCTTGCATAAAGGTATATATAATATTTTCATCTTCCCTCCTGATCCTAACACCCGACAAACTCTCCGTACTCATAGATATTTTAGTTCCTCGATGGCGCTTCTTACCAATTCACCAGCTGTAGAAGCAGTTGGTGTGCTCCTTATCCTGGTATGTTGACCGTTTGAATATCATAATTCCAGCACACCCACACTATACAATTTTCCTATCTATCCTCACTGTATATCACTGTATCTAGGCTTGTTGGCTAATTTAGCCCATCCCCTCCCGGTGGGGAAAGGAACTATAGTATCTTCTGGGGAAAGCAACATATAACTTGTTCTTCCACCCACTTCGAAAATTCCCAGGGCCTAAATATTTAGCACTTTCTCGCATTCCAGTGACTTGGGCAACGCTCAGCGGCCAGCGTGCACAGTTTCGATTTAACTTGCACCGAAAATACGGCGATGTCGTCCGTATTGCAAATGACGAGCTCAGTTTTGCCCATGGCCAAGGCTGGAAAGAGATCTATGGCACCAGCGCAAATGTCAGGGGCACTCGAGCTATACGTGGTGTGGAAGAGGAGGGCGGTGCTCGCTCTGTCGTAACTGCAAATGGCGATGACCATACACGACAGAAGAGAATAATAACTCTTGCCTTCTCTGAAAAGAATCTGAAAGAAAATGAAGCAACGTTCGTTAAATATACAGACTTGCTTGTGCAGCGCATGGAAGAATCCAAAGGTGAGCCCATGGATATGTCAGATTGGTATAATTTCGTGACATTCGACATCATTGGAGAACTCCTGTTTGGTGAATGTCTAGGCTTGTTAACGCACTCCAAATATATCCCTTGGGTTAAATCGGTTTCACAATTTCTAAAGTCATTTGCGTTTATCGTGGTGCTAAACGAGTATCTGCTTTTCCGCCTCGTTTGGAACCTCATGCCACAAACAGTTTTGAGTAACCTGCGACGAACCTTTCTCACTTATACATCGGAGAAACTAGAAAGATACCTTAATCGAAAGGAGACTGAAAAGGGCAGCAAGGGTATTATTGGAGATTTGCTTGACGGAGGGAGCCACCATGGGATTACGATGCGTGAGCTTCATTCAAATGCACCAATCCTTGTCTTCGGAGGGAGCGAAACCGCCGCTACACAGCTTCGCTGTTTAACATTCCTTTTGTTTAAGAACCCACCACGTATGGAGAAGTTGGTCAAAGAGATTCGCACAAAGTTCTCGTCTTCTGATCAAATCACATATGATGCTTTACTGGGATTGAAGTATCTCACGGCTTGTTCGGAAGAATCTCTCCGCATGTATACTCCGTGCACAAATGGATTACCACGTGTTGTGGAAGAAGGGGGAGCGATGATTTGTGGTGAGATGGTTCCTCCTGGAACTATTGTATCAGTGGCCGCATTTTCGCTCTTTCGTTCCCCTAATTACTTCCATCTGCCTGATTCCTTTGTCCCAGAGCGCTGGCTTCCAGATGCTAAAGGGTTAGATTCGCGGTTTACAAAGGATGACAAGAATGCCTGCCAACCGTTCCATTACGGTGCACATAACTGTCCTGGTAAAAAGTGAGTTTACCTTTCCCCTCCTCCCTTCTAGTTCAGATTAATGCTATATAGACGGCAAGTTTGGGTAGTAATTTTACTAACGGAACCTAATAGAATGGGTTATTATGAGGTCCGGCTGGTATGTGCTAAAGTGCTTTGGCATTTTGATCTTGAACTTGTCCCAAAGGATGGCGGCGCGCTTGATAACTGGGACCATATTGAAAATTACCAAACCTACACTAAACTACCGCTGTGGGTCAAGGCGACTCCAGTAAAGCGGGGAAAAACCTAATAAGCCTTGATAAAGCTGATCTGTAGTTAGCTGAAGGTATTGCAAACAAACCTCTCTGAATATTTTTGGTGGTGGCGTTGGTTATTGGCCTGAGATAGTAACAAGTTCGATTATTTCCTTGTAAAGATATGGAGCTGATCATTGATAATGGTAATTAATATGATGTAATAATATATATTAGTTTTTCTTTTTGGCTTAAATCGCCAGAAGGCTAATTCATCAAATTGAATTGATATCGAAAGGGGAGGTATAGGTGGTAAAGTCTCGCTAAAAAGGAATGTTCCATTATCTGGCTTTAGTGCTGCCATACGCCATACATACCTATAGAATACTAGATATATATGAGTATGTTGTGTACCTTGTGGGCCAGTATGAAATGGCATTTTAAGGTATGAGCCGAAAGGTGAGGAGTGGAAGAATAAGGAATCCAATTAACTAATGACAGTGCGTGCAGGCCTAAAACAGCCTTCGTAATTTTTAATGATAATATCATTCAAACCAATCGGGGAGGACCACCTCTCCTGTTAGGATAGAAGTGTTTGCTTGGCCTCCCTGGGTGACATCCAGCTGGAACTCACGAACTAATTGGTCCCAATCTGACCATGAGGGGGATGCAGACGAGAGTATGTTGGTATCGAATTGGGTGATCGGCGCCCACTGGCCTGCTGGTGTGGTGCCCAACTGTGGCACGGTAGTTAGATTATAGTTCTGCTCGGGAGCGGTGTTATCTATTTGCATGTCAGAGCTTAAATAAGAATAGCTGGTTGGTTCATGCAAACACCGTGGTGGTGAGGAGGCCGGGTACGTGCTCAATGGATCCGTGGATGGGGTTGTTGCACATGAGGCTGGGACATCAAGGGTTTGATTTCCGCACTGCATAGCGAGCTGTTGAAGTTGCTTTTCACGGAATTTTACCGCCCGTGCCATAAGCTTGCGAATTGCTGGCCAGAGCATCCCGTTTTTCTTTTCCGAGTGCATGTTCCAGGCTTTGTACACTGAATTAATTGCTCTCCATGCACGGTCCACCCCTGGGCATATTGGTCGGACACACAGCTCGGAGAGAAGGAACGCAACGGCATGCCACTGCATATGTGTTCTAAACAGCCAGCTCCACTTGGCGGTATTAACATTTGTTTCCAACAGTCGCGAGAATTCAAGAATCTCGACTGATGTCATCAGAAGTCTGTCATGGGTTTCTCTGGCTAGGGGATTCTTTGAAGATTGCTGAACCATTGGTTGGTGTATCATTAGCCATAACTTTGCAATCACTAGTCGGGAAACAGTCGCGCAAACCCAATGAATAGGTATAGTCATATCACAATGTTGAACATAACGCATCTCGAGATTTGTGCTAAGTTTATCAATAAGCTCCTCTCGCTCGGCCATTGAATAATGGGAAACAATTAGTCTGCATGAAGAACTTGGTGGGATAAAGCTCAGCCGTCTATTGACGACGGTGATCTCGCATCGAATTAGAAAAAATGTCGTCTCAGCACAGCCTTCCCTCTCTTTTGGCGGTTCCGCAGAATCCGGGGTTATGTCGTCATCATTGATATTTAAAGGCAGACGTGTGTCGTATGAAGATTCGTGAATAAATGGATCACAGCCGTAATCCTCGGAAGCTCGAAAATCGAGAATACAAATGTGCCACCATAGACGGCGTCTCATTTCTGTTTCAAACGGCGATAAATTGAAATAGGTCCCATCGCGTTGGAGACCCAAGCCTTGAGCGATCCGATACGCGATAGATATCATTGTCCACACATAGCGAGAATCGTCGTGTTGTCTCACGCATAACAGGTATAGAACTAGTCCTTGAAGAAGTGTGAAGCTCCTAGAGTGCAAAAGTTTTGCCCGGCCTAAAGCCTGCTCGACAGCAAGCCGATAACGGCCCAGAACAACATCCCGGGTCTCACCCAGGCGGGAAAAACATTCTGCAGCACTCATAGACGCAACACTTGTGTAGTAGATAGTAAACATCATGACCTCCGTATTTTTATCCAGCGAATCAAGACTACTAGCACCATGATAAAGAATTGGTTTCAAGCTGGGGGTGTGAAAAATAGGGACCATGGGAGCAATGTTTTCACAGTAAGTTTCCCAAAGAATATCCACCTGGTGTGGTGGAGGATGGAAGTCCCGAAGGCTCTGAGCAAGAGACGAAAATCCGAATAGAAATCCGTCATGATTCACGCCGTATTTCTGATCAAAGGCCGACTCCTCGGCAGTGTCATTTTCGTCATCAGACGACAAAGGATCAAGTATCCTTTTTAAATCGTCCACCTTTAAGACGGTTAAAATTCCGTAATTCCCGGATAAACGGAAAAGTAGAAGATATTTTAGTAATTTACTTACATTTTTTCCAAAGCTAGTCCAGAATCTATGACTGACATATTGACTGCCTCCTTCTCCAACCATTAGTTTACCCATATTTTCCTCAATCTCACTTGCATCTGGGCCTTCGTCCTTAATGGTGGTATGATGCTGCGTAGCGTTTGAGGCATTTGTCCTCTGCTCTTGAGGATTAACAACGGTACTTTGACCCAAATCGGGGTTGTTTGATGGCAACGGTGTATTGCCATTTATGGCTTCTGGCCCGCCCAGGTTCTTTACTATATTCTCCAAGGTCCGCAGACGCGCAAGCAACTCAGTATCACGCGGTTTCTTCGACTTTCTCGGTGCCCTACCAGGGCTAGGATAGACGCATTCGATTTTCGCCTTAAAACAGTTAGAGCAGGGGTGATGTTTGTTGCAGCGGACCTTTCTACGACGACAGGTTACGCAGCTTCGTGGGTTGAGTGTAGTCTCAGAAAGGGGAGACGTTGTGGCCGCCTGGAAAAGGCCCGAAGGAGAAGTTGAGTCACTGGCCGTTTCATTCTTCTGGATGTGCGAACCCTTCGCTGCGACTTCTGGTTTGGAAGTATCTAATGCAGCTTCTGCTGCATATTTGTTAGCAGCCAGCTGTCGTTGGACTGGTGACGATTCCCCAGTGACCTTATCCCATTGTTCCGCATTCTCTAGCTGGGCCATGATGGTCTGTTGGCGGCCTCAGAGTATTGTGACGCTATGGCGGGACGGTCGTCGGCTCCTAGTTGCTTGATGGTGTGGGGGGGTTTAAGCTGGGGTTTTAGCATTCGTTCGCCGAGCTTGGTTCAGACGTTCCGTGGCCGCGCAAAGGGAAAATTAAGCGCTGTGATTCGCGCTTCGCTGCCGGCGGCTATTCCGCAACGTCAAATCAAACGCGAAGCTTAATTGGTCGTCAGCTTAACAACTTGCGTCTTTTGCATCTTTTATATGTATTTTCTACACACAAGGAGGATAAAGTAACCTCTATACCATACTACAGATAGGTAAACACTGCATACAACGAATAAACCTGCTTATACATTCATGCATGGTCCGACATCGATCTTGTGTCGAGATGAGAAAATCACAACGGCGCTATGTGGCATCTTGGTCACTGCACTGCAGTTGATTGTAATACTGTCAACGGCTACAGCAACCCGCTTACAACCACAATATTTAGCCGATCATAGCTGATCCTGCTGGGGCCTGCGGCTTTGGATAAGATTATTTTTTAGACATCCCATCACAACTGACGCAGTTTGACCAGCCATACTCCCTAGGGCGTCCGCAGCACATTGCATACAGGCGTAGTAAGCTGAATTCACGCAGCTAACTTTATTATTTATTGCCCACTCTGCATTGTTCTACCCGTGTGGTGGCACAAGACTATGCGATACAAAGGTGCCTAAACCTGGAGCTAAGCAGCTGTGCAAGTCATCGGCAACAAGGATGGGTCGTTATAACCTTAGTGACTAAAAGCGATTAAAAAAGAAAAAGAAAAGCGTCCAGTCGATATAATACTTTGCAACTACCCCGACTTGCCGTGCGGCATTTCTGAATCCTGAATACCCCGGGATATCTAACCATCTAGCCCTTTGATGGTAAATATCAAGGCCTGTTGCAGCTCTCTAATCATGGGAAGTGCTCACTTCAGGCACTTGATAAAATGATTTAAGGTAGCATAGCTACTGTCACCACCCCGTCTCACTATAGAAAGTTTTTGTGTTTGATCACACTCGACAATATATTGCGGTTGTTGAAAAGTACCCAGGTTACGGGAGACGAATATACCTTTACCAAAGCATGTTATTCGCGATGTGAACAGCCGTATTCCTCGCTCCTTGTTGGGAGAATATGGTTCTATTCACCATCTACGGCAGCTAGAAAGCAAAATGCCTGCAATAAATACCATAACTTAAAGATCAAATGCACGGGAACCTCCGAAGATACAGCCCGCAAACGATGCGCAAGACCCGGGTTGGAGTGTGTCTATAACGCACCTCTATCTCTCAGTAGGCTGAGAGGATGTAAGCGGACCAATTCTTCCAGCAAAGTCATACCATCTCAAGTTACCGGACCATCCCCAGGTTACCCAGAACAGTTCAAACATAAGTACTATAATTTATCTCCCCTGGTAATTTTAGTTACTGATCTATTTATTAGGCAACAACTATATCTTACGGGCTTGTGGGGAAGACGGGGCTCAGAGGAGCTATGATAAATAAAATCTAGTCATATTCTTGATTTGCTATTGATACTTTACGGATCATCTTTGTACAGCTTGCTATCTGAACTAATTTCATTGGATAATGACTCCAATTATTTCACTACACCCTTTCAATACAACACAGTACTGGGCACCATGAATGTTGGCCTGGGGACGCCCTCAAACACCCAGCCTACAGGTAAAGCAAGGATGCACTAGGATTCGGCAAAGAGTTTAGTCCCGAGACATGTGATTGACCAGCACATCAAAATGCAAACAATTTCTCCTATAAGTACAGATTTGCCAACCGCGATGTTGAATGGCTTTATAAATGAAAGCTATGCGGAGGATTCATATAACAGACATTATCAGATATATACCGTCTTTATATCAGGATCCAGGATTTAGTGCCGTCCTTTCCCACTCATTCAATCCAGCCTCCAACTGATGCGCTCCTTCCTTGCCACAACCCGGCACTAGCTGATATCCTAGGTGCTGCTGATGAATTTGTTCGACTCATTGACAAATCTCGCTCTGGAAATGGCATTTTCTAGTCTACAATGCCACAGTGCCCACCGTATTACAAATCTAGCTCAGCTTTCTTCCCTGACTCTTGTTGAGTTTTCCTATAATAGTATCTTGCTATACTGTGTACGAACATTCTGCAAATATATGGGGCCGTGGTTGCGGAGCTATTTACTCTCGTTCACAGTTAGTGAAATCATGACCGACCTGATTCTGCTTTATTTCCTTCCTCAATACCATATATCCGTTCCACGCGGTCAAAATTACTCTCAGACGCAGGACTAACTTCCTTAGGCGCTATCTCCAGTAAACTGGCTGACTCACGGGTAACGATTCAAATGTCCAGCCTGGTTGAGATAGCCTCCTAGGGGCTTAGCTCTATGCTAATACCAAAGCTAGTCACCAGGAAAATCCCCATGTTGCTGGGAGGGATTTCAAACTAGATAGCAAGTTGTTGAAGCCTTGCTTGCAGTCAGAATAGAAAGATCCTGGCTAGTATGAACAAAAATATGGAAAGAAGGTGTATCTCAGTAGTCAGTACAAGGTAGAAGAAGGCGAATCCGCTCGCTACAGTATCATCCGTCCGGTTGGTGATTCCTGGACAAAGAGATTAATCCCAATACATGTATCGAATCATTCTACAAGGCAGTCGGCCTCCAAATAGTCGGTGTATTAGCCATGCTTACTGCGCCCAAGAGGAACCTGTGGTGTGCTCAGTATGGCCGAAGCATGATCTCCTAGTCCAAGTCGGTACACATAAAGTCGCGCTCATCTCCTTCTCTTCTTTGCAGTTTGGATAGCGAACCCAGAGGGCGCTATATATAATATTCGATATAGTTATTTGATTCGTGTCAGACGCGGCAAAATACGAGCTCCTGAAGATCCACTTCTAATAACTAATTTTGGCGTATCAGAACTAAATAAGGAGTTAGTGTAAATCTCTCTCGTACTCCCACCAGAGGTGAAATGAAACATTTTATACCCATTTTCTTTCCTCTCTTGGTATTAATCATAGTCTTGTTATTCTGAATTGTTTCTTCATATGGAGCTGCGGCAGCCAATACGACGTATAAAGTAGTATATTTGGTAACGCCTAGTGATTTTGCACATCTTAGCACATATCCGGATATTCATTGCAAACCAAAGGTACATGTTTACCTGGTCAGTAAATGAATTATGATCCCGAAAGCTCGGGCTCTGACGAAAAAAAAGGGGCATCTAGGATCTCAGTGGAAAGAAAATATCTAAACTTAGCTGGCCAGCGACGCCAAACAAAATGACTGGATGGTTCCCGACTGAGCGATTCGACACCGCAGGATGGCGACTCGAAGGTGTTGGTCTTCTTGCTGTTCTGGGAGAGTCATCTGTGGCCGACCAAGCTCAGCCATTGACCGCATCAAAGCTATCTCTTCTGCCGCGATTGATACCAGCACCGCAGGCATTACTTCGTGCGACACGGCCGGTGAGACTACCAAGTCCGCCGGCTGTTGTCTGCGGTGTACACTCTGGGACACTGGTTCACGAATTGAACTACTTTCCCAATATAATTCATCCAATTGCTGATTTGAAGCCATATCAAGTTGTTGTCTATGAGATCTCATGGTCGGAGAAGAGGACCAAGTATGAGAAATCACAGAGTATTAAGCTTGAAAAATTGATAATGCCTGACGGTCTACGATCCAAGAGACCTGTTTCTGTGCCACCTCCGCATAAACATGGGAATAAATATGCAATTACTCCAAATAAATGGTCACCTCTCAGCTTAATCACCATCTCTTCTTTCCTGATGACCGTATGCGCCTTTGCCTGGGCATTGGTCATAAAAGATGGAACAGCAGCTGTTGCAATATTTTTGATGTCAATGGTAGCAACACTGAATGGCTTTGCTTTTTACTGGAAGCCTCATCTTGCTGTCCGTCCATCGTCTGCGGTTGTGCCAAGGGGAGATATCATTATACGGACGCGTGAGGGGGGTTTCATTGTTGTGCGCTGTACCGAGGAACTAGCTCGCGAGCTCTATACCGGTACAGAGGAATGCAATTACTCTCTAAGTGACCAGTGGTCAAGGGTTCTAGTTGGTATTGGGACCTTTTTGATCATGTTTTCCGTTGTGCTACTCGGCAATTGCGAATGGACCATGCAGGCTGTCGTATCTGCAATCTACATGCTCATGAACGCCATGTACTGGGGATCATCATTAATGCCTAAGAGCTGGATATGGGATATGTCACGCTATGATTGGAAAGACGTTACTCCAAGCAACGTAAAGGGAGCTCATGAGATTGGCTACGATGGCGCCCAGCCAAGCTTCACACGGACCCTGTGGTATGCCATCCACGCTACCGAAGAGATCAACTGGGTTATGGTTAGCGGCGCGGTTCCCCAGACCCAAGCGTGGGAGAACTGGTTGGAGCTTGCGTATGCAAATCGTACTGATCCAGACTGGGACGCCGTTGGCGAAAAGGATCGATTGATGGCAGAAGCGCGCCGATCTCAGCTGATGCCGTCTCGTAAGGGCTGTGATGGTTAATGTTGTTATGCCTTGCTTGGATTTGATACTGGCATTTTTGAACGTGGCATATATATTATCCTATTGGGTTTCTTTCTTTTATTTATTCTTATTGATCTGGCATGTTCTCATGAGATATTTCTTTCTCTTTTGCTTCTTTCTTTACAAATATAACAACAACGTAGATATACTATGGCGCCTATAAGACTTTTCACTCAACATTTTCCCTCTCAGCCATGCAGTATTTGAAGAAGAAACTAATAGTGGTGCATCTAATAACTCATAATAGCGTTCATACAGTTCTATCTGGAAGCAAGCCCATGCAGGAACTTGATGTCAACCACGTTTGAGAAGGGAATTGAAATCGAACACATACTCCAGGGTATCAATAACAAAAACAATCTGATTAATTTGTGTTAGAGTTGGCTAGGAATAGGCACTGTATCTAATACCGTTGGATCTAGTTTGAACTGCTCATTCGATACTACTGTCTGTGCAAAAGACAAGTCGACCGGGATAACATCTGGGGCTGCCTTATCCGGATGATTGAGTACCTCCGGCGTAATTTTACTGTAAACTCGAGCAAGGAAGCGCATCAATGCTCCCACCGTACGCTTTTTTGCATCAGCCGTGTCGTCAACACAATTTCTCAGTGCTTCGGCGATTAACCCGGGAGCGTAGTAAGGCAAGATAGCAGGCTTCGCCTTCAAACCGTCAACACTTAGCCCGTCCACCAAGTTTTGTTTTATGTCAACTGGCAAATCTGAGAATGCTTGTGAAAAGCAGTCTGCTGAAGATATATCTGCTACCCTCCCCATTGTCATTAGTCGCAATAAAGCACGCTCGGTTGGTATGCGAATTGATAACCACCTGAACCCGATATCCTGAAGGATATTCGCTCGGCAGGTTAGAATATGATCGTACGCGTGTTGCAAAGAGAATATTCCACTGATAGCTCCAACCAGAGAGTCATATACTGCAAGATAGCTTCGAAAAACAGGCTCTGTCATCGCCGCTGCACAACGCGCATCCATATGACCGGCAGCACCCGCAATATCTAAGAGAACCTCCATATATTTCAAGAAAAAAGCATGCTGTTTGCCACGCATTGCATATATGCTTTTAAGGCTCGCTGGTACGTTCTCTCCCTGAGCTAGCTGTGCCAGATTAAGTCTAGAACCGACTTCAAGTCCTAGCATAAGATCTGACCTCAGGTCTGCGTTGAGTGAGTTGATGGATGGTATAAGTTGGGCATTAGCGGCTGCTAAAAGGACCTCATCATGGTTATTGTATGTAATACCCGTGGCCTCCCTCACTGATGCCTCGAGGCTGTCATCTTTCCCTAGATCGTTGATCACAATCGCAACGAGAAGGGCATATATATCCCCAGCCTTCGGAAGACCTCCAGATAGAATGTCATGAAGCCTTTCGAATGATTTAGGCTGAATCCTTTTCGCCGGTTGCTGATACCGTGTGAACGAGTTGTAGTCGTTGGCTAATAACCACTTTAACGCAAGCATCCCAACAAGCGTGCGGTTTACTTCAACAAAGTCCTCTCCATATAAGAGCTGCGAGGGAGTAAGGCCATCATCGCCGAGGTTCCCCTGCGTTGTGGCGTCTGCAGTTTCAACAGTCGGTTTTGCGCGCTTGAGTCGGTTGAGCTCCCAGCCAAAGGTGACTCCAAAGAGTTGAACAACCTGGGTATCACTAAAGGTAGCAAACGCGCCGTCTTCAATACTGGCTAGCAGTGCCATGTCGGCCTTTCTCTCTTTGTTCCCTGAAGATTTGTGTTCGGCGGAGGGGGTTGATGGCTATAAAGATTGTGTTTCGCTTCACGGGTGATGGCATCGTATACAGCAACATTCCATTCCTAGTTACGGAGGGGAAGGGGGAGTTATGTACTGCTGCTTCGAACAACAGGCTGCAAGGCGGCTCGCACATATAACTAACTAGTCACCGCACAGTTTCTTCCAAGCCCGTCCAGCTCAGCCTTGAGGTCAGCGATGTTTAAGCCCCGTCGCGATGCCATCTCAGGTTGGTTTCTGGGGGGGCTCAGCCACCCGCAGCCTGACATGTTCACTACTAGTAGTCGTTGTGGCTGTTCACTGCATCAACTCACTATCAATTATTCAATGCCTCTGTACGTCTAGATTATACCATGCAGCGAGTGGTATAGTTACTGTTCCATCGCCAATAATATCATCATATCGCGTGCCTTGCTGTGTCCTTACTGACGGCCGAGCATCTTTACCACATATACATACAGTTGACCAGGCTAAACTGAATGAAGATAATATCTCTCCCCCCGTTGCCCAGCTATCTAGAAATCACGAAAGAAGATGACTTTTATTCTCTACATAGCTATAACCGCCATTTATTGCAGAAAAAGGCCAAAAGTCCACTGGAACCTTTGGGTGGTCGTAACAAGGCGGGTCACATGATCATATAAGATCTTCATGTCCACTGATTAGATTAGATCTTGGAAGGGCGTAAGTTATACGAGCATCAGACGTTGATATATATATAAATATGGACATCATGCCGAAGACAAGTGATATAATAATATTTGCAACTCGCAGGCTTGTCTTTGAAGATGGCAGCTCCAAATATTCGCCATGCTTTGGTTCTAGGTGCGTCAGGGATATCTGGTTGGTCTTTTATCAACCAGCTTCTACAAGGCTATCCACGACCTAGCACATGGAAACGCATTACAGGAGTGACCAGGAAGCCTATGAGCAAGGAAGAAATTTCATATTGGCCTCAAACATGTGAAGATGCGGCTTTTCATATTGCATCTGGCTTCGACATCCATAATGATTCGAAGGAACTTTTGAAAGACAAATTTAAGAGAGAAATTGTGGATATACACAGTGTGACACATCTCTATTACCTCGGTATGTGATAAGCCTTGAAGTAGAAATAATCAGGGCGGTAGTTTATATATATATGCATTAACAGCTGCTGTTTGGCAACCTAGTGCAGGATCCCCCATCAAAGGATAACGATACTGAACCGTTCGCAACATGTCTAAACTCGCTTCGGAAAACCGTGACGGTTATAGAAAGCCTTGCCTCGAATCTCGAATTCATCCATCTCCAGTATGGCACGTATATATATGGCGTATGTTTCACCGAAGAGTTTTACCACACCGTGCCTCTTTCAGAATCATTGCCCCCATTGCGCAAGCCACTAGTTGATAGGCTTCATTACCCAGTCTGGACAAAGTGGATGAATGAATATTCGGCAGACAAGTCATGGAAATGGTGTGAGACAAGGCCGGACGAAATTATAGGTATGAAAAAAAGTCTCTTTGACCTGTCATTTCGAAAGCCCCTATTTTCCCACACGGAACATCAACGGTTTATTAAACATTCCTTGTTTTAGGGTTTGTTCCGCGGATAAACTCATACAATGCAATCTACCCGGTAGCTATGTTTTTATCGTTGTATAAATTCATCAATGGGCAAGGCACGGTATGTCCATTCCCTGGAAGCTTCGGCACATGGAAAGCCCTGTCGAACGACGCTGGGGCCGACATGATTGCCAAAGCCTCCATTCATTTGTCTCTGCATCCCGATCCGTCGATTAAAGGAGAAGGGTTCAATGTAGCCTCCTCAGAGACACCGTGGAGCTGGGAGATGAAGTGGCCGGCTCTTTGTGAATGGTTTGGGCTCGTTGGAGGACCGCCAGTGGATAACGAGAAAAGCAAGACGTCATCACCCGGGCCCGACAGATATATTCAGTCACACGAGGTGGAATATAAGAATATGATACAGGAGTATGATCTAAAGGCGTGGGATATTGTTTCTCCATCGATGGATGGTTCAGAGAACTGGGGGCTGACCAAACTGAATTTCGACCGACAGCTCGACCTTCAAAAGTTAAGATCCACGGGCTTCGTTGATGATGAGAGCCCTCAAGATACGTGGGTTGGTGTTCTGGAATTGATGAAGAAGGTGAGGATCATCCCATGATTCAACAGCAGTGGACGTTGGGGAAAATATGCAGAGATAACTTCCAACCAGGAGGGCAAGCACGGAGCTTGGGATTTGCTTAAAGAGTGAATCGTCGGTAGGCTTAATAGAACCTTGGAGGTCGACTAGACTTCTTCACTGTTTCGTCACCTGAGGTCGTAGCTTCAGATTGCGGAGGCTTTTCACCCGCCTGTACGGAGTCGAGTTTTGACCTCCAGTCCAACTCTTCTCGCTCAATTTCCCTTAACACTAATTCTAAATGTCAGTATATCCATTATCATTATTCCGATTGTTCAGTTCTGTCAAAGCCCTAGTAAAATAACTACCTTCTTCCCACTCATCCTCTGACGCCTTATTACCTGTACCAAGCGCCTTCTTCACGTCCACTTCCTCGCCGTTCTTGAGTTTATCAATGACCTCACTTAGTTGCCTTATCTTAGAGTTCGTACTGCGCAAGAAATTCTCGTGGGAAGTTCGAAGTTGAAGCAGGTGAATTGCCTGGGACCCAATTAATATGAACATAAGGATGTAGAAAACCGCGGGATTTCGTTCTATAATTCCGATATCTGTGCCATGCTTCGACGCTTTTCGGTCCCCATTCCGTAAAAATTTAGGTATGACCGAATTCCACATCGATGCATCCGCAATCTTAGGTGTCATACGTCCAGTTGAGAGGCATTGACAAAATGGGAATGGAAATCGATGTTCGTACCGAGCGCGTCGAGAAAGGATTGGTAATTGTTTCCACGGAGTGACTACCCTTGGGAAACCCCTAGACGATAAAGTAGCCATTTTAAACCGATATTCTGAGGGACAGAGACCGCAATTCAGGAAATTATTAAGAGCTGTCTTGATCTTTGAAGCTCTAAATTTTTGCCTTGAGAAAAGCGCGGCGTAGAAGTCACGTGGTATTATATAAGCCAAATGGTTGCCGGGCAACTGACTTCGCTGTTGGCCAACAACGAAAGGCATCAATCCTTGTGCACAAAATATCAAGGATGAACGATGAGATGCGTGCAAAAGAGATACCAGAGTCATTCACTTTTACAATATCTATAGGAGAGAATGGGCGGGTTATTAGTTCCCTCGCTGACTGATGCGGTCAAGCAAGATCTACAACACCCGTCCAAATGCTCATCCGCAACCGTGACAACCTTACGCCAGCTGCTTACGGGCGATATCAACGATGAAAAGCCAGGTGGAATAAAACCAACGAAGCGCGTAGCAACAAATAAAACGTCCTCAAAATCTGGCAGGACTGTCAAAATCCGAGCTACTTCAAACAGTTCTGTGCCTCCGCCATCGACGAACGAAACAAACGCGACCATCCTATCAAAGCATGAGAAGCTGGTGCTCGCGACAGAGGTGTTTAATATCGCGTCAAAATTACTCTCCGAGCATATAAAGAAACTGTCAGCGTCTCGACGTATTAAGACGTCTGGGGAAAATGGAAAACAGGCAGAGAGAAACGGTAGCCTGTCAAAAACGCCGCTGCAGCCATCATCACCCAACCCAAGGATCCGACCATTAGACAATTCAAAGGATACTTCAGAGGAATGCACCAAATCCAAGGGGAAATGCCGAATTAATATAATTGCCGAATGTGCTATGCTTTCCCTGGAGACACTTCGTGACATACGGATCTCTGAGAACAGCTTCGACCCGAGCAATCTTCATCTCGGCCAGGGTATAAATATTTTGGTTGGGAAGCTTCTGGTTGCCGGGTTACATGACTTAGCTATTAAAGGGCTATGGATGCTAAAGTTCACCATTCAGATTGCTATTGAAGCCGAACGGACAAAAAGGGACCATGGATTAGATAAAAAGTACTTGATTCCTCAGAATGCCTCGCTGGAATCACTTTTGGAATTTTGCAGCCTCCCAGAAAATGGCCCCCTTCTACAGCTCCTTATATCGTTTCAAGCATATGCCCTCAAAGTCCTCATCGCTGAAGGGAACCTCAGCACAAGCCATAAAGTCATTCAGCAACTAAGGTTAGGGAATCCTTCTAGCCCTGCTAATGCAATTCTTACGGCACATAATATGGGAAGTATCTCGGACGATAAAGCAGCCCAGCAACTTCAATCACACTCCCAAAGCATCCTTACCCTTTCTATCATACTCTCCCCCGCGGAGGACCGCCCATCCGCCCGCTCAGTCAACCTGACAGTACCATTACTGCTACAGTTCCTTGCATTAGAAGTTCGCTGTATCTGGTGGAAATTATCCGGTCATAATTGCGACCAAAACAAGGAACTTTGGGGCCCTCTTTCTCGATTCATTACTACATATGTCCGAAGATGCCCAAATTCAAAAAAGCATGAATTTGATAGCATTCAAGACGCGTTTAGGCAGCTGAAAGCACGGTTAGAGTCAAATGGATACATCGAAGGTGACGGACACAAATTCTCGTCCATGGCTACGATTGCAAAGACACTTAGCCAAATAGCTTATAGCGCTGGTCGCTTAGAAATTGCAGCTGAACTCTGTGAAGCTTCTTCCACATCTCTCACCAATGGACGGCCGCTGCAACGCGCAATCTGCCAATGCCGAAGAGCCATGTTGAAAGTTGAATCGCTGAAATCACGGTCTATCTCGGAGTCCCAGGCTTTAAAAGCAATTACTGAAGCTGCAAATGATTTGACCGCTTCCATGAAAGGAAACCAAACTGAATTGGATGAACTTCTTATGGAGAGTGCTTTACTCAAAAAGGCGGTTATGAAATATTTCTCTCAAGCAGAAACACATTCTAAAGAACAGCCAAGTGGTTCAGCCGATACCAAATGCTATGACTCAGTCCTAGTTTATGTAACAAGTTTCCTTCGCTTCCTTGTACGCTACTTAACGCCAGCAGTTCACGCTTCTCAGAACGATGATGTATATGCAGTATCTCAGTGCCTACAGAAATCAGGGAATATTGTTCTGGCTGCAATAGATTCAGGGATTGCCCTCGGAAAACTTTCATCTGGGGGAACTTGGCTAGCATGGTCAAAGGTTGAGCCTCTCCTTCCCGGATGTGTTTCGCTCAGTCAGCTACTCCGAAAACTCGGATCCTTTTGTGAGCCAGAGAACTGCATGTCGGCGGATGCGTCCGTTAGGTTACTAAGGATTTCGAACTTATACTGGGCTACCTATCTACGGTATAAAGACTTGGGGAAAGACCCAGCTGAACTGCTGCTGCCCGTGGAACAAGCTACAAGTATCTTGACACATTGTACTCTTAAAGAACAAATATCGGGGCTGATTGCGATCAAGTTCGAGAGGCAGGCAATGTTGTATTCAGAAATTGGGAAAGTCAAACAATCATCCACGGCTTATATTTCCGCGATACGTGCCCATCTTGAAGCCGGAGTACTAGAAAATGCTAGTCGATTAGCCTTGAAACAACACCGGCGTCATATTTGGAAAGACCCTAAAGGGCCTGCATATGCATTGGGCCGGGTAATTAGTTGCTATATCAAGGACCAAGTCAAACATGATTCGCGGTCAAACCCGATCATATATGATAATCAAGAGCTCGAATCATGCCAAAGAGCAATGTTGCTTGAGCAACAGGCAAGCATTCTAATGGGTATATCAGGATCGGCCACGTCATCTTCAATTATTGAAACCCTATCGTCATTGATATCCACTATTCTCTCTTTATTACCCTTGGAAACCTACCCGATCCGCCGGACAATAGTGATACATCAAACCTTGCGGTTTTTACTAGAACATAATCCCACTTTTGAGAAGCCATTTTCTGAATTTATATTGAATGAAGCAACCCAATGCTTATCTTCTTCTATCGCCCCCTGCGAAGACAAACACTTGATTCTACTTCGAGATGATCTCCAGGCGTCACTAATGGTCTCTGTGGCATTTTATTCAGGTGTTCCATCCATAGAGATCCTTGAGAACGCCATTCAGACTTGGATCGTCGTTCTTCAAGGCTGTGGATCCTGGGAGGCTGTTGAAACACGGGTAGGAGACCCTCTTGCTCTAATGCTTCAATTACGAAGCCTATCCGATTATCTGGAAGTTCGAGGGCTGTGGAAACTTAGAGTATCTGCTCTCGCTACCATTAGCCAACTCCTTGCTTTGCAAAAAAAGGCCGACTTTTCTATGACGGTTGCTTGCTATTCCTCTATGGCGCTACAGTACTGCCGACTAGGGTACTCGGACAAAGCCGAGCACATACTTACTAAAGCCAAAGTTATAACAAAGGAGCATGAGATTGCTTCTCATGTCTTACTTTGCTGGCACCTTAGCTTTGCAGAACATAGCTTTGAAATAGGGAACTACTCAAAGAGGTATGAATAAAGCAGCACAATTGCTCTTCTATACTTTTTTGAAAGCTAATAATAGAACAGTATCGAATGTATAGTTCAGGCTAAGCCGTTATTTGACCGCATTTCGGCTGAACTATCGAAGGAAAGTTTCCAAACGAGGGCACTGGTTGAGCGTTTAGCGGTAGATGCTGCAACCATATTGTCGAGATCGTATTCCGCAAACGGAGATCCCAACGAAGCTACTTACTATGCGAAACGGGCTGTCAAGCTCAGCAGCCGGCTATGGGCTCGGCTAGAGAAATATGCGGAAACTAAGTTAGAAAAACATTGCAAAAGTAAGGCCGCCGCTGACCCAAATTCCCTCGCAGACGGAATATCCGCCCTCAACATATCTTCAAGTGTTAGTAAAACATCATATTGTCACTTCGAGGGTTCCGTTTACTGGCCATACTTGTTTTCTCACGTTGCGGCATTATTGCAATTATCACGGATATCAGATCATAACGGCCTTTTTCAAGATGCCGTTTACCATGGAGAACAAGCAATAGCAGCCTGTGATGCAATTGGTGCTCATTCACTCATGGCCCTCGTTAAAGCTGAGCTAGGTGATCGTTTTATACGAGGAGGCCGCACACATAAAGGAGCTGAGCTCCTCGCGGAGGTACATAATGTATCCCAGACGGTTCCTGATTCTATCCACTCCATTTCACTTAATATGCATATGACCTCCCTCTACGTCTATCAAGAGGAGGTTGAAAGTGCTTACCGCATCGTTTGCGATTCAATAAATGGCCTCTTGACGATAGCACGGGCCAGCACCATGGATTCCCTAGACCCCTTTATTGACCCTATGAAGGAAATAGTGAAACAATCGAGGGATATGGATATCAGCTCTCCAAAAAGGTCTAATGCTCCTGCAGCAACTCGCACACTTCGCTCCCGTAGTGTGAGAAAACCGCAAACAAAGTCAGTTACCCGGTCGAAGATCTATATTCCCGTTGGATCAGAGGCTACTCAACAGCGGACAATCTTTACGTTACTACATAGCAGCCTTCTCCAGAAGCAGGCCATGCTCTTACTCTCCTCTCAACAGTTTGGGCAGGTAATTGGCTTACTCGACCAAGCAGAGAAGATGTCGACAACAGAAACGGCGACCTCTAGCCATCGCCTTTGCAAAGTACATTATATGCTTAGAGTAGCGGCGCAGCAGCTATCCGGCCACTCTGTCTTCTGTGTTCTCCCTGAGTCAACCATCTCACTCCCATCTCTCTGTTCTAGTGGCGAAGTTTCAAAAGAATCGTCAAGGTCCAGGTCAAGGACTGGAAGATCTGCAACGAAAAAGGCGAAATCCGTTCTGCATTCAGAATGTGACTTCTCAGAAACCCTGTCCGCTGCGAGCCACATTCTTAGAGAAATTTCCTCACCTATATCTCGGCACGGATCTAGTAAGGACGGCCACGAGGCTTCATATCTTCGGAGCCGAACATCAATGCTAGCCTTTGCAACGGGATCGGCGTGTAGTGCCGATGTAGATCCATCCATTGTCGCACATTCTATAGGTAAGCAAAGCAAGCACATGACAAGGCGAGTTCAATGCTAAACTATCTCTAGAGCTCGGCCGCAATTCTTCCTTTTTACGAGAGCACCTATGCATCGTCTCTGATAAAGAACTGTCTAGCCAGATAGGCCGTTTGGATTGGCCTGCTCCTCCATCAGCGGACTTGAGTATAGCAACCATGGAAGAAGGCAGCTTCATGGAATCCTATGTTAATATTCTACCTGAGGAGTGGGATGTTATATCAATAACTCTCTGTCCAAGTCAGGATGAATTTATCATATCCAAGTTGCGGTCGGGGCAGCATCCACTCATTTTGCGTCTACCCCTTAAGCGAGGAGGCGAGGATGACATGGACGAGGAAACTTTTAGTTTCCAGGAGGGTAAGGCGGAGTTATTGGAAATTATCCGCCTTGCTAATGCGAGCGCCCATAATACTGGATCATATGTTGGCAAAAAAGAAAAGAAAGAATGGTGGGCAAACAGAGAAAACCTAGATAAACAACTGGGAGACCTTTTACAAAATATCGAGACCGTATGGTTCGGAGGTTTCCGTGGCATATTTTCTCAAATTCCTAGAAACGATGCGCTTCTTGGGAAATTTATAAGCGCATTCAGCAAAATTCTTGACAAACATCTTCCGTCAAGAAAAGAGAAACGAGGGAAGGCCAAAATTGACCATCCAGCCTTTGACCCATGGGTAATGGAATTATTCGTTAATATTGGCAGTCTCGATGATGAAATGAACCCAGAAGATGCTGTTATGGATTTACTATACTTTATCGTTGATATTCTTCAGTTCCGTGGGGAGACAAATGCTTATGATGAAATAGATTTTGACATGATGGTTGTGGAAACGCTTGACGCTTTACACCGTTATGCGGACGAGTATAAATGGGAGCACACTCCAGCTCCATCCCGGCATACAATCCTAGTGCTTGACAAATCTCTCCATGCATTTCCTTGGGAATCTATGCAGTGTCTGCGGCATTCTTCAGTTTCACGTATGCCTTCACTTCACAGCGTACGAGATCAGATTTTGCGATTTAAAAATCAGGAAATCCCTGACAACGGTCAATTTGGGTTCTATGCCGATCGAAATAGTGGAACGTATCTGCTAAATCCTGCTGGTGACCTCAAGTCTACAGAAACCGCCTTCAGAGCGCCACTGTCAGCTTTAAAAGGTTGGACAGGCCGAATGAATACGGCGCCAACAGAAGAGGAATTCGAGACCTCGTTGCTGAGCAAGGATATTATGCTCTACTTTGGGCATGGTAGTGGAGCTCAGTATATCCGTGGCCGAACAATTCGAAGGCTAGAGAGATGTGCCGTCACCTTCCTCATGGGATGTAGCAGCGGCGCAATGACAGAGGCCGGCGATTTCGAGCCTTATGGAACACCATGGAACTACATGCATGCTAGATCCCCTGCCTTAGTAGCAACTCTCTGGGATGTTACGGACAAGGATATTGATCGCTTCGCTACATCAGTGTTCGAGCAATGGGGCCTTTTACCGGCTTCAGCCCCAACTCCCAAAATGCCCAAACACACCGGCCAAGTGTGCCTAGATACAGCTGTAGCTGACTCCCGGGACTCTTGTATACTTAAATACCTGAACGGAGCAGCGCCTGTCGTGTATGGAGTTCCAGTATTTTTAAAATAAGATGTATGTTTTCTTTTGTTTTTTCTATATTTGTGTTCATGAATACTCATGCTTCAGAATATACCCATGTCTTCGTGTGCGGGAGGGAGTTTTTGCATTGGAATAACTGGATGGTTTGTTGCATATGTACATATATATAGAAGCTCTATTTGTATTTCATTCCTACAATCGAACTTGTTCATGTTTTATTTTATATCGTAGTTAAACCAAGCTCAATTGACTTTCGGTGCGGGGAAGACCAGATGCCCCGCACTGGCCAACTTTTAATTGCTTTTCTGTTGCAAAACATCAATAATATTCAACAATATTCAACAATATTCATATATCAGCCGTGAGAAATAGGAACAAGGCATTTGGTAACTGAAACTAATTGTCTTCTCTACGCCATGACTATCACAACCAAGGCAATCATTGCCTCATTTGGAGGGAAGCTTCTTAAGCTTACTCACAATGCCACGTCCACAAAGTGTGAGATGGCGTTCAACCTATACCTCCCACCACAAGCAGTTACAGACTCAAACTACAAGGCTCCTGTCCTCTTCTTTCTATCCGGATTGACTTGTACTCCAGATAACTGTTCCGAGAAAGGGTTTCTTCAGAGTGCAGCCAGTAAAAAAGGAATTGCTATCGTATATCCAGACACCAGCCCACGTACGTCTCCCTACAAACGTCAATTAAACCCTTATATCTTGCTAACTGTCATTATAATAGGTGGTTTAGGTATATCTGGTGAAGATGATGCGTATGATTTTGGGACCGGGGCTGGATTTTACATTGACGCCACCAAATCTCCTTATGACAACGGCTACAACATGTACACCTACGTAACAGAAGAACTTCCCAAAGCTGTTTTTGGTGAGTTTCCACAACTTGATTCTGGTCGTGTCAGCATTACTGGGCACAGTATGGGAGGGCATGGAGCCTTGACTTTGGTATGTATTGTATCCATGAACCTCTTTTCATTTGCCTAGTTATCTTGTGCTCTAACAAGATACAATTGTAGTTTTTGAGAAACCCAGGGAAATATAAATCAGTCTCGGCGTTTGCACCAATTTCTAACCCAATTAACTGCCCATGGGGCCAAAAGGCTTTTGAGGGCTACTTTGGTGATGATAAGGCCAAGTGGAAGCAGCACGACGCTACCGAATTAGTTAAGCAATGGAAAGGGCCGCTGAGTATTTTGATTGATGTGGTATGTAATTCCTTGGGTAAAACCATGTCACCCATCATAAACACTGGGATAAACCGGGATATTAGTACCAGAATCCATGAGCTAATAATTGTTTCATAGGGTACTGGTGATAATTTCTATAAACAAGGGCAACTTTTGCCAGAAAACTTCCTTAAAGCTGCAAAGGAAGCTGGGGTTGATTCTGAGATTAATGTGCGTTATCAACCCGATTATGATCATAGTTATTTTACCATAGCTACGTTCGCAGACGACCATATTGAGCATGCCGCTCGATACCTCTTTGCTTAAACGTGCTTTGTTTTCGCTCCGCTACCACTTCAGATCGGAGCCATTGATTCCAAGGGGCCGATATTTGAATGTCTATGTATTAGTGAAGCCTAGGCTTAGAAAGCGCATTAATCCTAAAATTTTATCTCTAAAAGAGATCAGCCTAGATTATATATTTGCTCCACCTAGTATTACCTAGTAGATGGATAGGCGGGATTGAATGACCTGGTCGTGTTCTTTCATTGAATATGCAACTCCCCTAGTCTGTCACACAAGTAATACTTCTACTAGCGATGCTCTCTTCACTTCTTTATCCTCAACACTAAGGGTGAAGGAAGGCGACACAGAGATGATGCAAGAAGGGAAAAGGGCATTGTTGAGAATTGAAATTGAAAATATGATAGTAAATCATCAAAACATCAAAGCACGGGTCAATGAGCCAAAAAGCGAGTATGCCGCAGAGGTCGCTTATTGGATAAGAGGAGGTCAACAGGAGTTTCGGTGGCAAGCCGAGGAATAGAGGTCTTAATAGTGAAGATATTTGGGGATATATGGAGGCCAGCATGGTGAATGTAGAAATAGTGACATATAATAGCCCAGGGCATTTCATATGCTAAATTCCTTAGCTAAGAGCAAGGTAACTTTTTTTTTTTTTTGCAAAAGAATATAAGGGCGCGGTAAATGGGATGTTAAATGAGGCAGATAAAGAGGAAGACATCACTAGCATCATGCGCTTAACCGTTGTATAAATGCCTATTATCAAGGAAACACCAGTTAGCACCGTTAGTACTGAGGTTGGTAGCGGAGAGGGAGTATATCTCACCTGGAAAAACTGTCGAAAAGCCTTTACATCTAACTGCTCTAAAGAAGATAAATATTCGTTGATAAGATCTGTGCCCATTCCCATACCTGGAAATTCAGAGTTCCGAAGCCATTGGAGGTATTCAGGTCCAGTTTTGGAGTAGATCACCTTTTGCATAGCTGCCGCTTCGCCTAGAACCTGTTTCGCTTGAGCATCCTTGGGATTGAACGAAGAATTCATTGGTAATGCCCAGCAGAGAGGAGAAAAACGAGTTATCATGAACTGAGCAAATCCAGGCAATGCCGTCTCCGGCTGGGTGGTGGTAGCGCCATTCGCGGGAGGAACGATATCAGGCCCACCCCAGAGGCTAGACATCCGGGCAAGGACCAAGAACGCCATTTTAGCGGTTGGGAAGTCATCCGCATCTTTCGCAAAGTGCTCAATGGTTGATATAACGGTTTCAAAGATCGATTGATTAGCTATATGGAAAATTAGATGAAAACGAACATGGAATAGTTTTAACAGATGGGGCCTTACAGCTGCTAATTATTACTGAACCAAGGTCATTGTTTAGTATCATGAGCAAAAAATTAAGGTACTCGCGCTTCAGCTCAGCGAGCTGAATTTCGTCATCAGTACCAGTTATCGGTTCCGCGATGCCAGCGAACACTCGCTGGAGGAAGGGCGTCCACAAAGTATCGAGAATAGAATAAATTTCAGACTTGAACCCAAAGATGACTTGATCCAACAACCGGAGAAATAAGGCCATTTCATCCTTGGAGGAGGTTGGGGTAAGTAGACCATCGATCCATCTGGGTAACTGCGGTAGATCCCTTGACCCTCTAACACCGATAAATCGAGAGAATGCGAATCGAGCTGCAGTTCTGATAGTGAACGAAGATTTTAACGATTCAAGAGCAACTAATGTTGCCTCTGATGCCTGTCCGAATACTTCTGATACTTCTGGAGGAGGTGGTGTTTGTGGGGAGGTGGATCCAGGTATCCAGTCAGAATAGCCCTTCGCGAGGGTACCAAGAGCCATAATATCATGGTGGATTTGCAGAATGGCACGTTCATCGTTAGCCTGAGCAGCTGGCAGGTTCTTCTCCATGTCCATGAAGATAGGATTCATAATCGACTGTGCAAAAAAAACTTGCTTTTCGACCGATCCCGCCGTCGAACAGATAGTTCCAATGGCTTCAAAAAGATATAACTGACTAGTAAAAACTGTGTCCCGAGCCCCCCCGATATCTTCAGAGGATAAGTCATCTCCATCTGAGTTCTCCCCAGGCACCTCCGCATGAATTGTGAGAAGGTCGCTGAGAGCTTCGACTACTGTTTGTGCAACATTCCCGACGAATGCTCGGAGGTGCTTCACAAGACGATGGAATAGATACCATGATCTAGTCCTAACTTTCAACATCTGATGATGGGCAAGACGAAGGAACCCCTCCAGAACACCAAAAAGGAGATGGGAGTGATGCTCGAAAAATGCGCTGTACCTGACGCATATTTCCATGTACTGCAGCTGTGTAGCTGGGTGGTTAAAGGAACGTACGTCTAAATGGATTATCAGTGACTGCCGGCCAGTGGGGGGTGATGAGTTGGCAATATACTTACCGGATTCTACCATTACCAACATCATTTCAATTAAGCGTTCGGCAGCTGAATTATTTGGTTTGTGCTTATTATACAGTCCTCCGGACTTCATCGCGAGGTCTCCGAAGAGGAACATCTCATGCAGGGCTAGATCGAGATCACGCCAGTCCAGCTGTGCACCAGGCTGCCTTAGACTAGAGAATGTAGAGCGGACCACGTCGGTAACAGCCTCGATAAAAAGCTGTTCGTTTGTTGATGCAATGATCTGTTGTAGAACGTTGAGCCTCCGCCGCAGCTCTTGAAATTCCGCTTCATCTGTTTGGTCGTCCTCACTCCCCCAGCTGGAGGTCTCGTCGTATCTCATTTTCTGGATGATAGCTTTGAGAATCGGCAATAACATGTGATTCTGCTGAGATACCATTTCGGGATTCTTTTTTGCGACTTTTCGGAAGTAGGTGAGCATATCGTTTACACATGGCACAATTGTCGAGCATATTTCATCATATTCGTCGGAGAAGTACCGTAAGACATGAGGTAAGAAGGCCTGCAGCAAAGCTTCAGCCTTTTCTTTCGTTGCGGTATCAATTCCGTCAGATTCGAGCGCTTTGACAATGTCCAAAGCTGTGATGTTTACCAGCTTGGCCACCGTTTCTGCTAGATCGGTATCGTATTTTGACGTGAACCGATATTCATGCAGTGACGGACTGGTGGAGAGCTGGGAGACAATGCTTTCCAGATTCAAGAAAACGATCATGTCTATCTTATCGGACGGCTTCATTTTCTTTCCAACAATCTCCGTAAAGACATCGATAGCAGCATCCCGAACTCTCTCCCCTCCGTCACTCAGACCCAGGTCCTTGGCCTTTGCGAGTTGGTGGAATAAAAGATCGAGCATGCTCTGGTTGACGACCAGTGAAATATTTATCCAGCTGACCCAGCTGCCGATTGCCTTGAGAACCATGGCAGTAATCACGTTGTCTTGGTCCTGCCATTGTGACAGAATCTCCTGCCACGAGGTAACCAGCTTCTGTACGTCTCTCTCACGGATAAGGTCTTTCAGCGTGTTTGCCCTGTCTTGTTCGGCCCGCGAACGCGAGAGCAGAACGTCACCAATCTCGTCGTGGATGGAATTGATAACTCGAAGAAAGAATATGGTTCCCAAAACGTTGTCTCGAGCCAGGTTTTCGGGTGACTTGTAAGTCAAGCGCAGTATATCGTCGAAGAAGGTGTCCCACCCATTGCCGTAGAGAGCGGAGAAGAGATAGGTGATCGTCTGAGCTATCTTGTTCTGGATATTTGCTTGATCCGGTTCATTTGTCACCCCAGGGCCGTACATCTCCTGCAAATAGGCCATGAGGCTATCCTTGATGAATCCGAGGCCCTGTAAATCCACCTGGCCGGACTGCGTGGCGCCGTTGACAATCTCCAAAGCCACATGCCGTACTATCTCCGAGTGACGGGGCGTTTTGGTAAATATCGAGAGACAAGGCTGCCATCCTGACGGGTCTGACCGAAGCTGGCTGATATATTCAAAGGCTTGCGCTTTGAGTGCCTGGTCTGAAGCTGGGTTCCCGGCTATTTCTATGGCACTCGCAACCTACAACATGCCACCAATTCCGGTCAGCAATTTGCGCAGAAGAAACGGCGGCTATGGCATCCACCTGGCGGACATAGACCTAAAGCAAAAGTAGAGACGCAAGGAAAAACACCGGCTACTTACCTGCTCCTCCATCATGACCGCTCGCAGCGAGGCCCGTGGGGGGGGGGCCGCTCTCGTGCTCCTTGAAAGTCGAGGTCTCTCGTACGTCTCTCCAGCGGACTCAGTCACCCAACTGTGCGGAAATGTGAAGGTCGTAAAACGATCTGGCTGTTCATTTCATAAATATGTTGTCTGAATATAATATTTGCTTGCTCAAGTTCGCAGGTTAGAAAGAAGTTGAGTTGGTTGTGCCGTTGCGGGACCCAAAAGAAGAGTCACTAGTTTTTTTTTTTTTTTTCTCTATGACACAACTTCCGCACACACAAAATCGCTGCCCGGTTTCTTGGTGGGGAAGAAGAAGAAAGACACCAACAAGAGAGTGATGGATGGAAGATATTTAATATTAGTTACTGCTATGGTATCTGATTTAAGATCAAAGAGACATAATAGAGAAAGCAGGCAGATGCCGTGGGTTTTCTTGCCGGTAGAGAAAAACTGCCACTTTAACCAAACAGGTTGGTAGTTACCAGGGATGAAAACTCCTTTATGAATATTACTGTTTATGGTGGATATAGATGAGGAGGAGGAGGAGGAGGAGAAGAAGAAGAAGAAGAAGGTCACTGTTTGGCTTCCATGAGGACCTGCTTCTCCATCTTCTCGAACCCCTGGACGGCCTGGCGGTACTTCTCGAAGATATCAGGTTGGAAGCCGTCAGCTATCTTCTCCACGAACTCGTCTTCCCTCCATCTCCGCCCGATCAGATCTTCAAAGGTCTGGTCTGGTGCTCTCTCCAGCGCCCAGACGGCCTTGTACGCCGCACCCAGTGCACACGCATTCTCTCCCACATCCAACTTGTACACTCCTTCGATCCCGCCGAGGACCTCTCCCGCGACTTTGGCGATAGCTGCGTTGCGCGAGCCTCCACCCACCAGATAGATCCGTCTGGGCTGCGGTGGGACACCCCCAGATGGGCTGTGCACTAGCTCCTTTGACCGGAGCCTGAGTGAGAGGAACTGGCTCTCGACAATTGCTCGTGCATCGTCCCGCGGATGGGTCCAGCCCTCGTCTGTCTCCTTGAGCTCTTCGTTTGCCTGGCCAGGGGTATAGTTGAAGTGCCATTCGCCTTCTCCAAGGTTAGGCACTATCTCCGGCCGGGGAAAGAAGAGACCCATCTTCATCGGGCCTGAGCCTGCTTTCTGGCCCCCCGGAGGTGTCTCCAGCAAGACTCTGTCAAAGTTACTCCAGGGGTTTGACGGGTCCGTTTTCTCTCCTGACGTTGCGTTGATTGCATCTCTGACCTGTTCACGCGCGAGGCCCCCGTTCTTGTAGCAGAGCATAAACATGTACAGTCCAGGGGTTGTCGGATGGTTGAAGAAGTGTGTTGACGGATCAGGTTTGTACTGCGGAGTCGACATCAGGAATGTGGTCGATGTCCCCAGAGACACCATTGCGTCCAGAGGTCTGAGTGGAAGAGCAAGTATAGTGGCCGGGTTATCTCCCGTAGAAGGGGTGATGGCACAGTCCGGGTGGAAGGAGTATCGTTTTGCAAAGTAGCTGCTGATCTTGCCCAGCTCCTGTCCTCCATCATGCGGCACGTCTCCGAGCTTCTTCTTCAGCTCTTCCGGCCCGGCTTCACCGGCACACAGTTTGAGAAGACGCTCGTTCCATCGGTTCATTGGCATGTCCCATAAGTTCATACCACAGACGTCCGATATATCGAACGGCGCCACGCTCCCCAAGAAGATGGAGGCCAGGAATGAAGAAACGAGAGAGATCCTGGACGTCTTTCGGTATGCATCAGGGTGCTTCCGCTGAAACCTCAGTATCTGAGGGCCGGTAAATCTCTTATCGTAACCATTAGCCAGTCCTGTTCGATTGAGTAGTTATACATCGTAGACTTACATGATGAGCCTTGCTCCCCGTCACCCTGGCCAATTCTTCCTCGCTGCCGAGAAAGGCATCAAACTCATCACACTCCCTCTGCGTGCTGGAGTCCTGCCAATTGGGACTGTACGGATATGAGAGTGCTTGCTGCAGCTGGTCTTCTAGCGTCTTCCCTCCATCCAGGCCGCCCAGTATCTCCTCCGCAGACTCGTTCCAGTAGACGCTTCCATGCTGCTGTCCCGCACCGCTGATCCCTCTCACCAGGCTGAAGTCGAGCCCTTGGTGCTTGAGGTCTTGTAGCACCGCATCCAGGGCTTGCAGCCACATGGCGACGGGCGCAAAGACTTCTCCCTCATCTTCGTTCGTCAAGACCCCCTTGCTAATATTGAATCCCTTCGAGTCGCTGTCAAAGTCGAATTTAGCAATGTGGACTACCTTGAGATCTGATGAGACGACGAGGCCCTTTAGTTGTTGTGTCGAGAGGTCGAAACCGATGTACAGCGGGCCGCCACTGGAGCCCATCTTGATTATATTATACCTGTAGCTGGTAGTATGTCTACAGTGTGGTAAATGGTAGATGTAAATAGTGTATAGTAGGTGTAGATAGATGTACAGTTGATGCTTTTCTACGTGGGGCGATGATATCATCGAGCAGGGGAGAAGCTGGAAGCTGTTAAATCATAACTGAGATGCTTAATTATTATTTGATTATCGTTATACAAGGCGGACATGGTATAACAAGGTCCGTATCGCTTGCTGAGGGACGATCTGGTGTCGCTGCCGGGTTTGTTGGTTGCGTGGATGGCAGGGAACTGAGCTATAGATGCCTTTCATAGCTTTGGTGAATACATGAATGCACATATAGTGATATATACATTAGTGCCTCCAGACTGCCATCTGTTTCGTATCCCGTGTTAGAGACACCGGGGTAAGACAGGTTTGTTTGCTCAAGGCCAGCGCGTAGCTGTCTCCGTAGCTATGCTACGTCCGGCCATCACGCTAGCAGTAACGTTTGGTAGCTGCTGTCGGTAGTAAGATTAATATCGTCTTCGATTACCATTGACATGAACGTGTGAGGTTCCGTTTCCATTCGTCTCGGGCTCTGGTTCAGGGCTGCTCCTGGGGCTAATATCAGGCGCAATGAACTCTTCAGCAAAATCAAGCTCCTTCTCCGTGTTCAGAGTAAAGCGCACCCGTAGACGCTTGACACCTCGCACGCGTGCTCCCACTCGCTCCCGAATCACCCGTTCGATCTCCCGAGTGCGGGCAACCGACCACGAGCCAGGAACGGCCAGGTCGACCTCCATCAGATAGTTGGGGCCGGACTTGACTCCCTGTATATTCCGCAGCTCGATCTCAGCGCTATCGGGGACCCCGGCGATGGCCCTGGCGGTATACTTGCGTACCGAGTCTACCATGCTTTCCTCGACGCCCGCGTCGGCTAGTTCTAGCAGAGTAGCCTTGGTGTTACCTAGCCCTGCCCTGATGATCATTATTGAGATGAGCAGCCCACCCACTGGGTCCAGCCATGTAGCGTCAGTGAAGACGTGTGCGCCGCCGATCGTCAACAGGGCGACTATGCTAGTAAGCGAGTCGACTCGGTGATGAACGGCATTGGATGCAAGGACAGAAGACTTTCTCTCCTTTGCTATTTTCATGGCTAGTAGCAGTTAGCATCTGTAAAAACTATAAAGCTACACCGTGAAGGACGACTTACTGGCATGATAGAGCCATTCCTTGACCACGATTGAACCGGCAGCCAGCCATACAGCATTGATATTGGGCCCGTATGCCTGGTCTGTCGGAGAGTGAGAGTGACCGTGCGAATGGCCGTGTCCGAGCAGGCCCAGGTGTGCAGCAGCGTCCGCAACGTCCGGGAAGAACTGGGTGAGTATAACCTCGGCGGCATTCAACCCCATCAGCAAACCACCAACGAGCAGCAGTCCGCTCACCCCGAGTGATCCAAGAGTTTCAATCTTTCCGTACCCGAGGGGGAAGTGTGACGAGGGCGGTTTGTTCGACCACGATACCGTCCCCAGCGTCATAAAGTCTGACACCAGGTCTGTCAGGGCATGGTATGCGTCTGCCACCAACGCCTGTGAGTGGAAGACGTAGCCACCCACCCCCTTTCCAATCGCCATGGCCAGGTTCGCCAGCAGGCCTATTCTGGTGATGCGTACCCCTGGATCCTGCTTGTTCTTCGAGGTCAGGTATGTGGTGTCGTGGTGGTGGTGGTGGTGGTGGCCGTGGCCATGGCTATGCCCATGCGATCTGGTCTGGCAGCCCATCGTGACGGCTGGAGGTGCAAGTACAAGCGCTGGTCGAGCTGGTCGAGCTATCGGGAGGCAAACAATAGCAGCAGTGGGGTGATAGTGGTGGTGAACGGTAGCAGACGGTGTCTTTGAGGCAGCACCGGCAGCGGTGGCACTGCGAGAGACGAGGCAGTGCGACCTGTAAGACGGCTTGAAGCCACGTAGCTGTATGTCGCCGAGCTGTGTTTCCTGTGGCCGTGGGCGTAAGACGGCGCAGAGAGAAGATCGAGCTGGGCGATATCTGGTCTTCCCGCAGCTCGTCCTGATCATGGCCTTGCAGAGAAACTTGAAGCCCTCCCAGCGAATGATCCTGTTATAACTAGGCGAGAAATAGACCTGTTATATTTGCCTATTTTTATTATCTGTTTTATCCATTAGCATCAACCTGTATCTGTATAGTTTTATGTCTGCAAGTTTTAAGAATAAGCAACTTTTTAGTTGGAAGCTCGGAGGTTTTCTTTTTTTAGGCCAGTAAGGATGAGACGAGGATACGAGACGAGGATGAGAGGTCTTACCAGGGGAAAGGTCGAAGACAGGCAGAAGCCAGAGAGAGCCGGACAGAGCCAGACAGAGCCAGAGAGATGGCGGATCTGGCGGATTTGGGCAAGCTGGAGAGGCTGCGCGCAGTCGGTAAGATATCGATATATCAACACAAGATACAACTAAATAGACGAGACTGACGGACGTAGGATGCCTGGAGCGATATTCGACTGCTCGCAACCCGCAGAGATTCTACACGAACGTCGCGGTGACGGCGAGCTATGAGCTGCCGTCGAGCTGCGAGCTGCCGCTGAGGGACTGCATCTACAGCGCCCTCGAGACGCTCATAGGCCAGCATCCGGTGCTCTCTGCCATCCCGCTGGAGGAAGAGTCGAAGGAGCCGTATTTTGCACGGCTGCCAGAGATCAGTCTTGACCAGTGTGTCTCCTTTCGGGAGCGAAGCGGCCGTGAAGCAGATGCAGAAGCAGATGCAGAGCTGGACCAGATGCTGAACGTCCAGCACAACGTATCCTTTGCTGCTCCGCTGCCCTACTGGAGACTGAGTGTCCTGACCGGTCCCAGGGACGGTCGACGGTTCACCGCTGCGTACGTCTGGCATCATGCGATTGGAGACGGTTCGTCGGGCAAGGCATTCCACCGGACCTTTCTTCAGGCCCTGCGCGGCGTCTGCTCAGCTTCGTCTCCAGCAGACGTGAAGAGCGTGGTTCCGTCGCCCAAGACGCCTCTTCTGCCGAACCTGGAGCAGGTTTATCCCATGCCTCTGTCCATCTTCTTCATCCTCGCCGTCCTCTTCCGTGCTAAGATCTGGAAGCCTGCGCGAGACCCTGGCCTCTGGACGGGCTCCAAGACGACATTGCCGCTGGAGAACCAGATCCGCCATCTCGTCGTGTCCCAGCGGGATACGGCTGCGTTCAGGGGTCTCTGCCGTGAGAACAAGACGACCGTGACCGCTGCTCTGCAGACCGTGCTGGCCAAGGCACTGTTCGCGCATCTTCCCGAGCAGTACACCAGACTATGCTGCGAGGGTGCCATCTCGAACAGGCGCTGGCTTACGGACGACAGCATCACGGACGACTCCCTCGGCGTCTGGGTGCAGGAATTCCAGGAGGCCTACTGCAGAGACAGCGTATCCGAGGCAGGCTTTTGGGACGATGCAAGGAGGTCGAAGCAGAATCTCGACAGGATACTCGCTCTACGAGGGAAGAACTGCATAACCAGCATGCTCAAGTACGTCGGTGACTACAAGAACGAACTCTTCCTGCCGAAGCTGGGCAAGGAGAGAGAGAAGAGCTTTGAGGTCTCGAATATCGGTGTCTACAAGCCGGCATCACCATCATCCACAACAGACGACGCTGAGAAAGGTCCCCGGATAGACAGGATGGTCTTCACGCAGAGCTCAAATGTCTTTGGGTCCGCCATCTCGACGTCTGTCATAACAGGGCCTGACGGCTGCTTGGTCCTGGGCTTCTCCTGGCAAAAGGGCGTCGTCGATGCGGCGTTGGTCGCTGCTTTCATCGCATCAGTCAAGCAGGAACTTGCTTCCTTTGGAGAGAAGCGTACATAGACCTGTACATTAGAATTAATAGATACTGTTTAATAGATACTGTTTAATAGATACTCTTTAATAGATACTGTTTAATAGAGTACATATTTAACTACCGTCTATGAAGTCTTAGTCCGAACACATCAAAAACCAACGACTGATAAAAACTACAACCACCACAAGCAAGATGCTATGAGCCAACGCATGAGGATCCCGTTCACGGCTCCGTTCTCGCCTCCGACCATCCTGCCTCGCTCTGCCCACACCGTCGACGGCGCCATCGATGCCCTCGCCAGCTTCCTCGCCGCTCCCCCTCCGCCGCTGCTCAGAGGCGTCAACCTGGGCCGCAACGAGCAGACGGTGCTGCTGACCGGAGCAGGCATCTCGGTGGCATCAGGGCTGGCAGACTACCGTGGAGAGAACGGGACATACCGTCGGAACGTCGCCTACCGGCCGATCTACTTCCACGAGTACGTGGGCCGGCATGAGGCCAGGCAGCGATACTGGGCCAGGAGCTTCATCGGATGGCCGACGATGGGCCGGTCGAAGCCAAACGTCACTCACGAATCTATCGGACGGCTGGGGAGGAAAGGCTACATCAGCTCGGTGATTACGCAGAATGTCGACTCGCTGCACAGCCAGGCGCATCCCCAACTGCCCGTCCTCGAGCTTCACGGCTACCTGAGATCGGTCATCTGCGTCAGCTGCAGACACAAGATACCCCGTCAGCAGTTCCAGGAGTCGCTGGCTGCCCTCAATCCAGTCTGGGCAGACTTCCTCAACCGAGTCACAGAGTCTGGTGCCTTGAATACGGATGACGTCGAGCAGCAGCGGCAACGGGGCCTGAAGCTGAACCCGGACGGCGACGTGGATCTCTCCAACGCCCATTACTCTGGCTTTCGGTACCCTGTCTGTCCTCGATGTCTGGAGAGCCCGCCCCTGCGCCCGGACGGGTCGAGAGCAGTGGTCGAGGCAGACCAGGACGGGGCGTTGGCCTCGCCTTCGAACGCCGGTATACTCAAGCCGGCAGTCGTCATGTTTGGCGAGTCGGTCAACGGAGAGGTCAAGGTTGCTGCTGAAGAGGCAGTCGATGAAGCCGGCAAGCTGCTTGTGCTTGGAACCAGCCTGGCTACCTTTTCAGCATGGAGGCTGGTCGAACGGGCTCTTGCGCGAGGCATGTCGATTGGAGTCGTGAACGTAGGCGGCATCCGCAACGAAGCCGCCTTGTTCAGGGACATCGACGCCCATACGGTGGACATGGCTCGAGTGAGATGCAGCCAACCGGCCGAAGCTGTCATGCCTGAAGTCGCTGCCAGGTTGCAAGCGCTTTCATGATTCACCCCATGCTCTTTAACTTGCTTTTCTTGTTTCATTTGTTCTATATATATAGAAGTATAGTTCATGTTTCCGTTGGCGCCGCTCCTGCATCCCGTTACTATGTATATAACCACGACGGCCAGAAATGAAATCGCAAGCGCCTTCAAAATCTTCCTGCTAGAAATGCCTTCATGATTGGGCGTTCGAAGTGGCTAAAAATATCCCGTCGCAAGCGCTTCTTCTATATTTTTTTTTTATTTTTTGCTTTTTGGTTTTCAGAAAATGGCTTTTGTAAGATTGAAAACCGATCGAGATTTAAAACGGACCAGATGGACAGTCACAACTCGACCAATTCACAGAACCACGAACAGCCTGCCAGTGACGCCTCTTCGTATCTCAGCATCGCTTCTTCTCTCGCCTCTCCTTCTACTCTCTTTGGCGGCAAGCCGTATCGTCGCCCGTTTCTCGCCCGTCAGGCAGCATCTCGCCCCTCCGCAGGCCGCAACAGCATCAGCATCATGGACAAGCGGCATCAGCCCAGCTCATTCCAGCAGCTGGAGAAGGTGTGTATTACTTGGTAGACCTGGATGGATACTCGGACGGGCTGGCTGACCTGGTATTCTTCTTTTCTAGCTTGGCGAGGGAACATATGCCACCGTACGTTTTAACATATAACTCTGCCTGTTGGACGTAAAGCTGAGATGAGACGTACAGGTTTTCAAAGGGCGGAATCGCCAGACCGGCGAGATGGTCGCCCTGAAGGAGATACACCTTGACTCGGAAGAAGGCACTCCGTCCACCGCGATCAGGGAGATCTCGCTCATGAAGGAGCTCAAGCACGAGAACATCGTCGGCCTCCACGACGTCATCCACACCGAGAACAAACTCATGCTCGTCTTCGAGTACATGGACAAGGACCTGAAGAAGTACATGGACGTCCGCGGAGACCGCGGCCAGCTCGACTACGTTACCATCAAGTCGTTCATGCACCAGCTTATGCGGGGCATCGCCTTCTGCCACGACAACAGAGTCCTGCACCGAGACCTGAAACCGCAGAACCTTCTGATCAACAACAAGGGCCAGCTGAAACTCGCTGATTTCGGTCTGGCTCGAGCATTCGGCATCCCCGTCAACACCTTCTCCAACGAGGTTGTCACGCTCTGGTACAGGGCGCCGGATGTGCTCTTGGGCAGCAGGACGTACAACACCAGCATTGACATCTGGTCTGCCGGCTGCATCATGGCGGAAATGTATACTGGTCGCCCGCTCTTCCCCGGCACGACGAACGAGGACCAGCTACAGAAGATCTTCCGTCTGATGGGCACCCCGTCCGAGCGATCGTGGCCCGGAATATCGCAGTTCCCCGAATACAAACCAAACTTCCACGTCTATGCAACGCAGGATTTGCGCTTGATACTGCCGCAGATTGACCAGCTGGGCCTGGACCTGTTGAGCAGGATGCTTCAGCTCCGTCCGGAGATGCGGATTAGCGCAGCAGAGGCCCTTCGACATCCTTGGTTCAACGACTTGAACCAGCTGCAGGCTCAGCAGGCTCAGCACCAAGCCCTCCACAACCATCAGCAGCAGCAGCAACAGCAGCAGGCACAGCAACAACAGGCTCAGATGGTTGCTGGATACCCTGCTCCGGGGCTCGTTTCCCAGAACTATTAACCCTCCCCCCGCTTCTGTGAAATAAGGACGACTTCTCCCTTCTATTCCTCCCTCTTGCAGCGCCGGCGTTCTTGATATTGGGATAAACAATTTGCTATTCTTAATGAGTTTATGCGTTTCCTTTCTGCCGTTTAATGTTGCTCTCGTTTTGATAGGCCTGTAATGAATTATACCTGCGTCTTCCGGGCTGAGTCTTTCGCATCTACATAGTCCTGTTAGCACTGCACTACTGCCGAACACTCTTCTTCTATATCCGCGAAGGATAAATCATCAAGCATGTCTCTATACGTCTATGTCCGTCTACACATCTAACTAAACACGTGACTTCGCGTTGCTTAAAACCAACTTTTGGGCTCGAGAAAGTCCAAAGGAAGTAAATAAACAAATCTACAGAGAGAGTCAAGTCATAAATACAATGGCAGCGAGGCCCGACTCCGACCCTACGAGCACAGCTAGACAGGGTGAAAACCAAGATGCGTCTCCCTCACCACCGCCAGCAGCGCCCGTCCCGCTGACCCCTGGGCCAAGGGCTTCGCGACTCCAGCAAGTCTTCTCCCAGGCCCTACTGCACACAATCCGAACGAACTCCTACGCCAACTTCTCCTCCTGCTTCCCAACGCCTGCGAAGCATGTTCCGCGTAGCCTGGAGTCGGTATGGAGACAGCTGAATGCGAAGCTGGAAGAAAGCGCAAGGGCGGAGTTTGACGATATCCTTCGTGAGAGAGGCGTGGTGAGAGGACTGAACGAGCTGGACAGGCTGGTGGGAGAAGCGAAACTCCGGAGAGAGAATGGCGAAGGGGCAGATACTGTGCCGTACGTGTTAAAAACCGTTCTATTCTATCTCCTTGCTCCTCTTGATGTTAACTTCTTTGGTAGTGCGCATACTTTGACTGCAAAGGAACTATATCAGGCTCATCTGGCGCCTATTCTTGCGAAGGCGCAGTCATCCCTTGACTCTCAGACGGAAGAGGTACAGAAGCAAAATATTGCGCTTGCGTCGAAGATAGAATCTCAAAAGCAAGAGATTCAGCAGTTATTGGTTAGCCTTGAAGCTATAGTTGGAGATATCGAGGGAGCCGTCAAGTCAATGAACGAATTCGACGAGGATGGTATCCTACGAAAAGAAGCAGAGCAGATGGACGAAGATATTAGGCCTTCGCAACCTTCGTGAATGTTTCTTTACCCGAACGTTTCTATGGACCAAGGTAAATATAGCCAAAATCAAACAAACAAACCGAGAAAAATACGGCAGGCTTTAAAAGATTATTTCATCTGGGTCCAACTGTGTCAACAGTTTATGCAAATCCTCAGGAGATATCTGGCCATCCTCGGCCATGTCATCAGCTACATGCAACATATATTCCTTGGAGTTGATCGCCAAAGCTCCCATCTGGCTCAGGTCGCCTGCCAGTCCCTTAGCCAGGGCTTCCTTGACTGTGCCTTCGCGCTCCTCGTCAGACCACCCGTCTCGCCTGGCAATCGCTGCGCCCCCGCGATAATAGGTTTCAGCATTTTTCAAAAGTGTTCCTGAATTATCCTTGGCCGCTGTAAAAAGGAAGGGAGGCCGTCCTAGCCTCCATCGGTACATTTCCACATCACCTCGGGCGATATGTATCTTTGCTAGGTTCTCTGTCCCAGCCAGTTTCGACGCAGCAGTTAGCCGGCTCAAGGCGACTCCCAGGGCCTGCCATCGCAGATCTAATGACCTGTCAAACCCATCCACACCGGGAGCAGGGTGGGAATCAGCAATGGCCGAATTGAACCCCATAAGTGCTTCAGCCTGGTTTGAAAGGCCAGCTGGATCCTGCGAGACGTCAACACCGTTACTAAATGCAGAGTCGAGCTCATTCTTGTACGTATCGAGGTCGATACGGCAGCTTCGATACGTGACTTCTAGCAAGATGGAGAGGAACTTGGCCCGCACTATGGCAACCTCATTGGCCCTGTCTGTACCCTGGACATATGCGGCGATCTTCTCCCTTAGAAGTTCAGACGAATACTCTTCTACCCAGGCGAGACTACTCCCAGGGTCCGAGGTAAGTAGCCCGCAGAGTGTGGCCAGCGCTTCCAGCTGCGCAATGGCAGTATCGATGAGTGAATTCTTGGTTACTGGTTCAATCACAGCCGCCCATTCCTCTGCCTCTGTTGAACCGGAGCCAGACCCCGATGCTGTCCTCGGATCATATCCACTTTCCTGCTGCTCCTGCTCTTGCTGGAGTTGGCGTTCCGGCCCGCCATCCCGCATCATCCGCAACTGCTCTTCGTATTCCGTGAATTTTAATTCCTGCAGAACAAGACATCGTTGAAACAGCTCCAGAGCTTCGGTCAGATTTCTCAATGCCTCTTCCGTCTGTGCTTCACTTGCCCGTCGTCCTTCCGTGATGGCTTCCGCTACACTGGTTAATACCTGTGCTGTGTTGAATAATATGTCTGCGTTATCTTGATCCTTTTTCAAAGCTTCTCGATGAGATGCAAGTGCGATTCGGAGGATGTCAAGGATTGGTCCGGGTAGCTGGGTGACCAGTTTGGGGTGTTGTGTTATTTCATACTGTACTCGGGCTCTATATAGGGAAAGTAGAAAGCAATGTCAATGTTAGGACACATCTGTATTTTCAGCGGGCGCCCTCCCCGAACTGGTAGAGTACATACTTGTTATAGGCCAGGTCGAACGAAGCAGGGTACCGCTGTAAACCGGTATCGTACGTCTCAATGGCCCTCATGAAGAAGCGCATCGACTTGACTGAGTCTCCTGCACGCCATTTCTCGCCAGCTTCTTCGAGGTCGACACCCTCTGTTCATAAAATAATATCATTAAACCGCAGTCAGAATTTGCCCCCACGCCCAGCGACTATTGACGGAAGGGGCCTGTAGATCTAAGCATATTTGACTGACCAGCAAGAAACTCATCTGCCGATTCTGGAGCCTAAAAATCCGGTTGATCATGCGATCATGAAGCTATTAGCTTGTGGCTTCCATGAGCTTTTCTAACTATGTATATGGCGGGGTCATTTTCCCCGTACGCACCACCTGTTTTCGTTTCTTCTTTGTCTTTGCCTCCCTCAGGAGCGTCTTTGGCTTCGGCATGGCTCTTCTCTGACTAGCTTCGTGCTTTTGCGATGCTGAATGGTTAATATTATTTCGTTCGAAGTTGAAGTAGAAGAAGACGAAAAAAAAGATGAAGCTGTGACTTGCTTACATCACCATTTCCCAAATAGGCAAAAACCAAACCTCCAACGATCTACTTCGATAACAAGACCAAGACTTGACGATGCGAAAGAAGTTCGGCTTCATGATTGTAACAAGCCATGGTGAAGAGAGCATGGATACAGCGTCTGGTCGCTTTCCGCCATCCCAGTGCTTGTTTCCACGTGGCGATGTCAAGAGTTCGAGATGTCTGCAGTTTGTATAACTATACATAGATAGTATGATGTAAGTACAGGCTTGAGAGACAGACATGCATGTAGCTAATGCAGCGCACAGGGGAGCCGCTTTCGAGATGCCTAATATGTTCGCTCGCAGCATTGACTGCATCGAACTCGTATTGCAGGTTTCAGATAGATGACAGCTGTGGCAGATCCCCACGTATAAATGACAGCAGAGTGTTGGTTGATATACTGACTATGTATGCAGGCTGTTCAAGGATTGGGCGTTAAGGGAGGACAAGAATCGTACGCATCGAATGGCAACTGGACAGACAAAGAGGGACAGGAGGGGTAGAATCCTCTCAGCTGTGAACGCCATGTCACACTGGACAGCCTGGCCATGAGATATCAACCCTTGGACGAGCGAACAAAACTGATTGATGCAGGAGGGTTGGGGTTCAGTCATCCTCGCCACCGCATGGCACAACCTTGCAGCGAATAACTATATATAAAATATGGTTATGCTGGAGAACCCGTCCATCCTATCCGGACTTGGTTGCTCCGTTCACGCGTTGGGCGAGACAAATCATACTGTTATAACTTACCATTCAGTACTCCACCATCCACGCCAGCCTAACATCCTGGTCAGCATAATTCCTTTTTCCTCTTCCCCTTCGCAAGGGCCGGCTTTTCCTCATCCACGTTTCTGACAAGGGTCCCGCCTAGGCTGTGATGAGCCTACCTGCATGCAAAGTCAGCCCTCCCTAAGTTTCGAGGAAAAGTAGAGAAAGTAACGGGAAAAGAAGAAGAGAGGAGAGAAAAAGAAAAAGAGGAAGAGGGACCAGTCGCAGCTTGAGGAATTACTGATACGAACGGCGTACAAATGGAGCCTCCTCCCTTTTTGCGGCAGACGGGGATTTCACCTTAGTTCGGCCGCTTCCCACGCTGTTTTTTTTATTCCCACGCTATCGAGCTAACAGTTAGTTCGCTGTCGAAGGAGGCAATCCTACTAACACTCACACCCTAAGAACTTAGACAAAAAGGAGGATTTTCGGGATCGAGATCGATCATCGCTTCTTTTCTCAGTCTTCTCCTTCTCTCCATCTCGTCCTAGTGTGACGCTCGCCTCCTCCATCACCCCCTAGTCGAACCTGTAAGTTCTATGTTTCTTCTGTTTCTTCCCAAGCGCCCCAGTTCCTGCTTGCCTGCAGCCTCTCCCCTGCGCGTCGCCTTAGCCTGCTTTCCTTTTTTTTTTCCCCTTCCTCAAACCCCCCCAAGCTCGTTCCCACCACTCGACATCATATCTGACATTTAAAACGTGCAAAGCAAGTTTCACCGAAACAAAAAGATCCGCCGGAAAATACGCTGCTTCTTCCTCTCTCGTCGCACGATCGACAGTCTCTTGCCGGCTCATATTTCCCCTTCGTCCTGTTTCCCCTCTCATTTGCTGCGGAAGACGAAGGAAAAGCAAAGAAAAGGAAGAAAAGGAACCAACTTCCCTGTCTTTCTTCTCCGGTGTAGCGTGGCGGTTATAACCATCATTAAAGTCGGACACATCCCTTTTTATTTTTATTGTTTTCCCCCCCCTTCTTGCGTTTGTCTCTTCTCTCTCGATCATAATGTCGAGACGATCCCTCGACTCTCAGCGCCCGATCATGGCTCCCTCGGTATGTGTATCTTTTTCAGCCTGGCCGTGTCGAATATTATCATTCTAACGACGTGTCTAGCTGGCCTCGCAGCGTAACTCCAAACGATACTCTACCATCAGCAATCAGACTACCAGCAGCACGATGACGGCTGACAGCCGCATGGCCGAGATTAAAGAGCTCAGCGCCGGCCTGGCTCGCCTGGAAAACAAGCGTCTTAGCCAACAACGTTTCGTCCCTACTCCTGAAAAGTCAGAGAGCCTGAGCAAGCTTGCGCTCAGTGCGAAGGTCGAGAGGGCCCTGGGCAGAAGGATGTCGAGCCAGGACGCTATCATGCGCAAGCCAGTGGTCCTAGAGGAGAAGAGCATGATCAAGTCCGCGTCTTGATGGCCTACAACCTCGTCCCACGTACCTCTCCTTCCAGCCACTTAGCATACTCTACGATACCGCTTTCACCAGCTATTGCATTAATTTCATACTTTCCACAACAACGACCCCTACGACAGCCGCCCACACGACCGAACAAGCCGTCTCTTATAATACCGCCATCGTGAGGAGACACCCCTACCCATAAACCTTTCGAGGGGAGACCTGGACTCTTTTCTCTTCCCTGTCTTTCATGAGATGACGATACGATGGGGTTGTCTTTACATATCTTATTCGCCCTTGTGTCTTCTCCGCTATCATTTTATTCCCTTGTCTCTTTCTGCTGTCTCTTTACTTTTTCTTGCTACCGTCTAGTCTGTCATTTGTGTACGTGCAGTCTAATATCCAATGTTGCTGTAGATGATGTCCAACATACCATGAATGAGAAATGCCAGAGTGAAATACCAGACTATCCTATCATCCCTATTAGCATCGCATCTTAACATCAAGCGTAAGACAGTACAAGAACCGATATCCCTTAACTAATACTGCTAAAACTGACTATTAACAAATACCAACTGTTATTATCTCTCTTCACTGCTCTATCAATGTCTTGTTACTTTATTTAATTTGTTTATCTTTAAAAAGCAGAACTTTTAGCGCGACCAAAAAAAAAAAAAAAAAAAAAGCGCCACAAAGAGACTTTTTTCCTTTCTCTCTTTTTCTTCCCTTCAAAACCACCAAAAAAGAGAGAGAGAGAGAAAAGACATCAACATCTTTCAACCATCAAGACATTCAACTTCTTCTTCTTCCTCTTCCTCTTCTTCTTCTCTCTTCTTTGATTTCTTCTTTGCTTCCTTCTTCTTCTTGACTTCTTTTTTATACCAGGCATAAGCTGTTTTTCACCTTCACCTCTTTGTTACTGTCTTTATTCCAGGCGGTGCTTCTTCTGCTTGCTCTTCTTCTTCTACTTCTTCTACTCTCTAATTTATCATCCCGCGCTCTTCGATACTCCTGATACTCCTGATACTCGACTCTGATCTAGCTTAAAGAACACCCCAAGCCTGTTGTTCCCTGAATGTGAGTTGGTGTTCACCTCCCTCTACCCTGTTCGCTTGTGACAAACACACAGAACACAACATGAAAACTGCAGAGAAACAGCAGACATCATGAAGACAACAGAAGAGAAACATAACTAACAGGCCGACAGTCTCTAGATACAGCATCAGCCTCGCCCTCTCGATAGTCAAAGCCTCTTCTGATCGACCTTCCGGACTCTCACTTGTCTTCACGCCTTTTCACTACCAGATACCAAAAAAATAACAAGGGCTGTTCCGGACTTCTCTTACTTCGACATGGCTACCGAAACTGTTCCTGCTACCAATGGCACCTATCACAGCCATCACCAGGCAAATCCCTATACCGTAGACCCTTATGCGGCCTCTCACCCTGCGGCAACCGCCTCCAACGCACAGTACGTTGCTCAGCAGGCCAACACCTCCACACAAGCTCCCGCCGCTTCCAACGACTCCAAGAATGATATTCCAAAGGACGAGGTTGGCTGGTTCTTCGTTGAACAGTACTATACCACCTTGAGCCGTTCCCCGGACAAGCTTCACCTCTTCTACTCGCGCAAGTCCCAATTTGTCTCGGGAGTCGAGGCCGAGAAGGTCAACGTCGCCGTTGGTCAGAGAGTAAGTTGATATATCCCCGTCCGAACCGGTAGACACGCTACTAAAATCCTATCTAGTCAATTAGAGAGCGCATCGAGGTGCTGGACTACAACAACTGCAAAGTACGCGTCTTGAACGTTGACTCTCAAGCTTCCTTTGACAACATCCTCGTTGTTGTCATCGGTGAGATGTCCAATAACTTGGAGGCTCCTCGCAAGTTCGTTCAGACCTTCGTCCTGGCCGAACAGCAGAACGGTTACTATGTCTTGAATGACATCATCCGATACTTGAACGATGATGATGAGGAGATGGTTGCTGAGGACGGTCCAGCCGTTGAGGAACCCCCAGTCGAGCAAACCGAGGCTGCTACCGCTGCTGATGTTGCTGCTGATGTTGCTGCTGATGTTGCCCCGGCTCCCGAAGAAGCCACTGACCGCCAGGCTGATAACGAGGCGGCTGCTCACGAGGTCGATGTGCTGCTCCAAAAGGAGGCTGTCAACGGCGATATCAACGTTGAAAACCCCGAAAAACAGGAGCCAGAACCTGCTACTGTTGCCGAAGAAGAACAAAAGGAAGACGTTAATGAAGAACAACCAGCTGCTGCCGCCGTTCTTCCAGTCTCCTCTGATGCTATCCAGCCCGAGAAGCCAAAGGGACCAGACCCTTCCCCAGCCATCGGTACTCCAAAGGCTCCTACTCCCGCTCCGGAGAAGAAGGCCGTTGCTGTGCCTCCAGTTAAGCCAATGAGCTGGGCCTCAGTCGCCGGAAACCGCACTGGCAACACTCCGGCCCCCGCCGTTCCAGTTGTCACCCCCGCTCCCGCTGCTGCAGCTGCCCCTGTCGCGTCTGCCCCGGCTCCTGCTCCTGCTCCTGCTGCTACTGCTCCAACCAAGACTCAGCAGTCTACTCCCACTACGTCTGAGGTTGGAAACGAGAATCAGCCTCCATCCAACTCCGAATGGCAGACCGCCGGTGCCGAACATGGCAGAAGACAGCCACGTCAACATACCCCTTCCCAGGCCGAAGGGGTCCTCGGATATGTCAAGAATGTTAATGAGAAGGTCGATGCTAGCCTCCTCCGTCAGACTCTCTCCCGTTTCGGTAAACTAAAGTACTTTGACGTTAACCGTCAACGTGTATGTTCTTCTTCCCCCCTTTTCTAATCTCCACTTGATGCATCCTGCTAACCCTAATACCTAGAACTGCGCGTTTGTTGAATTCAGCGACTCAGCAGCCTACAAGGCCGCCGTTGCCGCAAACCCTCACACCATCGGCACCGAACAGATCACTGTCGAAGAGCGCCGCCCTCGTGCCAGTGCCTATGGTGGCAATGCAGGCTATACCGGACGTGGTGGTGCTGGCCGTGGTCGTGGTGACCGTGCCGGCGGTCAGGGCCGTGGCGGTTTCCAAAAGGACTCCGGTCGTTACAATAACCCCTCTGGTCGCGGTAGCCGTGGCGGCAGCGCCTCTGGAAGCGGCAACGTCACTCCCAAGGGTCGTGGCCAGCCACAGGCTGTCTGAAAACAGCTATTCTCTAACTCACACACATAACATGACACGATGTTAACGTTGATGCTAACGCTGACGGGCCAGGACCTTAAAAATACGAAAAAGCTACCATCGCTCTAGACGGTTTATTTACCCCATGTATCATTTACCAACCTACTCTCTCTACACCAAAAAAAAAAAAAAATCAACCATGGACCTACCGATTCCCTCGGCCTTCAAAAGGCAACCCTTCCTGGTCTTGCACTCTGCCTCACCCCACCTTTGTACGATTTTATTACCCTCGTTCCGTTTGTTTCCCTCCGCGGTTTTTGCCTTGTTATTTCTCTCCTGTTTGGTTGGAAAAGCGCCTGCATGTCTTTTGCTCTTCTCTTTTTTGACACTGTATTAACTCTTGCTTTTTTGCTACCATTGAGCCTGCAAGTTCCGCTTTCTTAGCATTTTCCATTTTCTCCCCATCATCCTCGTTACTATACCACCATTTCCACTTCCCCTTCCAACTTCAAATTCTGGACCAGTTCTTCTAAAGTTCTAACTCTGATCTCACCTGGCTCTGGTCACTCAAAGAGCAATCTCGAATTAACCTTCCCTTACCAACTCCCTACCCTTCCACCCTCTCTTACTCCAATAATTGCTCTTCCCTATTATCACCATTTCTCTCTATTAGGGGCTTTTTATTTTACCCATGAAGCAATGGCCCTCTTTTTCTTTTAACCATACATTGCAACATTTACGCCAGCATTTTACGTGGTCGAGCGCGTGTCTACCACAGCCCCCTTAATCCCGCCCTATCTTCATCCTCGCTTTGATTTTTCTTTTTCTTTTACCTTTCCTTTGTTACACATCCGTCTTTCCCATCAAGGACTATGATTATGACTGATAGAACGAAAGTTAGGGGAAATGGTACGAGAGGTAGTTTGGGGGCTGATGTGGTTTGTGATGCTGCGGTGGAATGAAGGGTGGCGGTTGAAAATTGGAACTAGGAGGGATAAATAAAATCCAAAAGGGGGGGGAAAAGGCATACTCATGTATAGCGACCTTGCATTATTTATTCTTCTTTGCTCGGCTTCGAGCTTAAAACGAATATAATCACGTCTGATGAATTTTTTGCCGTTTCATCCATATCTACGATATTCAACGCGGACTAACTACAGTAACTGTCACAGTATGTATATATATGGGTCGAGAAAGTAAATGAAGTAAATCGCCTTTGTATTAATTTATTGTGTTCTCTTGATACAAGTTCCTCTAAGTTCTCCCATAACGAGCCACCTGGTAAAGTAGAAGGTTATAAAAACGAGAAAACAACAGAAAAGACACAAGATCAAGTAGATGATCAAAACTAGACGAGATGGATTAGGAGAAAAACAGCCCAGAGACAAATGGCAAATCGCTCGAATGCTTTTTGTAAACCCATGCCTTTCTTTGGTGTTTTCCCTTGTAACTGCTGGTTGTTGGTATCGAGGTACATGGATGTGAAAACGGAAGAAAAGGAAGATGGAGGAACATAGGAAATTCATGACAACATTTCTTCTTTACCATGATTTTTTCATTTTTTTTTGGTTATTTCGATGGTTGCTGTATAGCTTTTATTATTTTTTATTTGACTTCGGATGACGAGTTTAGTCGACTTCCTCCATGGCACTGGCAGTGGCAGGCTCAGTGGTCGCGGCTTCTTCATCAGCCTTCTCCTCTGGGGTCTTTTCCTCTTCAACGTCAAGGCCGAGAGAGACGAGCTTGTGGATACGCTCGGCAAAAGCAGCTGGCTCTTCGATGGTGAATCCAGAGACGAGGAGGGAGGTCTCATAGAGGAGCTGAGTGATGGACTTGACGTTGCGGTCGTTCTCACCGTCAGCCTCAACCTTCTTCTTGAGCTCCTTGATGATGGGGGACTTGGGGGAGATCTCGAAGGTCTTCTTGGAGGCCATGTAGGAGCTCATGGAGGTGTCACGGAGAGCCTGGGCTTTCATGATACGCTCCATGTTGGCAGACCAGCCGAATTGGCCGGTACGGATGGCGCAAGGAGCGCCGACCAACTTGTGAGAAACGACAACCTTCTCGACAGCGTCACCGAGGACATTCTTGAGGGACTTGGCAAGACCCTCGAATTCCTTCTCCTCAGCCTCACGAGCGGACTTCTCCTCGTCGGTCTCCTCGAGCTCGAAGTCTTTGGTGATGTCGACAAGCTTCTTGCCATCGAACTCCTTGAGCTGGGTCATGGCGTACTCGTCAATTGGGTCAACGAGGTAGAGAACCTCGAAGTCCTTCTCCTTGAGGGAGTCAAGGAATGGAGATTTCTGGACAGCCTTGATGGATTCACCGGTGATGTAGTACATCTGCTTCTGGTGTGGCTGCATGCGAGTGACATAGTCGGTGAGGGAGGTATTCTCGTCTCCAGACTTGGTGGAGTTGAAGCGAAGGAGCTTAGCGAGAGCGGCACGGTTCTGAGAGTCTTCGTGGATACCGAGCTTGATGTTCTTGCTGAAGGCAGAGTAGAACTTGTCGAATTGCTCACGGTCCTCAGCGATCTCGTTGAAGAGTTCGAGGGTCTTCTTGACGATGTTCTTCTTGATGACCTTCATAATCTTGTTCTGCTGAAGAGTCTCACGAGACAAGTTGAGTGGCAAGTCCTCAGAGTCGACAACACCCTTGACGAAGCTGAGCCATTCAGGAATGAGGTCAGTGGCATCATCAGTGATGAAGACACGACGAACGTAGAGCTTGATGTTGTTCTTGGTCTTCTTACTCTCGAAGAGGTCGAATGGCGGGCGCTTGGGGACGAAGAGGACAGCACGGAACTCGAGCTGACCCTCAACTGAGAAGTGCTTGACAGCGAGGTGGTCCTCCCAGTCATTGGACAAGGTCTTGTAGAAAGAGGCATACTCTTCCTGGGTGATGTCAGCAGGGTTACGAGTCCAGATGGGCTTAGTCTTGTTAAGCTCTTCCTCCTCGATGGAAGACTCCTTGACGGTCTTGGTCTTCTTCTTCTTTTCCTTGTCTTCCTCCTCGTCGTCGACTTCCTCGACCTTTGGCTTCTTCTCGTCACCTTCCTCAACCTCGGTGACCTCCTCAGCATCCTCATCTGGGACCTCCTTTTCAGTCTCCTTCAGGACGTGGAGGTAGATAGGGTATGAGATGAACTCGGAGTGTTTCTTGACAACCTCCTTGATCTTGCTCTCGGTGAGATACTCGGTCTGCTCATCCTTGAGGTGGAGAATGATCTTGGAACCACGGCCAAGGGGCTCACCCTCAGTGTCTTGGGTGAGAGTGAAGGTGCCACCGGCAGAGGACTCCCAGATATACTGCTCGTCATCATTGTGCTTAGAGACAACGGTGACCTTGTCAGCAACAAGGTAAGCAGAGTAGAAACCGACACCGAACTGTCCAATCATAGAGATATCGGCACCAGCGGTGAGGGCCTCCATAAACTGCTTGGTACCAGAGCGAGCAATAGTACCGAGATTGTTAACCAAATCCTAATTTGAAAATTCAGTCAGTAACAAAGAAATATCATGATGTGTGGGAGGAACGGGATCAAACGTACAGCCTTGGTGAAACCGATACCGGTATCACGGATGGTCAAGGTCTTGTTCTCCTTGTCTGGGATGATATCAATACGGAGATCCTTGTTGGAGTCAAGTTTGGTGGGATCAGAGAGAGATTCATAGCGAATCTTGTCGAGAGCATCGGAGGCGTTGGAGATGATCTCTCTGAGGAAAATCTCCTTGTTGGAGTAGACAGTGTTGATAATGAGAGAGAGCAGCTGAGAGATCTCAGCCTGGAACTCGAAGGTCTCAGACATGGCTGCGGTGTGTTGTTGTGAAATGAATTGGGGGTCTAGTATAACAGCTGTCAGCTTGGATTCGTGAAGTGGGAGTAAGAAAAAAACAGCTCTTGAAGGCTGAAGAGCAGAAAACCTACATAAAGAGAGAGGGGGATAGCTGGAGGAATTGAAGCTAGAGCAGCAGTATTATTTCAGTCAAAAAAGAGACTGCGTAGGGGGGAAATGTGGTGAGTGTGAAGAAGTTGAAAAAGTTGAAGAAGTTGAAGAAGAAGTTGAAGAAACGGCGGGAGGACGAAGAAGATAAAGCTCTGCCCTTTTCCGTTTTGGGGGGGCAAAAGCTTGCTGAGCGAACCTTCCATAAATTTCTACGAGGTACGGCGGCGCTAGTCCTGATTGGGTAATTTTGCACTTCACCGATATAGAATGTGAGAGAACAGTGAAAGAAGAGTGATGGAAACGGCGATAGACACGATAGTAACTAGTAGAGTATTCTAGTTCATAACGACCGAGAAGAGGGTATCAAGATATTTGATAGGAGATGCGTATTATGATGAGTTGAAATGGAAACAGATAAGTGCGTAAGAACATAAGAAAATTGACTCCCTGTAGAGAACGCCGTTGTAATATACCCTGCGTAGTCTAGTTATGCCCGCCGAACCAGCCCACAGAATAGTAACTCAGGCCGGAAGGCCCCCAAGTTTGCGCCATCCATAACGCCAGCCCGCCAACAATGCCAACACCACCCAGCACTTGAACCAGCACCCATCCTCGTCGTGAGATATCATCTCCAAGTTTTAGTATCCCCAGAGGGTCGGCCGCGTTCACCTTCCCGGCGGCAACTCGATACTCAAACCGTCGGCCGTCCTGCGTCCGCACACAAAGATTCCTTTTATCTCCAGGTCTATCCTTGTTGTTCTCAAAACCAGGGAAGCCTGGTGTCTGAGATAAAGGCACCAAGGTTCCGTCAATCACACACTCTCCAAGTTTCTCTGTCAGCCATACGGCTCTTTCATCCCGCCCTAGCTGTTCATAGCGGTATCTTTCGTTTTGCAAGCTTTGTTGGAGGTCAGAAGCCCATTTTGCAAGTCGCATCTGAGCAAACTGTTCTTCACGTCTGGCGTGTTCCGACACCCGTGCAAGCGTATATTCAGACAACCCTACCATATCACCACGTGGGGCAAGTACGTGTGATGCGGATGCTGATACTAATGCAGGCGTAGACGGTAAGGAAGGCGTGAGGTGCGAGTCAGCGAGGGAAGAAACACCGTTCGATGGCCTGGGTAGAAAGCTTGAGGGTGTACGGGTCCGAAGCCGCTGGGCTTCTGTCAGCTTCTTAGCCGCAGAGTACCGGAACCAGCTAATATTATCTCTGTCGAAGAGTTTCTCCAAAACGAATCGTAGGTCTGAAGATGCCAGTGGCTGTACATATTCGGGACTCATGAGGATGCTTGCATCCATAGTTTCATCGTCATTAGTATTTGCAGAAGAAACCTCAAAAGGAATGCTCGGGCTTGACACGTTAGTATTAATCAAAGCTTCACCAAACGGACCAAAGCAAGATAGTTTGAGGTCCGCGTCACGCACTCGCTCTGCGAAGGATCTCTTTATTGTTTGGATTTCATCAGAGGTAAGATTGTCAGATTTGGCGATTAATGGAACGACTGTCGAAAAGTTGGACAGCTTTTGAATGCTGCGGATATCGGCAGTCATAGTTTCTATGTCCGGGTTAGCTCCTCGCTTAGAGAATGATTAAACCCGTGGATATAAAGCCTACTTTCAGATATCAGATATAATATGACATCTACCTGCGGTCCTCCATTTCCGCTAAGTAGTCCCTGGAAATCTGCAGTTACTGACCGCACAGCAGACATTGCCCGTGCGAATTGCTTGTTCATATATTGAACTATGACTTCGGTCTGTTGATCGGCACTTTTTGAACCTGCAAAGGTGTCGACGAAGCATAGATTCCTTTCCAAAATAACATCTCCCGTGCTCTTTCTTCGCCTGAGCACGCGCGAATCATCCATATCCGACCACCAAGACGGGTATGGCTTTGTACTAGCATATATTTCGGAGATTGGCTCACATTCTCTAGTACGTCGAGGCTTGCCTGATGTTTTTCTTCGAGATTTCACCATGGCAGAAGGTGAATGTGGTAATGGGTCTATATGCACAATATCTTCGAACACTTGGGCAATGGATTTGAGTAATGAAGTCTTTCCGCAACCTATCGTGATTTGGTTGGTGTTAAGGCACAGTACTAATAAAAAACCAATTTGGAGTAAACATACCTGGTGCCCCCGCAAGGAGGAACTTCAGTCTTCCCATAGCCTTCCCCCTTTCTGTAAAAGGGCGTCGACTTGGCATTTTGATGCTGGGCATCACCAACTGCGAAGAGCTGTCCGGTAATTCAGAGGACTCGACTAGACTGTCTTCTATCTCACCCCCATTTTGATAGCTAATTTCATCCACAGCAGACATATCATCAACATGCCTAAATGACCGTGTCGAAGTGGACTTCGGGCTACTCGGTAAAGACACTGGTTCACCCGGCGAGCCGATAAAAGAAGGGGCTCCAGACAGCGGAATACCAATATCGGACAAAGGATACTTTATGGAGTCTTCAGCCTTCTCCCCGTGTAAGTTTTGTGCAGTATCTCTCGTGGTGGCTGATAATAATGAGGTATCAATATCAGTCCCCGTAGTCGCGTGTACATCGTGGAAGGGAGGCAACGGCCCGCTGATCCCATCATCAATCGTGTCTGCTAAGCTCTGTACTCCATAAGTACTGTCATTTGGGGTTCCTGGAGCACTGGACTCAGACCCATCCATGTCATCTCCTCGAGCAAGGAAGAATGCCGTGGGAGCTGCGCTGCTAAGTTCGCTGGATGGTGTAGTTTGTGTTATGTTGGGTGAGGTGGTTTTGCGGGGGCGTTCCCGCACTAAATCCGCGGCAGCAGGGCGCATGTTTGTTGACAAGACTTGGTATAACCGAGTGATATGTGCATGGCAAGAAACGTCTCACTAAGAACTATATAACAACAAAACGCCAGCACCGTTGCATCTGGTCTTTCCTTCGTAGTCCTTCACAGCACGATGTGACCGACTCGGTTGATTGATTGTGGTGATGCAACAACTATGGATGAACTTTGTGGCCAGACCGAGAACCCCGTGACTTGGGGTTTGCTGACGTTTCCGTCATATCCACTAGTCCTTTTCTGGCTAGCAGTTCGCAGGATCCACTTTTACCTGACATCAAAGCTTGGCGGTTTAATTTATTACGTAATCTATAAAAGACTTGACAACAACTTTATCTCATCAACCTTTATTCTGATATCAAAAGATCAGATGAGACCCATTGGGACATGGAAAGAAGAGCTAAGAGGAAGGAAGTTATAGGTTCTAGACAGAGTCTATACTACAAAATACCAAGCACACCTCCTATCGCCGGCAAGAGAACAAAGAGACTGATATGGCTGCCTTTGTTTGGGCTGGTAAAAGCAAGGCGCAAGGCTGATTAGTTAAATGGCTTTTGTCCTCCATACTAGAAGACTTACTCCCTTAAATGATTTCAGATAATACCCGCATCATATTTTGCGGTTTTGACCAGCTATGCGCAATACCGCTCGATGCATCGGTTAGAGCAGCAGTCGGGGTCGTCAAAACAGAGACCTATTACCACAGTAGAGAAAAAAGTTGTCAACCCTCTTGCGAGTAATGATAGGTGGAATACATAACTCACGTTTCTTTGGGATACACCCCAGCACAGTTGCTGACGCTACTGAAGAGAAGATAAAGATGATAGTGGTTAATATGAGAGAGAGCTTCATGGTGTCGATGCGAGTATTAACCACAGTCGGCCAGAGTTGTCAGTTGAGATAATATTGTGGCAGTAGTCAAAGTATTTGCTTCAAGAAACGGTGGATATTTATACCCTTTCTCTTTGATGCATTACGTATCTCCACGGGATCCTCTGACGGAGGTGGATGCGAGGACTAGTTACATCCGTGCCAATCATGTGGTAGAAATAGCAGGCAGGTTTGATTGTTCAGTTCAAAGAGGCTAATATTATTGCGGTATATATGCGCCCGTTTACGGAATCACTGCAGGTCAATCACACTTTAATCAATTATCCTAGTCTGTTCAACACTGAGAATATATACCCATAAAAAAGAATCAAAGAAGTAAGAAAATGAATGGGCACAGCAGGGCACTGATAACATCCCTTGGCTATAACTATTAAAAGTCTATAATGCATCTTATAACAGCAACAGATGCTGTGATTCATCTTTTTATGATGTTTATCACAGATAAGAATTTGGTCCGCGAAACAGTAGTTCGTTTTTTAGCTTCGGCGCCCGTTTCAAGAGGAACCGTTTAAAAATGCCGCTTCAGGTTTATATATACCAGCTCCCCCACATCTTTGCGCTCTCCAACTCATATTAACCATATATCACCTTTTTCTAGGTCAAGGTTGGGTGACAGAATGTAACATTTTCAGGCCGTTTACCCTTCATCTCATTTCACTTTATACCAGGGCATTTTCTTCCGATATATTATTTAATCGCTATTCAAAGGAAATCTCTTGGCTCTGAGAACTGTGGCTTGCCTGCAAGTATTTAATGCTTGATACTTAACTCTGCATAAGCAACCTCTTCTATATTTTGACTCTAAGAATAAATAGTCTAGCCGTCAGGTTATGTAGCTCGGACTACGCCGACTTATGCCGTACCAGTATATTTATCAATAGTTTCGAGACATTCTGTGGTACACAATTGTAGCCCAGTTTTAGTACCGGTGATACCAGTTTATAGTCTCTTAACTGTTTGTTCCTCCCACGACGTAGATCTATGGCCTGGAGCGTTATACCTCCGTAAAACCGCACTGTTACGTTGTCCGGGAAAAGTTGCGGATGGTATGCATATTGTCAAACGCAAGCGGTAGGTTTATGATGGGCGAGCTTTGCCGTGGCCAGAGGCTCTCTCCCACAGCAGTTTCTCGAGTTGCGTTAAAGTAAAATTTAACTATCAACTGAGTCGGCTATAGTTGCCAAGTGAAGGGAGATAACAACAGCTTATGCTGTTCCTGTTCCCAATATTCAAATGGTGCTTTCCGTTTATTGTTCTTGAAAGCGTGAGCCGGTATCTGGGTGATCTTAGTATATATAAAAGCAAGTAGCACCGTTATAACATGGTATATTTAAATCATTAGAGTGCACTGGATCGCCTTTAGCGGTTGTAGCCCTCGGCCGTTCGTATCGCATGTGAGCCATGAAACTCGCAGAGTAAAGGGATATCATCAACTCTGACTTTCTCTTTTCTTATGCCAGGTGATATACATGAGCTCACTCATGTAGCATAATTCTTTATGCAGGTGGGCCGAGTTGGGCAGAAATTTTCAGCTAACCACCCTGAAAAAGCGACATAGGTTGTCGCACCCTTGTTGTTGTCTAGACTGCTTATTCATTTCACAAGTAGTTTGTTAAGAGGTGTATAACTTCCGGGTCGGTATCCTCATAGGAAGCCTAGACCTCTGATATTCGGCACCAATGTATATGTTGAATATATCCTAGTAGCGGAAACTGGAACTCATACACAAGTTCTTACAGGGAAGAAAATCAGGCAGCCACAGGGCTTCAGGCCATTAATGGAATTTAGTCTGCGCCTCTGGTATAATTTCTTATGTTGAGAGGACGGCGATGGTGAAGGGTAGCAAAAAGCCATCCTTAAAGGCTGCTCTTAGTAGTACCAGGCGCTGGCTGTTTGCAATGACCGCTCTATGTTGGTTTTCCCAGGTAGATCGGCCATGTTGGCTTCCTATGCACGAAAGCCCAAGCAGAGATATATATTTTGAATTAAACTGGCGAGTGGCCAAAGTAATATGTAGATAGCTTCCATGCATTTTGGAATACAACTAGATCTAGCCCAGACAGGGCTAAACCTCCGATAGTGTTGATACTAAAGGTGATTTTCCATGTGCATGTATGTATGTATCCACGGTTCGAGTAATATCCTTGCAATATCTCGGGCGTAGTGGAGAGCTAGATATATATATAAGAGGTATTATAGAATATTCATGTATCTCCGGTTTTCTCGCTCCCATCGCTCGTAATCTCCCGAATGACATTGCGGAAATCCAGGTGGTCCGAATATTAGAAAACCCAGCCTGGAAAGAATGATATTCCTACTTTACAGAAGTTAGTCTCTTGAATAGTTCCCTGGTCCGGCGATATGAGGAATTGGCATTTTCTTTTTTTTTTTTTTTCAACAGCTGCTAGCATCATCAACACAGGTATGTACGGAGTACTCCGTCCAGCAACCAAAACTCTGTTAGGTCCACATCGACTAGTGTTATGGAAACCAGCTTACACAGTAGCTCGCGGTGCCAGTCCGAAGGCCACCGGAAATACTAAACAGATCCGATCCACTTTCAAATTCCGAAGGTGTGTCTTCCCGCGGAATCAGTGGGAATTTTCCGGGTTGAGAGAAGGAAAAGAGACGGAGTCCTCCGTTTCTTCTCTCCTGTGCTCCAAGGTATATGCAAGATACCAAAACTCGGGGGTAGCAAACGGGGTTAGCTATCTTGATATCGCCGCTGCTTCGTCTTCCCAAGTCCAAACATTCTCCAAACATAATCCAGCGCGTACCGTGCTGGGAGCCGATGAAAAATATACGACTCTTCGCTGATAATTATTTGAAGAAATAAGCATTCAAAACGAGTCCTATCGGTAATGCGGAACTGCGGCATCCCTGACACCTCGTATATAATTGCGCAATTACATAGTACTTCTTTTTTTTCTTTTTTATTGATAACTCTGGAAGCTGGCGTGCCAAGTGCCTTTGATCATTTTTAATATGGGGAGGTTTTATCCATCTCTCCCGCCTGGTGGATGATTGGTGGGCTTAATGACAAGCAAAAAAAAAAAAAAAAAAAAAAAAGAAAAGAAAACGAATATATATTAAGTTAAGAATGCAGAATGCGATCTAATAATAGCCAAGGAAAATGACATGGAGTATAAACACAGTTGATTTTTCCTGATAAATGACCTTGGATGTAAATTTTTGCTTGCATTGTGAAGATTTCTATAGACGCGGAAATGTTGCAAGCGATGTCTCCAGGGGTAGAATAAGAAATGTCTCTTTATCTCGTAGTTAGTTACAGGGGGATCTGTATTGTTTTCCCCAATTAAATAGTGAGATATACGGCAAGCCACATTGGCTGGTTGATGAAAATTAGGCCGTTGTTTCGCTGGCTGGTACCAAGTACTCTAAAGATGGATGCTTAATTTCTTCTCCCAACTATAAGCCCTGAAATGTGATATTTCTTCCTGGAGATCAGTGTTTATTCTCTAGTGTATATGTATCATATTGAGGAGGCACCAGCAAGGTCCAATAGTACTCTGTGAATGACAGTATAGTGTTAGCTAGTTTACCAGCCCTGACGATCATATATGCCAAACCAGGAACCCCAGGTCTCTTCGAGCCGCAACGATCACATATGTACCCGGCGCGTGGAGGAGGCTGAGATTGCAGAATTGACCAACCAGAGCGGCTGTCAGGGGAACTTGTCACGATGCAGAGCGTTGATTAGAGATTATCGCGTCTAACCCCGCGGAGATATCTGAAGATGACCTATTTCGTTGCGCACCATTGTGTCGGGATTTCAATATCAACGTTATGTTTTATCTTTTTTCTTTTTTGTATGTTATAACGGTCTCCAGTGGCTGCCCACTCTCCTCCGATTGCCCTGTCTGAAAGTGGACTGTACGAGGTATGAATGATATGAATAGCCATTCAAGACCGTTGATGAGTAAGGTAGTGGATGAGAATCACACTATCAACTATGGTACACAGGGTGGCCATTACTATAGTTTGTTTATCAAGGTGGTCATTCTTAAATTTTCCGAATGAAAAGCCACTCCCTCCCGATTGTATCCGTAAATTTCCCTGGCATGATATAAAAATGGGCTGAAATATTAGCCGCGAGTCTATGCATTTGGCTTCCTATCAAGTTCCCAAAGCCATAGTCTCGGTGCACCAGGTGATCGCAGCGTAAGCCATCCCCACCACGAGTATAACTTTTGAAAAAAAACGAGTCAGGAAGGGCGTCCAATTGCATATATCAGGCCTTGATTTGGTAGAATCAGAAAAACTGGTCGCTATATTCGAATAGATAAGGCACATTTAGGCCACCATCCGGGTTGAGGCTGCCGGAATTGCCTTGATGCTCTTTCTATGGCGTATTGGTCCCGGGGGGGCACATTGTAGATCCCGACGTAGTGGCGTACACGACATTGCTCAGGTATGAACGAGATTACCTATTGAATATAAACACCCTAAGTGCAGCAGGTTTGCGGCTATCGCGACAGTTATTCCAGATGTCTAACGACCCAAGGCTGCATAGTAGATTCACCACCTTGACGTCATTTTGTCATTTTGATTTGGGCTAAGGTAAAAAATGCATATAGTTACATCGTATATTTATATACGATATCTTCATGCAACGCGGACGCAGCTTGAAATTTGCAATGTGAAATAAGAACCTACCAGCAGGTAATTGATGTTGGGGGGGGGGAAAAAAGGAAAAGGAAAAATATGCGACGATACCTTGTGGTTGAGCAGCAAATCGATCAACGTGATCCGCGGAGTTAGGAAGAGCAACATCAAGATTGAACCAACTTTGCTTTTCAGCACACCTGTGCCTAATCACAATGTCTCTATCTGATGATCTCCTTGACCTTCTAATCCTGCATTGTGGCGCCGTACTAGAGGCGTTGGTATCCAAAGTTTCGGTTCGCGGGTCTACGGCAGGGGAGATATGTACTCTAGTAGAATACCGCCCCTCCCATAATGGTTGGGATGTTTATATATGACAGAGCAACAGAGGCGGTTTCGAGTGATAGTCGACATATCATAAAGCATGAACAAGCTGTCAAAATCATACTTTGTGGCGAATGGCCTTGACGTTTCTGTATGATAATCTGGAGGTAGCGAACCGGCCTGACAAGAGTGTCTCCATTGTATACATATATATTTGGGTTATCGCGGTTTGTTATCGCTTGGGCTTGCGCAAACCAGGTGGCCATAGCTTCGGGAGGCAAAAAAGCAAGGAAAGGTCCCTGCTGCTAGGATAAAAGCAGATGGTCCTTCCCAAGGCACCCTTTCGACATTTGAGACACGCAGGTTTAGTCTTTTAAGCATGATTGTTGTGGGGCAAACTTCTCGGAGCAGGAGGAACTAGTGACCTGCAGGGCCACTGGGAAGGGCTCTCGATGCAAGGAATGGTGGGTTCCGGAAGCTGCACCCTGCATTTCCGCCGCGAGGGGCGGCCTCATGAGGGCAAAGAGAGCCAAGTCCGAGGTAAGCGCCACCAAGAAGCCTTGCGAGTTGGACCAAGGATTCCAAGTGTCATAAAAGTCCAGACGAACTTGTCCTTGTGTACCCATGTAAGGAAAAATAAAATAAGAAAAACAGCGTTTTCTGTCTAGCTCTTCCCACGTTTCATGCATATATTGTGGGGTGCAGTCCTGGTAAAATAAGTCTATATTATTTTTGTCTGGCGGAAGACCAAAAAAAAAAAAAACTGGTTAAGTGTTATTCGTGCCTGAGACGGGTGGAAAGTAAACCTTGTCGGGCTCTGTTGCAACGACTGTGTGTGGGAGTCCTTGGTCCGACGTCAGCTTTCTCTGCAGAATATCGACGACGACGGTGTTGACCTACCTCACTCTGTAGACGAGCCTCGAGAGCCTCGACAAGGCAGACTGAGCAGTTCATCTGCTGTTCGTCCTGCATCTTCGCATCTTCTGCTGCGAAATCCTTGAGATGTCGTTGCTTTTTCCTTCTTCGGCTAGGCCCAATCGGGAAATTGACTGGGCTCTGCCATGTGACTTGCCCATCGCAGTCTAGCGCCCTAGCCGGGGTTTGTATCTTTAAGTATCTTTGCATATAAAAAGCGCGTGAGGATACATAAAGATACTTGCAGGTGTAAGCTTAGCTAATTTGCAGTTCCCCCTCGCCTATTGTCGCCCGTTTCTTCGTCCAAGGGCCTTTTTTTTTTTCTTCTTTTCGTCCATCGATGGGCCTGCGACTTCTGCATAATCCAATATCTCGCCTTTCTCTCGCCTGTTCGTTCTCTCGCATTCCTCTTCTCTGTCGTGTGCTCACCGCTGTGGTCATTGGAAACACATCGAACAAACGCCTTTTCCGCACAGGAACGGTCGCCGGAAAGCTGCTGTTACTTAACTATCCTCCCCCCGCAGACGAACCGCAGCGGAAGAACGAAGCCCCTCCATCTACCTGTGTCCGAAAGCATTCGACCCCTACGAGGCGCGCGCCTTGCCTCGATATATATATATATACATTATTACTATTCTCAGTTGCATCGCATGAAGGTCGACTGACTGATTAGTTAAAGAGACGAAAGTGTTCGAGGATGAATCAAGACCCGTCTCTGCCATCATGGCCGGACCATGTTTCTGATGAGACCGCAGCAGCCATGATCCCTACCACGACAGATGACTACACCAGCCTGCTCGATTTCAATTTTGACCTGGCCGAATTCGATAGCGGCAGTTCCGGTGATCGCCAGAACCAGAATATATGCACCACTGCGCCGCCGCTTGTCTCCACGACCGGAATGCAGGATATCAGCGGATTGACCTCGATGGAACATACCAGCACCAGCCAGCCGCTACAGGAACAGCAACAACAGCATTATCCTGCCTCCGTCACAATGCCAGGCAGCGAGCCGGTCACTCCAATGGACATGCAGGGTCCTAATCCGATGCAGTCTCAACCACACTACTACATGAAACAGCAGCAATCACAGAACGCTTACGGCACAGGCTACGGACAACGCCAGTCCTTTGTTCCGCCCACTCCGGATAGCGCTGATATGCACAACGGATCACAAAACTACAGCCTTCGACTCGAAACCGGACACCAGCGAGGCTACGAACCATTTACAAGAGGAATGGAGGACCAGGTACGTGTTTATTTTTCTCTTCTTCCTTTTTTCCACTCTTTTGGGTCAACAAAATATCGCAATACTTTGATTAAGCCGCTAACCTGATGATTAGAGCTCATTTACTCCGCTCATCTCGCCAGCCATGACCCCATTGGAACATCAACTAAGATTCCCTGAATACACGACTCCGGGAGAGTATCTTAGCCCGCTTACGTCTCCAGCTCTGGAGGCACGACAATCCAACGGCGCTGGCTTCAACTTCCCCAATGGCTCGCACATGGACTACAGCGCTATGCTATCATCGCCAACTGAAATAGGGCATCATCCTGCAACTTCCAGCGCATTAACAAATTCGCCAAAACTTATCCAGAAACAACGACGCAAATCTCAGGCCTCCAGACTATCACGACAGTCTCCCTCTGTTAGGCCCCTCAATGGACGGTCACGACCACAGACCGAAGCTGAAGCTCGTGCGCGAGCGAAAAAGCTCTCCGCCCAGGCCGCTGCCAACAGGACCTCAAATTCACGCAACTCCAGCAGCAATGAAGGATCTGGCCTAGATTCCGTTTCGCCTGAGCCACTTACGGAGCCATTGATGCCACCGCCCGCATTACCCAGATCTGGAAAGTCACCGTATATGGGCGCACAGGATCAAACCACATCGATGAACGAAGTAGCCACTCCAGCCACTCTAATGAAGCTACAGAAACAGCAAATCTCTCCTGGGATGGATGGAGAGTTCTCCAGAAACGGTACTGTCATCGTTGGGTCGGCTCCTGAGGAACAGATGGAGGATATATCGCTCCCAGAATCAGCCTCGTTTCACACAATGCCAAGTGGCGAGAGCACACCAACACTACACGCCAAACCCTCACAGATACTTAAACCGCGCATCGAATCGATATCGGAACTAAAAGGAGCAACCTCCGTTACCCCAAGCCCGATAATAAAAGCAAAAGGTTCTCCCAGCGGCCCGGTTGGCCTAAAACGATCCGACTCCAAACAAAGTTCTAGAGTGACAAAGAAACGCCAGGGAATGAGCGCTGCTCAGAGCCCGGCATTGAGACCAAAAATAAGTCCTAGCATACAGCCTCTCATTCGTGCCGATGGTACTATTCCTTTCCCTTTCCCTTCTTATTATTTTACATGTCTATTTAGATTTAATACTTATACTTTCCAACAGGTGTATCTAGTGAAATCTCCGCTCTACATCTTGCCTCAAAATCAAACTACCAGCATATCCTTGAAGGTACTCTCCTACCGGGAGTAACGTACCCAGAAGCTCTTGCCGAAAATTTAAGCTCGAAACGAACAAATCACAAACTTGCCGAACAAGGGCGCCGAAATCGCATAAATTCCGCCCTTAAGGAGATCGAAAGCCTGCTGCCGATTTCATTGACACATAGAGCCAAAGAAAAGGAACAAAATAAGGACTTTGCTGATGGTGGCTCGACTGGGAATTCTAAGATCCCCGATAAACCTCCGACGAACCAGCCCATCAGCAAAGCAAGCACCGTCGAAATGGCCATTGTTTATATCAAAGCCTTGCAGCAAGAGCTGGCAGAAACAAAGGCTAAACTGCAATTAGCAGAATCGAAATTCTGCAATATCTCTCCTGACCTGGCCCCTGCACCTATTCCCGTCTCTGCCTCTAGCTCCGAGCCGAACCCTGTGAAGACACCTAAGGCCCAAGGCGAGAACCAAGATACCATCATAAACGAAAACCCCACCCCAGGCGCAGCTCCTATAACCGCTGTAACTGATACCACCCCAGAATCGAAATAAATCGAATGCCAAAATCCAGGGATAGGACCTTTTTTTTTTTTATCTTCATATCAGCATCCGCTTCCGAGGTAGTTCGACTTCTTGACTTTTTAATTTTCCGTCTAGTATCCCCATTAATGTGACCTGCGACCTCTTCTTTAAAATGATAAGAATTTTATTTATAGCCCAAGGGATATGGATATATTTCTTCTATTCATTTTTTCCATCTATGCTATGCCCAATGTTTTGCTTCTTTTTTTTTTTTCGTTCTTTACCCTCCGCGACGTCACTTTTTTTCATTTCCGGCTTCTTCTGTAAATATATATGTCTCAGTTCCACGCTTCAGGCTAGGGTCATGGTCTTTTCATGCAAGATCCCAGGACTTAGGACCTCTCTGGCAAGTGGCAGGTGGCAATGAACTTTTTCGTTCATCTTTTTTCCCCTTTAATCTGGTGGTGGAATGGTGCATACTTTGGTTTTTTTTTGCAGGAATTTTTTATACATATCTTTTGAATTTTACGGCTTTCCTTTTTTTTTCTGTCAGGTTTTCTTCTTTTTACGCCTTTTTCTTGATTATTATCTATGGTGGGGTTGAGCGGCTGTCTGATAAAAATTACATATTTATGCGTTGACCTAGTTTTAATTTGATGTGTTGATTTTCATGCACATTATCGATTTATTCGTGCCTAAATCTGTGTAGATGTATCTACAAGACTATAGCTATTTCGTTATTGATTGAAATATTCTATGCCCATTTCATGTGTGCGTATCTACTACCACTTTGTCTAGCATGCCAAAACACATATATAGTTACCCACGTCGATGGCGGTGGCAAACCAATAGCTTCGATATAGCCCGATATTCTCGACCGTCTCTACGGGGGGGATGAACCTTAGATGTGAGCCGGATCTATCCAGAGAGTACGTTATCTTCGCACATCGAACCCGGATGATAATAAGCAGAGTCAGAAACAGATAGACGAATATTCAACTCACCCAACAGAATGGCCACCCATTCTGTCGCCTCCCCATAGGCCACTTGTCCCTTTATACAAGCAGTCACGATGCACTTTCGGCTTATCTAACTTTTGCTATCAACTTCCGCTGAGCACGATTTCACCATTAGAGGATAGGGATTATCCCTGTATAAGCTCATGCATCTCGATCTCAGTTTTTCACTTCCTCTGCTGTTTCTTTTGGATGTATCATAAGTAACATCTGTTGCTCTTATGGGCGCACATATCAGAGTCTTATCAATATATTGTTCATGGGAATCATGTTTATTTCCAGTTTCTCTTAAGTGGAATACGATACTTAGCTGCCACAGGTGCATGGGTATAGAAAGCTTGAGAGGAGTTTGGAGTCTCTAGGATAGTATTACCTCTCGAAAGGCTCAGTGGCAGGATAACCAAGATATGATGTGTCGCTCCAATGAGATAGCCGTTGTCCGCTATTGTAACAGTAGAGTACCTTGTTGAGGTTGGCCAAGAGAAAGTGATATGCAACCGAACTTGATAGAATAGTCCAATCATTGTTGGGATCTCTGTGAAGGCTCAGGCTTGAAAGACGGAAGCAGAAAGAGCTAAAGGCCGTATCCCACGAAATGACACTCAGACAGACCGTACTAATTGAGTTGACTTAGGCTGAGAAACAATCTTTAACTGGGTTTGTCCCAAGGTCCTGGCTAAGCGAATATCCCTGTATGCAAAATATTCGTGTCTGGATCCATAATATAGCTTCTGCCGGGCTGCCTGTGCTTGATATAGCTTCACATTTTGAGCCCATGATCGAGAGATATCGATATCGATAGGTTCGGATCTTATTAGTAGGGTCTTGAGAGATGCTAATACTCTAGATCCCTAAACCAAGCAACAAAAATCATGTGTTAATGAAGCTCTCCGGTATGCTTATATCGAAGGCATATGGTGCAACCTGTAAAGCCCTGATATGTTCAGTCCTATCCAGCGGAGGGCTGAGATTCGGAGAGATTTTATCAAAGGAAACATAATCAATAATCAGTAATAATGACTTCCTCTGCTTGGGCAGCGAAGATGATGGTATATGGAATCATATACCTAACTATGAAAGATCCTTGTAGTTGCCAAAAAATAAAGCATCATAAAAAGTGCATGGCCCAATTTGTCATGTCAATTTGTGCAGATTGTAGCTTGTTTTCCTCGAGCACAGGATGGATGGGTTGGGGCTCTTGATATGTTCAAGAATACTGAAACAGTCAATCGGTACAAGGTTGGATATGGCCAAGGGTGAACGAGAGCTCAGATCAACATTTTGAAAGCGCCGCCAGGTCAAGTTGCTTTGTGAAACGCCGGACATGTGATGGATATGTAGTGAAAATACCGACCTGCCGATGAACCAAGCGTATAACATTTTGCTATCCCGGAGACATATTTTCAGCATGGATCAAAGTATCGGGATGTTTTGAATCGTATAGAATTGCGAGGCGATCACTCCATATTTGAGACAACGTATATTGCGGTCAAAGTTGACATGTATCTAAATTTTTCCGTCAAGCGGGCAGAACAAGGTAACATGGATGCCTGTGAAAATGATGACCCATTGTTATCGCTGCATAGAAGCTGAATATGATTATTTAAGACGGTTCTATAGGAGCCGGTAGGTAGAATAGCCTACGGGTTTTTTTTGAATTGGCTAGCGGGTGCCCATGTTGCGGATAGATTTGTAATACTTCCAGGCTGAACTGTCCATGTGGGTGGTATCATATCCAGCCATTGCTGTTGAACATAATACGGAGATCTTAAGTTAGGCTTGGTAATCTGTAGAGTTATATAGACCGGCACAGCTGCCAGTGCCGGACTAACAACGTGATCAATATATCAATATCCTCATAGAAGTAATTCGACTAGAGAGAAAACAGCTCATGAGTATGGTATATGAGGGTTTGGGCACTAACGTTTTGAAACGATAGCTCGTGAAGCACGGAGAGGCGAAGTGACAATCACAGATAGCTGATGTGCTCGAACGTTACCCAAGTATGACGAGAGCTGGAATCGTTGCTTCTAAGTCGGGACTTCCAATAATACGCAGAGCAATGTTCAATTGGTCGATATAGTTCATATATTAGTTAACAGCTAGCAGTAATAGTAGTTCAAGGTTGTAGCTCAGAGACGCCGTGACAAGCCATAATAGGTGATATGATGTGAATACCATTTCAAGCATGTGTCAAGCGTAAGGCTGAAACAGTTCAGGCGTCCTCTTCATCCCACAGGTGGTGGATATGCGACTAAATTTTTTTGGTTTTGCACTCTAGAGATTGACGGTGGCCGCCAAGTGGAGGTATACGGGGCTCGATGGCAGACTGTGAAGCCATGGGGATCGGCTAGTATCCCTCTTCTGGTATAAAATTCACTCGTTGAACGATGGCTTGAATGGCTCTGGATTGTATATATTGGGAAGAGTAGAAAGTCAGGATGGGAAGTCAGTCAGGAACGTTGAATTTTGGTTACGGGGAACTACTTGGTGCTCCGTCTTGGCAGGAGCTTGGCGTCAATCATGTTACGCAACGAACAGTGAGGCCTCAAACAACATTGAGGTTTGGATGTGAGTTGCATGCCTGGCAATACCAAAGCTGGTTCACTTGGCCAGCATACCTGGTAAGTTCATTGATCTATATTAATTTGCTCAGTAAAGACTAAGTTCTCATAGTAGGCTGCAAACTAATGCAGCACGCTATTTTAGAGGAATTCTGTGATGCTACACGTTGGTCATCACAGGTTCATTTCTCTTTTTCATTGCTGGTTCAACTGCCAATATAAAAAGAGATGACTGGCTGCCAGCACCAGAACTGAAATTGTGGATGATAGCGCTGCCATTGCTACCGTAATATTTGTAAAATGAGGAGAGCCTTTATCTACCAAAAGCACCATAACGTGCTAACGTTTCCACCATGGGGCACCTATGCCGCTTGAGTGCTGCCTGGAGCGCTTGATCAAGGCACGTCTGCCACCGAAGTGATTTCGCTTTCTTCTCTTCCATACTTCTCTGTAACAATAACTCCAGTATTGGTACACTGTCGTTAATGACTGCCAGCTCTATCAAGTTGGGATAATCTGAGGATATATTTGCCCCATAACTGTCCAACGGAAAAGCGAGTAGTGCATGGTTATGGGATTCAATAGCTGCTCTAAAGACGGGTTTCGGAGAGTTGATAGGTATTCTCAAGACGCTGTCCCGAGTAAGTAGATATTCCATAAACTCCACAACATCCTGACCATATGGTTTGACGAATTCCCACGCGGTATGGATGTTACCCAATTTCGCGCCGATTTTAACAGTGATAAGGAGTAAAGCAATTGGGATACGGTCACCACTACCGGGAACTGACTTTTTTGCTAGGTCTAAGCGAATAGGTCCAGTGTTATTTGAGTTTAGAACCAACTCAGCGACCTTGAAATGCCTTCGAGATGCCGTTTCGATAAAAGCATTAGGAAAATGCCGGCTAGAGCAATTCGCTCCGGCCTCTAGCAATATTCTAACCGTTGATTCATGGCCTCGGGCCATAGCAGCATGGATTGGTAGGTCGCGGTGAAATGGTAAAACACAGTGCCCGACGTCCGCTCCGTCAAGTAGCAATCGCCTCACTAGCTCATCTTCCCCTGTGGATGATGCTGCATATAGGGCTGCATGGTCGCTATGGACGCCATTTCGGAATAGAGTCTTCACAATATTGCTATTACCACCTAAACCTGCCCCCATAATGGGAGAAAAGATAGTGTTTTGGTAGGCGAGGACGTTTGCCCCATGACCTATCAATTTATTTACCATGCCTTCATGTCCACCAGCAGCAGCGAAGTAAAGAGCTGGAGCTCCCACATTATCAGTTGAGTTGACGTCGAGCTCTTCGAAGAATAGGTCAAACATTGCCTCGTTCCCCCTTTTAATGGACGCTATTAATGCATTTCCATGTCGTGTAGGCTTTTGGTGGACATTCGCCCCATATTCGAGCAGTAATTTGACCGTTTCCGCATCATTAGACTCAATTGCATAGGTCAACGAGGTATCTGTACCCTTTGGTGCGAAGTTTGGGTCTGCTCCCGCCTGCAAGAGCAGCTTGGCTTCTTCATGATTTCCATGCCGAGCTGCTAATTGAAGTGCTGTTGGTGCTGCAGCCTCGCTGGCAAGCTCTATCGCCATCTTCTTGGTGAAATCTCTCCCGGAAGCCTACTGTTCAGCATTAGCTTTCAGTAGAAGTAATATCTAACGGTTATAAATCTCACTCTGCCGTTGTAAGGAGTTGCTTTAAATCGCTGGCATAACCTTAGGGGACAAGGAAGGTAGCCTGATAGTGAAGACATAAGGAAATGAAGGGAGAGAAGGGGAGAGAAGGGATAAGGCAGAGGAAGGAGGCTTGCCCTTGTCTACTATATATTTTTGATGTTGGCATAGCCTTGTGCATGTCTCCAACCTCGGAGTTGTGCACAACGAATCCTCATCGCTCAATATTTCCAAAATGTTGGGAGCTTTCATGCCATCAGTAAGCATGAAGGATTTTGCGGGGAAATATTCTTACCCATCGTTAGTAAACCATTTATTCCTTCTCGGCAGTCCCGATGCCGTCAAGTGTCTCTCTCGGAGAAGTCCTTAACGTCGTCACTTATCCTTAGGGGGGCCCGGAGTATGTCTAAGGCTTAGCCAGAGGTATGACAATCTTAGCATCTACAGCGACTATTTTTTCCCTTCAACCACTCATATGTCTTTGATGCCAGCAATGAGAGCAACCTAGATCTTAATGCCTACCTAGATCACTATCTGATGCGTCGATCGTATGCACAGCGTCCTACGGCTGGCTAGCTGTGAGCCCTGCCTGAATTTAGCCCTTGGATTATCTTGCTCATAGCACGGATTCCATCTAAAACTGGAAATACTAGGTTATTGATCCTGCGTACAAGATTCTCCACAGTACCAGCTGTGCTCTGAGTTGAAACCAACCGGACGGCTTGCCGGCGTCCTCACCTCGAGAAGATCCGTATATAGTTCGAGAACATAACAGAGGCTCAATAAATATGTAACCACAGATTCATTGCCATCGATGTAGACAATATCAACGGCTGTGTTCAATGGCAGGATGTATGCCACGAAAGTCGTCCGGCGAATGTCGTGGCGACTATGGTGTGTATATGTTTATGGCCCCTTGCATGGCCCAAAGGTGTGAATAGTGCCTCTATATGTAGGAAGGGCGGTTTGACTGAGATATGACTTGTTTTGCAGGCTGTACGTACATTTATATGTGCATTGTGCATTTCTTCCAGAAGATCATAAAGCTGTCTTTTTGATTCTATAACTAATTTCTATTGCTGCGAGCCTGTGCGGAAGAATGAGCCCCGTAAGAAAGCCGCCTTGGTGTGTTTAATACATGACGTATCTCAAACAAAAATATATCTGAGGCGGTCCTTTCTCTCTAATGGAAGTGAAGACAACCCCAGTGTGGTTGTTTTTCAGTCACTTGGTTTGATTCACAGACCTTGACGTGTTATATATAAACCATGAGGAGGCCGAGGGCGCAGTGAATAGTTTTGCTGACTGCCTATTTAATAGTTTCTTCCTACCACATACGCTGCCTCACTCATAATCATGTACATTATGTACAATACGCTGACAATATCATAACGTAGAGAGGTTTGCAGGCTCACGGAGTCCACAGCCAACTCGGGGAATACTGGCTACGCCGTCTGGTGCAGGAAGGCGTTCGCGGAGGCATATTTGAGCCTACTATAGTCGCCAACGGACGACTTTCACCGTGGAACTCTAGAGGAAACTCAGCTAGCAGGTCAAAGGCTTCTGGCAGGCTGACCTAAAACACGTCTATTCCTCAATACCACCATATAAGAATGACAGACAAACCTTCGCCTTCAACATAACGGAAAGCTAGACGGTACCACATATACCATTCAGACATGCGATCATAGAGAGCGATATTTCTCAACTCCAGAGCTCTACTGAGTTTCTTAAAACGGCACATATCATCCCTCATGCCCTCATGTCAACAGACAGAGAGCAACGGTTTGTATGAGCATCAGTCATATATTTAAACACCTCAGTGTCGTTCTAACGTCTTTTTCCCGCACTATAAAGGTGAGACGCCTGAGGCAACAGACCTTGTTAACTCTGTGAGATGAGGAGATGAATGGAAGGATGAGAAGGGAGGCTACCAGGAGCTTGTAGCAAGGCTTGAGAAGGATGTTTTAGAGAGAGCTAATGAAGCCTGCCCTTATTGACTCTGGCATGGTCCACGATATCCAAGGTCTCAGAGTCAATCGTCCGACGGATGCCATCAACCTTACCAAGATGTCCATCAGGACTTTGAGCCAGCCACGGGTATGTGAAGGAACCAGACAGGTCGTGGGTACTGGAAGGGGGAAAATGGCCAACACCTGTATTAGAGGCGCTGCAGAAGAACATACTACCATCGTACCGAGAGACAATGCCCTGGCCATCTCCGCCATCTGGCCTCGTCGAGTGGTTCTAGATATGTGTACTCCGTAGACTATGCTTACTCTGCGTGCGTGTAAACCCAAGTGGTGTCTTTATGAAGTCTCCCTGCGAACTTTCACTAGCCTGTTGCAAGCCCTGGCGTAGTTGGCAGCGCAAAACCCGGGGCCTCGTTTTCGTACGAGGATGCGCGTTCGAGTCGCCGGATTCTCGCAAGTTTTTCCATTAGTTATAAATTCTTCTCACCCCAAAAAAAACCCCCAAAAAGAGAGCAAGGCGCCGGGAAAGCCTCGGACCTGCTGTCGAAACACTGGATACGAAAAGTGCGCCACGGAAAGGAACTGGATGAGAAAAGGACAAACCAGAAAAAGAAAAAAAAAACCCGGCTCCCTGTCAAAATGTCAGGGAATCAGGTCTGGCCAATGATATCTTTGGCCGGGGCAGAAGATTGATTGGGCTCTCCTCACAGAGAGAATAAAACACATCTCTTCGCCGAAAGGGGAGTCAAGTCTTTATATCCATAATATGGGAAAAGGAGCGAGATTCAGGAGTGCCCGAAACAGCCAAACAACGCCGGGGCTTGCACAGGCTTTTTTTTTTTTTCTCTTTCTTTGCTCTTTTGATATCTTTTCTTCCCCTGGCAAGCAGCCTGTACAAGGTACCGAAAATGTAACTAACCACAGGGCGGGAACTCATATTATCTACGCCGGCAAGGAAAGCAATATTAAACAATATCATTTCACCACCCGACCAGAGTCTGTTCAGTTTATAGAGTAAATACACATCAAAGATAATAAACAACACCAAAGTGGAGAGAAGATAGAGGTTGGTCTATTAGTCCTCGAAGAAGTTCAAAATCGCTTTAATCCCTTTCGTTCCCAGGCCATGACGTGGATAGGCGATATAAACAGGCTCTTCATGAGCTCCCAATTTGGCCCTGAATTCAGTTTTTCGTGTCAACTTGAATTGCTTGACGATGGTATCATATGTATGCTGCAGCACTTTCGCCTTGACACTGCTCAAATTGTGACCTGGAATTAAGTGTGGGATAGCACCGCCGCCGAAAGTAAGAGATTTTACACCCGAGCTCGCAGCTGATTGAATAGCGTTGGTGATGATATATTCGATGGAACCGGATGGGGAGCCAGGGAAATCAAGACTGTATTTCACCTGCATGCCATTCCGAGGAGCCAGTTGGGCAAGCGCAACGAACGAACAGATTGTTCCTTCACTGTCGGTGGCATAGAAGTATCGACGATGGGTGTGATCACGCCACGGGGTGATTTCAGAAAGATGGATTTGAGTTCCTTTCCTGTTTTTGCGCCAGTCCTCGATTCGAGCATCTATCTTCTCTCGAATGTCGTTTGGTACGGGTTCGCCGGGGGTAATGGTGTGAATCCTGATACCTTCGTTTTCAGCACGTCGGATCTTACGAGCTATTTCACCATCTGAAGCAGCCCGGTTGCGCTGGGGGTCGACTCGTTCTTCAGCGACACAAGAAAGACTTCGCCAGCCCAGGTGTTCGCCGAGGATTTCTTCGACACTAATAGAGCAAAGAATCCAGATTGGTCTAAGGTTAGTCTCCTTTTTTAGCCATTGGAGGAAAGTTATCACTATGCGGCGGTACTGGGACGCATCGCAGAGTGGATCTCCTGCGATCACTGCATATCCATGAGAAGGGACGTAGGAAACTGCAGCACCTGTGGCATAGTCTCGCCATATTTTATACCGGTCGTCAAGCCAAGAGGTAGACGTTGAGTCGCCATAATTGGCGATAAGGTCCTCCAGTGACTGTAGCTGGCGATTAGGATCAACTGGTAAATTGCGCGTTTTATTTTCATCTTGCCATGGAGGGTTTAGTGTTGATGCTTTAGGGTGACGGAGAGTGACGGGCTGTTCATGGTAAGGGAAACTCTTGGGGTCTCGATGGAAAAGAGATCCCAGTCGAATATTTCCCAACTTGAGAATCAGCATTAGGAGTCTCTCTAGTCCGATTCCAGCGCCGGCATGTGGAGGCGCTCCCCATTTGAATCCTTCCATGTACTCTTCCATGGAAGATGGGTCAATGCCAACTTCTCTCATCCGCTTTTCCAGAAGCTCGGGATTGTGGATACGCTGGCCGCCAGAGACGATCTCCTGTCCTCGAACGAATATATCAAACGACAGTGTGAATCTATCATCATCTGGGTGTGGCATAGCGTAGAAGGGCCGAGCGGATGCTGGGAAACGGTCCAAGATGTAGTAGTCTGTATGGTACTTCGCCTTCACTAGTTCGCCCAGCCTGATCTCATCTCGGGTCCCAAAGTCCTCCGTCTCAGATAATTTATTGCCGTTCTCATCCACCCAGCCAGAGTCATTAAGCATCTTGACACCCTCGACGAATGGTATAATGGGGGTTTTATCAAGCCAAACCAAGTCTTCGGATGGGTAATGGTGCTTGATAATTTCTATCTCTAATCGATATTTCTCATAGATGGACTTGAATATAGACTTGAGTACATGATCAAGAACCTCCAAGGCTTCATGATAATGTTCCTCAATAGCCATCTCAATATCCAATCCGGTATACTCTGTAAGATGTCTATGTGTGTTGGAATTCTCTGCTCTAAAAACCGCGCCAATTTCATAGACTCTCTCGAAATCCGAGGCAATGGCCATCTGTTTTGCGAGTTGTGGGCTCTGGGCCAAAAATGCAGGGCGGCTGAAATAGTTGACGCCAAAGACACTGGCTCCAGACTCTGTCGCGGATGCCTGAAGCTTGGGGGTGTGTATTTCAATGAAGTTATGGGTATCAAGGCATGATCGAAACATGTTAGAAATGGCGGATTGGATCCTGAAGATGGACTGCGATGTATCAGTGCGAAGATCAAGGATTCGGTTGGACAGCCTGGTCCGATCGGGGATCTTCTGGCGTATACCCTCCAGCCGTTCTTCATGGGCACCGGCAAGTTCGGCTTCGTACACGCTGAATGGAATCGGTTCTTCTCTACGCACAATGACATGGAGCTCTTCAATTTCAAACTCAAGGCTATGAATTGTCGTTCCAAAGACCGGTACATCTGGCTTCTTCAGGTGACCTTTCACCCTCAAGATCGAGCCAACTGGTATGCGCTCAGCCCAGTAAATCATGTTCGCCGATCTTAAGTTAGGCGCTGTTTGCAGAACACCTTGTAAGGTATGCAGCTGCTGCCGGAATACAAGGAAAGCAAACTTTGCTCCCATGCGACGAACCACATGAAGACGAGCACGGAAGACGAGTTCCATGCCTTGCATCTCATCCGTGATGGACTCAAACTTAGTGAGATTTTGCCGCGGACGGTCTCGAGACTGCATCATCGGCAAGTCACCATACCGCGCCTTCATCTCGGCAGTGTCATCATCGTTCTCTGAATGGGCGTCGCTGGCCTTTAGATCCGAACGAGTAGTGTCGATTGAGGTATCCCTTGTTTCCGCACTGAGCCTGGACCTGCTCTGCTCCTTTTGCTGGCGTCGTGCCGCGCGCTTCTGCTCATTCTTGCTCGAGGCGCCGCTATTATCGTCGCTATAATCGTCACTGGAGTAGACGTACTCTTTGTCCTGGAGGAAAGAAGCGAGATTTGAGCGGCGGTGGGGTAATAGATCAGATTCCGAGGCGGACTGCTTTATTTTGGATATGGCATCCCTGAGAGCCGACATTTTTGCAGACTGCTCTCGTCGAGGCACAAGTCCCAGGGCCGTAGCGAATTATGCAAACCAGATGTCGGTCTTTGGGCGATATTCTAGGAGACGGACCTGTCGCGGGGTCGTCCGGAAAGGATAGGCAATGAGAGACGGTATAAAAGCGTTTACCCCTGTAACGAGGGTCCAAACTCCTCCGAACGCAAGGGCTGTGTATGGCAAAGACAGATAATCTAAGATGAACGAAGACAAAGAGGGAGAAAGGAGGAGAAGGCGTGCGGGAGCCCTCTATATATAAGACCCTTATAAGACGCAAGAAAAAGCAGCGTCATTCAACAAGGGTGACCTTCTCCTGCCCCCACCACTGATGGAAGAGCTTGGTAATTAATTTAGTTATCAGGGGAACTCCGTACTCCGTTATAGATCTGTGTAAGTTGGGCTAGTTTCCCCGTTGTTGGGTGGGCGCTGAGACAGCCGTTCTTCCAACAGTAACAATAGACCAGGTTGGATATCCCTTGAAGGGCGTTTCCGATATATCCAAACCGTCCCCTCAAGGCTGGCCAGCAGTCCGTACTATGTATTCCGTTATCCTGCAATGGGAAAAGGCCCAGCCATCGTCCCAGGCTTAAGAGTAACCAGCGTAACCTTGCCTCCGAACGGCATCAATCAGGGATATCGAAAGCCGGGAAATCCAGCAAGCTTTACCAGGACCACAAAACGACGTCATATCTTCCGGCGAATCGAGGTCCAGCAAGAAGAAGCGAAGGCCTCGAGAAGCCAAAAAAAAAAAGAAGAGCAGCGAAGAAAGGCGTTCCTGCGTCGTGGTGGCTGAGACCGTAAACCACACAGTCCATGCAGGCCAACTGGACCGTCGGAGGAACAAGGCTGTTGAGTTTCGATCGAGGGCAATGAAACGGAGCATTTAATAGCTTCTGCTCGCCTGCCCGTCTGCTCGTTCTGATGTTGGTCCGGCGTTGGTGGTGTTGGTCTGAACTTGTTCGATGTGTATAAACACGTAAAAAGACCGTCCAAGGCCAGCTCTGGCACGCTCGAGTAGTTTCCTGTCTGTTTCATGGAACCAAAGCCAACGATGGAAAAAGAAGCCCCTAACAAGGTGTGGATGCGGGTGCAGATAGTTATCTTGCGCTTTCTCATGCGTATAGGCATGCTACTCCATGGCTATCCTCCCCCGATACCACCAAGCCCGTCGTTCGTTCGAGCTCTGCCGCGCCTGGGAGAATCCGACTCGCAGCGGGTGAAGCTGTACTTCTACACACCCAAGAAGTACGCTGAGCAGAAACGGGCGGGACACCGGTATCCCGTCGTGGTCAACTTCCACGGCGGAGGCTTCTGCATAGGCAAGGCCACGGACGATGCCCGTTGGGCTCGCGCGGTGGTCGAGTGCGCAGAGATGGTCGTCGTGAGCGTTGGCTATCGTCTGGCCCCAGAAGCTCCTTTTCCAGCTGCGGTCGACGACGGCGTTCGAGCACTGCAGTATCTCGAAGACAGAGCAGAAGAGCTGGCCCTCGATGTGTCGCGGGTCAGCCTGTCTGGTTTCTCGTCTGGTGGGAATCTGGCCTTCACCGTCCCGTTGCGCCGCCATCTGCTCCAGCAGGACTCATCGCGAGCGTCTCCTGCGCCGTCAGCCCTTCTCACTCCCTACGAGATGGCCGGAGACGGAAGCTCGATAAACCTGCATCTGTCTACCTTTGCGCAGCATTCTCAGGGCAGCAGCAGCTTCAGGCCATCCGCTTCACGATCTCAATCAGCTCAGCATCTCCTTCGACAAACAACCACCACCACCACCACCACCACCACCACTACTGTGGCAAACGACAGCGATATCGACAGCAATGAACGGCCACAGCCCTCTGCTTCGTCTCTAAGGATAATATCTATCGTGTCCTGGTACCCCATAGTCGACTACGTCCTCCCTCGTCACATCCGCCGTGACCGGAGTGTCTTCCCTTCCAAAACACTTCCCAAATTCATGACCACGCTATTTGACCACAGCTACATGCCCCATGAAGCTAACCGGCATCTACCGTACGCCTCACCTCTGCTGGCACCCCCTTCGCTACTGGCCGATGCTTTACCCAAGGATATCTTCCTCTACGTCTGCGAGTGGGATATGCTGCTGCATGAAGGACACGAGTTTGTAGATAAGCTCAAGGGCTGCGGAGGAGGCAAGGTTGTCCGTTCGATGATGATAGAATCGCAGAAGCATGCGTGGGATAAATCCGTCAATCCCCTTCGAGATCAAGAAAGTATAGACGTGTTTTACAGGACGGCAGCGCAGCAGTTACGGATTGTTAATGCGCGAGTATAGCCTTATTCTTATCATCTACATGTATTATTATTGTTGTTGCTGTTGTTTCTTCTACCATTGTACATATACGACAATTATGACGGCCTATCAAGACGATGTTAAAGATATAAAAATATATAACTTGTTTCCTATTTTTTTTTTCCTGCGTTTTTATAACTAACAATCTTCTGGAGTTCAGATCCTCTTTAAATCACTTGTTTTCCATCCCGAAGGCGAAAGAAAGGCCATTTTCATTACTCCATCCCAGGCCAGAACCCCGAAACCAACAAGTAGAAAAGCAAATAGAAAGCAAAAGCCAGAGGCTAGCCTGTTCCTTTGCCTCCTCCATAGATGCAAGTGCGGAAATAGCAATGGAAACTTTTTTCATAGGTAGACGACAAAATAGAAATGAGGCGCTGAACCGAGCAGTAGAATAAAAGGACAATATGAGAAATGTGAGCAGTCATAAATAGCGTTGTCCTGTGGTCGAGCTCAAGCAAGTACTGAGAACCGGGGTATCAAGATTAATAGGAAAGATTTTTTTAAAAAAAGTGGAAAGTATGTGCAAGGCTTTGGTGTATGTTAGTTGTAGATTGTGGAGTTACTCCTCTTCTGTTTCTGTATGTCGGTCGATATCCTCGTCTTCTTTGTCTTCGTCTTCACTCGCGGTATCATCGTCTTCTTCGTCATCTGGACTGCGGTCATCCAGGCCCGCGACTCTAACATCCTTATAGTCCACGTAATCGCCATGTAAGCGCCTAGCGCCTCTAGGCATCTTATAGGGGTCAAATGGAAAGTAATCATCAAGCTGGACGGCGAGATTATCGTCAGCACGGGTCTCACGTTCAATGGTTCCGTACATAGGATCCATAGCCATAGAAGACATGCCACGGAGGTTGTGTATGCGAATGCGCTTATTGCTCTCGAGTTTTGGGTAGAGGTAAAAAAGGCCAAAGTAGTGGGTGATTTTGGCGAATTCGGCGACAATGCCAGGTGAGCAGACCTTGAGAGGGTTGAGCTTTGAGTATATGGAACGGTGGAGCGTGTTTGTCATCTCTTGGTGAAAGGAAACCTCGTCGACATTGAGATGTGGGAGAGAGTTGCCTTCAGCTTCGGCCTCAATGGCAGCGATTGTGAGGTCCTTCCAGCGGAAACAGAAGATGTAAAAGAGGGCCTGGGCGGTGGAGTAGAAGGGGCCATAGCGGCGGAGGTCTGGTCCGCGGCAGTCTGCTTCGTATGACGATAGGAGATTGAGAATGTGTGAGCCAAGGAGGCTGAAGACATCACGGATTACTTCGCCAGAAACGTGTGCACCGCGGGCGACAAAGCTAGCAAGGTACGCAGCTGCATACTGACGTATGATGACTGGATGAGACTTGTTTAGGATGATCTCAATGCAGGTCGTGGCGAAACGGTCGACGAAAATGGGGGAAGCCTGAGCAAAATGGAAGAGAACAAACTGGGCATGGCGGGAGCGGTACGTAGGTAGAATGATGGTTTGAAAGTGTGCGAGGAGGATATCGAGGACCTGTTCTTGGTCTTCGAGAGAACCAGAGATGAACGGATAGTGGTAGTACTCAAAGAGGATATCGATCATCGAATCAACCTTTAGCATGCACTCCTTTACGGACTTAATGCGTTGAAGGTCTGGGTCGAGAGTGCCATCATCACTCATCTCAGACTCGTCATCTGAATCCTCCTCATCCTTTTCGAGAATCGCCGTATCCGTGGAGTTGAGGGCATCCATGATGTCCTGTTGCGTATCTTCATCTAAATCCTCCATGTTTACCTGGTTTTGAGCATCAATCTTGACCAACTTCTCGGTGATGAGAGCTAGGATGTCTGATCGAAGTTCAGGGAGATAGGATATAATCCTTATGAGATTCCGTGTGTAGGTAATATGGCACTTGACCGTATCGGAATCATGGGGGAAGCTCGAGGATAAGATGGGAGAGAGTGAGACGCTGCAGGCGGGGACAACCTGGGCGATCGAGCGGATGGCATAGTGGATTCGATGGTGTATTTCGGAGCTGTCAACTGGATCGTGATCAGGCAAATTTCCAGCGCGGGGGTCCACTGTATATAAGTCATTAGTTGTTGTCCTCAAAGTTTTCTGGGGATATATATTTACCTTGTAGGAGACCGTTAACAAGCATCCTAAGGACCGAATTCAGGTATCCTCCGCGTGCGGCTGACAGAGTAGCCAGAAACTGGACAAAAAGCCTGACATAGGACGTGTCTCTGCCAACCCATTCGCTTTTCAGCACAGCGTGCACTAACCCGCTGCACGAACCATCTAGCGAGGAGACATTGCCCAAAAGACCCATAAGATGGTTCTTTAGCGACACAGGAGTGGGCACGTCGAAAACAGGAGTACCATCATCCTCCAAAACCTTGGGATCGGCCGAAAACATCTCCTTGATACGGTCATACGCCTCGCTGTCGCCTATAAGATGTCTTTGAATCGCGCGTCTAACCTCCTCTCTAGTCAATGCCTTCTCCCTCTCGGCAACTTTCTCGTCACTCTCGACATCCTTGGCTTTTTCCGGGCTTCCAGGCAAGTCCATGGCGATATCGAACTTGACTCGAGCGCGTTTCCTGCGTGGGCCAGGGGAGCCGCCAGGCGTGGTGGCGGTGGTAGGACTAGCATTGCAGTCGGAGTAGGCCGAACCCGACGAGAAGTCGGATGGGATGGTAAGATCAAGATTCTTGCGTTTCTGACCAGCTACAGAGGAGAATGGCTTCAGAATCGATTTTGAGGGCTTTGACATCGACGACGGGGTCGACGGGAGGTGCGTAACAGAGACCATGATCGTCTAATGTCCAACTTGCTTGTTGCAGCCGCGTGGTAGCCGAGATGAGAAGTCAAGGAAGACACTGCAGACGATAGACAGAGTCTCTGAGATGTATCATGCTGAGCGATACAGATACCACAGGAAAGACGAAGCCTCAGACAGGAAGATGTATTGATTATTCTATTCTAGCTCTTCTTTGATGGGATGGAGTCGTTTTTCTTCTCCCTCTTTTTTTTTGTGTGTTGCCGCCAAAAAGAAAGGCGGTGTTGATTTTTTTTCTGCCTCGCAAAAATATTTTTCTTTTGTGGGGAACGCCAAGAAGTCACGCGCGATGACTCAGCAGTCCTGTGCCCGGTTTCCTTTTTGGGACATACACGACACAGACGACAAGAAGACGGGCGGATGGAGAGAAAAAAGGACACGTAGGGGGGGGGGAGTACTACAAGAAGAAGAAACTTATGCTATGCTTCATGTTGTGCTATTACAGGGAGTAGATACTCGCCCCAATTCTAAGTGAGACACCTGTTTTGGGTCCAACATAGGCCATATGAAAGGTTACATTCAATCAACAAGGAAAAACCCCAGTAAAACACTTCTTACACGTATTATGGATGAAGTGTACATAATATAGATAAAAGTGATCGCTTACCCCGCCTGTCTGTGCCTCGAACTAGAGCGGCTAACTCAAGCTATAAGCGTCCATCAGTCGCTAAGAAAGTCTAAAACTGACGTCACTGGCTCGAGTGGTATATATAGATCTTGCACTGTTGCATAGTTCTATGTAAATCTACTGACCAAATCTCGTAGAGTCAATCCTCGATATGACAAAATACCAGATATCATCTATAACCAGTTCTTCAATGCCATGGGAAGGCTTTTCCATACACAAGCTCTATACCTACCAGCCCGTGGTCAGCTCTAATACCTCCGAGCCCCAGAGAAAACTGCTTAAGCCATGAAACTAGTTATCATCACTAGAGAGCTTCCTCTAGGGCCGCCAGACACTGGGATAAAGTGTGACGCATTAAATGCCCTACTCTATGTAGCTTACTAGCGACATCCTTTCCCATAACCTCCAAAGATTCATTAGTTAACATATACAACTCACACTTTCAAGAATGTTGGACGCTATTGATACATTAAGAATCGAGTTCATGCAACTTACAGTCCTTAGGCGTCGATGGGAAATATCAAGAGCCGTCCATTTACCAGCTATTCTCGTCATCGCGGAGCTACAAGAACATTCAGGACAATACCTGGCTCCTTCTCTGTCCAAAAATCAGAGAAATCTGCGTCTCTGCTGAACAACCTGATCTTGACATTGAGATCGGTGGCCCACTCTCCTATAACTCAAACTTTCCTACCCCGTTGGCCCGAGTGGTAAGATTTTTAATGTATGGGGACAGCATAGCCAATATCATTGGTGAAGCCGGACTCGGCGATGTAGCCGCGGAGACAGGAAGAGCCGTAACTCATCCAAACTTCAGGTTTGACAATGATGATCCTGAGGAAGACTGAGGTGTCAATGCTCATTTTCGAGGAAGCGTAGCTCCACTCCACGACACCAAGCGCCATGGCAGTTTCAGGGGGTGCATTGTCCCATACTTCCCAGATGAGAAGTCTAGAGTATATGGCCTGATTCGTTTCCATTGCATGGAGGATGAATAATTTCCCATACGATAGACAGAAAAGATATAGCATCAAACCCAACGATCCAGATAATAATATCGGGCTAGGGCATACTAGCCAAGAATACTACAATGAGATGATAAGGGAATTCTTGCGGAATTACAGGCACTGTGCCCTAGGGGCTTCTTTTGCCAGCCGTATGGCATCCGAGCAGAGGGAGATAACGACACATGATCAGAAACAATTTCCTTGACAGAAGGCAAACTCCAGTGCGGGGAAGAGTTCATACAAACTAAGTGAATTATTTCGGGACTCTGTTCGCTGGATCGGGTCTCTGTCAGACGGAGACGGACATCTCACTATACTGGGCGTTGGTAGAAATTGGAAGAGCAAGAATATGCCTTAACGTGGTACCCAACGACACTCATGCAAATGATTTACTACGTCAACATGGAGATGAGTATATTACATGAACTAAGCCTGGGCTTAACGCTGACATGTGAGATACAATGTGGGTTGTTCAACGGGTTTCAGCAGAGGAATTGTTAGCGGAGTACAAATGGTGAGGCTACGATAAAATATAGTGGGTAGGATTCGTTCAGTGCGGCGAGTTATGTGACGCCTGTTGACGAGCTGTTCGAGGATATCAAGGGGATACCGGTGCGTGTGACGTCAGACTCCTTGACTCCGAGAAGCGTTAGTTAAAGTGGAACGGTCAAGCAAACGGTGCCGGTCGAACGGCGAAACTGCATTGAGCCTAATTGTATAAATGCTTGATTTGATGAGCTATCATATTCCAGTCTAGAAAGAAGAAACAAAAAGTTCAGCATAGATGAACAAGAAGAGACAATAAAAGAGTGGCACAAAGGGCGTGATGGCGGCTGCAACATGACGTGTGGAGAGAGCATCAAGCATGCACAGCACAAGCCACCAGCAACGAGCACAGATAAAAAGTGAAAAAAAAGAAAAAAGTGACATGCATACAGGACATCAATAGATAAAGAGAAGCATGAATAAAAATAAATCGGTAAAAATGGAATAGGATAACTCGTCACACATTGCAAGCATAGCATGAAGAAAGAGAATAAAATGGTATGATATCACATGAAAGAATGACCCGTCAGAAGATAACCGAAGAGAAAAAAAAGGAAAAAAAGGGTATCAAATCTGCCTCCCACAACCATTGCACTACACCAGTAAGTAGGGATCACATCAGATCCAGTCTCTCCTGGAAACTTCACCACCAAACACCCAGGCATACACCTCCTTGACCTCCTCGAGGTACTCTACCACATCTACTCTGACCAGCCCCTTTGCAGTGAGTATCTTTTCGTCCTCGTCTCTAAAGAGATGGCCGGCAGAGAACTCTTCTGCCACCTCGTTAACCTGTTCCAGCTCCTTGCCGAATGGGTGGGCGTGTACATCCTGTGCATGGGGGCGAGAGGCAGCGGCCGAGTGTGTCGCATGTGCGGATGAGAGCGAGGTGGCAGCAGGCGAAGTAGAGTTGGCGGCAGTCCTTAGTAGTGAGGATGAAGTGGATGCGCTTGATCGCTGGCGGGAGAGTTCCTGGTGTGATTTCTTTGTATGGCTGAGGGCTCGGGTAGGGATGGAAGGGGGCGACGGTTCCTTGGGTGGTGGGGTGTCATGTTGCTGGTCAAAGTAGCAGGCCAGGGGGTTTGGGTAGTTGTTGTCCTTTAGGATGGGTGATGCGTCTGTCGAACCTGGGAGGGAAGGAGCGGTGACAGTGGTGCTGGGTGTGTGTAGAGAGTTGCTGGCATCCGATTCGTCTGCTGATCGGAAGGAGGATGATGATGATGTCGAGTGTTGGAGTGTCTTGATGATGGGTCGCGAGATGATGGGTGGGTTCTTGTGACTGAGTCCATGGCCGTTATTATGACCGTGTTTTTGTATGTCCGGAGCAGTATATGCGAGCAGGTTTGTGGTGGAAAGCAGCTCTATTGGTGCTGATATTTTGGATCGCTTGATGGTCCCGGCTGCGAAACGGGGCTGTCCCTCGCGAAAGGGCATGGGGGCGGACACCTCCGGCCGCTTTTGCCGCTTGGTGAAGGCGCGGCCCAGCGAGGAGGACACAGCGGCAGACATGTTGGTGTCTATGTTCAATGTGATAGTAGAATTCGAATGATAAGAAAAAGTCGACAAAAACTAGGTCGACGTTGGGAAGTCGTCGGTCTTAAGGCCTTTTTGCGCCGTTTGTCGGTTCCCCTTGTGCTGGCGGAGAGAAATTGGCGCAAACGGGAGGATCCGCGACCAGAACGAGAGGCCAAGTGAATGTGGGTGGGAGTTGCGGTAAAAGAGTGTATAGTAAAAGCGAGAGTGTTTAATACTCCGTTATGTCGAGTGGAGTGGTTCGAAATGAGAGTCGAGGACAGCAGCCAGCGATGCCTTGCGCCTTGTCCTGTGCCTTACGGGCGTCAAGCGGGTAGGGCGATATCTGGGGGACGATCTACGTGGTGAGATTGAGAGAAGTCGAGTTGAGAGCGGCAACCAGGACGCTCTGCAAGGATCGAGAGAAGGAGAAGAAAACGAGAAGGGGAAGAAGTGAAAAATGTCAAGGAACGAAGAAGAAGGCAAAGATGAAGAAGACGAAGCAAGGAAGAAGACGAAGAAAGTCCAAAAAAAGGCGGAAAAAAAGTCGAAAAAGACGGGAGGAGTTGATTATGTAAGAGGGGCGGCTTAGTAAGAGGGGAAACTCTTTAAGCTTTCCGAAGTGGGTCTTCCTTTTTAGGTTTAGTCCAGGCACGGCTTAGTAAGACCGAAGCATGTGATGAGAAGAAGAAGAAGAAGAAAAGGAGAAGAAGAAGACAAGAAGAGAAGAAGAAGACAAGAGAAGAAGAGCTGCTTTTACACTGCGAGAATCCACCCCCTTTCTCGACTTCTTCTTCTTCTCTTCTTTCTTGTCAGACGAAGCGAGCCCACGGAAAGTCTGGTGAAACGTCGATGGGGGGCGATCAAACAGCGAAACCCGGTCAGTCACGGGGGGGGGGGGGGGGTGGAAGTGGCCAACACTTAAGTTACAAGTCACTGCATCCACGACAGCAGACAACATGGATGGGTGGATATACATGATGTACGCATGAAGTCACGGTGATGCATCGAGAGGTGTCAGATGATATCACAGTCGACAGATGACAGATGGGGACGACGGCATGGAGATGCATGGACGATGAGATGGATGGCTGGACTGCACATAGTATGTGACTACTCTAACCGCCGTCTAAAGATGAAACTTCTTGCGATGTTATACTTACATACGAGAACACTAGAACGTACAGGTACCATCGGAGCAGCCTAACCTCATCGTTCCTTTTTCCCGCTCTACTACCACCTTGGTACTATTCTTCTTATCAGCCGTGGAAGCTCAACAACATCCACCCTGGTTTGTTCAGTTGGTCAGCCTTGAATGGTTCAACGAGTACAGGGTAGCCCAGGCCAACTTGTTGGATGTTTTTCCTGTGAACATAAATATTATAACTTGTTTATCGCCTCTTTTACGCTGTCCGGTTTGGAAGAAAGGCGATGCAGCATTGACCTGCCGTTATGCTGCAGTTTAAAGAGTATACCAAGCAGTTACTTCGTAGAGGCGACGCTTGGGGCCTCTTTGTTCATACAGAATCGCTCGGAAGCTTTTTTTTTTTTGTTAACTAACCATATCAAGCAGCGAAGTGCAAGGAGTTTCCTGCCAGCAACAGATATCATGTCATTGATTTCTCTTTGCACCTCCAATCTTATGTAGGAGGTTAGACATGCTCACTTGTATGTCCGCTGACGATGTCGCCTGGGAGCAGAGCGACGCCATCTCCGATGCCTGGGCCGAGCGCCTCTTTGAAAAAGAAACACTCTTGGCGATAGGTAGGTTCATCGCCAAACATCGAAGGGGAGTCCCCATTGAACTGTTCAGCCCCAAGGAGGGCGCGTTCAATGTCTCCTTCAAAGTGGAGTTCGAGGACGGCGGTGCGGCCATGATACGCTTCCCAAAGCCTGGAGTGACCATGTTTCCTGAAGAAAAGATCCGCAACGAGGTGGCCGCCATCAGATACATACGGGAAAACACCTCCATCCCCGTCCCCTTCATCATACACTGGGGTAGCAAGGAAGAGAGCCCCCAGGGTCTGGGCCCCTTTATCATTATGGAGTACATCGAACATGCGATGGACCTGGGTGCGGCCCTGAACACTCCTGGATACGGAGCAGACACTCCCCCTGTGCTCGATCCAAACATCGGTCAGGAGAAGCTTGAGATGCTGTACGGACAAGTGGCTGATGTCTTACTGCAGCTTTCCAGTCTGTCGTTGCTTCGTATAGGCTCGTTGGCCCAGATAGATGACTTCACCTGGGGGGTAGCCAGCCGTCCACTCTCTATCAACATGAATGAGCTGGTCAGAGTAGGCACCTTGCCTCGCTCACAGCTGCCGGACAAGCATACATGTTTCGATACGGCGTCAGACTACTTCAAGGTGCTCGCAGAACTACAATTTAAACATCTAACCCACCAACGTAACGATGCGGTCGAGTCTGACGCAGACTGTCGAAGAAAGTATATTGCCAGACACTTGTTCAGCAAACTCGCTCGAGAGGGCAGATTAACTTCGCCCATCACAGATTCTGGACCCTTTAAGCTGTGGTGTGATGACCTCCGGCCTTCAAATATTCTGGTAAATGAGGACTTGCAGATCGTTGGCGTCATTGACTGGGAGTTCACATATGCTGCTCCCAACGAGTTCTCTCACGCCCCGCCCTGGTGGCTGCTGCTAGAACAGCCAGAGTACTGGCCAGGCGGCATCGACGGGTGGACGAAAGTCTACGAACCTCGTCTACAGACGTTCCTACAGGTTCTTGAACAGATGGAAAACGTCGCCATAGGGAGAGATAGGCTGCGAGAGGAGGAAAGGCTATCTGGCGCTATGCGGCAGAGTTGGACCAGCGGAGACTTCTGGGTTACTTATGCTGCTAGGAAGAACTTTGCGTTTGACTCTGTGTTTTGGGCATATATTAACCAGAGGTACTTTGGAGATCACGCGAGTTGGTTAGACCAGCTTGAGTGCCTTAAGCAAGGTGAGAAGGAGGATATGGAGGCGCTTGTGGAGAGGAAACTAGAGGAGATGAAAAGTAGAGTCCTGGCCTGGGAGCCGGACGAAGAGTTGTAGGATTGTATTGGATTTTTGGACAGGTCTAATGCATATAACGGGTATACAGTGATATATCGTACGATCTAATGTAGATGAAACGCCGTTGATATATTAACCGCCATTGTATTATATCACCCAAATACCTCACATTGTGATTTTGATAGTCAACTAGATTACTCCATCTCATCATCATCGTCATCTTCATCTTCATCATCAGCAACACCGACCATCCCCTGTCCTTCCCCTTCGGCCGCTCCCTCCCGCACCCCCATCTCCTCCGCACTCGCCACCTTGGTAGCAAACGCTCGTCTGACAGCCCCGTTGGTGGATGTATCCCATACTTTCACCACCCCTTTACTACCCGCAAGAGCAAGGCGGAAAGCGACACCCCTATCAGGTCCAAAGCCTGTAGAAAACACCTTACCGACTTCCTCTACTTTACGGCTAACAACCATGCTAGGCTTGTTATCCAAGATGTTCCATATCTTGACCGTCTTGTCTGTTGACCCTGTCACGAGGAAGCCAGGTATAAAGGCGTTGACGTCAAAGGATGACACCGAACTATCGTGAGCCTGCAGAGTCCATAGCGCAACGTCTGGTGTTCGTAGGTCGTGGCAGACTACCTGGCCGCCATCAGTCGTGATGTAGAAGATGTTGGAATCGTGAGGGTCCCATCGGACGCACTCGACATCATTGGGGACAGCCCAGCGGCCGACTTGGCCCTCTGCCGAACGCATGTCGCATGCTATCACACTGCGGTCGTACGAGCCGCTTAGCAGGACTGTTGACTCCTTCGAGTGCCAGTCGATAGAGCAGACTTTGTCTGTGTGGTGTGTATATGACTTGGCGCAGCGAGTGGTGTTTGCGTCGTTCAGATCCCATAGTTTAACAGTACAGTCTGCCGATGCAGAGGCAAGTAGGTTCCGATGCTGACGGTTTGCAGCCAGCCCCAGAACAGCATCAACGTGATACTCGTCATTCTTCTTCACGCTTTTCCTTTTCTTCTTTTTCTTCTTTTCTGCCTCGCCTTCGTCTGGTGCCTTGCCTAGTATCGCGCTGGGGTACATGCAGTCCACCACATCCAAGTCCCAGATCTCAATGTCGGGTTCCATTGTTCCAACAGCTACAAAATTTCCATGCGATCTACCTGATTCCCTTGCGTTGGTGCCAACGGGTATATCTAACCACTCAACACAAAGAGGTATGGCAGGCAACATCACATCATGGTGGACGTATAGGTTATCAGCTTCATCTTCGTAAACGTACACCTCCAGATGAGCCACTTCGTCTTCCACTTTACCAGCCAACAACAGGTTATCAGACGGTAGGATCTGGAGGTCTTCCCTGTCTTCATCGGACTCATCCCCAGTCCCGTCTGCTCTGTTGGGCAACACAAGGTAAGGGTCCTTCTCGTGTGGTTTATGGTACGCCAGAGACTGAACATTGCCAAACATGGTCACTTCCTCACCCTCTTCGTCTCGTGGATCGCTATCGTAGTGCTCCAGGTCATACTCGGCCAAATCGTCATCATCATCCGTCTTGCTCTTCTCCTTCTTCTCTTCCTCCCTTTTCTCTACCTCTACATTATCGATAGTTTCCATAACATCGTCCTCGTCCTCATCTTCGTTATCATTGCCATTTGCATCTCTGGCAGCTTCTAGGTCTGTCCGCGCACTTTCAAGCTGGACCTTAGCTAGTTTCGAAATTCGGGAGATCTCTGCTTCGTCAATCTCGTAGCGCTCGGGGAACTGAGCGGCCACCCCTCGTCGTACCCATCCGGTAGCTGTTATCATCGACATCCTGCTCTACTTCTAGCGAAGCTGCTGCCGACGATGCTGTGGTGGGGGGTATGCAGCGGCCAGTTGCAGCACAATGTTTGTCGTAATTGTACCTGCAATTGCGTAGTAACACGCAGAGTAATTGGATAGGATATATTTCAGATAATATACACAGACACCCAGCGTCTCAGCTGGCTGGGTATTGAATCCTGTCCTCTATATAATTGTGAAGTAGAATAAAAGAAAAGAAGCTTGAAGCTGCTTTTTTTTTTTCTTATCAGAAATTTTTTTTTTGTTTATCGGGTGGAGCTTGCGCTCGCCGCCTTGTGGCAGAATTTTAAGCCGAAAAGCAAAAAAAGACGACAAGAAGACGAGAAGAAGCAAAGGAAATGACGAAAAGGACGACAAGAGAAGAAGAACAACCGCCATTACTATAATATAGAAGTCCACCACTGCAGCCAAAATGCATTCTCATCTGCATACCAAAGATAATATCAGTAAGTCACGAGTATGCTCTGTTTGCCGTACTATTGCTGACCTTCTAGACTGCGAGGAGATAATGACAATGCTGGACGAATGCCACGCGCGAGGCTTCATGCACAAGGTCTTCGGAAACTGCAATGATGTCAAACGAGAGGTCAATCGCTGCCTGTACGCCGAGAGACTGAAACGCGCATCTCGCAACAGGGAGAAGGCCAGAGAGAACAGGGCGAGAATCGAGAAACTCTGGAACGAGGACGCAGCGCAAGGACAGATGAGCACAACCAGTTAAAGCGATTCTCGCCTCAGGGTAGCTTGGAGTTTTGGAGTTTCTGTCATCTGTTATATTTTACATATTGGGTTCTCTCTACTTTTTTATGTACGATGGAGGAATAGAATTGAACGTGGGACCTGTATCATTATATTATCAACGCTACTACGCAGTTCATGTCTCTGCACCCGCGATAGGGGTATCCGTATCCCTCTTCTCCGCCCCTTCAGTCTTTTTTTTATGTCTCCGTTTCCTCTTTGATTTTGTCTGTTCGGTTGCTTCTTCAGGTCCTTTATCCGCACCAGCATGGACACCACCGTCTCCCATTGTAGCGTCCTCGTCTGCCTTCTTCGGCTTTTCTACTGCCTGTTGTCTCCGTTTTGGCTTTTTCATACTTAACGGATTTACCCCCTTGACTTTCTTCTTCTTGACTTCCACCCACTCTCCATGACTATCACCGTCCCCATCTTCCTCATCAGCATACCTTTTCCTCTTACCTGTAGATGTAGCTGCCTCTATAAACCCGCTTCGGAGTTTTCCCTTCTCAAAGCCTTCCCGTATATCACTGGATGGCTCGCTCATAGGTTCTAATATCATCACAGACCGTTTAACATATATTATCGGCACTCCGGGTATCTGTCTGGCATCCCGTCTCAGGTGGTATCTCTGTCCTCGTAGATGCTGCTGCCGCGGTACTTCCTGCGCTTGCATCCAATGAGGCTGTTTGCGCTTCTGATCTGATTGAGGGGTTGCCTCTGCCGCTGGATCTGCCGTAGCCAATATGAAGTGTTCTTTGTTTCTCTTTGCATCGGGGTTAGGTGACAGTAGCGATAGTAGACATTCTTCTTCGTCAATGGGTGTACTGTCTTCGTTATGCGAGCAGTATCGTAGCGGTAACACGGTAGGTGGTGGGAGCTGTGGAGGCCGCAATTGACGTTGAGTACTGCCAGTCCCTTTCTGTGGTGATTGAGCAGCCATAATAGCTGCTAGAGTGCACTTTGTAATAACTAGACAGCTTGTTAACCGGGTTAATTCGAGCTGTTTCTGGCTGTAGGGTATACACACAGGGCTTCACTTTGCCTTGCACCGTACGTTCTAGCGCTGGCACAAGATCCATCTTAAAATTATACACAGACTGAAGGAAATGCGAGTCCACTGCAGTATGAATTATTATCAGCTTCATATAGCTCTATCTTTCGTCGTGTCTGCTTCCACTTGGAGCGCCTACCCACCGAGGACTTGATATGGCGCGCGGAAGCCAAATGTGATCTCATACTGGCGCATGAGTTTTTGGTATTTCTTCGACCGTTTCGCCCTCATATTCGCGGTATCGTCTGTGTCTTTGCTGGAAAGAATAAAGCAGAGAAGCTGATTCCCTGATAAGTTCTTTGTATTTCAACTTTTTTTAATGATTTTTTTTCTCTTTGAAAATGTAAACTCATGCCAAGATTTCGCGGGTTTTTGTGGATACAAACTTTCTTAGAGACGAAAAAAAAGTCATCCAAAAATCAACGTCAAGGAAGAACGGAATGTGGAGTTGACAATTGTATATTGAAAAATACATTAATATGTCCGGAGTGTATATACGACGCAATCCGGCTCTATCTTGCGCTCTAAACGATATCCTTCCCTCCCCCAGTTTTCCCCATAAACGCCAGAAGTCCAAAACCCCAAGCCCCCAGAACATCCAAGCAAATACTCTGCCAACCGCTGTAAAATGCAACCGTTCCAAACGCTCAAATCCCATTTGCATCCCTGCAATGCATGCTAATTCCAACGTGAAGAAAAGAACAAGAACAACTGTGAGCGCCCCACCATGCTCTTGGGGAGATGGGGGTGCTGTTCAGCCAGATCGTACGACACGACCGGCAACGACACTGATATCATCCATTTTGCCTATGAAAAAGTGTTAGCGGATATGTTAATCTTTTAACAGATTGATAATGGCATGATACATACCTCCATTGACGGAGAGCCCTTCATCCTGCGCCTTCTCCATGTAAGGAGTCTGCGCAGACGGGTCCATGGCAACCGCCCGGGCAGTAGTCAAGAGCTGCTCAGCAACGTATACCATCCTCCCGCCTCGGCTTTCGAGATACTCGGCTGTCTCTCGCTTCCGTTTGCATACCTCCCATTTTTCCAAACTCTTGAGGACAACTTCTAGTACATCATGTTCCCACAGGTTATCCGTTACCCCATCAGATACAACCAGGACGATGTCATTTTCCTCAACCTCTAGTACCGACAACGCCGCGTTTTCCCTGGGCTTGTCCACACTGTTGGTGCCCAGCTGCATCGGACAGTCGAACCAGTGCCACTGGCCCTCAGTTTTGAACACAATGCGTCTTTCTCTCGGGCGGATAACCAGTGTCTGGCAATCTCCCAGGTTCGTAACGTGCAGGAATGGCGTGGGTGTCTCTCCTATGATTTTGTAACTTAGGAGTGCGGTTGCAGTGGTGGTGGTTCCTAGAATCTCGTTTGGTGACGAGGTCGCCTCAACAGTCTCTTCGTATGCTTTTTGAAGGCACTCGATCAAGTCTGGTTTGGGAGATCCGGTGAGACGATTTTCAACTTCCAAGGCCCAATAATGGAGTATTAATCTAGACCACAAGCTGGACGGAAAATGAAAAATGTAAGTAAATGTTTATACTTGCTTTAGTGTTACAGATGTACATACGCAGCATGGCCCTGAGGCTTCGACGCCCAAGCACCGACGCCGTCATTCACACCCAGGAAGTTTGGAGAGCAGAGAATTGCATCATCCCCATTTGTAAGTCCACGAAGAGGCTCTCCGTTAACCGACGGCCGCTTGTCATGACTACGATCGTGTGTTGTCAAGGCATCAGAAAACGAGGTGGACGGCGGTGATAAGAAAGGAGGCGGAAACGGTCGGGACGGTCGCTTCGGGATTATGGAATAACCAGTGTCGAAGTAGAAAGGAGGCCATTTGGATCGCACTGGCTGCACATTTTTCTCTGCGGCTGGTGTCGAGATGCCAGATATAGGGGCAACGGCCGGCGACCACTGGATGAATTGTCGGAGTGTCGGGAGTTTCCAGTTCGATGATATCAGAAAGCGAGTGAAGGCAGGGGTAGTAAAGACCATTCCAGCATGAGTTTCTTGCACCTCAAGCACGCTCGCTAATGATTCTTGTTTAAACTAACCCTTGAGATGTTTTTTGGAGACGGCAGAGGAGGCCTAACTTATAAAATATGGTCATGCCTACTTTTTTTTTTTTTTTCTCTGAATCGGACAACTTCCAGCTTTTGGACATGCGCCTCTCAACACAGCCAGACCATACAGGGGACAGGGATGGGTGCGCAACGCTGACTTGACTGATAATTCTCCGTTCAGGACTTCGTATTTTTTCTTTTGCGACAATTGTTGAGGCCCGGATATTATATCTTCCGTCAGTTAAAGAAAAGCGCTCGCTTCCAACCACTGGTCTGTCTGCCTTCTCCCTTTTATTATGACTTATATCACGCCTCATCCACGCGGAACTAGAAGCGAATGGGCGACACCGCACAAACTCCATTCCCGCTGCCCGAACGCAGTGGGGCGTCCTGATTGAAATTTGAAATTCGAGTGCGACCTTTGGCCTAAGAGTGGCGACTATGGGGTTGATTGTCACGGACGTTGACCGAAACAAAATACCACCTTTCGGGCTCCAAAGCGAGAGCTCAAGTTTGTGAGAACGGGGTAGCCAGATGCAACGGCCACGGCTATTTTAGTTTACGGCTTTTCTCTCCAATCACCCACTCTCAACTTGGCGTCTCCTTGTTCGGTAGCAAGCCGTTTGGTCACTGGCGGAGAATGCCGATAGTCGCGAATCGGCAATTCTATGCCAGGCAAGACTGTTGTTTATATCCCAGGAGTACAAAGTATGGGTGAGGGATTGAGTTCTAGATCTCAATTCCTGCTGCCCTAGAAGCCTCAAAAGTAGCCATCGGATGGGATCGATGCAGCTTGTGTACAACATCTAGATTTTTATATATGGAGAAAATTACACCTCGCGCTTATGCACACGTGACCTTTGACAGCATGATTAAAACACATTTATTGAACGTTTAAAGACAGATTAAAGTGTGCATATATCGCATAACATTGTTTGTTGATACTTCCTTTGAAAAGCAAACCTGAACTCCTCTTCATTCATTCCTTCGTTTAGTCGTAACGTCGTCAATGCGGCCATCCTCGTTGGAACCCGTCTTCACTGATCCGTTGACGATATTGAAAATCAGTGTTGAAGCCGAAGAAGTAGCTGTCTTGAGCGGCTGCTCTCCAATATCGCTCACGGAAGAGAGTAACCTCTTCATGGAAGAATTCCAGCCCCCTGTTCAAGTAATGTGTCATCTCGTTCAGGTCGATACCCTGATAAGTGGCAGACAAGGCCTCAAACAAGATCACAGCCATATCTGCGGACCTCTCAACAAACGGTCGTCTAAGACCAAGGTCATCTACGTAAAGTAGATTCATTCTACTTGTACAGGGGCAGATTCTTGACCCCTTAACCGTACATCTCCGCGAACATGTACAATTCTCAAGGCAAACACAGAGGTTCTGCTGCACATATCCACGAATTTTATCTTGTCCACTCTGCCGTCGAAATTCCCCGACGGTTATACCATGTAGCATGGCGCATGCTGCTTCTCTGTTTGCTTGTATCCGTCTTTCTTCCTCATATATCGGATCCAACGTCCATGCAGGTGGAGGTGATCTAACCTTCGTGTTGGTGATCTTGCCCTGTTTCTTCTCTCGTGCTAAAATACCCAAGTATTTCTCTTTCAATGTTGCTAGTATCATTGCTGGAGCAGTCTCGTAAATAGGGTTAAGCCCGCTCCATTTCATCCGGTATGGGGAATCTGGATCTGTGATCAGGCTCTGGATGTATTGGCGGTAGCCTATCGGGTCATCGGTAAAGCATCCTGCCACTTCACCCAATTGCATGGTCTGCTGGATATAGTCTTCCTGCTGGTATCGAATGAGCTCTGTGTTTAGAAGGCTGCACACCTCGTCTGACAACAAAAGACGTTTGCATGCCTCTAAAACTAACTTTAGATGCTTGATCTCTGGAAGACCCTTTTTGGTAAGGTATCTTGGATTGGTTCTCTGATAGCGGAATTCGAGCTGGAGACTCTCATTAATGTCTATCTGTTGAATTTCACACTTCAATCTTGCGAGTAAGATATAAAACAAGTCTTCTATCGCCGTGAGAAGTTTGGAAGAAGATGCTTGCGTCATCTCTTTCTCGACACGGACAATATGGAATTTGATATCCGTGGGCCCATCGTCAAGCTATACGCTCAAGGTTAGCTAATGAACTGTTGCAAAGCAGCTTTTCTCGGTATTTTAACCAACCTCTGCTCCAAACGCTCTCAGTATCTCCGCTATCATTTTCGCAACCCCGTAAATCTTGGAATAAGCCACGATGACTCCGTCATGCCTTTCCAATTTGCACTTTGCAAGAGAATTTTGGGCACAGTATTCCGCCATGCCTGATCCAGGGATATACCTCACTGGCTGAAGAAGCTCCATTTGCCTCTTAGGATATCCCAGTGCCGAATAACTTTGGGCTTGCGAACAGGGTACGTAAAAAGGGGTAGCTTGCGGCTTCGGCTGTCGGGAATCAAAGATGTTTGATGCTCGATAGGTGGAACGGAGGCCCTAATACTGTTGATGGTATAGACAGACATGGTGGAAGAGGGAGAGAGCCAAAAGGGAGAATATATTATCTGGTGGCTGGTGGCTGGTTCTTCATTGTGGGAAGTAGATTCACCTGAATTGCCTATTCAGGAGATCAAAGTTTTGGTGTTATTGAGTCGATGAATATGACAAGCTAATAAAGTCCATTGAGCAGGCCAGATAGCAAGAATCAATAACTACGGCTTTCATTCTGACACTCGCGCCTGTGCTTACATTGTTCAGTGAATATATGGCCCTTGTTATTGTTAATATGAAGTTTTCTCCGCATGCGTATACGCACTAGCCCACACAATCTAATGTGAAGGTATTTACTCAGGTATTAAACGAATATACATATTTACGGCATAGATACACATCAGTTGCCTATATTTTTTAGTGCTTGGATATCATTCTTATTATCAACAGAATATTGATCAGTATCCTGTAGGGTTCTAGCTGGGTATATCTCTTTCTTGGGTTTTTTGGTATCGGAATAGCTCAGAGGATTACATCGAAGACACATGCACAATGTTTAACTATAGACTTAGTTTATTTGCATAGGAGTGATGGACAACAGACATGATAATCGTAGCGCTGAAGAACTAGCAGCACATTTAGAGAGACACGGCTTTATTTGCATTGATTTTTTCTAACCCTGAACACGGAATGTTCTTCCACTGGCAGTCTTTCTCTCCTTCTCTTCGTTTTCTGGTCTCGCACGGTTGAGGACTAGAGATGAGATTAGTCTATGTGTGGCTTCTAGATACTGTTACATCTGGCCATGCTTACCCTGCAAGAAATCTGCGGTGCGTTTCCGCATTCTGGTGTGGATATACGCCTGCATGTGAATGTTAATACTATCCAATTTGATAGGAGTAAAGAAAACGAACCTTGGAGGCTTTGATGTGGTAGTGGAAATAGTCACGGAAGGTTTGTATATGCGATATTGTCTCTGCACGCTTCTGTGGTAGAAGGTGACGGGGGTAGAGGACTGCCTATTTTTAGCTGGAGCCTTGTCGAGACATGTTAACAGGAATACTGAGCATACCAAATGTGATATAGCCAACTTCTCCATTTCGAGAATCTTTGAGGCCTGGAATACCCTGAAGTTCTAGAGGCGGGTCGTTGCGGAAGAGAACCTGGGGTGCGTTTTGTATAGCTCGTCTCCGGACATCGGCAAATTCCTAGAGAAGTATGAGAAGGGTTCCGAGGATATCTAGAGCAAAGGGTGGAACTAGGTGAACATACCTGGAGGAAAACCTTTCCAAAGATCCTATCCGTCTCGTCCCTGAAGACAGTGCTGAATATAACCGTAACGCAATCATATCCAGCCTTGATGAATATGGCCTCCTCATCTCGGTAATGAACAGTCATTACTTCTCCACCGTCTTTCAATTGCTGTGGTAAAGCTTCAAGCGAGTATTTATTAGACTCTTCCTCAAGCTTCTGGAATTCCTCAAAGGCCTTCTCGAAGGGTGAGGCCATGGCATTTCGTTTCAGTAGCGAGATGCTCATAGCTAGTTGATCCCTCGCGTCCTGCTCAACAGGGAGAGTATCTAAGTCTACCATGATTGAGAAGTCGTATCCCGGCTCGGGAGATACAATGTATGGACCATACTCTCTTTCCAGGACACCCTGTGCCCCATATTGTACCAACTCACGGAAGCAGCGTACGGCGATGGAGATGAGAATTTTTGATTTGACCTCGGGCGTAGAGACATGGAACGTAACACCGTCGAAGTCGGAAACTACCTGGTCAATGGAAACCGGGGCAGCTCTGTCGTTGCTTGTCAATTATTATCAAGGCAGCACAGCATTGGGTGGGGTATTTACCCAGAGAACCGCTCAGTTAGGAGCGAGTGTATGAGGACGTTATGATAATCTAGGAGAAGCATTTTTGGGACAGCAGTATCATGAAATCAATTCCTATAATTCCGTTGTGTAGTGGTCATGCAAGTGTTGTTTAGATCGTGTTTCCTTGCACCGTGATACTTCTCCATTCTAATTGTATAGGCGTTTATGCGTTCACTTTTGTCCGTGACTTACGTAATCGCAAAATTGCTACATGGGCCTCTTCCGGCAACCGCAGCTTATCATCCATGTAAATATTTCTTTAGTTTCTTTTTTGCGCATTTCGAGATTCGAGCTTTTGGAGAACAGATATTCGAGTCTTTCTCTACGCAAAGTGAAAATGGTGAAGTCATATTTGTACGCCTAACCCCCTGTTATCATGTACCTTAATTGTTGCTAATAAGGTATTATTTACAGGAAATTCGAGGCTTCAAAGACTTTCGGCTTGGTTACTTCCGCTTCTGCAAATGCGGTTTGGCTGAAGGATGAGAAAACGCCAGGGTCGACTCGAAAGTCTGGTGCTGGACGTGCGGTAGTGGGCGCTGGAGAGAATGTGTTATGCTGGGATATCAAGAAAGGGGATTTGCTGTCGAAATGGAGAGACCCTAAGTGCCAGGCGCAAGTAACGGCAATCGCGCAGAGTAAAACAGATGAGGACCTCTTCGCCGTTGGGTATGGCACTTTTTAATGAGATACCTCAATGTCTATTCGTATGAAATTTCTGACTGTGTGGGTTTAGGTACGAGGATGGCACGATTAGAGTGTGGGACTCGAAATTCTCTTCGGTAATGATATCTTTCAATGGCCACAAATCTGCCATTACGCAGCTAGTATTTGACGCACAAGGAACACGAATTGCAAGCGGCTCCAAGGACACAGACATAATCCTCTGGGATCTGGTGTCTGAAGTTGGATTGGTGAAACTACGTGGTCACACTGACCAGATTACCTCTCTTCATTTTCTAACTACGGATGCCGCCGATGATGCCGAAGCCCTAGCACTCAGCCAGCATGATGGATTCCTGCTAAGCACAGGAAAGGATTCCCTGATAAAAGTCTGGGACCTTTCTTCGCAACACTGTATCGAAACCCACATTGCGCAGGGAAACGGAGAATGTTGGAGCTTAGGCCTATCGCCAGACTTAAGCGGTTGCATTACGGGTGGCAACGAGGGTGAACTAAGAGTGTGGTCAATCGATGCGAATTCCATAAAGGAGATTGCGGGAGGGAAGGCCGAAGTAAACAGCCGTAAGGTACTAACTGACCGGGGTAACTTGTACCGCAGTGGGAAGGAGAAGACTGTAGGCATACATTTCCACCCACAATTGGATTATGTTGCTCTCCATGGCCCTGAAAAGTCGACAGAGGTTTGGCGAATAAAAAGTGACGAAGAAGTTCAAAAGAGCCTGGCAAGGAAACGAAAGCGTAAAAGAGAGAAGGCTAGGGAGAAGGCAGGCGAAAGTGGCCCAGAAGGTGACGTTGATATGGCTGATTCCACGACTGCTGTTTCGATCAAAGAGGTCTTTGTCCCTCATACTATCGTTCGAACGGGAGGCAAGGTATCGTCCGTCGACTGGATGGGTTCCAAGGGCTTACAGCTACTTGTAGCTACGGCCAACAATCAACTAGAGACATATGGCATTACACCGGCTGAGAAGAAGAAATCGAAAGATCAGGATGAGCCCGACTATAGTCGTGTACTGTTCATCGATATACCCGGTCACAGAACGGATGTAAGGTCACTCGCCCTGAGTTCTGATGACAGAATGGTTTCATCTGCATCAAATGGAAGTCTTAAAATCTGGAACGTACGAACCGAAAGTTGTTTGCGAACACTAGACTGCGGCTATGCTCTTTGCTCTGCTTTCTTGCCGGGTGATAAGATTGTGGTGGTTGGAAATAAAAACGGTGAAATCGAGGTATTTGATATTGCATCATCTACTCTCTTGGATACAATACAAGCACACGATGGTCCCGTTTGGTCGCTTCAAGCGCATCCAGATGGAAAGTCAATGGTTACCGGCAGTGCCGATAAGACGGCCAAATTTTGGAATTTCCAAGTTGTTCAAGAGGAGATTCTGGGAACAAAACGAACCACCCCTAAACTAAAGCTTGTCCATTCCAGGACCCTAAAGGTGACGGATGATATTCTTAGCCTTCGCTTCAGCCCTGATGCTCGCCTGTTAGCAGTCTCACTTCTGGATAACACTGTTAAAGTGTTTTTCGTGGACTCCCTAAAACTCTTCCTTAACCTTTACGGCCATAAACTCCCTGTCCTGAATATGGATATTTCTTACGACAGCAAAATGATTGTAACTTGTTCGGCTGATAAGACCGTACGATTATGGGGTCTTGATTTCGGTGACTGCCACAAGTCTTTTTTTGCTCACCAGGACAGCGTCATGGCCGTTGCATTTATGCCTCACAACAAGGAAGGCGATGGTCATAACTTCTTCAGCGTAGGAAAAGACCGATTGATCAAGTATTGGGATGGCGATAAGTTCGAGCAGATTCTTAAGCTGGGTGGTCATCACGGCGAGATTTGGGCATTGGCAATGAGCCATTGCGGAGAGTTCATCGTAACATCGAGCCATGATAAGAGTATCCGACTCTGGGAACAGACAGACGAACAAATATTTTTAGAAGAAGAACGAGAAAAAGAGATGGAGAGTTTATACGAGGATAACCTGCTCAAGACCTTGGATCAAGATGAGGATGATGAAGAGAAAGCTGAGGCAGTGGCAGCTGGGAAGCAGACCACTGAAACACTTACTGCAGGAGAGAAGATCATTGAAGCGCTGGATCTTGGTATGGACGACCTTGCGCTGCTACGAGATGCCGAAGAGAAGAAACTTGCACCCCCTACTCGACACCCGCAATATCTAGTCCTCGGAAATATATCAGCTGAACGGTATCTTCTTAACGTTATTCGTAAGATACCTGCCGCCTCGCTACAGGATGCCCTTCTCGTTCTCCCATTCTCCAAACTACCAGCCCTCTTCACATTCGTGGACATCTGGGCTGGAAAAGGGTGGGATATACCGCTCACCTGTCGTGTGCTATTCTTCATTCTCAAGACCCATCACACCCAGATCGTGACCAGCAAGATGATGAAGCCAATGCTTGACTCTATCCGCTCTCACCTCCGCCGTGTTCTTGACAGGCAAAAGGATGAGATGGGCTATAACCTGGCGGCTCTGCAGTTTATCGGCGGCCAGGTGCGAGAACAGAGCAAATCGGATTATATCGATGAAGAGCAGTGGGAGCAGGAAGAGAAGAAACAGAACGGAGTCAAAAAACGACAATATGTGTCTGTTGCATGAAAAAGCGGTTGGTGTTGGTTAGTTAACCCATACTATTTTATCATTTTGGCTGCATGTACCGAGGCGTGCGTGTGAAAATTACGATTTCTGTGCATTAAGGGGATATCAAAAATCTGTTTCTGGTCACCCGGGACTGGCTTGCTTCGCCCAGATGGCGAACCGGAGGAGTTTTGTAAAACTATATAAAGTCGATTGAATTGAATAGAAATTAAACAGAATAATGACATGAAGTTATGTTCGACCTTCACTAATAATACCGATTACAACATTGTTTAGGCGAAAGGCTGGTGGGCACGTATCCTCCGTCCAGATAAATATAAACCACTCAGCAGTGCTTCAAATGAAATTTGGGGCACACTCGTCAGCCATCCCTTACACCCATTTTATTATACGTGATTCGATCAGCTGAATTCCCTATGACAGAAACACATTAGCTCTCTACAACACTGAAAGTATCTCAACAGAGCAATATCAACGGAGGTAGAGTGGGAGATGAAATAAATCACTCCAAAACCATACACAAGCTTTCCTCAGCAGAACCGTTATAAGCATCGACGACATAAATAATAAATTAACCCGTTCCACACGGCAACGGTTGTCATACCTCTTCCGGCTCTTCCTAAAAGTATTTGGTTCGTGTGGTATTCATCATATAAAAGATGTGTATGGTGAGGAAAGTACCAGCCATTGGCATTCGTAGGGTAGGTGAAGGGGGGAATGCGGTGTAGATATATTCAACTTACATGTCTATATTGTTAGTGTATCTTCAGCATCTCCAACCTGGCTGCCCCAAAAGCGTGAACATCACCAGCCAAAGCGAAGAGTTGACGAGTTTAAAAAAAAAACGCACCTTTTTCTGTCAATACATAGTCACGTGAACATATTACATAATATCAAGACAAATGCGAAAAAAAAAAAAGAAAAGCCGAACGCGAGGCTCGAACTCGCAGCCTTGTGGTGTCAGATCGTGTATACTGTAAAAGCCACACGCTCTACCGATTGAGCTAGCCCGGCTTGATGGTGATGGGGAGCACTTGGAAGGTATATAACCAGACGGGCCACACCGAATGCCCTTTTTTATCCAGCCCATGCTTGCTGAGGGAGAAAGGTAACTATAGGTTGATAGAGAGCATATACATGATTTTAACGTCTTGAGTATGGCCGGTGTGGATAATATTTTCGGGATAAGAACTGCGGGCGCAATAAAAACTGCACTACTTATGATACGGAGGGCCAAGGCAGGTTTACAAGGGCATTAAGGATGTTCAACCATGATCTAGAGGTACGTTGAATTCTGGCTATGTACATATACGGTACTCTCAAGTACTTCCCGAGATTGAAGAGACCACCAAGTATCCTCTAACCAACCTTCGACAGCGAGATAAAAAGGGGTTGTCATCAGTCATCCATACATTCGTTTCCATCGATTAGCTGGTACCAGAGCAGGCAACGAAGTTGTTGCCGCTAGCACCAGTGTGAGTGATCTGACCAGCCTGCTGGCAGCTGCCAGTGATGATGACACGGTCAGGACCGGGAGAACCTATACATGGGATTGTCAGACACTACACATCTAATAACTAGTTATGCTCAAAAAGACAACCAATGGCCGTCTAGTACATACCACCAGTGTAGACACCAGAAGTGCGGAGGGGGAACTCGTAGAAGGGACCACTAAGACCGTGGAAGTAGAAGCCCTCATAGTTGTGGTACTCGTGGGGGTAGGTAGAGCCACCGGCGGTGCCTCCGTTCTGGACGTATCCGCAAGCAGCGTTGCTGGCAGCGGTGACCTGGCTGGCAGAGTAGCTGGTGCTGCCGCAGGTGGTGGCACCTCTGGCCTCGAGGGCAGCTGGGGCAGCAGTGGCGGCGGCCACGAGGGACAAGAGGGCGAGGAACTTCATGGTTGTTTGGATAGGCTTGTTTTGAGGCTAGTCTTTGATCGTTGCTGCTTGCTTGCTTCCTTGCCAGAAGCTGGGATGGTATCATCCTTTTATATATATATCCTTTCATCGATCAACCAGGCTGAATTGTCCGTGCTATCGAGTTATGTCGAATCAGCCTTGACCATGGTCCATGGCGCCCGGCCGACGATCAAAGGCAAAGAGCTCTCCCGCACCTTGTGCCACAAAAGCTGAACGAGGACGAACCACTCAAAGCCATGGCATGGTCAACATGTGCGAGCGGTGGGACCAAAGTGTTGCATCCAAAGAGGTGGAGAGCCCGCCGGCTTGCAGAATACGAAGGGCTTGAAGATATCCATATCTTTGTAAATAAACATCAGGTGATGGCGTTGCAGAATAGCTTGCAGAACAGCTTGCCGACGGCACGTCGTTGGCTGGCAGCAGAAGCATCTCCCGGTATCATCGTCGTCTTAGTGGTTGATCCCCCAGGCATGTTGCTGTGGATGGACCTGAGTTCTTGTCTGCATGGGGACGGACCTTGCCGATGCATAACTTAACTAGTTACTCCTAATTAGCGACCCCTGACAGAAAACAAACATACCGACGTGTGAACCAAAGAATCAAGCACACCTTTTATTTACATCTACTCTATTGTTTAAAAGTTCAATACAAAACATCCTCCTCTATAGACGAGCTGCTGTTGAGATATACTGGTAACATTACTGACGAATACTCTCAGTGATTGCAGAGATGGCAAGCCGGAACTCCCTTCCAACTGCAGTGGCTTTTTCCTTGGTCAGGACGGATGACCAGTAGGTCAAGTTTGCCATCATCTCTGTTTCGCCAACTGTTACGACGGTGATAATATCATACTATATATAGCTCCAACAATCAGCGATATGTAACTCAAGAGAGGGGGAGAAATATAATTCAAGTCCAACTGTACCTCGGTAGCTTCACGGGTCTCGAGTGCCTCAAAGCGGATGCCGGATGTCCTCTGGCAATCATTCGACAAGGGCTGCTCCACTGACAAACAGGTGTTAAATAATGGTCCGCTGCCTACATGCTGCATCACCTCGACTAGCGAACAATACTGGTTTGATAAGCGATTTGCCATCGCCGCTTGATTTTCTCGTAGGCGCTCCTTTATGGACATTTTCTTGTCCAGAGTCAGCCGACATGCAAGCACGTTGAATATGGAGCCCACGATTTCAGGAACTTGGTGTAGCGGCGCCTCTCTCCCCGCGACAAGTGTCCCAAAGCACACATCATCGCATCCCGTATGCTGTCGAAGTACGATTGCCCAGGCAATTTGGAGCAGGTTGGTGATTGTTAGGCCGTTTGCAGCACATAACTTTCTCGGCGGGTTAGGATGCCCTAGGCTCACCTCGATGGAATGAAGACAATTAGGGCCAGACTGCAGCTCTCTGGGTATCCGCGGAAAGTGGCATGGCTTTGCACCAGCAAGGTATTTAAGCCAGAAATCCATACAGTCGGGCAGAGAGCGGGCATAGGAGACCCAAGAGCTATATAGCGGCCCTGGCCCGGGAGGGAGTTTTCCTTCGTAAGCCAGTGCAAGCTCTTTCAACAGGATTACCACGGACGCCGCATCAATGATGGCATATTTACCTTCCATCTTGCAGAAGACCTGACCGGTAGTAGTCTGGCAGATAGTAAAGTTATGCTGAAGTGCGAGGCCATCATTCTGGATGGTATTAAGTGTTGGACGCCGGAGTTGGTGTATAGCCTCACTATCTGCGCAGTAAATAATTTTCACCTCGAGGGGATATGTTTTGAGTACGAGATGTGTCATGACGCCACCACTGATGCCATCAAGAGCAGCCTCTACCAATATCGTTCGCAACACCTGGTGGCGATGTGTGAGTTGATACCAGGCCCTTTGAAGCTGGACCGGGTCAATTGATTTCATTGAGCCCGTCCGTCCAACTTTCCATATAGTGTGGGAAATATAGGCATTATTCCCCAGCTGGGGAATGACCAACCCTTCATGATAGGACGTACATGGATACACTTCCTCAGTACTTGCCATGATTGAAGATCCCAACTGCCTTTCCACCTCCCGCTCAAATCGTTCTGTCTTTCTGTATCTAACTAGAGGAGCTGATGTTGAATCATTGGCTGATCGTTTTAACCTGGCTGTTATGAGGCTCACTGTTCTTCCCTCAAATATATCAACGGCTGTGATTGATAATTTATCACGTTGACATTGTGACACAACTTGCATCGCTGCAATGGAATCACCCCCAAGGGTGAAGAAGTCTTCATCAACACCAACCTCTTCCGGGTTCAAACGTAAGACACGAGAAATGATAGACACAAGTTTCTTTTCAGCTTCTGATTTTGGTCTTTGACGGCCTGACTGATACATCCAAGCTTCAAGTTTGCTGGAAGTCAGTTGCATCAGGGCATCTCGTAAGTGCTGGCGGTCGTTTTCTTGGATTCTAGCACCCGATTGGCAACGTACTGGAATACACATTGGAGATGCTGTAATGTATGGGGTGACCGTTTGGAGTTGGTGTTTTAGAAGTAGAAGCTTCTTCCTCATGTCGTCCTTGGGTGATGTCGAAACCGAATAAACGTCGGTTAGAAAATAACCACTGATATCTGTATCCTGATTATCACATAGAACAAGGAGGACTAATTTGGGAGCCGACATCAGTTTCGGTGTTATCAGATCTGCATATACATGTTCATTTCCAAGAAGTTTTCGTGCCGCCTCTTCAATAGCCACCAGGCGGAGTTTCTGGGAATCAAGCTGTTCCAATTTGCATTCATCGTATATTGAGCGGCCAACCTCGCATGTATTAATTATCCCACCCACTGATTTATTATTCAAAGGGTCTACCAGCTGGCCTAACAGGTACTCCAATTGCCCCAACATCGTGGCCATTTTTTCCAGGGATAGAATACCGACATCAAAGACAGCTCTAGCAGAAACTGACTCCACACCAAGCTCGCATATCACGGTCAGAATGCGAGTACTGAATTTTGTCTCGTCCTCAAGTGATTCTCCCAGCTTGACAAGCCAAGTTGAAGAGTTTTGGCTGTTCTGAGGAGAAGGTTGAATCACAAGCAAACTCTGGAAGTCACAGGCAGTCGATGCCTCTGGGCAGCAGGTTCGAATTGATTGCATTGCCGTTTGTTCGAATGGAATCAACGTTGTTGCATGGCTTTGAACCTTTTCCAAAGCTTCTTTGACGCTATCATTATTTTTTAGTACAGTGCGTAAAGGAAACGTTGCAATTGTTGGGCCAACAATTTTTTCTATTGCAGTAACAGGAGCATTCCGGCCCGTCACTGTAACTCCGTATACAACGTCGTTAGACTGGGTATTTTGTGCTATCAGCATTGCCCAAGCGAGACGAATTAGTGTTGATGCTGTGAGGCCTCCCTTTGAAATTGAAAATGCAATTGGAATGTGCCTGCTGGTCACTGCTATGTCCTTGGGCGCGTAACCCTCGTACATACGCAAGGGGAAGACTGGAGCTTCTAGCCCCTGAAGCTCATTTTTCCAGAAGGTTTTATTATGACCAGGATTAACAGTTGACAGATGGTGGACGAATGGTACAAAAGGGTATAATTCAAGAGTTCTACTCTCGTAGGCCGCTTCGACAGCATGTAGGATTTGTTCGTAACACCATCTATCAAATAGAGCGTGGTGCATTTCCAAAATAAATGTTGCAGCTTCATTCTTCTGGGGACATCCATAATCCATGGTACATTTTACTAAAGGTGTCCCATAACCCATAGTGTATTCAGTTGCCCCGTTTCCTTCTTTTGAGATGAACCATTCCAGCTTATTTTTAACAAGAACTTGTACAACTCCGTGAGAAGTGTCTGTCTGAATGATGCGGGTGCGCAATATAGGAGTTTCATCGAAGACTTGACGCCAGGCTTTCTGGAACTTTTCTGTATCAATGGTCCCAGGGAGATGAAAAATAAAACGTGCCTGAAAAGAGCCAGGTTTTCTCGCACTCCATGCTATAATGCTCTCTTGCAGTGGTGTGCAGCCATAGATATCTTCAATTTGATCTCGGCTGATCTGGCACTGCTCGATGGCCTGCTCAAAGACCCCTTCAAGCTCAGCGGCCTCCAGCATGGAAAAAGGGGCAGAATTTTGCATTGAACCTGTAACAGCCTCCCCAATGCACTGCGCTAACTCATGAATTCGAGGGGCTGCAAATAACGAGGCAACACTGATCTGCAAGCTGTATTCTTCCCTAGCCATGCCAACCAGTGTTATGGCACTAATTGAGTCGCCGCCGAGTTCGAAGAAATTATCGTCCTTTCCAACATCATTTTCGGACAATCCAAGTGTCTTTGAGTAAAGCTTTTGTAGAAGGCGTTCAGCGTTAGTTGTAGGGGCTGCCTTGTGTGATAAATTCTTGTTGTCTTTCCCGGATGATTTCTGAAGTACCGATCGATAGTGCAAAAATTCTGACTCTGGGAGACTTGCAACAGCATTTCTCAACATCTTCCTGTCAATTTTCCCCGTTCGTGAGAGTGGCATTTTGACAATAGGAATCACAGCCGTGGGAATCATGTATCTTGGAAGCTCATCTCGAAGTTTGTCCCTCATATCCTGAGCTGTGCCTCCGAAATCCTCAGTTAGTGGGCAAAAAAGTGAGTCGGAGGTATCACCCATATGTTCCTGTACGTTTACTGCCTTTTCTTCAGCAATAAACAATACCAGTGAGGGCGATTTGTCTTTCTGGCTCGCTGGGACAACTACTTCAGCTGCCACAACAGAGTCTGGAAACCATTTTTGTGCATGATGTTCGACGTCTCCGAGTTCGATTCTCTGCCCATGAAGTTTCACCTGCGTGTCCTTTCGGCCCTGGCACATTATAGTGCCATCTGAGTTATATCTGGCTAAGTCGCCGGTCTTGTAAAGTCGCATATCTCCATTGATTGGAGATATTCTCTGAATCCATTCTGGGTTTTGGATAAAGGCAGAAGCTGTCTGCTGTGGCCTATTCAGATATCCACGACCGACAATGAAGCCGCCAATGACCAGTTCGCCTGTAACACCTATAGGCACAAGTTGATGATGATTATCTTTATCCACAATCCAGCATGTCCCGGCATAAGGACGACCAATGTTACCTGGCTGGCAATCCTGCGACAGTACAGTTGACACTACGGTACACTCTGCAGGGCCGTATGCGCATACCAACCGCACTTTGCTGCCCCATAAAGATATATCCGCCGGAAGCATAGCCTCACCACCAAGAACGAGGGTTTTAACAGATGGAATATCACTCGGATGTAGAAGTCTAGCCACGGACGGGGTAAGCTCCATCCAGTTGACGTCTAACCCAACTATTGCATCCTTAAGTTGATTGACACGCTGAGACTCCGAAGGTATGCAAACACAGCCACCAAGAATCAGTGGAGTTAAATTCTCATGGATGCTCACATCAAATGCATACGATGCAAATTGAAGTACGCGTGATGTGTGGTCGAGATTGTGTGCGTTGCTGCTGGATATGGCATTCAAGCAGAACGAGGCATGTTCAATCATAATGCCTTTGGGAATACCAGTCGAGCCTGAGGTGTAGGCAATGTAGGCGATATCGTCGGGCCTGACAGATGTCTGGTGACGCATCTGTACTTTGTCGCCATGTTCAATAGTCTTATCCACAACAATGACGGTCTCAACGAAACTGGAGCTTTTGGCCAGTTGTTCTGCAGACGATATGATAACCGTAGCCTCGATGTCTCGGCAGATTGCTTCAGCCCGACTGCGAGGGTACGAAGGGTCCAGCAGGACAAATGCCACTCCAGCCTTCAGGGCCCCCAGGATAGCTACCAGTGTCCATTTGCTTTTTTCAAACTGCAGGGGGACGATTGATCCAGGCCCGATCCCGCGATCTTGCAACTGGACCTGGACACTGGAGGAGAGCCTGTCCAGCTCCCTATACGTCAAGACACCATCCCAGGAGCACACTGCCTGAGAATCAGGGCGCATCAGACATTGCTGGCGTATGAGTGTAGCAATGTTGGTGTTCAGGGGTTCCGATGGAGCTCGGCTGTTCCACGATATTATTTGCTGCAGGTGGTGGTTACTAATTGAACCATGGTCGGCCAAAGTGGATTGCGGCTCATCGATAAGCGACATCAAAATTCTTTCCAGCTCGCTTGTCAGATTCTGGGCCTGAACATCATCCACGATAGATCGAGAGTACTGGAGTGAAATCCGCGGTGTTGATGTGCTTTCGTCAAGGATAACTGCGATCTCAGTCCCCTTTTTAATTGTTGATGATTTAGCTGACATTCTGCACGAGAATAACGAAAAAAGGGAGAAAGAGAGAAGAAGAAGAAAACTCACCCGCAGCTCATCATAATCCTGTATTTGGCATGATCCAAAGAGTAGACATGTGTTGAAACTTGCATTATATCCCGAATCTTCGATTTTTTTCAAAGAAACGGCCAGCAGCCCTCTCTTCTGCTCATCAAGAGAGGCAATCCATTGCTCCACGCATGAGGAGGCGGCCTCTGCGCCTCTGCCACCGACACCAGCTCTATCCTTATCCCTATACCTTCTAGCTGTGGTAAAACCAACAGGATTGGTATCAGTGTATTTGGCGAGCAAAATCGACCAGGCTACCGTGAGTGTTGATCTTGTGCAGGAGCTGCTGCGCTGAATATCTGTTGCTTTCAAATCTAGGAAGCCGACTCTTCCGTTATCTGGGCTTACCGGCCGATGATTCAGCTTCGGGAATCTACATATGCTAGTATTCCTTTTGCTCGCCGTTTGATGCCTGTCTGCATTGAAAATGGCCATTTCGGGGAGATGTTCAGGGGAAGTAAGGTACTTTCTTCTCTTGGATAGGATCTATCAAAAGACAGCTTTGAGGAATTAAATAATGATTTATTCTCCTGCCTTGTTATCCTATTTTCTCCTTTCCCTTACCATACCCGTATTGGGATGACCTATATTCAGCTCATCTCTATTTATACTACCCATACACTCAAATTCCGTAACTTTACATTATTCCAGGGGACAGCGTCATCTCTAAGGCCATCGTGGTCCTGTCGGTGGCCAATTTTGTGCCGCAGAACGGTCCTCACTGTGGACTAGAACTAACTATACCACAGTCGAAGTTCATAGGATACAAGACTACATTTCAGGAATTGAAAACCCAGCTGGCACCCAGCCACTGTCTATGTTCTATGTATATTAAAACACAGGAGCCTAGTTCAGCTGAAGCCAATCATGGAAACGCGAATATACGACCAACACAGTTCATTGTACGGAGTATGGATGCCAATGATGCACCTAAACTTCCCGAAACAGGGTGACCTGAAGTCCCCGAACTGTCAAATCTCCGTGTAGAGTTTTTGATGTCATCCTTATATTTCTCCGTACACAACATTACTCCGCCTCTATGCCCGCCGGAGTGGGATATACCGTAGATCTTACGATCTAGATTCCGCGGAGGAGGTCGTATAGCCCTCCATGACATATATTAGAAATCAATGCCCAACACATACATGCTGACTCTGCATATGTGTCGCAGTGGAGTTGGCTCTGAGATATATTCGTACTGCACATCTCTACCTTTAGCCGTCTTCCCTCCCTCCTGTAGGCCCTGGAAAACAAACATACATTCCAGGTCTGGTATAATGTATGTATATGACTCTAGATCTTAATGACAGGGAGGCCTCGGGTCCAGTTGTTCCGTCAAAACAAGCATTGCATCATTTACTTAGCAAAGGAGGTACTAACTGTACACGAAGAGGTAGCTGTTGTTGAACAGTGGCTGTAGTCAGAAACGAAGGACAGACATCAGACAAGGAAAAGTCGCCTACATCAGCAGCCCATGAGGAAGAGCTATCATCATAGCTCCTTACCAGCGAATATCTGGTATAAGTGAAGCATTATATTTTCTGTTGTCTCATGGCCTTTAGTTCGCTGCCATTTGCCTTCATTCCAGGCTTGTTTTACCCCGATCGAAGAAAGAGAAACTTCCAGCCTATCCTTGATTGCATTCTTCTCTTGACTGGAAATCAACGGATGGGATACTTTCAGTCGTCTCACAAATTGGAAGGATCCGAGGTTCCTTTTGTCGACTTGCATCTGAAGTTCATGGTCTGGGGGGCGAAGGGAAGCTTTTTCTTTTTTCCCCTGTGGTTTGCATGCTTGATGTCTCTACCGGGAAATTCTGTGCTTATGCCCTGCAGCTAGTCATCCCTGAAGGCCTCGGAATTGTCGCTGCTAGATCAATTTGAAAACCGGACAGAAATACTGGACTGAATAAAGGACCAGCCATACGATATTCCGCGGAGCAGTAAGGTGTGCCCAGGCCTTGAGAAAGTGTCTGAAGCTGACAGGCAGCTGGCCGATGAGCCTCAGACTGTCCTCGTATCCTCTTCCGGCCCGTCCTGGGAATAATAACTAATTACCGTAAGAGTGTGTACATACAGGAAATCGGTTATTTCTCTCAAGTTCTGCTTATTTCTCCCAGTTCGCTGATAACTAGCTGTCTCTGTTTGGCTTATAAGCAACGATCAGATGCGTGGGTTAGTTCAGCTTGCTAGTTAAGAGATTTGGCTCTTAACTAGTTAACTTGTTAGCTAGTTAGTTAGTTACAGTATCAAAAGCTTTTTTATAAACTATAACTCGACTTCAGCCAAAGCAGTCCAACTATCAAAATAATACCGAATATGTATACAAAACGAGATATTGAATGAGAATAGTTTATTTTTACCATTGAAACAGTTATATTATTACATTCAACTACCCTGTGTAAAGTACAAAGCTTGATAACTAGTCCTCGAACGGATGGGTACATTGACATTAACTATATATATCCCCGTGTTTCCGGCAAGACTGAGGAATGAGACCCTAGTTACATCTCACAAAACTTCAGATTCTAAATTTCCATATCTCTCACCACGATGATTGCTCCCGGACTTGGCTCTGACGAAGTGTCTTCCCCCCATTCCAGCGGGATCAAGGTTATCATAGTTGGTCTTGGAACGGCCGGGTTGGCGGCAGCGGTAGAATGCCACCGGAAAGGCCACACCGTCATTGCATTTGAGAAGGTGAAGGAGATGAAATCTCTTGGTTAGTTACCTTCTCCGTACAGCTCAGACCTAGGACTTGCTGACGGGGGCAACATCAGGAGATGAAATCGCTATTTCAAAAAATGCTGCCTGTGTTATTTCGAAGTGGGGAGACGGTAGCGTCCATGAGACTCTGGATTCGTATACTTCTGTCCTGAACCCTACCAGTGTCTACGACGATGCGGGTACACTGAAACTGAAGACTTCAGTCCCAGGTTTTGGCAAAGGTGAAGGATATCTTCTTCATAGGGGGGACCTGACGGTAACCATGTTTGATCACGCAAAGGATCTTGGTATTGATATACGCATGGGCACATATGTGACAGAGTACTGGGAGACAGATACTTCTGCAGGTGTAATTGTGGATGGAGAAAGGATTGAGGCCGACTGTGTTATTGCTAGTGGCGGTGTTCATAGCAAAGGAAGGGCACCTATCACGGGTCAGAATCCTCGCATAAGGGCTTCTGGAAGGGCCATATTTCGAGCATGGTTTGAATCTTCAGTGCTTGATGGCATTCCAGGGACAAATTGGATAACCGACCAAGGGAGTGAGGGTGGTGATGACGCTCACGGCTGGTTGGGTAAGGATGTTACGATGATTATGAATACATCGAAAAACCACAAGGTTATAACCTGGTCTTGCATTCATTTGGTAAGCTAAAATTATCTACTTTCAATGGCTCCATTCAAGGATAACTAATCTTATATGCATCTTTAGGATTCCCGCGGGCCCACCGAGCGCTTCTACTATCCAGCAACCGTTGATGAAGTACTTGGTTATATTAAAGACTGGCCCGTGAAGCCCAAAATTGAGGCTGTAATACGAAGAACACCCCCTAACAACCTCATTGATTACCCGCTTCTCACATGCGATCCAATTAAGAATTGTGTGTCCAAGGGGGGAAGAATGATTCTTCTCGGTGATGCCGCCCACCCTTTTTTGCCTACGTCTGGTCAAGGTGCCTGCCAGGCAATTGAAGATGGAGCAGTTATTGCAATTGCCCTGGAACTCGGAGGAAGGCAAAATGTGCCAGAGGCACTAGAAGTAACCAGGAAAATCAGGTACGAATAACAGTGGCAAACAATCCCTGCAAACTGCTAACAAACTTATAGGCACGAAAGAAGCTCTCAAATTTATAAACTGGGTCTACATGCCCTTGAAATAATGGCAAGTCCCGACTGGACTGAAGCAGAAAGGAACTCGAAGCTCTTCTCGATCCCAAGCCCTGAATGGGTCCTGGACCATGACTGCCAAAAATACACCTACGAGGAGTACCATAAAGTGGTGGAGACAATTGCAAACGGGACCGAGTATATTCCTCAAAATGCTCTGACATCATCAGTACCAAACTAGGCATCTTAGTCCGTAATAGGATTTAACGCGCAGAGTGAGTTATTTCGGGTGACATAGTTATCCAAAGTCCAATTTTTAGCTTTTATTTCCTTAAATAAATGACACAAAGATTGCATACTACGTATACCTTAACGTAGACATCCCAACCCCAGAGACTTGGTACTGTTATCTATAGTTCCTTGATAAGTGTATGTATCTTGCACTACATGGTTATGAAGCACAATGATAGCCTTGCCACAGAATTTTAAATTACGACGATCATATGCAAGCCCTTGCTGATATCTATCAAATTACCGATTTCTAGCCTCAATTCTTAACTTAAATACACTAGCAAACTAAAGACTTAAGAGGCTTGCACAAAGTTAAAGAAACCCATGAAGTCTGTTAATGTTCTAATACGAACGCCAGCAGCGGCTACGCTAGATATCAATGATCTTATTGGCAAGTTTCCTGTGCCTCCTCCAGCTTCCACATATACTCTGAAGAGCTGTGATAGTATACGCTGACGTACACACCATGTTTCTCACTGTAGGCAAAGGAGATCCATGGGATCAGACAGGAAGTGCGGCTGAGGTCTAGGTTTGGGCTATACATTCCACAAGTTAGTAATTCATTTACGAGGCATTTTCAAGGTGTAAAAGTTGGTACATACTACATTGCTTGCAGCCGGTCAATGTACGTCTCTGCAAGTTCCGTCCATCCAACATAGGCGAAAAACTCACTCAAACCCTTGGCAACTTGAAGGTTATTTTCACCATGGGTTGGAAGGTAGAATTTTCCAATGGGGTATGGATGACCAGGCATCATCTCGTAATTCATCAAGAGTGGAGATCTTTGGCCCTGAGAAGGGATCTGTAATGGGTCATCGAAGTACGGCACCATGTCTCGGGTCCCTTCCTTGACTCTCACGGCTTTCCAAAGCTGACGGAGAAGTTCAAGGCCTTTGAGGGTAGTGGGATCCATCAGACGCCCACCGAGTGTGAAAAGATCCTCGATGTTGTTCATGGTTACATCTGCGTTGCCAATGTATATCTTAAGCCGAGACTTGGATGGCGCAACGCAATCCCACGCGAGGAATCCAATGTTGGATTCTGTGCTGAGAGTTTGGAGGTATTCTCTCAATAGCGCCAGGGGCGCTGAGCAGTCATTCTTCTTTTCAAAATCACGTAGGCCCTCGAAAACCAAAGTATCAACGGGGATGCCGTTGGCCGTGGCTTTCACACGTGGAAATACGTAGCCCTTCACCGATATTTCTCCGTCATCAGAAAAGTCAAAACCGGGAAGAAGTTGTGTCTTGAAGACGCCCACATCTATATTGTTCTCACTAATGAGATCACGTTCAGTCTTGCTGGTTGTAAGACGGTCCGAGAAGTAATCCCATAGTTCGGTGTCAAAGTTGCAGAAGTCATACTTTGCGATCTTTGCCATCATTTCCCTTGTTGGAATCTGGTTGAATGGGTCGATCGGCATGCCAGATAGATAAGAACAGGGCTCCACGGTAATCCGAACGGTTGATTCACCCCCCTTCTTATAGTTGACGCTCAGCTCCACAGGAACGCCGCTACGCGTGAGAGTACTTCTCCAGGTTCTGTTGGCAGAGGTGTATGGTCCCAATGAAGGAATAATCACCTGAGAAAAAAGCAGTAAATATTGAAATTGCATCTCCGTGCTATAGTTCGACTGCTGCAAGACTCTTTCAACCAGCGGTACCAGATCGTGCCACCAAGACGCTTGATCTAGGTTATCGAACTGGATAACCTTGCTTATAATGCTGTAAGGAGATGGTGGAGGGCATAATTTTCCGTTCGTAGTAGGAACTGCCATATTTGCAGGTAAAGAATGGGGAGATATGCTGAGATGAAGGTCGTAGTTAGCTTGTGACTTGAGTTTGTAAACCGGGTGGTTCGTCTCTAGGCTTCATCAGACGACGCCCGGAGCATAGTTATATAGTTGTATGAATGGCATGTTCATACGAAGTCTGTTCGAAGTCTGTTGTTTTCTCTATATGCTGCGTCGTATACGAGGGCTAACAGGCTGGAGCTTACCGTGTGTTTGCATATGTGCAATGCTTGGAGTAAACATAGACTATCCATGCTTTTTTATAGCGCGGAGCCATCAACCAGGATTATTAAAGTTTATAATGAACGAGATAACCTTAATAATCACACGGAAACTCTAACCTTGTCGATCAAAGAGTCAGTCTGATTTAAAAGCCATGGTCAATATTGAAGTACTATGTAGTCATAGAGCACATATCGTATCAAGATACTCCGCATACGAAGAAGTAATCCAAAGTCGGCCTGTCAGATTAGGTAGCACACACCTCTTATAGCCGCAGGCTGACAGCTGAGCTCCAGGCATATTTCTTTAGTTTAGAACAGGGATAGGGCGGCGAATTACATAGTAGCTAGGATGCGATGTTTCTTCCTAGGGGAGAGAAATATCCATAGGCAGTACGCTGATCAGAGCCCCTTTCAATATCATGTTTAATAATATTGGCTATCGTGGGAAAAAAGTCCTGCTACAAATTCACCATTCCATGCCTTCAATTATCAATTTGATAAATTCACTATAAGCAAGCAACAACTGTAGGCCATATCATGTGCCCGCTGGCAATGACCATTTAAACCAGACAAGGAAGGGTAGATCCTGAAGATACAGGTAAATATCGCCCAACGCCCAGAAGTGGATATCTTATTGTGCTTCAAATAATACGTGAATAAAGGAGCATGCGTAACAGAAGTCATGGAATTTTCTCAGAATCATGTCAGTCAGTTTTTCATGACGTCAATGATGTGAGCTTCGGGTGCTGACCTGATAAATTATGATGTCGAATTCAGTCTGATAGCTTCATAGTTCCACAGGCGGAACATGTCCACCACTGAGATTCCATGAAGGCTCCGCAGCAATGACAAATCCATCCAAGAGACCGCTTTGATGGTGGCTGTTTATTCTTTTCTAGATCAACTATAGCCTGAACCGCAGACTTCCGGGATTTAGTTGGGCCGTCTCTCGTGAAGGAAGAGGTTGGTTTGCCAGTGTTCTTTTCTAGAACTATCCTGTGATTCGGCCTGGAAGGAGGGGGCGAGGCTGTTTTCTGACAACGTTCAGTAGAGCATACCTCACAGGCAAGAAAAAGAGGCCGGTTGACAAAAGTACAAAGAGAACACGGCCAAGAGCCATCAATATCCGTGCTCGATGAGCCAGCAATGCTGCCTAGCTGTTGAGACTTAGAAGATATTGAAGGAGGTGGTGTCGAAGATGATGATGAAGCTCGAGGTCCGGCAGGATTTGATGCACCGGGAGGCGTATATGAATCACCATACTGCTCCCTCTCCTCTTGCTGAATAAGGTCGATGTATGCTTCCATTATGGCCTTCTCATTTGCATCCTCCATTTCGGCCTTTGTTCGAAAACCATTTCGAGCGGCTTCTTCCGCAAGCTTGTTGCATTCAGTAGTCCTGCTTGCACAGCCTTTTGTGACAGTTATTCGCCTCTCAGCTGCATCAGCAAGTACCCTTCGCGTATCTGCTCCAGGAAGAATTGATACACCTCCTAACTTTCTACCAGAGCCAGAAGTTAATAGACGGCGCTTTTCTGCGGCGGCTCGCGCAACTCGGCGAGCTTCGTCCATCGGTATCCGACTGCCACCCAATCGTTTGCCAGCAGACAGGAATCCTTCTCCGGTATAACCCTTACTTAGAAGTTGCTCGTGTTCATCCCGCAGTTGATTCCATAGAGCATGGAATTTTTGATCATGAGGGCCATGAACTATATGACACAGCCTTACAATAATTAGCTATCTCCAGCCCGTAATATCGTGGAATATACAAGGGATTTCAGACTTACTCATGAAGCATTGTGTCAACTACCTGTTCTATCGGAAGAAACTGCCTTTCATCATACGGTTGCCTTAACCGAAGGCATATCCTCTCCCCGTGGTTCACGTTCAACCCGAGTAGATTTTGAGTTGAAGGGTAGAACTCACACAGTGTCCCGACTCTCCACATCCGCTGCCGCATAATTGGCTTAACCATAGAAACAACTTTCCGCAACGTTGTTAGAGCTTCTGCTTCACGGGGCCGGTGTTTTTCATGCTGATATTCCGAAACGAGAGGGTCTAGTTCCCTCATCTTTGCGTGTTGGGTAATTCAGCAATACACGACTGAGGCGCCAGTAATGAAATTCCTCTTTGTACCGGAGAATATGACTGTACTTTAATCTCAGGGTGGTCTCCTCATATAGCTGGTATATATGAAATACAGCCGTTGGGTTATCAAATTTTGGACACTCTGGCGCGTAGTTAAGGGGAGGAAGCGTGCTGAAGTCATTAAGTGGTTAGCTTATTCCAAGCGGACTCGGAGCTAGTATTTGTCATCCCTCTGGCCGGATATCTAAACGCCAGCGAGGCTCTGTGCGGTTCTCTTCTCTTCTCTTCTCTTAAGGCTGCTATCACGTCGACGCGGCCTTCAAATAAGGATGATCTTATCTTATCGCGATCTCGGTAATTCAAGTTATTCCGTTCCGATAGCGGGAAAATGCGGCAGAATCTGTTTTTTTACATCATCGAAGCTTTTCTAAGCTTTTTCCTTCTTACAGAATAAAAGGAGGATAGGAAGTGGAGGAGGAGGAGATATATACGACCACACGCGAGCTAACAGTAATATATAGCAAGATGACGAGTGATGATAATTTTTTCTTCAGCTATGTAAGTAACATCTCACCACTTGGATACACTAGATGATATGCTGATATAGATATCTTAATAACTATAGCTAGCTTGGGTTCCCAACGATGTGACTAAATATTCAAACGAACTGGCAAATTCGATTGATAGCCACGTCGAACGCGCAGCACTCTCTATTCGCGAAACTTTGTCCCAGCAGTCATGGATACCAGCATCCATCAGACCACCACCGCCTAACCCCAAGTTCTTCTCGGATGCGTTCCTCCCACCAAGGTCCACTTTCGAGAAATGTCAGGACTGGATAGCAGCACACCGGGTATTAGCTGTGTCGGCTCTGGCATTTGTTGGAACGGGCAGTGTCTTATTATATGGTCAGCGAAAGTTTCATGTCAAGAGGAGAAGAGCACGACGTGCTGGTACTGGGGCTCGGAAAGAGATTGTTGGTAAGTACAGGATACCGGTAATACCCTGCCTATAAATCTCCGGATGGGGTGGCTAACGCTACATAGTCATATCTGGGTCGCCGCATGAGCCCATGGCAAGGTCGATTGCTTGTGACCTTGAGCGACGAGGGTATATTGTCTTCATTACTACAACTTCAACGGAGGAGCAGCAGATTATCGAGAGTGAAGGACGAGACGACATACGATCATTATGGTTTGACCTATCACACGTAAGAGCTCCTCCCTCACAATCTAGCATTTTTCATATCTAACCACTTTCATAGACTCCAGCTACTCCATCGGACATACATCCTTCCCTCTATGTCATTCAATCAATGATCACAAACGCACAGGCACCGTCACCTGGAATGCCACCTCATACATGTCAACTGAGTGCCGTTATCCTTGTCCCCTCTTTAAACTACCCAACTGGTCCGGTTGCGGCCATACCGGCATCTAGCTGGGCTGACACAATCAACACCCATCTCCTATACCCGATTCTTACTACCCAATTCCTCCTGCCCCTCCTTACACTAAAATCAAATACCCCTTCCATCGTCTTCATATCTCCAGCCATTCAATCCGCTCTTTCTGCGCCATTTGCCAGCCCCGAGGTTGCAACGACACACGCAATATCGGGTTTTGCTACAAGTTTACGCCAGGAGCTGAATCTTCTAGTTTCATCAAATGGAAATTCTAGTGGTGCTATCGATGTTATCGAAGTAAAAATTGGCAACTTGGATCTTGGTCGCCAATATAGAAGTGGCCAAAGGCATAATAATAAAGGGACAGAAGTCCTTGCATGGCAACCTCAACAGCGTGCTCTTTACGGATCCCCTTATCTCTCAAGTATTGATTATCGGCTGGGGGCTTCGGGTAATATAGCCCCAAACTCCAGTCCAGTGAGAGAACTGCATTATGCTATATTTGACGCAATTGCTCCTTCAAAGAAGAATTGGTTCGGATGGCGCGAGAAGAAGCCTCGTACTGTTTACGTTGGCCGGGGCTCTATTGCTTATAGTATCATATCTCAAATCATCCCTGGTGGCATAGTTGGGTGGATACTTGGTTTACAGCCCGGCCACCCTACTGCTTCGGCTGGCTCAACCTTCGATGAAGGCAATGCAAGTAGCAGTGAAACAGGCTGGGAAAGAGTCCCAGGAACTTGAAGGCTGACGTCTCTATGCCCAACACCAAACTGTATTTTTATATATCATCATGCTTTCGTCTCTTCCCTCATTTTCTACCCCTTTTATATATGTTCTTTAGCCGTTGAGGTGTTCAAGGATCAGCTTAACATGTACGATGTTACGAATCTTGTGATAACTGCTAGTAATATGAATGGCTCTCCCTCTGCTATTTCTCATATGTGTATCTATTGATAGTACTGCCTAATGCAGGCTAAGGGCATATAAATCTCTCTTACCGGACGTCCGAACCAGCCCATGTGCATTTATCAAAATAACTATATACTTCAGTTTGAAAACAGACTAAAACCAACGTTTCAGTTTCTGTTAGAAGCGTTCCATATGTTGCAATAGTCCTCAGGGCCGAAATATTTCTCACGCAAGCTTCGCTTGGTCGGGCATCCTCATAGCATTTCGCGTCCTTCCTCAATATGATCAAACAGGTGGTCATCGTTTGAGTTCATAACCCAGAAATAGGTAGGCTGCAACGCTGAGGTCGAGGTAACATTATTATTAAAACAGCCACTCTGAGAGGAGTTTCGACACAACAATATCTTAGTCCGTCCTGGTAGACCGATGCCCGAAAAATCGCCGTATGTAATTATTAATAAATTAGGAAACCCGGTAGGCCTAAATTCCCAGTTTGCGAGATCTGATACGTCTTTCACAGTGATGGAAAAGTTGTAGGTGCAGGTATCCTGTTGTTGCGGATTCAGAGAGCAACTATCGGTCAGTGCCGATTCTAGTATCGCGGCAAGATCTACTGGCCTAGGAGAATCAAAGGGATAAGATGTGCGGAAATGAATGTTTGCACGCGTGCAGCCGTACAATCGGCTCCCACCTCTGTTAAATAGCTTGTGTTAGAGTAAGATAAGACCAGATCTTACCCCGTTGGATATATTTGTGGAGAATCCAATACATTCCAAAGGAATAGAAGTAAACAGATTGGCCCCTGACACCCTCCCAAGGCAGGGGGGCACACTCGATATTTTTAGCACCTAACCTAGCAGAAATCCACAACCGATGGCAGATCAGCAGCTTCAATGTACTTCCATGGCTCAGAATTGGTGTTACATAGTCAGGATCCGATGTAGTTGGTCCGAGATAGAAATATAGAGCTCTTCAAGGCCGTCGAATGCTAGTAAAAACCACTCTATCGGATTTCCATCGACAGTATAATTGATGTCCCTATGCCCGATATCCATAACGATTTCAAGAGACCGAATCTCGATAACGGTGCCTGATTGCACTAGCTCGTGTAGAAAGCCTAGCATGTAGGGACATTGCTGAAGCCTCAATGAACGCAGCTTTTCAATAGGCAGTATAGAGACAGCCTCGCGGTATACTCCTTCAAAGGAGATATTGATAACGACAGATGACGCAAGTAGGTAAAATGGCTGGCTCCTCTGCGGAATATATCATCAAAAGCGCCTATACAATCTTGGATGGGGCACGGATAAGTTAATTGGTCAATAGCTTCAAGCTCCATATGTTCAAGGTGACTGTAAGAGTTTTTCGGCAAAATGGCAATAATCGTCGCGTAAGCCTTTCCATGACAGATGTCGTAGCTGGCGAACCACAAGAATTCCAGGATAGTTTTGCTCAGTGTTCTCACATGTGCCATCGGTAATAAATGAAAGCGACTGGATGCACCGCTGTTGCAAAATAATAGAGCTTTCACCATTTATCATGTCTCTGGGGATACAACAGCCCAGATACCAACTGTTATACAGGTCAGTTTGGTAGATACTAGCAAGAGACATTAGGAAACTAACGCAAATCTTCGTAGGGAATCCCCTAGAAGATGAGAAAATAAATGCTGGAGCTTTATGCAAAGCTTTTCCATATTTTCTGCATACAAGGATCAAGTTATGTCGGAAGGCTAGCTACAGCCTCATCAACTCTCACGGCAGGGTAGAGGAGGATGAGTCGGCTATACCGTCTCTTGCAGAAATAACAATCTTGCCATAGACTTTTGGTATTAAGAGTGATGAAGTCTTTGACGTCATGGATAGGTTGACGATGTCTCGAGTTCGTGGTATCTAGGTAGGTTAGTGTCATAGAAAAATGTCCCAAAGATAGAAGCAGGAGGCTGACTTCAGATAAAATTATCCGCAGAAACTCTACAGGCAGATTGTCCAGCATTGTTAACCAAATGGAAGTTGGAAGACAGATTAATATCACTCGTCTTCTTGTTGTTGCTTTAGTTAACCGAATCGAGTGTTTCGATATCAGAGTGAAGATGGCTCAAGAAGTTGCTTTGGTTTTGGGGGTTCGTCCTCAGTGACGGAAGGGGGTGCTAACATATATAAAAGACAGAAACTGGTCTCAGTCAGGTTCTATATATTAAATATTAAACTAAATAAGGGTGTTAACTAGGGTTGAAGTACACTTCATTGTCAATATGTGGTATCATCCTGGAGAACCTATATCAAAGCTATGTTATAGATGGCGAAGCTAATAGTACACTACTTACATATATCTTTGTATGAATTGCGTGGTATTTATCACAGAACTCTTGTGGCATGCACTTCTCCGCGAGGGCTTTGCCTCTGCTGTGGTTCCGTACTCATCCGGTTCTATGGAAGAGTTAATAATTAGATGCCTTGGCCAGGGGAGCTTCACTGATTGCTTACCACTGACGTATAGAGTATTGATACCACGTCCTTACCAGCAACTTGCAAAGGTATCTCCGAACAGAACAGATTCTATTATATTGCTAGGGTGTAGAACATTGTTCACGAACGGTAAAGCACGGGTGATAAGTATATTTCGCCTGTCAGGGGCTGGAGGAACTGCCATAGTTGAGGTGACAAACTCGCGTCTTTCTGAAGAGGGTGTGAGTCGTTACTAGATCTGATGACCTACCAAAGACCAACTATGGATTTGAAAGGGGAATTCCGTCAGTGCACCCGTTGTTCTGATGGTTTTGGGTTGTCATTAGCATTTATTACTCCTAGCCATGAGCCATATCTACCAAAGGGTAAAAGCGTTTGCTCATAGGAAATCGCGCTGCCCAGAACGGTTGGTGCCCGGTAAGGATTGAGGCGCACTCATCTAAAGGATGTACCCCACAGCCAGCTCTTGTTCGTTGTTAGCCAAAATCAGAGTCTTTTTTATAAAATGGACCAAAGTTGAAGTCAAGTATGAGCGTTTATTCATATATTCTCCGTCATCCTCCGTCAATATATAAAAAAAGGCAGTAAATAAAGTATGTTTATTTCCTTATCCTCATTGCCATCTCTTCATCCCCAGTTGTCGAAGTGGGTGACGCAAGTATCCTCTTATCACCGGTCAGACGTCTTCGTAGCCAAATAATAAACCAACATACGCCGAATAAGACAGTGGCTGCTGCTGCAATTCCAAATGAATAGCCTGTCACACGACCGTTATGTTCACCGTGGATGCCAGGGTCAAGGAAAGAGTATGTATAGAACCCCTGTGTCGCGTGGGTGAGATATGCCAGAGAAAGATATAGGAGTAGCAGGAGGTAGAGGAAAGGCAAGTGGAGGAGCGGAAGAGGCTGTGTGGCCGGGAAAATGAGCTCGAAAAGGGCAAACCCCGATTGCATCGCATGCTGAGAAATCTATGAACGTCCATGAACGGATTAGCATGGGTTTAAATGTAATTTCTTCCCGACTGAGAGAATGCCGAATGCATACGTTTGACCATGCGTTAAAAACGTCTGGAAACCATGTCCCGTTGAAGAGAAGCGCCCAGTATACTATCGTCACAACAAACGGGAAGACAACGACGGTCGTGTATAGAAGACTATGCAGCGCGCGCAGGAAGCGCGGCGTCTTCTCAAAAAACAGAGATCGCCCTGTTCTCGAGTAGACAAAGCTGTGAATCGCCGCAACTAAGAGGTAGAAAGCGATCCCCCAGTAGCTCAAGTTGGTGAAGTAGCTGAACGAGCGCCGGCTGTTGACTGACTGGCCATGTGTGCCCTGCCAGCCAAAGATGAAGAATATGGTCGTGAACGAGTAGAGCGAGAGGAGGGCTCGAATGCATCCGAGGACGAAGGGCGAGAAGAGCCAGGAGGTTTCGAAGGCGTGTAGCCGGTCTTGCGACGGGTCTGCGCCCATCAGGCTCATAAACGAACGCATCGTAAAGGTGTTTGACCGGTATTACTCCTACTGCATAGCTGTTGGGTATCGTGTCTGGCGAGAGATTTGATGTGGTTGAAGTATCGGATGAAGGCGCCAGGCGAACCAGTGTTTTATATCGTGTTTGGTCACAGCAGCCAGGCGCATCATCATTCGTACCAGGGAACAGGAGCAGAGAGCTTCATCTTGTGAACCACGGCCAAAGCCGATGTCGTACCAGGCGGTGCATCGAGGATTTGTTTTGTGGCTTTCAAGCCCTTCGCTTAACGGGAAAGCCGGGCTGGATCTTGTGATGCTCAGGCATGCGACGCGCCTATTAGATTTCATACCATGGCGAGATGGGCGAGTTGTAGCTGTTAGCCAGCACCGATGCAAGAAGGCCTCGCCAGCTTGAATCGCATCAAGCTTCCTAATGTGAGCCACCTGCAGTCTTGATGGTTCTGCGGGTACCTTGTTTGGTGGTGGAGGCTGTTCAGGGGCATCAAATCAGTCCACCGAGCAAGTGAGTGTCTCACTCTTAACTGCCAAATAATGTTAACTAACCGAGTTCTAAGACAAGTTTCTATTGTATTTAGAGATATTGATCAAAAACTGGGCTTCTTTTATGCTCAACATTCAATACATGGACTGGATTTGACAAGAAGCCTCTGGCCTCGCATCTCTTTATGATAGAGCAGACTTGCGCCCTCCTTGCTATAACCGGCCAGGCCTAAAAAGAGCAAAATGAGCCGGAGTCGACGGGATATGTTCTTCGGAGTGTTCACTTCCTTTCGCCCATCAAGGCGTTTGTTGTCCCAAGTCGATGATCGAAACAGCCCCTCCCTATACGGAATGCCCACGGAAGTCATAGAAATGGTTGCCGGATTTCTTGAATACAAAAGCCTGTGTTCTCTACGGTTGACATGCAAACTCTTTTACGAGGGGACATTGCATTGTTTTGGCGCTTTTCTGGCTACTGTGTCGATTGACTTTTCATCCAGTAGTCTGCAGAAGCTCAAAGCTATATCCGACCACCAATATCTGAATCGATACGTCCAGTGCCTTTCTATCGTTAACGAAGCTCATGGGAAATTAGGGCTCGATCTACGATGGGATAGAGCTCCGTCCGGTTATCTCATTGTCCCTCAGCGCCCAGTAGAAATACTGCGTGATACCCTGGCACTTCTGATCAATTGCCGGTCCTTTGAGGTTCATCATGTTTATCTGCTAGAGCATCAGTACACCTCTAACTTCTTAGGAGGAAGCGATGCCATCAGGATCCTCCTATATACAATCAGCGAAACAGCATTGCCTGTGAAGTCACTCACGTTTGAACGTGGGGTCGCGCGAGGATGGAGATCCGACAGTCGTATTAATGGGGAACGTCTGAACGTCCAGGACCTTCGGAACCCTGGCCTTCTTGCCGGACTATCTCACCTGCAAAGTCTTACATTAAACTACCAAAAAGAACTCGAAAGTAGCATCGACTGGACCTGTGAACTTATAAGAGTCGCCGCCAATCTAGCGAGGTTAACGGCTCGGTTCAATGGATATCAATCGACACCATTACTCTTCGATCGTCTGAGTTCAACCACACTCCCTCCCGTACAAGAGCTTGTTCTGGAATCTTGTGAATTATCCTCTCTGGAAGTGTTTATTGCTTTTCTTCGCCATTTCCATTCAAGTTTGCGTATTCTCTCTCTTACTCGCATCAGACTAAGTACTAATGGATGGTTCTTGATACTTCAAAAGCTCAGAGGGCTTTTTCCATTCTTATCCAGTATCAAATTAAACCATCTACGTGGAGACAAGAGGCCAGATACTCTGATCAGTTTTCCGGATATACACAAGCACAAAACAATCTCCGGGGAGGTAAAACCAGGGTTTTCTTATTATTACAAAACTTGGAGAGGGAAGAGAAGTTTGGTAGGCGTAAGATACAATGGATCCGACATGGGAACTGCATTGCGAATCGTGGCAAGCTCAGCAAGAGCTTGCTAGAGACGCTAGTGTATAGTTATTGTATTTCTATGGCCACAGCGGTGTAAGGAATATACTGTAGTTTATTACTTGCTTTGCTATAGATGGATCAGATAAGGCGCAAATCGCAAAGGATCATTTACCTTTGATCAATACAAGTAAAAAAAAGCCGATATAAATTGGGTATCTGTGAAAAACTAGCTACAGCTGAATAACCGTGGTTCTTCGATTATCCCCTTATTACACTGCTTTGGCATAGCCTGTAAATCATCCACCAGTAGTCATAATTACCAAAAGTCTTCCGAGTTCTCCTTATTATCCTCCATCTCTAGAAAATTGAAGAATAGTAGGAAATAAATAGTTCCTCCGCATTTGTAGATGAGGTGTCCAGTTAGCTGTTTTTGTCGTGTAGGCATATAGCATATGCAAGTGGTAGCCCAACAGTAGATGAGAAAGCGGGAGGTAGAATATATTTGTAGTCAAGCTGGAGACAAGCAATCATGATGTCTCAAATTTATGTGTAATCCGATATCAAGGCTTGCCCTGATCTTTATAGCTTGGTGGCGGCACTTCTACGGGATGGCTCGAGATGCCGTTGGGGTGTCCTCGGTAGAAAGTCTGTTGGCCGGGTGGAATATATGTCTGCTGAGGTGGTGCGGGGTTCTGGTTTGGTATATACCCATATTGCTGCTGCTCCTGGGGAGGTGGAGATTGTGCAGGAAAAGGGTATGGCTGCTGCTGAGGGTATGGCTGCTGTGGATAGGGCTGCTGTGGATAAGGCTGCTGGGGGTAGGGTTGCTGCTGGTTTGTGTTTTGTAGGGGGATTTGCTGCGGCGGCAGTTGGCTGCCTTGGCCCATAACGTATACGTTGGTTTGGTTCCCGTGCGCTCCAGAACTAGCTGTAGCTGCTGCTGATGCTTGTGGCGCAACGTAGGTGGTGGCAGGTCTTCGTCGTCGTAGTCGGATTAAGATAATAATGCATAATATGAAAAAGATTATTCCACCAATAACTCCTCCAACTGTAGGGCCATAGCTGTAATAGTAATATCTCTTAGCCAGCCGGTGTGGTTCAGATGGCCTCTGGAAGAAAGGTAACACAGCCATATCTTTGAAGGTATCAATCCACTTGAAGACGAAAGAAAATGAGCATAAGCCTCTGCGGTAACCGTCAGTATGGGCCAATTTAAACATGAATATAGGTTTGATGTGAGTCACATCTGCAAAGTAGATAGAACTCACCAGGATATGAGGCTGACTCAATGTCGTATCTATTCCTCAGTTATAGCTGCCTAGTTATTATTTAACTAAAACTATCAAGGGTCAGAGACGGGTAATACTAGCAACAATTGCGCGCAACAGAATTCAAAGAAACCAAGTAGTGGAGAGCAGGGCCTTCTCTGGAAATATTTATATTATACAAATAGGCTAATCATTAACCCACTCCTTTCGCTTCCTCGTCCCGTCCCTTGCGGTAGGTTTTCTCTTGGGTCTCAGCCCTGCACCTCGTATCCAGGCCATGAAGGCGCTCCGCCTCAGCAACATCAATGTTGAAAGCAGAGGCACGTTATATTAGCCCACGACACCGCGGAAACGGGTATACAGATACCATCTGCGACTTTTCACTGCAAAACATGCCCATAAATCTAGCCATTAGCTGAAAAGGAGAGAGAGAAACACAGGCAGTCAGCAGTGGTATAGGATACGATATAATTAGCACGGTTCGGTTAGAATGCATTGATAGCACGACCAAGAGCGCATGCAGCCTGAGCAAAATGGGAAAAGGGGGAGAAAAAGTAAGAAATAAAATATCGCCCTAAAGTTGTTTTTAGAAGTTTTAAGCTTAGCGGGAACTTGGGCCTTGTGGAGCACGCTACCAGAAATATCATTGGCTAACTGGACCCATTTGTACGAGACGAGACAAGTCAGCATGACAGGTTCAAAGAACAAGAAGAAAAGGTCAGAGAAGAGGCATTGGAAGAATATCAAGAAAATATACAAGCTACGGTTATATAACTCAGTAAACTGGTAGTCTACATAATTTGTAGTTTAAGGTAGTTTACAGTATATTATGTATATCCGTACTCACAGTCACAGTCATGGTGAGATTTTATACCCTAGTTTACAAGGATAAAACATGGGAGAAAGTGCTTGTCAACAGATGAGGCTCCTGATACCCTGTAATAATTAGCCAATTGGAGTTTAAGAGCCAAGAGCGGGAGAGAGTTAAATACAATATCTCAAGTTCGATGACATATTATTATTATTATTATTATTATTAACCGACACCATACAATTATTATGCCGACATTAACAAGACCCCGAAATCTATTAGACCTCCCACCATCGCCATGAGGCAATTTTATCATAACATTAAATCTTGGTTAATCTCCAACCGAAACGGCTTGCATTCAATATCTTCTCCCCGCAGTATATCGCTAGCACCATAAAATGCGGCCTTCTTGGAGAAGAGACAGCAATTTCTGGACTACCATAAACGGATAACCGCATGCCAATACTATGTCAACTTCGGAGAGAGCTGTCGTTGGGAACCACACAGTTCAAGTGACTTAGAGCCCCAGCATCCATTGTACTATACGTGCTCAAGAAACATCACGTTGGATTTCCCATTAAATCTTTGTCCCGCACTCTAAGCAAAGAACGAATGTTGGCCCTCAAGGTAATCGGCGTTTCTCCATTTTCTGGGTGATGCTGTTGATGTACTGCGAAGGCTGGTCCCTGGAGCGTCCCAGATCTGCATTCTAAAAGCGTTCCTATGTGCAGGATTCCACGAGCTTTTGTAGATCTCCCAGATATCTGGAAAAAGCCAATTATAGGTTAAAAAAACCGATATCCGATATGTGGCTTCGTATACGTTGACCTCATGCTGTTACGAACATTGCTAGATGTATTGTCAAATTTGCAGTCTTTAATGATTGACTATCTACTAACATTCACCTCTAGCCTGCGTACTCGATATGATGCGTTGAACATGGTAAATGAGTGGCAACTCATAGTACATATTGTCCAAAATGGTACCTCCGAAGGGAGCCCTCGGCGTGGATAGATATATTTCACCGTTAGCAGCACGGCAGCTATCATCATTTCATTTATATTTCCTATCAAACAGCATTTCTAAAAGCGTCCTTTCATATACTTCGATGGATTATGATTTATAGTAAAGGAACACTCTCTAAGGAAATATACAAAGTCAACCGGGTCCACCTCAAAGACGAGTGACGAAGGGATGAATGTATTAGACGAAGAAATTAGCCTGAATCATGCTTCAACTGAAGGGCTAAAAGGACTTGAAGGGCTGTTTACTATAGCGCCCTAACTAATAACTAATTCAAGTTCTGGGCCAAATGCAAGGCTATTCATAACCAGCCATTGGATGTCTCCCTTAAGTTATTATGTAGCTCTAGAGTGGCTGGAGAAATGGTCAAGCCTTTATCAAGTTATGCTACTTGGTGAACTGCCGTTAGAGAACCGTCCAATAAGCTCCTCTGAGCCGGAGTGTCTTCTGATAGGTTAATGGCAACTCAAAGGCGACTCTATGTACCTGCTACATTTGAGTGGTAAAATAAGAGTAAATGCTAACGGGCTATCTAGCTGAGCAGTTCTTCCTGTAGCCGTATCATATGATTGAGCCGCGATTTTATGGAGTACCTCAGAGAACAGAGCACATGAATATAACGAGACAGATGTAAAGAAGTATATCCGCCCAAAGCTAATCTTTGTGGGCTTTTATACTTCCAAGATCCTTCGGTGATCCTTCAGTGAAAGGCGGTGAGGCCCGTATCTCAATAATCGCAGCCTTGGTTTCCATACTAGAATATCAATATATCAGTGCAAGCTAACCCATGACTTTTCTTCATTTACAAACTTTTCTGATAACGATTCCCTAAGCCTAACAGGTTTCGTTAGATGTATTCAAAAACTTAGGGCTACACCACAGTGGATTATCACCTTAAATGGCCGTCTCCATGGAAAACGCGTTCGACGCTCTTGAACAAGACTATGAGGATTCACATGCCCAAAATCCTGGGCTTCACAAGATTATCCAGCAAATTCTTGGTAAACTTGCTCCAGGAGCAAAGGTGCTTGACGCTGGCTGTGGAACGGGGAAGCCGGTTTCTCATGCCCTTGCAAATGCCGGGTGTGACGTCTACGGCATTGATATCTCTCAAACGATGGTGGATATAGCTAAGAGACAGGTGACGGGCTCTTTCGAAAAAGTTGATATGAGAGCTTATAGGCCAGAAGTCCAGTTTGATGCCATTTTTGCAGTCTTTTCTCTCTTCGCGCTATCCCGCCGTGAAATATCTGCCATGATGTTGAAGTTTTGCGAATGGTTATGTCCTGGCGGCAGCCTCATTATCGGAACCATTCCTAGCACAAACATATCTACAGACATGTCTCTGTATGACAAAACAGGTCTGTGTATGGTCGACATAGATTTCATGGGCCAGAAGGTCAAGGGAACCGTTTACACAACGCGTGAATGGCATAATATGTTGACAAAAGTGGGTATGGAGGTTGAATACACACATATAGATCCGTTTCAACCTAAAAATACCCTTTACGCTAAGGAAGATCACTATTATATCATTGCTAGACGGACGGCACAACACCCATTGCTGGGACCATATCCGCTACCAACGCAGTATAGAGGCCCACATCCGCTAAGCGAACAGGCATTTGGGCCGTTTGCTGCTAGGTTTTCTCGTGAGGATTTTGATGCAGTTTTGGAAGCTTTGAAGGAAAACCAAAAAGTTCTAGATGTAGGCAGTGGGTATGGAGGTGAGTTTAGCAGCATACCAAGTATATAATTCGCTGCTTATGCAAAGATAGAATTGCCAGTAGCACTTGCGAAGCGCCATGGCAAGGTTTACTCCATAGAGCCAAATGCAGATCGGAACACGATTATCTCGAACAAATCCCAGACGAATAATGTTGAGGTTCTCCCGGGAACTGCTGAAAATATTCCATTCCCGGATAACAACTTTGACGCTGTTGTATCGATGTGGATATTGCATTATGTGCACGATCTAGAAAAGTCGCTTAGAGAGATGGCCCGGGTGGTAGATCAACATCTACCTAATGCAAAGATCGTAATCGTCCAAGGGGCGCCAGATAATGAAGTAATAAACCTGGTCAATTACGTCTGCGCCCCCTTGAGCACCGAAAATAATCGATTCGACCATCAGGGCTTTCTCCTTCACAAAGCATCGGAGATTTTCCGAGAAGAGGGGTTTGATGATATTACCCTTCGCCGAGTTGACGTTCATTGCAAGTTTCCTGAGAAAGATCTCTCTAAACGCTGTGCAAATGCCGCTGAAATTCTGGCCACTGTCTGGTTTGAAACTGACCCAAATTTAGCTGAGATGAAGCGAGAGATGATACCAGTACTAGAAGCCCACTTCGCACACAGGCCCAATACTATCGGAGATGAAGGCGTTATCTTGATTGCTAGGCCAAGTAAAAATGAAAGTTATCATTAACGCATAGCTAATGAAATGCATTAAGCACTTGAAGGGTTTGTTTGATTGTGATCTAGAATTGGCTTGATTTGCGGGAGTTAATCATCAAGTTAGATTCAAACATCTCATTCACCTTGATATCAGATTGCAAGTCCTTGATTTTGAACATCAAGCAAACAAAATCGAGGGATAATACGTTTAATTTATGTGCTTACTTTTAGTTAGATTTTGAGGTAATAAGTAATGTTATTAACAAATAACATATTTTAATAAAGATGATTGGTTCAATAGTAGCCAATCCATTGGAAAGATGCGATATAATTGGGCGGTAAGCGTCAATTAAACTTTACTTATATATCCCAGTTCCTTACTATTGTATTACATTGAATATATCGAACGCCCATGATTATTATTGAAAAGTACATTTTACGCCTTCAACAAGACTGAAGATTCGTGTAACTACTTGATCAATTTATCAGTTCTGCTACTAGAAAATTGATGGGTATTAACAGCCTCGAAATCCAACCTTACAAGTCAAACATGTGATCATGCCCGATGACCATCTCCTAGAAATTTGTATAGGCTTAAATACCTCAAGACAAGAAAAATATTATCATCATTAACATTCAACTGGCGAAAGATGCTCCTATGGCTAGTGCCGGGGAAAATGTTTTATATCACGCGACCGAAAGGCCAACTCAAGCATCCAAGATCTCAACCAAGGTGTGATGGATGATAATACTACGACCTGACCTTTCACGAGTTATAGTTCCATCCGACAAATTTCCCAGGTGATGCTCCGGACAACCGGTTGATACATGCCTGTGTCCAATGAGAAAAGAAATATTACTGACTTCTGATAGAGGTAACATATTTATACCACGCTTATTAGTCGGATATACACGTGGATAAAGCCATATTGGCATAGTGGCCGCATTATATGCTAGATAAGTATTTAGTATGACCGTTTCACCCGCTCCTAGAACGGTACCTGACCGTCGATCCCAGAAATAGGGGCCTTTCACGGGTGAAATATTGTGTTCTCCGACGTAGGCCATGGGACGAGCCGAACTAGCGGTATAGCCTGTGCAGGTTAATGAGAACTGCATACCTAGCCCATTTTGGTTTATCTTCTAAAAGATTCTTGAGGCTGTCTTTTATGGGATTGTTTGGTGTTCAGAATTTTGTGCAATTCGGCCTTTTGGACTATTTCAAAAGCAGACCTACCAAGTTGGATATGTGTCAAGTGTTTACCATCAACGAAGATGCAAGAAAAGTAGGGGTGATGATATACTTCATGCGCGTGCTATCTCTTCAAAACCAAGATCCCCATAAACACTACACTCACCCGTGGGTAACATCCTATCCCCCCATATTTGTTCACAAGAGCCAAAACGTAATAATTCCAACACTCGGTGGGTAGATGTCAAATATGTAAGCCACGTATGGGGGAAAGGTTAACGTGCCCAGTTCTTGTAGTGGTGTTCCTGATCCGGCAGAAGTGCGTGTCATGAGGGACCATGACATCTGAAAATGATCTCTAGATATGTCAACAGCATCTTCGATTGTGTAACTCTCGCCACGGCAGGATGGGTATATAAAGGCAGTCGAGTAGGCAAACAGTGTGTCTCATATTCGAACCAAACAGACGCAACAGTTCTATACGCCTTCCCGAGACAACTGTGCAAGGACACGGCGGAAAGGGGGCTATATCAATTCTTCCCTTAGTGTACCATCAATCCAATCATACAGTATATAGTCTGAGACACCATGAAGACCCCCTTTGCCATCTTAGCAGCGTTGGCCACGGCCACAACGGTAGTGGCCAGACCATTCGCAACCAGCGGGACTGGGCTCAACAAGCACGCGATGATCGGGTATATGCATGCCAGCTTTGCTAACGGGTCTGGCTACCTGAAGCTCGCTGACATACCTGATGACTGGGACATCATTGAGTTATCCTTTGGCGAGCCCACGTCTATAACGTCAGGAGATATCAGATTCACCATGTGCCCCAAGACAGAATGCCCCAATGTCGAGAGCGAGGAGGAGTTCAAGGTTGCGATTAAGGCTAAGCAAGCCAAGGGGAAGAAGGTTCTTCTTTCAATTGGAGGGCAGAATGGCCAGGTCCAACTCACCACGACTGGGGCACGGGATAAATTCGTCAGCTCTGTGGGGGGTATCATCGACCAGTACGGCCTTGACGGCCTGGACATCGATTTCGAGGGGCACTCCCTGTATCTTGACCAGGGGGACACCGACTTCAAGAACCCCAAGACGCCCGTCATCGTCAACCTGATCGCTGCCCTGAAGGCCTTGAAGCAGAAGTACGGCAACTCCTTCGTCCTGACCATGGCACCGGAGACCTTCTTCGTGCAGCTGGGCTATAGTTTCTACGGGCCCTCAAGCGGCAACGACCCCAGAGCTGGAGCCTACCTGCCCGTCATCCACGCCATGCGTGACGACCTGACCGTTCTGCAGGTCCAGAACTACAACTCCGGCCCGATAATTGGTCTCGATAACCAGTATCACAACGTCGGCACTCCGGACTTCCTCGTCGCCATGGCAGATATGCTCAAGGCCGGATTCCCCGTGGCCAAGACAAACACCACTTTCCCACCGCTGAGAGATGATCAGATTGCCATTGGACTGCCCGCCACGGTGAATGCAGGCAACGGGTTCGTCGACACCGATGGCGTACAGAGCGCCCTAGACTGTTTGATGACGGGCGAGTCCTGCGGCACATACAAGCCTCGCGGGGGCAAGTCGCCATCCTTTAGGGGTCTGATGACCTGGTCCATCAACTGGGACAAGTTCTCCGGCTGGCAATTCATGGACCCTCACCGCAAGTACCTCAACAGCTTCCCTTGAGGCCTCACTTTCTCTCTTGCTTTCTTCCTTTCTTTTCTTTTTCTCGTACACACCCTCTTCCCGTCCCTCTTTGACTTGACGTCCAACTTGTTATGAAGAGAAGATTTTTTGTATATATTTATATGTTCACGTGATATCTGGATATCCCAAAGCAGCTTTTTCAACTTCAAGACGATTTTTGGTTGTTTTCGACTTCTTTTCTGTTGATTTTATCCATCTTGCACAGATAGAAATTGGATACTGATGAATCAAGACGATACTTTTTTATTATTATCATGACCTGGCTGGTCGAAGTCATGGATGGTTCTCTTCTTCGCCGGCTTTCCTTGTCGACGCAGCTTCGGTTTCAAATTGACGGGCTGCATCAGACATCAGACATCACTGATGCTTCTCTCCCCGTCTTCATCTTCATCTTCACTCTCTATCCTTGAGTGCGTTGATATCATGCGTGATTATCAACATAATATAACGGCCTTAGTAAGCTCGCCCCCCGTTCTCGTATTCAACTTTTTTCGAAGAAAAGCTGATGGCGAAGCCCCTGAAGGCAAAAAGCTGAGCCGCTGATGGGACGTTAAACCTCCGGTCAGCAAAAGAAATTTCAACGGGGGAAAAAGATGACAGCAACGTCTTTCTGAGTGACATCTCTCGTCGATAGATGAGGGCAAAGTGAAGTAAGTGTGTGTCCTCTCCGTCTTTGCTTACTAGTATCTATATAACTCCGCCTAAGTCTGGCCCCTGCATGAAGAAAAAGCCCCCTGTATCCCTTAAAACATGCTTAGCTCCCTTTTTTTCCCTTAATTAACTCGAGGCCTTAGGTTGAACCCATACTTTTTTTTCCAGCAGGTCATCAAGCGACTTCTCCCCCTTTGACAAAGCGGCAGACACCTCACCAGGCATACATACATACATATATACATACATGCATACCAACCCCTTGCCTTGATCCGCAGCCAGTTTATTGTGAATGATATGACGGCAGAGATAGGGTGTGCTCGTTACTTTCCAACTCGACACTCCTTTTGTTAAAGAATAAAAAAAGAAGGGCAACACACAGGACAGCATTTCATCCATGTCCCGAACGACAATCAAGCCACTTCATCTCGAACATATCATTGTCTCCCTCGAATCGGAACTGCAGGTAATTGTCTGCTCGATCCAACCCGATGGCGACCCCTAACGAGGCACCGTCGCCAGACTCCCACTCGATATCTCAACAGCCCTCCGGCTGGCCGCAGACAATGCAACCACTTTCTCAGTCGCAGTCTCAGACTCCAACACCGACTCAACTGCATCCTGGTCGTCCGTTGGCTTCTCCCCGCCTACAACATGTCGCAGGCGAGATCCCCCCGGCCCTCTCTCCCCTCGATGCCTTCGCAGCCCAGGGCCGTCTGCTGGCGAAACAATTCGACGAGTCTCGCAAGGCCGGACGAAGGCTAAGTCGGCTGCCGCCGGCCAGCGTCGAACGGTCTCTCTCTCAGCCTAGGGGAGGGTATAATCGAACACTATCCGAAGAGGATACCAGGCGGTCCCAGACGCCAATGCGCGCGGGGTTTAACTTCGAGCAGAGAGGACGAGGAAGAGGGAATGCGGAGAGCACTCCATTTAGCAATGGCATGTCGCTCGAGGAGCCTAGCTTTAGGCCCAAGTCGCAGCACCCCAGGATCAGTGGGCTGCCTCTCAACACTAGCACTGGCCATACCTTTCCGATAGACGATAGCTGGGATACCAAGTCGGCTGGTAGTACCACATACGGTGCTCCCCGCGCCCACTCCCCGGAAAACTTCTGGACTCGGGATGGCTCACGCGAACGAGGTAGGACACCGTCTCCTGGGCCAGGACCGACTATCGACAATAGGCTTCACGTTGCACCTCGTTCACCGCAGTCATCCGGCGAGTCACCCACACGGTTCTACGTCAATCATCAGCAACAGCGGAATAACAACTCTGGACACCAGCATAATCACCTTGCACCGCCTTCGCTACCGCGGGCATACAGTAACCCCACCGGAATGAGCAATGGCTCAACACAAGAGAGCTCTGACGATGACGGATCTAGCGCCCGATCAACGTTCTCGATGCCTCGCAAACTATCGTCCAGCAGCGGTATATCGATGCCCTATTCCCCTCAACCGTCACAGCCAAACAGAGCCTGTCAGCGATCCCCGTCACCGAACTCGGAAGCAGGAACAGGAGGAAGTATGACGCCCAACCTGACGAAACCATCATTTAATTTCTCACGGCCGATGAGTCGATCGAATACCTCTCTGTCCATGAACGATTCCACTACAAGTTCTCCCGTTACGGGTACTATTGGTTCCTTCCTTAATAGAGGAAACAAGCCAGCGCCCATCACAGTTCCTGCGCCTCTAGCCACACCGTCTCCGTCTGCGGACGAAGCTACCGAACCTCCCCTCTCGGCTGGGCAGTCGTACATATATGCAAAGTTCTCCCTTCCCCGTGGCCGGCTGATCTCACGAGACTCCAAAACATTCAACGGCGGCGAACCGCAGGGCAACTTCGAGCCACCGCAGTTTGAGAGATCGATCACCGACCCTGGGCCAGGTTACAAAACTCCTCAGGTCCCAGCCGCAGCGTCGCTGCCGAAGAGCGTCAAAGCTGTGCGGCCATTACTCGAGCGAGAACAGTCCAGCGCCAGTATAGCCTCTGCGAAAGCTGACGCCAAGTCTACGTCTACACAAAGCCAGAGCACCATCCGCCCGCCGCCAGAGGAGAAGGGAAAGGAGAAAGAGAAAGAAAAGGACCAGGAAAACGAACCGACAACGGCAGAAGAGCATGTAACTAGGGGGATCGAATGCCATGAGTCCGGCTCCTTGAAGGAATCAACCTACCACCTCCGCCTGGCTGCCATGCAGAACCACCCAACTGGCATGCTCCTGTACGCCCTAGCCTGCCGCCACGGCTGGGGCCGCCGCGCCGACCAGACGGAGGGCGTCCAGTGGTTACGCAAAGCCGTCGACACGGCCGGCCTAGACCTAGCGAGCAGCAACCCCCCGAGCCCGGAGACATGCGACGCCGCACTACAGAAGCTGCTGTCCTCCAACGGAAGCGGCAAGATGAGCGTGACTGAGCAAAAGGCGCGACAGGCCCAGCTTGCGCTGTCCATCTACGAGCTTGGTGTGAGCAACCTGAACGGATGGGGGGTGGGACAAGACAAGGCTCTTGCGCTGAGATGTTTTGAGATCGCAGGCCGGTGGGGGGACGTCGACGCGATGGCCGAAGCTGGGTACTGCTATGCTGAAGGGGTTGGGTGCAAGAAGGACCTGAAGAAGGCGGCAAAGTACTACCGTATGGCTGAGAAGGGGGGGATGAGCATGGTAGGAAGCAGCTGGTATGTTTCACTACATTGGCCCATCTACCACCTATCATTCATCTACCACCTACTGACTGCCGCAGGATCTACAAGGACAAGTACATGGACGACGACGCCGGGTCGAAGAAGAAAGGAGGCAGCGTCAAGTCGACGAGCTCCAAGTCTCGCACCCGCAGCCGCAGCATCTTTGGCCGGAAGAAGCCTTCCGACGACTGACCTTTTTCCTCATCATCTTCACATCTTTACCTTCTTTTCTACTTTCTCTTTCATCTTCTTCCATCTACTTCTCTATCTGTATATACCTTCTTTTGGTGCTGGATACCCTCTGATTACTAATCACTTATATTAAACATCACTTTACATAGTATTATAACTCTTGACCGCAAAAGTTCTCGGAAATTAACACGAGAGACCCTCATTTTCCCCAGTTCCAAGCCTCGTAAAATTGATTCAGTTACGGAGACGGAGCCGGCTACCCCAGAAATTGCCTGTGTGAACGGCTCGGCAAGCGTGTCTTGGAGTCAAGGGAAAGGCCGGGGTTTATAAGCTCATGAACTATAACGACTGCATATGTATGGAGTGTACTAGGGAACATCGAACTACCCGGCCGGGCTTGGGATCCTGAAGCGGACTAAGTTAGGCTGCGAGGAGCAAGGACGCAGGTGGCAGCGTGCAGACTCGGTGTCATATGAAGGTGAAGAAGAGAGAGAAGGGACAAAACGGCCAATCAGGTCGGACGAGAGAGGCTTCGCCGATGGACATGTCAAGGTCTGTCATCCGACATCCCCTTCACCCGCTAAGATCATCGTTGACCGGCATTGACCTACATGTAGATGTCGATGACAGCGGCGTCTGTCCGAAGCCACCCAAGACCACGAAGGCGTGTCGATCCATCTTCCGCTCCCTCGACACGATACTAATCCCAGTTACATCTGGACGATGATAATAATAATCATATATGCCACGGCCATCACCGTGTATGAGCGTGAGAGTGTAATGCTGTGCCACCTGCAAAACGGGGAGGCCGAAGCATGCATGCAGCCGCAGCGGCGAACAGGTGTCAGCTCGACTACTACCTTATAGTCCTGAGGGTAGAGGCCAGTCTATGTACGCCGACTGGTCTGTGATCTCACATGGCGGAAAGTATAAGAGAAAAGGAGAAGGGAAAAAAGAAAACATCATGCTTGTTCCCTTTCTTTTCCATCTTCTTCTTCCTCTCGGCTGGCTTGCCATGATCTGCCTGAGGTGCAGTCACGTGGAGCACATGTTTCCTACTCTTCACTCATCTATCTACATCTATACTCTACATCCAGCTATGCTACATCTACTCCAGCTACATCTACTCCAGCTACATCTACTCCAGCTACATCTACTCCAGCTATATCTACTCCATGTATACTATCTATATGATATGTCTGTAACATCAGGGTTGCCTCGGTATTACCTAAGCAAGACAAGGTTCAAGGGCAGGACGGGCCTAAGTCCTAAAACGGACTAGGTTGGACCCGCTTTAAGAAAATGAAAAAAAGGCGAGAACGAAAAATGATGCTTGAGAGGAGAAGAAGATGAGACGAAAAGCGATGGAAGAGCGAGACGCAGCCAGACGACAGACGAGATCGAGAGGAGAAGCACGCAGCAGCACGAGTATCGAGTGTGTGTGTAAGTGTCGGCCGGCGTGGCTGGCCCCAGCTGGTAAAGTTCAACCCAAGCTTCTTTTTTCCTTCTTCCCTCACATGTTTTTTTTCCTTCTTCTGCTGCTTCTTCCACGTCGAAAAATGGACTTTTCGGCATCACGAGCTTCCTCCTCCTGCTCTCATGCGCTGCTTTCTCTCTTCCCCATCGAATCTCCATCTCGCGTCTCCAGATCTCTCTCTCCCTCTCCCTCTCTCTCTCTTACCCCGGACCCTCTCTTCGTCGGCCTTCCCCATCTCTCCACGGGGAAGACGCCCTTTAAGCTCGCATATACGCTTTTTCTTTTCCCTCTCCCATGCAAGTCATGATGGTTCTCCATCGTGGTAGCGACGTCGTAGCTGGCCGGAAGGGAGCAAAAGAAAAAGGAAAGGGAAGAAATTCGCCTCCACCAGTCAAAAAAGAGAGCCCACCCTGGTCCCTTTTTTCCTTTACCTCTTCTGCCCCGTAAACCCTTCGTTTTGTCCCTTGCTTATAATAATAATATAAAGTCCATGGAGGTCCCTTCATCTCCTCTCCTCCGCCGCCCCCAGTCCTAGACTCCCACCACGTCTCTTCTCTTCTTTTTTTTCCTTCTCTTTTCTTCTTCTGTGAGTGCTGCTGGCACAGGACTTGCGCAAGGTAGGACTTCCCTCTGCCACTCTAGTTACACCTGTTACAGTCGCATGAGAGTAAAACGGCGAACAGAAGACATGCAGCCCACCGTCATCGTACCACCTTTTTTATTTGTTTTTTGCTCTACTAACTTCCCCCCTTGTAGAAACCTGCACATCAATACATAGATATATATATTACGGATATATGTAATATATATATATACTCGGTGTCCGCCATATATAACCACCGCCAGCGCATCCCCACCTCGCCATCTTCTCACCTTCCAAGGGGCGTCTTCCACCATGTCAGACAAGAACAACGTCGAGGCCGTCGATAGCGTGCCCAGACGCTCTCTTGGTTCGCGCATAGGTGCCTTTTGTCGCCGTTTCTGGTGGTTGCTTCTCATCATCGTCGTCGTCGTCGCACTCGTCATCATTCTCCCTGTGTAGGTCTACTCCATATCTATATATGTATAACTTGCTAATTGAGTAGTATATTCGTCGCATACCCCAAGCTGGCGCAGAATGATGTCTCCGACTCGACACTCTCCATCGCAGACATGCAAACCACCAGCCCCGCTCCAGACTCGCTGCACGTCAAGGTCACCCAGGTCATCGGCTCCAAGTCAAAGTACCACCCGACCCTCGACCCCTTCGAGGCCAAGGTCTACCTCGCCGGAGAGCAGCAGCATTTCATGATCCTGCACACGCCCCAGGTCAAGGCCGATGATGGCGTCAAGGTCCTCATCGACGAGGACGTTCACATCGACAACCAGGATGCCTTCTCTGGCTTCTCCAAGGCCGTCATGCTCTCAGAGGAGCTCGAGCTGCTGGTCGTCGGCAAGACCAAGCTCAAGCTCGGTGGCCTGCAGAAGACTGACGTCGACTACAACAAGACCGTCACTCTCAAAGGTATTCTCTCTCTTCCCTTTTACTATTAAAACATTGCTAACCTCCTTTCACAGGCATGAACCACCTCAACGGCTTCAACATCACCAACATCAAGATCCAAAACATGCCAGGCACCATGTACAACATGAAGGGCGACGTCTTCATCCCCAACCCTTCCGTCCTCACTCTCGCCATGGTACGTTCCTCCTCAACACCGTAAACATCCACATAGCTAACTCTTGGCTCTTTAGGGCAACCTAACACTTGACCTCTCCATCGACGGCCACCCCATCGGCACCTCCATCCTGAACGATGTCATCATCAAACCAGGCAACAACACGATCCCCATGCTCGCCAATGCCGACCTAGCTTACGTCCTCAAACAGACCGGCATGGGAAGCAAGTACTCCAACGGTATCGTCCCCGTCACCATCATCGGAAACTCTAGCGTCGCAAACGGCAAGGAGCTGCCATACTACACCAAGGCTCTCGCCGCCAACACCCTGAAGGTCAACCTGAACATTCCCGCCATCCTTGCTGGAGGGAAGTAATAAAACTAATCATCCTTTTTTTCTCTTTTTCGCTCTTTTATTTAAATCACCTTCAATCTAATGTACCCATGTACGGAGGGGGGACTATATATCCGGGGACAGGACCCAGGTTTTGCATTCTATTCTTTGTACAGAAATATACCACTTCTTTCACCTTGATATCAAAACGAAGAGACACCAAAAAAAATAACAAAACAAAAAAAAAATTTTCAAATACGACACTACCGCGTCTTCCATCCGAGTAAAACAAGCTTTTAAATATTCAAAAGATAGTTTCTCTAACTATCCATTGCGTGCATACTGGTCGATCAAAGATCAAGCCCACGCGCAAAAAAGAAAAGAAGCGATCTCTCTCAGCCCTTTTTCCCTTTCCTCCCTTCTAGCCCGCTAGCTAATCAACTAACTCACTAGCTAGCGACCTTACTCTCAAATAAGCGAAAGGGGGGACCTTTCTCCCCCTATTTCTCCAGACCCAAAAAAACAGTGAACCATGGATCACACTGCTCCATACGGAGTACTCTGGGATGTATTGGTGAATTTAAGTCCTGTCCATCCTCCACCCTCCATCCACCAACCAGGGGTGGGAAAGCGACATAACCAATCAAGTCCCTTACACACGTCGAACTTCAACTTCGACTTCGGGCAAGTCAATCTTGAACTCTCTTCTTTTTTTTCCCCTCGCGTGACCAGCCACAAATACCTTACTAGGCGCGGTGGAAGCTTAAGAGCGATGGAAGGTTTGCGCTAGACCGCTGCCGTGGAGCCGCCGAAGCAAGCGCGGGATGAAGTAAGATTAGTAAGTGCGACTTCACCTCTAGCACTATACTATATATGAGACAGTAAGGATTATATTTGTATGTGTGGTATATATACAGATGGTGATACAAGTTATATACGTGATGCAGGTACTGGATAACAGGCTACGGTGATACGATGCACCATACCCATGCCGTTGAAGGCATACCCGATGTAACGTGAGGATTGCATGGGCCTTCACTCATGATCAGAGATGATGTGCTCTTCTCTCCAGCCGTGTAGGAGCATACGTCTCCTCTTCCCGCGACATGATATGTTTGAAATATCTATATCAATACCTATACGCGCGGCAATATGACTTTCAAGTATACCCTCTGTCACCATGCAGTGGTTCGCCCCCATCTCGTCTGCAGATGGCCGACCTGTTCCCGCAATTTGAAGAAAGTTGTACGATCACGCAACGGCAGGCGCCCTTGCATATATCAGACAACACCCATACGTTCACCAGTCCATCTATCAGTGTAACTAACACAGCCCAAATAAACCACGGCTGTAGCGGCCGCAAAGGGATAATTGATATCACCGGCCCGTCTGATCCCATGGGCCTATCGGACACGGACGCGACGGTGTCAACAGCCAATTATCCGTCTGGTTAATGCCAGACAGCTCTGAAGCACAAATTTCCCGATACGGCATCGAAGACCTAGACTCCAATAAGCTCGGATACGTCGTGCTGGATGACCAGGGGGACAGTTTTCAGCTACATGCCGCCTGCCTCTGACGGAGAGCCACTCTGCGTCGTTGCCGTAACGTTCTATATTATACATACACATAGTTCTATGATGAGTGGGGTGTCAATTGCGGCACTGATACGAGTGAAGCATCCATGCCCCTTGCTCAAGCCTACTTTCCCAACGAGCATCTATCCCGTAACAGTAAGCATGAGAAACAGTTCTCTACATTGCCTTCAAGGGCAAGAAACCGAAACCGGGTGCTAGGGGCCAAAGTGGAAAGCAACCAGTTTGAACGCTTTTGAAACCTTGCGTCATATCGGCGGTCGATTTTTTCCCAAGATCAGGGTGTAGAATGGGATTTGGTGTTGCTGGCATTGCTTGGTTGCTGCCGGTAAGATTAACAGTACTGTTATGCAGTTTACTGATATGGATGTCAAAGTTCGCACTTGGTCTTATGAAAGAGAGTCCATTGAATTGGAGATTCACATATATTACACGCTTGATATAAAGTATATCAGCAACAACGGTACAGATAGAGAGGTGGGTTATCTAATTCACTCTTGTATACCTTGGAACCAAGGGTGTTCAAGAGCATCCTTGGCTGTAGTCCTTCTTGCAGGATCCAACTTGTCATCCTGCCAACGATATCTCGAAAAGACTCGTCGACATCCTCCCACATGGAAAATGGCTTTCGCGGGTCATCAGGTGTGAATTCATCGACAACAGCTATGAGAATATCACGCCGTTCGGCAGAGTCATCCTCTAGATGCTCTAACAGTCCGACCAAACCCGGGCCATCCCCAAAGTGGGAGAGCAGGCGCTTGGCAATTATCCGCTCTTTCTCTGTATTACTTGTACATTCTCCGTTGATATGGAAAATAATCTTTTGAAGTATGGTATATATGCACTATTGATAGACTCGGGTGTCAGGGCGTCTCGTTCTATTATAGAATATTGTTTTAAAATACACTTACAACGAGACCAAAAGAGAAAATGTCGGACGGAATGTTGATTCGAGCGGCCGCATGGGACTCCGGACTACGCTACATGGGATTTCCAAGCCTGGCTCCACGGACATTCAGGCCAGGAGGTATCATCGAACCCATTTCAAGGTCACCAATTTGAGCCCTCTTCACCCTGATTCCACTGCTTGACATGTCATAGTCCACAAATATGTTGTTTGGTTTGATATCTTGCAGAAACGATTAATATAAAGCAGATATAGATAACACCGAGGGATGGAGTTTGAAGTACCACCGTGCAAGATACCCCGTTCATGGAGAGCGGCAAGTCCCTCCAACGTATCCCGCAGAATTCTCTTTCTATCCGTGTAGGAAAGGCTGTCTTTCCTGGCTAGGCCAAGTAGATCATCAGTACAAAAGTTGTATATGAACAAGAGGTGTTCAGGGACGGTGTCTAGCACAACTCTTAAGTTTCGGAGACTTGCAAGAGGTGTCTGTAAATTCAACTGGTATTCAAATTCAGTGTGATATATGTTTTTAGCAACATATTTATTTCCGTCTTTAGTTCTGGAGACGTATATAGTTAGCAACAGAAGGCATAAAACTCTCAACCGTGCATTTACATACGTAGCCAGATAAACACATGATAAAGTGGGCTCTGTTCTGTGCTGAAGAATTCGATTGATGCAGTATTGTGTCCCAGGTTGGCTGACTAGATTTGTTCCCACCTTCAGAGCTTCCTTTGGCTCGCTGGTAGGAATGGAAGCTATAGGCGTGGTTGACATGCCCATGATTGACGCTCTGTTAGTCAAGGGAAATATGATGCGCTGGCCATAGATCCGGGATGGTATGACAGCGAATCTTGACGGCAAAGGGGTTTCAAACGGAGTTGGCAAGGAGTAAAAGGCTCGCGATCTAAAACCATCGCATCTGAATGTTAAGGTTAAACAAAACATTTAATCAAATTGGATAATTGGATAATTGAATAGAAGGTGAATATTGGCATATTATGCTTTTCTTTTGACAAAAAAAAAAAAAAAAACCGAGAAGAGGATGAATGATAAGCTAAAAGTACCATCCGATCGATGCATGAAGATAACAAATGCCCAGATAAACCATGTGCTAAGGGGGAAAAGGAACCAGCAACATAACGCCTCTACAAATCATGCATTGTATTATACCCTGTCGCAATAAGACTCCGTGCCGCAGTAGTTGAATCTGCGGCAATATGCCAATAAAATAAGCCCGCCAGACCCGTCTGCTTGACAAACTGAGCCTTCAACTTGACGCTCTGGGGCGAGTCATAGGAAATAAACCCTGAGTTCTGCTCGTTATCGACGCAAAAGGCCGCATTTCCAACCTCTGTGTCGTGCTGTTCTATCGATCCTGACACAGGAAGGTCGCAGTAGTCGAACACTACTTCCTTTTCGTTGCCTCCATCATCATCTGTTGGTTTGCAAATGTCCGAAGTCTCTGATCCGTCTGGCCGTAGACATGAATATTGTCCCACGCTGTTTGTACCGGGGAATCCACGGCCATATACCGGTATTCCCATTAATATCTTATGAGAGGGTACACCCTGTGCAAGTAAGTATGAGACGGCAGAGCTACATGACAGGTGAGCGGCGTCGTTGTGTGGTTGTTCAGGAGCGAAGAGCTGAGATTGGTGACCGCACTGCGGTATCCAGGGACCGGAGAAATCGTATGTCATGAGATTTATTACATCAAGGTAATATTGCGCGAGGCTTAGGTTGATGTGTTGTAGCGCCCATTGGCCAGCTGGGAGCGCAGAGGAGAGGATATATTGCGGCGACGGTAGCTGCTCACGAAGAGCAGCGAGGAGAGATATGTAATTTGTACCTTGCTGAAGGTCGGATGGATGTTCCCAATCGACTTTGCTCGTTGAGTAACTAATTAGCAACTCCAGTTCTAGGTCGCAATACAGCAGAAAAGAACACGCATGCAGGTGTGAGTGGGGAGAATCGTACTGTCTAGCCCATCAAGGGTGAACTTATCTACCAGGTTCTTCGCCGTCTCCACGAAGTTCACAGTCAACATCGGATCTGCTGCAACAGCTGCGAAATTCTCACTGCCCGCGCCCCCGCCTCCGATCGAGAGAATGACCTTTAGCTGCGGATATTGACGTCTCGACTGTGTGAATGCCCTTATACATCCCTTTGCGCCGTCCACCGGCATCTGTTCGTCTGCCCATTCATCACTAAGCTGTTTACTCCGTCAGCACTTATCCTGTTTATGCGTGGACACAAGAAAGGGGAACAGACATATACTGTACCATCTGGCTTAACCCTATACCAAACACAAGCAACAACATATCAGCTCCTGTCAGTCTCAGCCTCTCTACCAAGATACCTGTTCGCCACTGACCCCAAGGAATAAATAATCTTCAGGCGCGCGGGGACCTGGTCCATATAAATGCGGGGAGGGAAGAACTCACCGAGCAAATGCATAGAAAACATGCGATACATAGCCCAACTTCAGCGAGGATGGAGGGTTACTCTTGTATATCCTCCAATTGGGGTAATAGACGGCATTTGAATATATAGGGATCTGGCATAAAGACTGCTCGATACAGCTTATGGGTGCGGCGCCCATCTGAGTCGCTGGGCTGTTCAACCCATCTCCTGCGAACCACGACGACGGCCTACACGGAAACATCTTGGACCAGCACAGCACATTCACAACTAGACGACGAAAAGACCACAGATCGTGTTTCTTACTGAACTACCGCAGGGGGGAAGAAAAAAGGAGAAGCGATGAAAAATATGCAGTATTATTGTTGATACTCCTTCTGGCAAGTGGACACGAGACCAGAAAAAAAAAACACTTGGTGGTATAGTAAGAAGGGGGAAAAAAGGCTCTCTCATGCATGAACGAACCAGCAGGGGGGGAGTAGAAGCGGGAGCGGACGGGTTAAATATAATTTGACCGTTTATCTCCTCCAAGGCCGTAAATATAAAAATAAATATGGAACCATGGTACGTATGGAAGAAGAAAGGTTGCATATAGATTTTTTAAAAAGGGGGGAAGGGACGCCCTGTGGTCTCTATCAAGATTAACAGTTTAAAGCCTCTTTTTTTTCTGTTGCCTCTGATATCTGGTCAAGGCTGTATAGGCGTCTTTGGCGGAAGTAGTTGGAGGTCGCCTGATATGGCGATAGAGCATGGTGTACGGAGTATAAACTTGGGGTAACATCAGTGCCAAAGGACCGTATTATTCGGGAAAAAGCAACCATATGCAGCTTTAACTGGCATGGCTTCCTTGCGCCTCACTGCACATATATATTATATTCGCGAGTGGACAAGGTGTTCAGACTCTTCATCTCGTATTCACACGAGGCATGCAGGAGAGCAGGGTCTAGACACATAAGTCGAGATAACAGCCTCCAATGACCAGGAATCGCATGCACCATTGCTCTATCCTTTTGCTTGTTTTCCTTTTCCTCTTTCTTTGCTTCTTCTTTGCCCCTTTTTACTCTTATTTTTTTTTTGTATTTTTCGTTTTATATCCATGGAAAATCCAGATACTATCACGTGATATGATATTACATAATACTCCATGTTTCTAGCTTATTTTCCATCCACAGTTTAAGGAGCTCTGCAAGGCACACTGGAGAACGGGACAGACAGATATACAACCAGGCCAGGCTGCTCGGCACGCGAGACACACGTTTCATGTTATAATTACACCTCCTTGAGAAGAAGAAGAAGAAAAAAAAAGAAAGGGAAGCCTCGAGCTATAGTCATCATCACAAGTTCGCCGTTATCGACACCATGGCCGAAGTCCAGAGAATCGCAGATCGGATAGTCTCTCCCGATACGCCTCGAGACCCCAACTTCACTAAATTTGCCTTCTCAGGCTTCGTTGCCAAATCCTTTAGCTTCGCCCTTGCTTCCGATGTGCCGGTCTGTAAGGCCTATCGCGAAGGCCACTGCCCACTCGGCCCGCTCTGCTCAGAACGACACCCGACACCATCCCGCATATCGACCTCCTCTTCCCCCGCCATAGCTCCTTCATCCACCCATGGAAGCCTAGTATGCAAGCATTACCTCAAGGGGCTGTGCAAGAAAGGATTAAAATGCGAATATCTGCATGAATACAACCTACGTCGGATGCCGGAATGTCAGTCCTTCTCCCGTAATGGATTCTGTCCAAATGGCGATGACTGTCTATATCAGCATCTTTCCGGGGACGCGAAGTTGCCGCAGTGCGAACATTATGATAAGGGGTTCTGCCCGTTAGGCCCCATCTGCGCCAAACGACATGTAAGGAGGAAGATGTGTCGGTTTTACCTTGCTGGGTTCTGTCCTGCTGGGAAATCATGTACCGAGGGTTCTCATCCGCGCTGGACAGAGAACTTGCCTAAACCGACAGTTAGGGTGGAAAAGACGCAGGAGGAGATTGAGAGTGAGAAAGCAAGGATCAGGGAGGAGCAGGAGCGGGAAGAAGAGAGGGAGAGGGAGTGGAGGAGGGAAAACCGTGGCCGGGATGGCAGATTTCCTAGGGGACGGTATCGTGGGAAGAGATGATTTTTTTTCCCCCAAATGCCTGGCTTCCTTTTGACTCGCTTTTCCGGCCTCTGGGTCTGTTATTATACATACATATACCCCCACGGTGTTCGATGCACGATTTCTTTTTTTTCATCTTGCGAGCCTGGTGTTATGGTATCTTATGGCAATGCATTTCACTGCAGACTTGGGGTTTGTTTCAACATGGATATTGGGACATCTACATGCGCCAATTTCGACTTAGCATATTAGCTCAATCATACGTAGCACACGTTTACAATCATCGTTAATATACGGGTATATGTGGAATATATACTAGGATTGTGTAGAAAGCAACTACTTAACCTGCGTACATAATATCAAGCATATATATCTACATACATATATATCTACATATATATATACTATGAATGTACTCCGTGCTAGCCTCCAGTACTTCACTTTGAATAAACCTTGCTACCGTTGGCTGGAGTCTCCGCCAGGCCTGCTAATAGTTGAGACGCGCAGGCGATCAATAGTTTCGCAACCAGGGAAAGCATTAAAAGGACGTAAATCCCCCACTATTTCCCATTGCCCATGGACTTCAATTGCGAGCTGTCTTGTTTATACCCGGCTCACGCCTGATAAACAATTGTTGGGACATCATGCCTAGTCCAATCGACATTACCGAAGAGTCACTCACAGGCCTGGCGGATAAGGTCGTTGTTATCTCCGGTATGGAGTCCTCTCCCTCGAAGTCTGCCTCTCTAGACAACCAACAAGTATATAACATACTTGAATACAGGTGGATCAGCAGGGATCGGTTTTTCGACAGCTAAGCTTCTTCTAAACAAGGGGGCCAAGGTGGTCATCGGCGATATCAACGAACCACCAAAGGATATCCTAGATGACAGCAGTGTCATATATCAGAAGACTGATGTTACTTCGTGGAAGGACCTGTGTGCCCTGTTCAGGCAGGCCAAAAACAAGCATGGACGAATCGATCATGTTTTTTGCAACGCTGGTACTGCAGGGTCGGCAGACTATCTGGATGAAAGCGTTGATAGAAACGGAGACCCGGTCGAGCCCAGTCGCAGAACCATAGAGGTTGACCTGATGGGCATGGTCAACATGGCGAAACTGGGCATCTTCTATATGAAGAAGCAGCCAGAGGGTGGCAGTATAGTTCTAAACTCTTCGGGAGCATGTAAGTGGTCTGGACAAGGCATGAAATTAAGAGGGATCTTTTAGGCCATTAAATTAATGTAGCCTAGGTACATAAAGATTCCCCGTCGTCGACTACGGTGAGTAAAACGCCTGCTGATATTGATTCAAATTTATGTTGGATAGCTGACGGGGGCGTGAAATAAGCGACTGCAAAACATGGGATACACGGTACGTCATCTAGAAAGAGATACCATAACATGCATCATTTGCCTGCTTGAGTGTTTTATCTTTTGCAAAACAGTCCAAGAACTGAACAGACAATCCCTCTTTATTCGATAGGTCTGCTTCGAGGATTGGTTTCAATCCTTCATTCCAAATTCCCTATTCGAGTGAACGGCCTGGCTCCCGCGTGGACCGACACGGCAATCGTAGAGAAAGCTATCGTTAGGGAGACCAAGGGTGAACTCCAAAGCCCGGAGTTCGTAGCTCGTACTGCAGTTCTGCTGATGGCGGACAGGTCGAGAAACGGCCAGCTGCTTCTCTCCTCTCGGGGTAGGTGCGTGGAGGTTGAACAGGCAATGCTAGAAGCAAACACATCCATTATCAAGGAGCTTTTGGCGCAATAAGGAATGCCAAGTTCGTTAAAAAGGGGGCTGAGTTACATGGAAGAGAAGTTGTATGATAGCGGAAAGGATGGTTGTAGGGCCCGATCAAAGCAAATCTAATAGTGGTCAAATGGAATAATCCCAAGGATGACGGCTATCCCGGGGAGCTTGAGTATACGTTGACTTATACGGCAACATAGACAGAGAAGAATATGTATTTCAAGTGTTGTATGGGGTATTATCTTTGCTGTTTATATGAGAAGTCAACATCATAGCGACTCCTATCACATCCATCTTTGATATCGCTTCGAAGCGATCGTGAGGACATCAGCATATCAGGAGCAAAGGGGAGTATTTCTCGTTGTTTCTCTTCATCAGAGTGTCAATATATAGTCACCTTTCATCCTTTGCTCGTAGTTGATGGTGGTGAAAGGTGAAACGAGGAAAAACACGTCATTCAACTTTCGTTCTTTTTAGTGTCTTAGTCTTCGCCAAAAAAACCTCCCCGGTCGAAGATAACAACATTCACCAAACAAAGCCCTTCTTGGTTATACGCAACAGGAACAAAATAATACACCATGTTCTGATACCGAGATACCTGTTATTTTAACTACACCTGTTTATCGAACCCTGCCTCACCTCCAAAAGATGTCGCCAAACCTCCCTTTCCGTGACATCAACCTCTATGCTTCGCCGCATTGTTATGCATTTAGATCTGCCTCCTCCTCCTCAGCTCCTAGTTTGGTCATAGAACGGCCCACGGGCGACTTGCGACTTGAAAATGCATCTACACACAATGCGAAGCGAGTCTCTAGCATTGCTGGAATATTGGGTATTGTCAAGCTGAAGCTCGGTGCGGTTACTTGCCCCCTCCCCCTTGATTTCTGGTCCATAAGTGGGAATTAAAGCTGATTATTTATAGATAAGTATGTTATCGTGATAACAAAAGAACAGCCTATGGGCAGATTAAGAGGGCATATGGTATATAAAGTCGTTGCGACCGAATTTCTTCCCCTTCGTGACGCACCGCTCCACGACCCCGACGAGGATGCCTACCTGGCGTTACTCAAGAAACTGCTGGCCACTGGACCGATGTACTACTCCTACTCGCTCGATATTACCAATTCTTTCCAGCGCCAATCGCAGAGTGACCCTTCGCTGCCGCTATGGAAACGAGCAGACGACCGATTCTTTTGGAACAGATTTATCCAGACGGACCTAATTGACTTTAGCTCCGGGCTATCAGAAAACACAGGGATTAGGAGTGGACAGTCATCAGATGTCGACCCGTATATATTACCCGTTATGTTCGGGATGATGCGTATAACTCCCGCCAAAGTCAAATCTACGCCATTTACATTTGCTCTTATTACCCGCCGCTCAAGGTTTAGAGCAGGCACTAGATATTTTTCTCGTGGGATCGACGAGCATGGAAATGTCTCTAATTATAACGAAACTGAGCAGGTTGCCATCCTGAATGATGCTACCGGCGGGGTCTCAGGGTTTGCAGGAGGGCCAGGTATGGGCGACCACAAGATGGGAGAAAAGAACCACCAAGAGCTTCAGGTTTTATCGTTTGTTCAGACAAGAGGAAGTATTCCCGTTTATTGGGCAGAGGTGAACAACCTTCATTACACCCCAAAACTTGCCGTGCGCGGCGTGGACGCGGCAGCCTCAGCAGCTCGAATGCACTTCTCGGATCAAATTAAAACCTATGGGGAGAATTACTTGGTGAACCTAGTCAACCAAAAGGGCCGTGAAGAAAAAATGAAAAAGGCCTATGAGCAGCTGATGAGACTACTAGTCTCTGCCCCCGCCGAATCTAGAGAGTCTGACTTACTCTCAGCGGAAAAAATGCACACGTTGGAATCTTCTAGTAAACATCAGGAGATGGACCGTCTTCATTACATATACTTTGACTTTCACAATGAGACCAAGGGCTTGCAGTGGCACCGAGCAGAACTTCTCCTAAACCGACTAAAGGAGGGACTACAGCGTGGCCAATATTTTAGCGGTACCGAGTCGTTAGGCAATCCATCAGGTACTCTAGATGTCAGAACAGTGCAGTCGTCCGTAGTGCGGACAAACTGTATGGATTGCCTGGACCGAACGAACGTTGTCCAGAGCATGCTTGGTCGTTGGACGTTAACCCGGCAATTTATTGACTGCGGCATACTACAGCCAGGGGAAAAGACCGATGATGACTTGGTATTCCGGGATCTCTTCCGGAATATGTGGGCTGATAATGCAGACGTTGTCTCCAAGTCATACTCTGGGACTGGTGCTCTAAAGACCGACTTTACTCGTACTGGCGAACGAACCAAGGCTGGTGCTCTCCAGGATGGGAACAACTCCATTACCCGATACATCTTGAATAATTTCATGGATGGCCCAAGGCAAGACGCATATGACCTCTTCCACGGCACATACCTTCCTTCTTCTACTGCATCATATGTATTCGCGGACCGAAGGCCTCTTATCATCCAGTCTATTCCATACATATTAGGAGCAGCTATTTTCATGATCTTAGTGGCTATGTTTACTCGCCAGTTGCCTGATTCCACTGCTTGGCCGTTGAGAATCTTCCTTATCTTCTGGATCGTAGTTGCTGCTTGGTGTCTACGCTTCATTCATTCTCACGGCATGCTATACGTAAGTTGACCTCCCTCGAACCCATCAATGGCTTTGTCTACTTTGCTAATGGCGTCTAGGTCAACTGGCCAAAACTCAATACCCCGGCTGCTGGAGCAGAGGGATATGCCGAAGCTCTTCGCCGGGCAAGCAATGATAAACTCATCGGCGACTTCATACCGAGTACAAAACACCAGCGAGGAGTGAGTAACGCACGACTAGGCTTTATGGAAGAAGGTAAAAAGAGAATAGAATAGAGGGTATCATAGACAGGCATTTGTTTCTTTTCTCTAGTGTGTACAGCTCTTTTTTGCATTCCCTTTCTTCCTTTGCTGCTACTCATTCGTGTTGGTAACGAACTGCTTAATATAAATTGTAATATTGTTCTGTTTCAAAAGCTGCTCCTTCAGATCCCTAGTGAATATTATTATTATATTTCATGCCTGATGCTCTCATCGCTCTGCTGTCACTTTTTAGTTCCTGCAGGAAAGGCGATAAGCTCCGATAAGAAATAAAAAACTCTTTTGTCCGAAACATCAAGAGTCAATGGTCAAAATAATAAGAGGAACAACCGCATTACTTGCCAGCCCTTTTCACAGCTCTCGATGCTAGCCAGAAGCCATTGGTCTCCTATAGCTTTTAAATTCCATACTCGCCGTCTCTTGCAGTGTTGCCGTAACATTTCTACGATGGACAGGACTTATGGGGTGAGTTGCTGCAGGGCCATCCAGCTCCCCACCGAATTAAACTGACAATATATTCCAGGACGCCATCGCGGCATTAAATTCGCTGCAGACCAATTTTTCAATAATTAATGCAATGCGCCAGTCTGGTCGTGTGCTTAATGAGCAGTCGATACCCGAAACAATAGAATGGTGCCGGAAAATAGGACATAAGGTGGGTTTGCTGGACACCCATCATTCTTCCGAAGAGTTGCTTAGCACTTACAGAAGGGCTTACCTTACTTTATTGATAGCCCTCCGACCTCGATCGGTTGAATTTGATACACATTGCCGGTACCAAGGGCAAAGGGTCAACATGCGCATTTATATCCTCCATACTATCGCAATATCTCACTCTTAAAAACGATGAAACGACCAACTCATCTTCAAAATCGCATCCAAAGCTTGAAAAGATTGGCCTTTATACCTCCCCACACCTTCGATTCGTGCGTGAACGGATACAGATTAATAACACTCCTCTGACGGAGGCACAATTTACACATTACTTCTTCGAGGTCTGGGATCTCCTCGAACAAGATGCCCGGGCCAAAGGCTTAGACCCAAACGCGCCGAACATGAAACCTAACTACTTCCGATATTTGACTATTATGGCATTCCACACTTATTTGAGAGAGAATGTAGATGCAGCGATCATAGAGTGTGGTATTGGCGGGGAGTATGATACGACTAACATTCTGGTGAACCCCGTGGTGGAAGGTATAACGAGTCTAGGGATTGATCATGTGGCCATGTTAGGCTCGACCATCGAAGAAATAGCGTGGCATAAGGCAGGGATCATGAAGCCTGGAACTGTGGCCTACACTGCACCACAGCCTGACTCTGCCATGGATGTCCTACAGAAACGGGCGGAGGAGAAGAAGGCCCAACTGCATGTCGCACAGGGCCACCCGGATCTCGCCCCCGGAAAGATTTCATTGGGCCTCTCAGGCGGGTTCCAACACAAAAATGCAGAGCTCGCAGTAGCTATCTGTAGCTCATTTTTAAGGAAACTTGAGTTTCCCGACGTGCCATCGTACATCGAGAAGGCCCCTCTGCCGGAGAAATTCAGGGTTGGCCTTGAGGGTGTTAAACTGGGTGGACGATGCGAGATCAGAAAAGAGAATGATCTGGTCTGGCACATCGATGGAGGACATACGGCTGATAGCATTGAGGTTGCAGGGAAATGGTTTTCAGGACTGTCATATACACAGACTAGTCCCACGGAAGGAAGGCGAAAACCTTGCATTCTGATTTTTAACCAGCAGACACGAGACAGCACCGCACTGGCGAATACCCTTCACAAGGCACTGACTGCGGGAAACTGCGTCTTCACCCACGCTATATTCTGCACTAATGTGACATTTAGAGAGGCGGGATATCGACCAGACCTTGTGAGCATCAATTCCGATGCGTCAGATGTCGAGAGGCTGAGTGTTCAAAAGAATCTAGCGGAGGTATGGCGTGGTTTGTCACCAGACACCAAAGCCGAAGTCAAGCCTACGATAGAAGAGGCCGTTGAGTCTGCGCGTAGTATAGCTGCAGCAGACAAGAGGGAGAACACTTCTTCAGACGACGCTGCTGTCAGTGTACTGGTCACTGGCAGCTTACATCTTATTGGCGGCCTACTGGAAGTCCTGGAGACAACGCCCACCAAATGAGCATGACGACCTCGTTTCTGAATACTACAATATATTCAATCCTGTGTTCTCATTCAACTTGAAACATGATTCCATAACTTGGTTTGATTTTTCTGCATGGAGCCTTGAGGCGCTGGTATCAATGGCCTGGAAGCACTTCTATTTAACTAGCAAGCGCCACATTCCTGTCACTAGATCACTTGCATACACACGACTAAATCATTCTATATATAAGTATATACACTACGTATTGTATTCTCTATCATGTACCGTCATCTCCTTGCTTATTAAATTGATTATAGAGCAAGGATTAGAGCCACAACAAATATTACTGCGGCTCCTCCTAACTGGACAGCCAAAAAAGCAACCAATAACGCCTACCATCTCTGTTAATTGCATTTCCTAGGTATTAATATAAGAAGCCCTTGGTGCTAATAACTCCTTATGACGACACGTCTAGTCGAGAATAAAACGAGGAAATACTCCCAAGTCGCAGCACATGATATATAAACGACGAGGGAACTAAATCTAAACATTAGAACATTCTAAAACAAAGCCTACCACCCGCAGCTTTTTTTTTTTTGCCCCTCTTCCCCCACCCACATAAACCACGGCAGCCCGGCTCACCTTAGGCAGCAAGCCTACAATTGATACGCCGAGAATAGCATGACAGACAATCAAGATACAGACCCGGCCTCTGGCCAGAAGGACGACGTCTCCGGCAACAGCACAAACAAGAATGGTTCCGCTGCTACCGGCAGCGATGGGAAGGGTAAGGGAAGGGAGATTGACGAAGGGAAAACGCCCTCAAAGTCTGGCCCGACGATAGAGCTCAGCACGAAGGCAGCGCAAGCGCTGATGGAATCCAATCCTGCATTAAAGGGTGAATTCGCAGGCATGGATAAGGAGAAGGCAGCAGAGTTGATGCGGAAGATGGACATCAAGGAATTGCTGGCTGGGCTTGCGGTGAACCCGAAGAACAAGAAGGATATGGCTTCATATAAGTTTTGGCAGACTCAACCGGTTATAAGGTTCGATGATAAGGGAGAAATAGTGGATGGTCCGATTAAGGAGATCGATATTGAGACTGTTTCGAAGACGCCTGGCCCGTTGATTGATGGGTTTGAATGGGTTACATTGGATCTGAATGATGACAGGGAGACGCAAGAACTATATGAGCTACTGACGGATCACTATGTGGAAGACGAGAGTGAGATGTTTCGGTTTAACTACTCAAAGGACTTTTTGAACTGGTTAGTACCATGCCATCCACGGAATCACCTTTGTTTGACGAGCTACGCTAACAATTTTAAAGGGCGCTTAAGGCTCCAGGATGGACAAGCGATTGGCACGTTGGTGTTAGAGCTTCAAAATCCAGAAAACTAGTTGCGGCCATATGCGGTATCCCTCTCGAGATATGCGTGCGTGGGAAGGTAATAAAATCCGTCGGAATCGATTTCCTATGTGTACACAAAAAGCTACGAGCCAAGCGACTGGCACCAGTTTTGATCAAGGAAATAACTCGAAGGTGCTACTTGAGGGGAATATTTCAAGCCGTTTATACAGTTGGAATCGTCCTGCCAACGCCAATCAGCTCATGTCGCTATTACCATCGAGCTCTGGATTGGTTAAAGCTATACGAAGTTGGGTTTTCTGGTATGCCAGCAGGTTCTACAAAAGCCAGACAAGTTGCACGAAACCAATTACCCTCATCAACAGCCACACCTGGTCTACGGCCAATGGAAATCAAGGATGTCAGCGCAGTGTGTAGCCTCTTGAATCGCTATATGAAACGCTTTGACCTGTCCCAAACTTTCACTGAAGAGGAAACTAAGCATTTATTTATCAACGGAGAGCATACGTCAGAGACGGTCGTATATTCGTTCGTTGTCGAGGATCAAGATACCCATCATATCACTGATTTTGTCTCGTTTTATTCTCTGGAGTCGTCTGTTATTCAGAATGAGAAACATAACAACGTCCGGGCGGCGTACTTATATTACTACTCTACAGAGACAGCATTCGCCGAGAATGAAGATGGGTTGAAAGAGCGTCTGCAGCTACTCATAAACGATGCATTAATCATTGCCAAGAAGGTGGGTTTCCCAGCTATATAATATCTTCAATTTATACCCTTCACCGGCTAATCGATATATAGGAGAAATTCGATGTGTTCAATGCCCTGACACTGCATGATAACCCTTTGTTCCTCGAGAAGCTCAAGTTCGGTGCTGGAGACGGGCAACTCCACTACTATCTGTTTAATTATCGAACAGCACCTATCCCTGGAGGAGTAGATAGTAACAATGAGCCTGACGAGCGTAAGAGACATGGTGTTGGCGTTGTTCTCGTTTAATATGCCAGTGACTATCAATATACAATTTCAAAACTTCCAGCTGGTTAAAATATATCATGCATAATCCCGGTATTCACAAAACACTTAATTCTACTGTAAATAATATCCCATCGCCAACAGGTGTTTTGTTGCTTTGGCCGTTTATGTTCTTCCCACTTTGGTATTCCACGTGACAAAGAGCCGCAAAGTTCTAGAACATGAATATGCTAGCCTAAAAAGGGATAGTATAAATGCCACGATATAATCACGTGGCAAAACTTCCTCTGAATGGGCTATTCAAGTTAGGTAAGCATTGGCGTATCAACTTCCAAGCCAACATCCAAGGCAACATCCAAGTCAAGCAAGCGACTCTGGCAGTGAAGTTGATTCTGAATTACCAATCCTATAAAGACGCTGGATAATCCCGTTTTCTTGGGCGGCTTAAGAGTTCATTCATCCGTAACTTATTCAAGGAGACCCCCAACAATACTACAGATCCACATCCAACAACTACTTGGGACAAGTATAACGCCCAGTGTGTTCCATGTCAACACGGACCTCCGGTATCTACGCAGCCACTTAGTCTCAGTACCTCGTTTTGCTATCATCATGGGTGCTGGTCAGTCTACCGACTCTAAAGCACTTGGAACTTCTCCTGGTAAGTTTCTAGGAGCAATCTCATGGTTTCATCTACATCGGTCACACCAACATTATTTGATAGATATGAATTTCTAATAATATCTAGAGGAGATGAGCCACATTCTGGCCCGTCGTTTTGCATCGAAATGTTTCACTCCACTGGAACTAGCCCATCTGAAAGATAACTTCAACTCCCTGGCATTGAAGCAAGGAGATATCCGGTACTGGAATGAAGAAGTCTTATCCAGGTTTTTAGGTATACCGGACGGGAATGGAAAGTTTGGTGATGGGGATCTTGATGCTGGCCCAGTCATTTTCCGCATGGTCTCTTATCTAGGAGCGTTTCCTTTTCAAAACACCCTAGCTCCTAGCGTGCTAACCTTTGATGCTCTGGTAAAAGTGATTGTTCTTCTGACGGACCGATACGGCAAAGTACTACGCAGAGGAAAAAAGGACCGGATCAAGTTGTTATTCGGCAGCCTTGCTGATGTAGGGAGAAAGGAAGAACTTCCTGTTCCCGACAATGAATCAAAAGATAAGCCGGACAATACCCCTAACAAATCCGGAACCCAATCTCAGACTGCAGGGTTCTCGATTGATAAGCCCTCAAATGATAATGATGATGAGGAGGACAACGATGACGATGATTTAGCTCTTGCCGCACTAGAGTCATTGGATGCGATTGAAGTGTTCAAACATGATCAGCGCATTGACCGGACAGTCTACGAAGCACACGTTTCATTCGACACATTCCAGCGGCTACTGATGTTGCTAGTTGTGCTAGCTCCGTTACGCACCAATGAAGAAACGTCACAATATTTCTCACAACTTAATGAAGATTCGATGGAGGCTGCCCGTCGGTGTGTGGAGAATATTCTCACTTCGTTCGATATCGGAGACCGCAAAAGCGGGATAGGCTATGAGACTTTCTCCTGGGTGATCTCGAGTTCTCTCCCATATATATTTGACCCCCTAACTCCGCTCTTTGAACATCTTCTTTTTAGCAAAAATCTTGATCTATCCCGGAGAAGGGATTCAGGCACATCGTCTCCTAGCGAAGAAAAAAACGCAGCACCACTATCCTCATTGACACCTTCGAAGCCATCGATAACGCTCTCTGGATCATTTGAATCCTGTATCCTGGATTCTGCAATTATCTCTCATCTCTCCTTCTTCCTTCCCACATCATCTCCGATCCCCAACCTACTACAAAATGGTACCCGCTTACACGGAGTATTTTCATCGGATACTCATGGGGAATCACTAACGTCCTTCTCCCATAACGTCCTCACATGGGATGCACCCAGCATTATGTTGGTAACGGGAGCTAAGAAAGACCCATCCGGTGATGAAACTGAGTCAATAACTATCGGTGCATATATTCCACGGGCGTGGAAATCATCAACCTCGGCATCAGCCTCCCACCATGATCTCTCTAACCAGTTCCAATTACCATACCTATTCCAACTAAGCCCCAACCATGTTGTTATGCAAGGTTCTCCATCTATAAACTCCCTCAAAGCTAATCGGCCCATGGTGTCGTTTTCTACCAAGTCTGGCATAGCCATTGGCTGTAAAATACCTCCACCAACTCGCACGTCATTAAGCAGTGATTCGAGTCGCCCCACGCCAGCCGGTGGTGGCAGCCTATTGATCGATCCCGCTTTAGAAAATGCCGAATTTTTCATGTCGAATGGTTTAAGCCATGAAGAGGGTGTGTTCCTACCTGCTGGGGCTGCCACCTGGTCACCCTCGCACTCCTCATCTACAGCGGCCAGTGAGACGATCCATATATCAATTTATAACATTGAAGTGTGGGGAATTGTGCACACTGTGACTATTTCCAAACATTCTTCTTCGAAGCATAGCCGTTCCTCAACTGCAAACGGAGCGATACCCGATGCCATCATGCGTCAGCAGGCTCATTGGAATTTTGAAGCCCGTGAAGCTGAAAGACGGCGAGAGATACATTTGAATGTTGGCGGTGGTGATTCTGAGGAGCAAACTGGGAGAGCCTTGCTAGAAATGGCGGGTATTATCGGGAGTTCATCACGATACCGATAAACGACCTCAATTACATCAGGGATTTAGACAAATTGCGGCCACGTTACGATGTATGATAATGATTTAGCCTTGAGAATGTAATCATTTATGAAATACGCCTTTTCCAAATATGCGTTCCCTCCTGTTGATTAATGCTAATTGATCAGGTGCCTTTCATAATACCCAAGATGCAGAATGCTCCGAGAATGCAAAATGAGGGGGAAATCACGGTCCTAATGGTACAAGGCTTGACGGAAAGTCATAATAATCCTGCAATTCTTCTTCAACTTCCTTAACACCACTTACCCCATCCACATTCTGGGGAGTGGCTACACCTGCTTCGCTCTCTGTGCCTTTGGCCTTGGGGATGCCTCGTATCGGGCCAACAGTTTTGCTTGATTCATCCCCTGCGGTGGCACCGCGCCCTCTCCGTTGCTCCCGTGGGAGTCTGAAAGCAAGATATTCGATATCTGCCCGCTCGATTCTATCCATGACATCGTTCATATAATCTCTTACTTCCCCTGGAGGCTTTACGACGCGAGCTAGGGGTTCTAGTGTCCTGGGATTGTTTGCATGTAAACGGAGTGTGACCGGCTGGTAGTATTCCTTGACTTTAGGTTTAGACCCTGAAGGTGAGGGCAACTCGTCAGTGCTTTTGGGGCCATCTGTAGCCTTTGAATCATCTCCAGCTGGAGCGTCTGTATCTTTCACGTCGTCCTTGGTATCTGGTTGTAGAACCGGGGCTTGCGATGAGGGTTCAGTTAAGGTGGGCGTTGCAGAAGCTTGGGCCAGTTTGGCCTTCTTACCCTTTCCCTTACCTGAGGGTAATTTCTTATCCGAATCCGTTGAAGATCCTTCTGAGCCAATTTGTTTTATAGCTAAGAAGGATGCGATGACCGTTGTATTCCCAGGAAAATAATCTAATATCATATTCTCTGGGAACAAATACCGGTCCCCAGTTGGGCCATTGTTTGAGCCGGCAGGTAAAATAAACTCGAAAACGACCGATTTTATATCTATTCTGGTAGGCTGGGCAACTGGTTGTGGAAACTGTGGGCGAAAACATCCATTTTGAGCTGGCGGTAGCTTCTGGGTATTCTTAGCTCTAATCGGAGCTGTTCCTTGAGGAGGCGGGTAGGGAGATCCAGTCGAGTGTGGAGGTTGGTTCTGTGGATGATGTGTTGCTCCAGAATTTACAGCAGGGCTACGTGACACAATCGGCGTATGAATTCGGTTCTGTCCTCCTTCGGCCGAAACAGGAGTTGCAACCGTCTGTGTTGGAGGCTCTGCCTTCGCTTGTGAATCTTTTGGGTTTCTGCTGGCAATAATCGCGTTTATCTCGTCAATATGTGCCTGAAATGCTCGAAGCTGTTCCTGATCTGCCTGACTATCCGCAACTATTCTCATCAATGCTCTTAAATCTGGGTTTGTAGCAGCTCTATTCGCGAGGAGCTGAATCACTGGGTCGGTACTGGGTTTCCCGGGTGGTGGGGGGTTCGGGGGTTTCTGAGGGGTATTATGGGCCTGGTGATGCGGTGGCGGAGGTTGGTGTGCTGGGCCAGAGGGTGGG